TGGTAGCGAAGAAGAAGCGGGGGGAGATGATGAAGACACAAACCACAGAGGGCGTAGACGCAGGAGATCTATATCACCCACCCTCAACCGGTCCTCTGTATTCGAAAACATTGCCAACTTGTTCAGCCGTACTGGTGCAGGGGAGAGCAGGGCTCCCGAATTTTCACGACGTTCATCTGCATCTTCGACTCGGAAATCACGACGAAGGTCCTCAGACGCAGGGTCAGAATTCGCTCTTGCAGACGAAGTGAACGAGCGATGGGGATACTCGTCCGGAGAGGAAGATAATGAGACAGAGTCCGACGGCTCGCATCCTTTCCACAGCGAAATAGACTATGGTTTATACCCTCCATCTCCAAGTGCAGGTTCACATCTCCCTCTCTTTGCCGCTGATGCAATTTTCGGCGATGAGGTGCGCATAGACATAGACATACCTCGAGAGCCGTTAAATCCTCCACCCCCTGGACCGCCAAGCAGACAAACCATATATGTACCAGAAGAGGACAACACCTTTCGGTTTGTGGGCTATGAAGTCATCATTTGGCGGCAGTGGCTCTGGCGAGTGTGTTGTGCTGCAACCTTGGGTCTCGTGGGTCTCTTGGGTCATTGGTTCCCTCGCGTATGGCTACGATGCGTTGTCGAAGAGAAGGCTTTCAGAGATATTAGGCATGGTTATGTTGTCGTCGAGGTGCGCAACGCCATAATCTCGTAGTACCACATTTAAGTCATCTGCCATCAGTCTGCACACAGAGACATCACACTGTTCCCTGTCAAGCGTCTAGCATATCCATATGCTCGCTCAACGGTCTTCCCTGTCTCTCCTGCAGAAGCGGATGGACGACCACAGCCGCTATCACGCGGTGATACCGGCGAGAGACAAGAGATTCTCGACGACCTTCATATCGTCGACTATAGATATTCACGTTTTGCACTTGACATTCAGACTGGATTATTCGGCATGATAAGGTGGGTTGATTACGTTGCACCTTCGTTTTTGCTGAGCATCAAGCAGGGACTGGCGTGATCCAACGTGGACGGGTCTGCAGTCCATCCAGAACGGGCTTTCGCAGTTTGTTAGGCATCAACGGTTGATCTTATTTGGACCGAACATTGTCGACATCGAAGGCAAATCGACGATATCACTTCTGGTTGATGAGGTAAGTCCAATGTTCATGGACCATGGTTTCACCCAACCTTTTGATAGATCATCCACCCATTTTACGTGTTTCAAGTGGCCAGCATCATCCTTTGGTCATTGGACGATTACTATTACTATGCGTTCTGTATTGCACTAATTTCTGCATTGAGTGTTGTGACAACCCTCATTGATACCAAGAAGGTGAGAAAACAGACCCCTGAGCATGTCACGAAAGATCCTCACACACTCTCAGACCATCAAGCGCATGCGGGAGATGTCCCGCTTCTCCTGTGACGTTATGGTTTATACAGACGGTGGCTGTATGCAGTGTTCTCGTCGTCCTCTACTCCAGCTCATGATCATGCAGGGGTTGAGCGTGACTCTACTGAGCTCGTGCCAGGAGATATAGTAAATCTATCTGAACTACGTGTATCTCTGTTCCCTGCAGACATACTTCTTCTTTCTGGCGATGCGATTGTGAACGAAAGCATGCTGACTGGCGAGAGTGTACCTGTTTCAAAGAATCCAGCCAAGGACGATGATATCGCTCGTTGGCGAGACCTCAAGGACGCCCAGGGTGAGCTTGCCAAGAGCTTTATTCATGCAGGGACCAGAGTGGTTCGCATCCGTGGTGCTCTGGCAAGTGATGGGACCACAGGACAACCTGCCCTTGGGTTGGTTGTCAGAACAGGTAGGTCTTTTGCATTCTGCAGAGATGATGCATTCATGAATAGCAGGGTTCAACACAACCAAGGGTGCACTAGTCAGGTCCATGTTGTTCCCAAAACCAATTGGATTCAAGTTTTACCGTGATTCAATTCGTTTCATCGGTGTTCTGGCATGTATTGCCACCCTTGGTTTTTGTGCCAGCGCTGTGCAGTTTATCCGACTTGGGGTACGTTTTGTGGTGTACTCATGCAAATCCTATTCACTTGGATACAGATCAAATGGCCTGTCATCCTAGTTCGTGCTCTCGACTTGATAACGATTGTGGTTCCACCCGCTCTTCCGGCGACCCTCTCGATTGGCACAAATTTTGCCATCGGACGTCTCCGCAAACTTGGAATCTTCTGCATCTCGCCCACTCGTGTCAACGTTGGAGGAAAAGTCAACGTATGTTGCTTTGACAAGACAGGCACACTCACAGAAGATGGATTAGACATTCTCGGCGTGCGCTCCCTCGACCGCAATGTACACCGTTTTGGTGAGCTTATAGACAACGTCCACGATCTACCCTCCATACACGACCGCACGAGCTTCCTTCACGCACTCGCGACGTGCCATTCGTTGAAGATAGTAGATGGTGAAATTATTGGCGATCCACTGGACGTCAAGATGTTTGAGTTTACTAAGTGGACTCTTGAAGAGGGACTGATCGCGGGGACCGGCATTATCAAAGGAAGAAGTGGCAGCGAGCGACCAGCTGCGCTTGTCCAGACTGTTGTGCGACCGCCTGGGAGTGCCCAATTCCGCCTGGAAGATGCTCTCAGGACAGGGGCGAAGGTGCGCCCTGACATGAAGCAGTGCACAGCATTTCTGACTGTTACATCTCAGCATGCTCATTTCCTTGAACTTGGCGTGATCCGCACCTTTGAGTTCGTCTCAAGTCTACGGCGGATGAGTGTCGTGGTTAAACGGCTCAGGAGCACCGGTATGGAGATCTACGTTAAAGGGGCTCCAGAGGTGATGTTGGAAATCTGCGAGAAAGACTCTTGTTAGCTTCTAATTTTTCCCGAGATTCTGTTCACTGATTATTCTGCAGTTCCACAGGATTATGACGACCTGCTGTCCTACTATACAAGGCGTGGGTATCGTGTCATTGCAATGGCGGGCAAAAGTATTGAAAGTTTATCATGGCTGAAGGCTCAAAAGATGAAAAGGTTGGGTGCAAATTTTCATTGGCTTCATGGTTACTCAAGGTCTTTATAGGGAGCAAGCGGAATCGAATCTTCGTTTCCTCGGACTGATCATCTTTGAGAATAAGCTGAAGCCGGGGACAACTCCTGCCATCCAAACCCTCCGGGCAGCTCATCTGGCATGCAGGATGATTACTGGAGACAACCCGCTGACTGCTGTCAGCGTCGCACGAGAGTGCAGTTTGGTAAGCCAAGCTGCACATGTCTTCGCTCCTGCATTCGTCCACGGTGAGCAATCAATGTTGTCAGGTTTGTACTCATTGCGAGACCTTTTTAACCTCAGGAAATGCTAATACACCCATGTCGAAACTGGAGTGGTCCTCCATGGATGATCCCTCTTGGAAACTGGACGACTACAGCCTCAAACCTTTACCTCCACCTCCACACCTTACCGTAGCAGAACATGAAGTCGAGTATCAGGATTGTGCATTGGTCGTGACAGGTGATGTATTCAGATGGATGATCAACCACGGTCCTCTTGAAACTGTGCAGCGGGTGAGGCCATTTGGCCGAGCATCACATTATGTAGGCTGATGTTTGCCCTCAGATGCTTGTCAAAACCCAGATCTTTGCTCGAATGTCGCCAGATGAAAAGAACGAGGTTGTCGAAAGGCTGCAGGCCCTGGGTTATACCGTGCTAATGTGTGGAGACGGCGCGAATGATTGTGCAGCACTCAAGGCCGCAGACGTTGGTATTTCACTGTCTGAAGCGGAGGCGTCTGTTGCAGCCCCCTTCACCAGCAGGACACCCGATATCAGTTGTGTCATCGAGGTCATCAAGGAAGGAAGGGCCGCATTGGTTACCAGCTTTTCGTGTTTCAAATACATGTAATAGGGTTGTTTGTCCGCTTTTGCGAACCTACTGACATCTTGCAAGGGCGTTGTACTCTATGATCCAGTTCACGACGGTTACTCTGCTATACTCTTTCGCATCCTCCCTAGGAGATTTCCAGGTACTTTCCCGACAAACCAATTTGCCCCCGCTGAACGCGTTTCTTTAGTTCCTGTACATTGATCTCTTCATTATCATTCCCATTGCCGTTTCCAGTGAGTTCGGTAGATTTTACTTGAAGCAGTCCTAATTGGATTTAGTGGGACGGACTCTCCCGTATCCGCGAATATATCCCAAGCGCCCCACCGCTAGCCTGGTATCAAAGAAGGTCCTCGCCAGTCTGTTTGGGCAGATAATAATCACTAGCGGTGTTCAAATCTGGACGTTCTTCTGGGTCAAGCGTCAGGATTGGTAAGAAAGGCGTTCCATAGCACCGCCGAAGGCGACTGACCTGAGCTTGTCCGCAACAAGGTACCACACACCAGATGCAGATCCTTATGGCAATGGTGCTCATCTCAAGGCCACCAACTTTGAGAACTCGACATTGTTTCTAGTATCTTGTTTCCAGTATATTCTTGTTGCGGCCGTGTTTAGCATTGGCCCTCCTTACCGCAAGTCGATGTGGACAAACGGTCTGTACTTCGCCGTGACAATCACTGTGCAGTTCTAATTTGATGCTATTATGTAGGTTGGCTGATGGCATCAGTCACTGGTTTATCGCTCCTGAATTTGTTGGTGCTGTTACAACCTCCGAAACCCATTAGGTTGATTCTTGAGTTGATGCCTCTCCCGATATCTGGCAGAGCATGGCTAGGGGTATTTGCGCTCACCAATATTTTTGTTTCACTTGCTTTCGAGCAATGGGCCACCCAATTCATCTCACAGGTGATTGGCGTTTTGATGAACCTGCATCTGGAGAAGAAAAGATATCGCGAGGGGAGAGCGTACAAGGCTGTGGAGGGTGGAATGCAACGTTGAGTGTAAATACCTGTGCGGATATAGATATCATGATATTGCCTGTTGTCAATGAGAACGGGCGCTGCAACTTTATGATCCGGGACCGGGGAGTTTCCTATTTAGTCTGACTGATAGAAGGTGGCAATTGCAAGGACACCCTCCATTGTCTTTGCCTTCAACGCCCTGGTGGCATCATCTCGTACTATTCATTTCACCTTCAACTCCATCTTCTTGCTGGATTCGCTGAGGAACTAAGAGCGGGCCTCTTCACTCGTTTAAATCATCAATTTCTTTAGCAATAATGTTCTCCAAGCTTGCATTCTGTTCCTACCTCGCGTTGTTTTCGCTAGGCTTTGCCAATGCACTTCCATCTGGTGAAAACGGCGCTATCGTTCGTCGCCAAGTAGCAACTTCCTCTGGCCTTGCCATACCCCCTGCAGTCACCACAACGATGTCCATCCAAACGTGAGCCAAAGCTAGTCTTCTTCCAGTGGTCGTGAGGCTAATCCTCACAGTGCAAATGGTCCGATGAATGAGGTCTGCGTCCTCACATTCACCCCAGTTGGCAATCAAATCCAGGAGGTCCAGAATTGCACCATGTCGACGGGCGCGAATGTCGTATCTAGCATGGTTTTCAATTCAGTCTCTTCAGGCAGTGCTGCGCCTACTTCAACCGTGAGTCAACTGTCTCCTGCCAGCTGTCTCATCAAGATTCATGGAATTCATTTCTAGAGCGCTTCTATGTCTGCAACCCCTACCGTTCAAGCTGCGTTCTCCATGCCTGGGAGGTCATTACAGGTGTTACCGGTGGGACTTGGAGTGTTTGGGAGTATCACGGGTATCACCATCATTATCGTAGCCTTGGTTACTTTTGAGCGTGTTCGTTATCGCAGGGTAAGTCCTCCCATACACTATCTGCGACCGTTTACTGATCTGTTGTCACAGGTCTTCAGGGAGCGTAGACTAGCCGAGCAGGGTGCTATGATGGGTTACACGGGCAACTTAAATGATATTAAGGTCTAGGGTAGGGCGATTCTACAAATCCGTCACCTTGGTCTTTTTGTTTCATCATCAATCGGCGGCCATTATTCAGCTACAGTTATCAAGCTGTCAACGTTCTCCGTGCGTTGAAGATAGTAGCATCAGCACTGTAGTCCCTGGTGGCATCTCAGGCTGGTTCACATGCACTTACTTCGTGCAGAAACTTGAAAGGGATTTTACTGCAATGGGAAAATCTCTACTAGCAACAGCGCCGGCGCCAGCCCCCGACTCGTTTATTCCTGGCATGTTTTATGTCCATCGAATTTGAGTTTGCAAGGCCCAGACTCGTGTCAAAGTAAGACCAAACAGGTCTACGGGGAGAAAACAAAAGTGTGGCTCTTTTTGAGTCCAGCTCATCAACCACTGAGTCCAACAACTGGCATAAGATAATCAGGTCACATTAGATTTGAAATCTCATCCAAGATTGATCGCCCAAGTAGATTGCCTTTTCCCTTTCCTCCTTTGCCTTCGTTGCTGCAAGGAGATCTCAGATGCACCATCGCAATCCACGTCGCAGCTTCTGCAACAAAACGCCCTGGGTGCGCACCTAAATAGATTGTGAGAAGATCATTCCTGGATCACCCTCACCTTCCAGGACCCCATATCGGATTGGCCGCAATCGTGTCTGGCAAAGTGTCCCGTCACTTGCGAAGTGCTTTTCTGGTCTGAAAACATCAGGATCATCTTGTCCTTCTCTGGACATGTCCCTGAAAGAGGCGACTAAGTTACGTAAATCCAAGATTCGTCGCAAGATTGACGCGAACCATATGATATTAGGCAGAACGAGAGAAGGGCAAATATTCGAGATTGCAGTACTGGCCGTATTTTTCCTTCCATTCACTATATGTACGCCATGGACGCACTCTGTCAATGTCACCAATGTTCCCAAGGAATGGCAGTGATCATAGTCCTGGCGGAAGGGGAAGGCCCAGCTGACTTCCCTAACCGGGAGTCCAGGACTAGCGATACAATAGCAACAAGACAGTTACGGCGAGGCTATCATAGAGTAATAACATCTTCACACCGTGTACTGAATATGGTGCTGGGGTGGGTAACGGCGTAATTCGGAAAGCCAACCGTCGCATTCAGGCAGAGGAGCTTATTTGTACTCTCTTGAAGCAGCTAAAATGGCATGGGACGTCCGAGTCGTATCAAAGCTTTAAATTTGAAGGCCCCTGCCGAATAAAATACGATACAGTCACGATGCTAACCTTGAAAAGGTTCATAAGATATGTTCCTCCGAATACTAGTACGTACACTAGGAATAGATTGAGTCAGTACTTGAGTTATATCTCCTAAAGTATACACAGGCAGGTGTTGCACGCGTGGTGTGGGTCCGAAAACCAAGCGGAGACGCGGTCCCAGATGGCTGCAATTTAAACTGAAGCGAGGAAGTAGAGTATAGTCTGGGGGTCTTTCATTGTGAATGCCGTGCCTAGGTGTCCAGACTTGGTGTGCTCAGGGTTGTTCGCCGAGTAAGATCAGAATGATAACAGGGTAACCACTTCCCGAGCAATAGAGGAACGTGGGAGCGTAGGTGACTAAGCAGAGGTACTGTACAGTTGCTTCGAGTCTTGAACTTTAATCTTTGGTTACCCCAAGGAACAGCTATCAGCCTCCTCACCTTCGTCATGGCCCCCAAGCTCGTCCGTCTGCTCTCCTATTTTGTGCTTATCGTGCAGTTTTTGACCATCATATTAGGACCCCAACGAAATCAAGATCATCTACCTACGGGCAACAGGGGGTGAAGTTGGTGCATCTTCAGCACTTGCCCCGAAAATCGGTCCTCTCGGTCTGGTGTGTGTCTGGAGTTTGGTAGCAAATAATTCAGGAAGCTGAGGCATAAAACAGTCACCCAAAAAGGTTGGAGAAGATATCGCTAAAGCTACCTCTGCATGGAAGGGTCTACGTGTGACTGTCCAGCTTACCATCCAGAATCGGCAAGCAGCAGTCTCCGTCGTTCCTTCCGCTTCCTCCCTCGTCATCCGGGCACTAAAAGGTGCGCAGTTTTGTCTCTATTTCATCCCCGTCTAATATTGCTTATTCTAGAGCCTCCCCGTGACCGGAAGAAGGAGAAGAACATTAAGCACTCGGGCAATGTCACTCTTGACGAGATCTTTGAAATTGCCCGAACGATGAGGTCCAAGTCGCTAGCAAAGGACTTGGCTGGCGGTGCGAAGGAGATTCTCGGCACGGCCCAGAGTATTGGCTGCACAGTAGATGGCCAGCCCCCACACGATGTCATCGATGGTATCAACTCGGGGGATATCGAGGTGCCGGATGAATAAAAGATCAAACACAGGAACTAGTGTTTTGAGTATTTTTATATCACTCGCCATGGTTTTTTTTTTGACATTACTGCATACATTGATACATCCAAACACTCACATGTGCATTGCATCGGAGAAGAGGGTCGCCTGGCCCGGGTTCGACAGGCGGCCATGGCCAGAGAACAAAAAAGACAAATTTCAGATGCTAAGTGAGTCAAAGGTACGAACGGTTGTGACAATCGTGAGCATCGCATGCCGCAAGCACACTCAAAAATGCGACTGCTTTCAGCTTGGTCGAACAGGATTCTGTAGAACAGTTAGAGCGATGTAGGCTGAGTTTTAAACACGTGACTGACGCGTCGCGCTCGGGTTTTATTCATCGTCACCTATACTGAAATCCACCGTACCGCGCGATATCACTACCCTCGGGCCTCAATCTGTTAATTTTCGCCAATTGTAAGCGCAAATCCGACAACATCACGATTTGCCAACTCCCGTCAATTGTAACCGTCTTTCAATTACATCCCACACTATTACCCTCGTAGCCTGCGATGGCGACGACTTGGACATATTCGCCAACGACGATTCAGATACAAAAGATATCAAGTCGTCTGGTGGCGAACAGACTTTTCACGAGGTAGGAACATCATACCTAAATTGACCATCGCCTAACACTTTAATTATCACTACAGGACAACTATTTCATGCCTACGAACGACCACTGCGTTGACGTCCAACCCCAAGCACAACAACTATCGACATCATTAGTCCCCTTTCCCGCAGAATCTGGTACCACTTCTCCTCGTTGCTAAATTCCGGACAGCACTTACATATACTATTGGCATTTCTCTTCCTGGCTCCGCCGGCCTTCGAATCACGAACGCCTCGCTTCAGACGAACTTGGCCAACTCCATCCATAGTAATCCGTCCCTCCCAAGATGACCCGACGAGAATATTACGACGCTATCACGACCATCTCATGGCACGTATCACGATACTAACCATCAAGCAAGAACACTCAAGACAGCACACGAACGACGTTCGCCATAGCCCACGATTTTCAAAACACTTGAGACAATACCTATGACGCTACGATACCATCGAGACACATTATGACATTCACGCCACCGCGGTCCGCGATGCTATCAGGAAAGACCACTTCAGTCTTCACGACACTCACCACTGATGTCATCAAAAACGCTCCCCGTCATCGTCAGGAAACACCGTTTTCCCCAGCGAGACGTATCTTGACTCGCTTCGGAGAACCGAATGACCTCGTCGGATAGACAGTTCACTAAGCTTGTTTTATATATATATTACTTGTTTCCCTGACTTGCGCATTTTTGTATTTAATGATCCGTTTCGATGACGAGTTTTTTGCTTGCTCGCACATCCTTGGATTGAAAGTTGTGATAATCCAGAGTCCATATTCAGGAGGTAGTACACGAGAACATCCTTGATGCTCGCTCAGCCTCGCTGAGTCGGGAAGGACAGCATATCTATAGCTACAGAAATTTTAACTCGTTGATCTACCTACCATTTGAACTTTCGTCGTGGTGTCAATACTGTTCTGCCATAGCAAGAAAACATATATGTATTATTATTTTAATGTATTTGTACGGGCGCGCATTGAGAGTACGAGCGGGAAATTATCATGAAGTGATGACGTAGTGCAAATATAAGAGGTGAACAGCTTAATTAAGTTCACATATTTTCCATTAATCGACTGGACAAATACTGCGCATCAACCGAGTGCAGTAGTTTAAAAAACCGTTTCCAAGTCTTCTCTGTAGGGGCGGCCGTACTGTCAATCTCATTCATGACACGCGGATCCTGATACCTGCGCCCATACTTGCCGTAATGGCCGACAAGAGTGAGAACAGTCCGACACTCCTCTCCCCATTCGGAAGTGAGGTTCAGGACACGCCAAACATGTCGCTACGTAACAGAATGAATTAAGACCGCACTAGATCACGGACTGGAGACTCACTCTCTCAACCCTGGAGTTTGGTGCGCCATCCCAGTGTGATGGTGTTTTCCTATCTTCGTGTTCCTTAACTCTGTTTTCGACGTAATTGAAGGACCACAGGACGTCAGAAACGCGCTTTGGGCCTCCATGAGAGATGATCGACATGCATCGAGGCCATTCCTTGTCGCCCTCTATGTCCGATCGAATGAAATTGGCAATCGCATCGTCCCTCTCATCCGCTGTCTCAGCATGGCGCCCAGGAATTGGGGGCGATATTTCTCGTACACCGTCTCCATTAGATGAGGAGCTTTCTTGGTCTCCATGCCTCGACTGTCTCGCTCGATGTGGCGTGCAACTAGGAGAAGGAGTCTTCTGGACTGAACTTCGCGGTGCTTTATTTTGAGGTAATGAATGGCTTTGGGAGGGTCGTTTTCTCTTTTTGGGGCAGTAATCACTTTGTGACAACAAATCGATGCGCGTATCACGTGTGACGCCTGAATACATTGCCTGTCTCGACATTTGCTGTCGAGGGGGTGACACGGCATTATCGGAGTCAGAGCTAGACATCTGTGGCAGTTCAAGAGGAAGCCGGGGAGGTGGAGGTAATCGACCTTTTGGGACAGGCTAGGAAATGAAATCAGCGCATCTATTTGGCAGATCAGTGCGTCAAACTGTACGTACAGCTTCGACGACGACTTCAAGTGTGCGCTCTTTGCTCACACCAAGATTACACGATTCTGCTTCGAGGACGTTATCAGCATCCACACGCATGAAGAACTGGCGATATTTTCCACGAAGGGTGTACACCCTCGCAGGACCTGAGAAACAAAATTACAACTACGAATTACTAGTCAAGGGTCACATACCATCTATCCGTGACGGTCCAGCTTGCAAAGTTTCACAGACTTCTTTTGCATTTGCCCAGAAACCACTGTCTGGGTCTTCCCCTGGCCGAAGAACCACTTTGATCTCTGCAAGCTGGTGATCTGGGACTCCACTTCTGACATCCTCGATGAGGAGCGTCAACATCCGAAGAGGTCGCACTGGTCCTCCAGAGGGTGGAGGTACAGATCGTTCTTGTGTAGCTGCGGAAACGTTAGATCGGGGGGCAAGGCGAAGGCTACCAGCTTACAAAAAGTTGGTCGCGCAGTTTCTTGAGGAGATACTGCACTTGTGGAGCGTGAGCGTGAATCTAGGTTCGCTTCATAATCGCGACGATAATGTGCTCCTGGACGTGGGTAATGCATATTGGAAGGAGGCGGTTGAAGTTGGCGGCTAGAGGCTGAGGACTGAGCTAAAGAACCAGGGCCCTGAGCAGTGCGTTGCCCAGTTGATTTCTTATTCTGTTTATTCTTGGCAGGAGTGACAGGCCCGCCAATTTGGCCCGGGGCGCGATTACGACTTGAACCTATGTTATCGTATGCCCCCGGTACTACATGATACGGACTACGTGGACCGGACGCTATTGTGGAAGACGCGGCCGAGGAATGAGCTTCCGCAGGCGATGCAGCATTGCTGATACGATACATCGAGGAATACGGACCTCCACCAGTATATAGTGTGGGCTGTGTTAAGGGTTCTGGTGTGTGTGCTGGTGTGGGCTCGGGTACCTGAGAGAGTCTAAACCGGCTCGTCTGAGCGGAGTACTCCGGTTTTGCTCTCCTTTTCTTTTTCTTAGGTAGCGCCTGTCCTGGGAGAAATTGTATTGCATTTGGATTTGAGGGGAGGACAGCTTGGTAGGTGTTGACAGTTGCAATGGGGAGCACAGACGGCTGCCATGAGAATCCAACTGCCTGGCGAATCAATGGCGCTGGGGTACCATCTCTGGAAGATGTATCCGCATTACTTTCGACTTGTGCAGGGACTGCGAGGGTCCCATCGTCAGAATTTGGTGTGAAAGACCGTTTCTGTCGTTTCTGTAAGGTTGTATAGGATATGTGAGACGACTGCATGGCCATGACGAGTGGAAGAAAAGAAAAAACACGTGTAAGGAAGAGAATTATTTACTTACAGCAGCGGGGGAAGACTCTCTGCTGCTCCTAATAGCCTCATGTGATTGGTAAGTGTACAATTGATATTGACCAGGAGAGACTTGAGCACTCACGATGATGACGCATCGCGTCTACCGTATCCTATTTGTGCATCGTTGTCGCTGCCCATTCGCTGTATGAGTACTTTTACTGGTGAAAGGAAATGGTTCCAGGTAGAGAGACTGCCAACTGGTGAGACGAGGCAACCACCTCGCCGTTTAGCTGCTGTGGGTTACTGTGGGTCCCAAATGAAGATAAGCAAATTTAGTTGTGAAAGGGTTCATACAAGTGTGATCTAGTGTATACCCTTCTTAGCAGGAAGTGAGCGAAACTATGGATCACGCCAACTAGAATGGACCTACAAAACGAAATCGCAGGACAGGTTGAAGCAACAAGAAAGGAAACTCGGTACCAGTCACTTGTCCCAAACATGGAATCACCCCTGATTCATTACTTAGATATGATACTTAGTAGTCACCCTCATGCACCAACTTACGTGAAGACTGCTTATCCCCGTGTTATTAGCTCTGTCAATGTCCGAGGTAGACACGTTGTTTGTTGGTCAATGTATGTACTTTACATGATTCATATCATAAATTCCAGTGCACCAAAGCATACACGATATCGATATCGTTTGATTACGAAAACTGGTCAAGAAAATGGGGAATTTTTGTACAGAGCTGGCAAGCTTCAAGGGAATTATGGACTTGCGTAGATCCTCTTTGCATTTAAACTAAATATTGCGTCGATTGCGTCCTGGTCCACCGCAAGCTCTGCAAATGACTCGCGTACAAGCGCATACCAGTCCGCAGGGTTCAGGAGCGAGGGTGCAGCAAAGGAAGGCGAGGTTCCAAAAATAATACGTTCGTAGCCATACGCTTCCAGCACCGGACCAACTGCCGGATGTTCGTCACACTGTACCAATATATGAGAATATATGCGCAAAAACTTACTGAACATCTTGATTTTTCGTTTCCATTCACGATGTTGATCTATTTCTGAAGTCGGATCTGCGGGACCTGGTATGGTTTGATTCCACATGGGAGGCGTAAACTTTACATAGAGATTCGGAAACAATGACAAGGATGCAGTGTGTGCCTGGTAATTGCGATAACTTGGATCAGCAAGGAGCTTGACGATCGGCAGGCTCAGGTCATGGGGTGGCGGTAATATATTGGCTGGAATTGGGTCAGTTCCAAACACTCACCTTAAGGGTAAAAATAATGCTCACAAAGAACTATGGAGACCTTCCTGTCTCCGGGAAGTTCGGCCGTGGCTTTCATGAGAATGTCCTCGAACACTTCATACTTTGCGACATTCGACATTATGTCACTTTGAACGTCAATATCAACGAGACGGCTGTTTGAGAATGCCCATCTCAAAGTCTTGATAGCCTGAGATCTAGCTTCTGGTGCCTCATGCGAAGCTGAGTAGGAGGTGTAGAAAGACTGGGGAATTCCAGATGACTCTGAGTGATCTGGATAATCCGATGGGATGGCGCTAAGCTCGAAGGGAGTTGCCACGGAAAGTATGCGAACATTTTGCGTGAGAGAAGATTGCAACAGTCTTTCGTAACCAAGATAAGGAAATGCATAATTTTGTCAAAGTCAAAAGCTTACCCTTCTGGCATCGAAGGGTCGTTTAACAATAAAACCGCACCCGCGACCTCAGTGCCAGCCAGATCAAGACCAGCCCTTTCGAGTGCATCAGACCGCAGATGAGCGTCAATGACTTCGCCTGGAAAGAGCGCACTTGGAGTTGGAGGCAAAGGGAACATGTCAGAAGTCCCTGTGCTCGGTGGGCTGAACGCAGACAGAGGTAAACTCGGGAGGTTCTTCGGCCTGCGACGGCCACTTGCCAGACCAGGCGATGGAAGGGGTTGCGCGAAGCTCATGATGAGGAAGAAAAATTGAATGAAACAGGTCCTGTATATGTAGGTGCAGGGGGCACTGTCTAGTCCAGTGTCTGTAAGAGTTCAAGTTGATGTATCTGATTGCAACGATCAAAGCATGATTGATCTGAACCGTTGATTGATAATATTTGCATAATAACGAGTATAATCACTGATCGTAGTCTATTCCCACGCACGAATGCTTGTTCCAGACCACCGGCAAGTCCCCGCAAACAAACTACAAGTAAGATATGTTTCAGCTATGTGATACACTATTGTCATTAAATTCATCAAAACGCTTAGAATCTACCGGATGGACAGTAACCCTTGAGCGGATTCAAAGTATTTTAATAGCCAAGATTTCCTGCTCAGCGCTCGTGTCTGGACAAAATATGACCATCACTGGCAGTCATGGCGTATTAAGCAAACGATAACTGAAGGTGCGTTATCTTTGTCATAAAAAAGTCCAGTGTAAGATATGATACGCAACGGGTATATTTTGTTAGATCTTCATCGGGTCATATCCAGTGTCGTGGTGCAGTGGGCATTTCAGCCATACTTGACCGAGTGAGGCTGGTGATGTTCGGAGGACTGCGGCTGCATACATTCGTTTCATTTTTGCGCCTTTTTTGTGCCTTACAGAAATACTTGGCTTAATGGCCAAGTATTGATGTGACGGGTCAGAACTCACTGTATAACCATTTTCATCGACTTCTGCAGTAAAAAAATTGTCAAAAAGCGCAAGCTGACGTTCTTCGTGCAGACCTTATTCTAGGCCATTTTCGAATACCTCTTTCCGACCCATTATGCGACCCTGCTTGAATCCCGACTCTCGGCCTTCGCGGATGCCATATTGTCTACCTTCTTCGAACCCATCCTCCCTGCCGTCGTCATAGCCCTCCGCATACCCAGCATCCCAACCCTCGTTATGCCCGGTTACGAACCACTTCTTCCGACCATATATCGGACTTTCTTCTATTACTTTCTCCTTTGCTTGCTGCCTGCTAAGTTCAGTTTGAAACTTTCTTGCAGTATCCCGCGCTCGTGATGCGCTTTCATCGGCTTCATTTCTTTGCCTCTCTAAGACGCGGATGTCAGCCTGAAGTTTTGTGACCTGTTTTTCGAGGCTTTCGATGCGCATTTGATGTCGCCGCATCTCTTCGTTGGCCCGCTCAGCCTCGAGTTCTGCATAACGCCTGCCCGTTTCAGCGGCACTGACGCGCACAGCTAGCTCCCGCGCTCGGAGTTCTGCGAATTCTGCTTGAGATTCAGCCTGCTTTGCCCTGCGCATTTCCTGATCGAGCCTGTCCCCCGTCGACCGAAGGGTCGATCTAAGGTGCTGTGCTTGCTTTTCTTCTTCTGCCACCACCAGGTTCATCAATGTAGACGTAGAGTAGAAGGGTTCATGATATTGTGAGCTAGATGACTGTCTATGACTCTTCTTCCCGTCGGCGTTGTGGAGCGTGTTGATAACAGCAGGGTCTTTTAATAATTCTTTGAGGGGTGTAGAGGTCATTGTTGCTGCACGTATCTGTGCCATGACGTCAATTCTGTTATAGTCTGGTATTTTTCCTTTGCTGAGTAGTTGGGGAGAGGTGGGCAAGTTGACATCGCTGTCAAGGCCAGAGGTGAGATGCTCGTGAAAGCGAGACGGGGACATCGGTTTGTTGGCGCAATAAGAAATTGGTACAGCTTATAAGGAATATGGAATCTGTAGTGACACTGCGTTCATCTGTGCGCAGTTGCTGTGCCCAGGGTGGAATACGACACCACCCGTGGTGTGCACGTGTTGATTGACATGCTAGTTTGGTGATTGTGCATAGCAACACAATCTAGCGTTCTAAGCGCTGTATTACTTCCTTCGTATATGCGGGCAAAGTCCATGATGTAGGCGATTAACTGCGCGCGCGTAAGTGTACGGCTTTTTGACTGCATACCTCCTCGAGGCCATTATGATACAGCATCGTGGTGTTTACGTCAATTCAGAAAAAGGAAATAAGTTCCCATAGATCTGACATCGATCTCCTTGTGAACTCCGAAGCACTTTAAATTTGTAATAACTTACAGTAATTCGTTTGCATCTACCTCTTGCTCAAGTATTTCTTGGATAAACTCGCAGAATGTCTCTCAAAGCTGTAAGTTCGAGTCTTTTATTCATTTTTCTGTCCTTGACTTTCTGCGTGTAGATTGTAAAATGTGTGTGCACAGACATGTTTCGTTCTGCGCATTCTGTTAATCCTAGGGCATGAAACCTAGCCGTCATCTCCGGCGACACCCTCGTTTTGCGTGGACGTACAGGACCACAAGGGCAGAGTCCTAAGGAGAGGTATGCAAATCAGAGAAGTCCAATGGGAAAGCGACACGGTCTGACCCGCTACACTCCGCAGAATCCTACATCTTGCTGATGTCGTGGCTCCAAGAATGGGAAACCTGACTCGAGAGGACGAGGTGAGATACAGTTGCTGCGTTTATCGTTAGCACTGATAGAAGTTATTTCCAGCCATGGGCATTTGAGTCTCGTGATTTTCTTCGTGCATTGGCGGTAGGCAAAGAGATTTCATTTACTTCCACACATAGTTTTCCTTCCAATGACGATGTCACGCGTGACCTTGGCACTGCTGAGATCGGGGGTGTGGATGTTGCATCTGAGATGTTGAAGAACGGCTGGGCCAAAGTCAAGGAATCGAAACGGGACCCCACAGAGGACGATATACAAAAACGTGACATCGAAGCTGAAGCGAAGGCGGCTGGAAAAGGTCTATGGAATTCTCATGGTCCCCAGGTGCGTATTCTTGGTTGCCTTACAATTGCCCTCGCTTCTGTCATTTTCGCAGGCCCGCGTCGTACACCAAACAATGCCAACTGATTCGCAAGCGTTTGTTTCGGAGTGGAAGGGGAAGGCCATTGACGGTATGACGTCTTCTCACGACTGTATTACTTGGTTTAATTCATATTTTTAGCACTCGTGGAACAAGTGCGGGACGGCTCTACTCTCCGGGTCCGACTTTTCATGCCGGATGGCGAGCATCAAATAGTTAACATTGCGCTCGCTGGTGTTCGTTGTGCCAGGACATCCCCAAGGCAAGGAGAACCTTCAGAGCCTTGGGCAGAAGAAGTAAGTCAATTCACATGTCAAAATAACTTTGTTTGGATTATGGTCTGTAGGCGAAATTCTTCACGGAGTCCAGGCTGCTCCAGCGATCTGTACGGGTAATTATATTGTCATTGCCAACTTCAACAGCAACACCATTCCAAGCCGGAGCTAATAGTGCACCACCTCCGCCGGCATCGATATTTATTGGTACTGGTACGTCGTTTTCTGTGTCTGAGAGTATATTTGGCAATATCTGCTGCAGTCCTCCATCCCGCTGGCAATGTGGCTGAACACCTTGTTGCTGCTGGGCTCGCTCGTGTTGTCGATTGGCACGCCGGCATGCTGGCCGCAGGAGGAGGTATGGAGCGCCTACGTGCGGGTGAGAAAGTTGCAAAAGAAAAGCGAGCATGTCTGTATGCCAATGTGCCAACCGCGTCTGCATCGATTACCCAGTCAAATGGTACTACTAATGGAAATGCTCGCATCTTTGACGGAACTGTCACTCGAGTATGGAGTGGCGACCAAATATCTGTCATTGATAAGGAGAGCGGGAAGGAGCGTCGGTTGCAGCTCAGCTCAACAAAAGGACCCAAGTAAGCAGTATGTCTTAATAGTCGACGTCTTCTGATAGTTGTCAGACTCTCCGACCCTAAGCAGGCTTACTATGCTCAGGAAGCTCGTGAATTCCTTCGGAAGAAACTTATTGGCAAGCACGTCAAAGTTACGGTTGACTTCATTCGTCCTCGTGACGGCGAATATGAGGAGCGCGAATGCGCAACAGTCCGTTACGGAAACCAAATCTCGTAAGCAAGATACATATTAGCGTTTTGTATTCACCCACATTTCCAATTAAGCAACGTGGCAGAGCAGTTGGTAGAAAAAGGCCTTGCCTCCGTTGTCCGCCATCGACGTGATGATGAGGACCGTTCCTCTGACTATGACAAATTGATGGCTGCAGAGCAAGTGTAAGACAATGTCATTCCCACTTGTGTTAGATATTACTAACTCTTGAATTCAGCGCTGTTGCTGAGACCCGTGGTATCCACTCTGGTAAAGAACAGCCAGCTGTAAAGCCCCCCGTTAACATTTCAGAGGTATGTATATCTTTTAGTATCCGCTCCTTGGAGGTCCAGACTTGTTTTCTAGTCTGGCGCACGAGCCACCACTTTCGTTAATGGCTTCAAGAGGCAAGGGAAGATATCCGCTGTCGTCGAATATGTTGCCTCTGGGTCTCGGTTTAAGTATGGTTTAGCACTACGTTGTGACGAATAGTTCTGAAATGTTTTTTTCCCAAGGCTCTTTCTCCCAAAAGATAACCAGTCGCTCACCTTGGTCCTGAATGGTAAGACCGACAAAAACCGGTTTCCAGACTATGCCTCATTATTTCTCAGGCATTCGAGCACCCCGAACAGCACGTAATCCTTCCGAGAGGAGTGAACCATTTGGTCAGGAGGCTGCAGACTTCGCAACTCGCCGGTACATGCAACGCGATGTGGAATTTGAAGTGGACACCGTCGACAAATCTGGCGGTTTCATCGGAACGTTGTGGCTGAAGAGTGAAAACGTCGCAATTTCTCTAGTTAAGGAGGGCCTTGCGTCCGTACACTCCTTCTCTGCCGAGGGCTTGTCCTGGTCCACACAGTTGTACGCAGCCGAAGTGAGCGCTGATTGGATCCTTGAGTATTAAACTTTTTGATGTCATCATTTTAGGCAGAAGCCAAGCAAGCACAAAAAAACGTAAGCCGCATTGATGCACTTCCTTTCGATGTTTGATCATTTTCAAAGTTGTGGGAGAACTATGATGAGGAGGCAGAGAAGGCTGCTCAGGCTCCCCCTGCCGAAGACGATCCTGGACGTTTAAAGTCGGAATATCTGGATGTTATTATCAGTGATGTCCGGGCAGAAAATGGCTTCAGTTTCTCAGTACAAATATTAAACACTGAGGGTAAGCTTTCCACAGAATTGCCCGAATGGCTATTTCTCACGGTGTACGTCAGGGATCGCGACCTTAGAAAAGCTGATGCGCGATTTTTCTCTACATCATCGTGTCGCACATCCAGCACCATCAAATTTTACGCCGAAGGCAGGAGATTTAGTATCTGCTAAGTTTTCGGACGGGTCATGGTACCGTGCCAGGATTCGCCGTACATCCTCAGTCAAGAAGGAGGCTGAAGTAACATTCATCGATTATGGAAACCAAGACACTGTCTCGTTTTCAAATATCCGTCCTCTCGATCCCAAATTCCGCTCCCTACCCGGCCAAGCGCAAGATGCTCGCCTAAGGTAATGGTACAGTTTGCATTGTCGTTGCTTATAACACTTATGGTGTTGTGCATAGCTTTGTCAGGCTCGTGGCGTCCGAAAGCGAGTATCACGCAGATGCTGTTCAGCGCTTCCGTCAATTGTGCGAGGGTCGCAAACTTGTCGCTAACATTGACTACAAGGAAGGCGCTACGCTTCATCTGCGTCTCATTGATCCCAATGACCCCGTCGCTACGCAAGATCCTTTAGCTTGCATTAACGCTGACCTACTCCGTGAGGGTCTGGCATCAATTGACCGCAAGGGATGCAAATATATTGGCGCATACCCACACATCATGAGTAAACTGCAAACTGCAGTTGCTGAAGCGAAGCGCGATCGTGCTGGGATGTTTGAGTTCGGTGATGTTGAGGAGGACGAGTAATCACTGTGGTGACCACGATTTATGTAATTTCGGGGAAGACTTAGTCAGCTAGTAATAATGCACGCATATCATCTCACTTTCATCATGTTCACGCTTGCAAGACGACGCGACTGCAAGGATGGAACCTATGAGCCAGCTCGGTGCCAGTACTTCACTTCCTCAACTAAACAAAGGCCCGCAACTTCTCTCAGGCTCGGGCAGTTTCCAGAGCTACTTATCTTCTGCTGGTTCATATCACCGTCACGCTAGGGGGGCGAGTGTCCATCTTGAGAACCAATCGTCAGTTCATACCGACAAGAGCCAATCACCCTACCTTCAAAGCGTAGTAGAAGCTTCTTCCCATCCAGGACCGTTGTCTGGTGTTGTGCGATTCATAACCAACTTCCCTGGATTCCTGCTTGAGGACCTACACCGCTTCCGCTATGGACACCTAGGAAGGCTGCGGATTTTGTTGTCTCTGTACTGCTGCGTGAGCGTTATCTTCCTCTCTTTCAAAATGCATAGCGCCTTGCGAGGTGCTGTTGCAGCTGGCCGCCCACACATAGGTCATAGCCCAAGTACGTTGCTAAGGATATTGGAATACTCGTTTTCTAAGATGCAGACGTGCTAGACTTGGACACATTGTACCGTGTTTCCCCTCTCTCGAATGTATCGGTTCAGCAGCGAATGTCCATTGCGTTTCCCAATGCGTCCCCTGGTCATCTGGAGACCTTCATCCTGGCTACTCGTTCGTCAGTGGACAGTGACCTTACCGCTTGCCTGTGGACTGAAGAGGACAGGCTGCACGACACCATTAGCCAACTCACGGCCTGGTCGGGTGATTTGGACTCAGTCTTTTGTTATGGAGCGCCATCGTTTACGGTTTTACAGGTCCTATGTCTCTGGTCGTCGTGACGTCGGCTCCAACGGACCATCTAACCATGCTGAAAAGGTTTCCAGAGCTTATGAGCCTCTCTGATACGCACGCCTCATTCGGTCTGTCGTTGCACGTACTCCAAGTTACATCTTCTTTTGGAGGATCTGCCAATGCCTATTTAAACGTTGCTCGTCTCTTGGCGCCTACTGATCGAGTTGTCCTGTTCCCGGATGGTTTGCCTTTGCACCTCTCGAGTAATTTGTATAGCTCCATCATTCGGTCGACGTCTCCGCAGCCTCTTGTACTAGGCAACAATAGCCGTAGGACATATCCATTCGCCCCAATGTCCCCTGTTGTTCTTCCTAAGGACTACCCTACATGGTGTACCGAGCGTTTCTCTCTTTTCCAATCTCGATCACTCGACTGGGAAGACTGTCTCTGGCAACTGTGGCTTGAAAGTGCTGGTGAGGTCAAGTCTACGGCGGTGGATAGCTGGCCAGTGGTGGAAACCGGCAAATCCAACAACTCCGCCTTATCCGTACGTTGCACGACTTAGACACCGGCTCCCTCGCTTGTGTCTTACGAATTACGATTACTTCAGGCAAAGTTAAGACGACGTTGGACTGTCAAATATCGCGCAGAAGCCTGTGCTCTTGCTATGAAACGAGCGCAGATATTAGAAGTAACCAGTTATGCAGACAAGAAGGCGTTCCAATGGCGCAAGAAATTTTGTCACGAGGTGAGGTCTTGATTTCCTCGAACCGTGGTCTGGAATCGGTTGCTGAAAAGTTCAAGTCTCTGGGTACTTCCCCGGCAAACGCGGCTGCCTAATCAACGGACTTGAAGGCTATTTCAGCTTTATGTTTTAAATTGAAGATGCATTAGTGTATGATACTTGGGGATGTTAGACAGACATCAAAATTTATGTCATCCAATCACTGTAACACGCAAAAAGATACCCGTGCAGGAGTCATTCGGGGTGAGCTGCAAACCGAGCGGTGCATATTCGTCCGGAAGCGATCCTCAGTCTCGGTGTCCGATCTACCTCGTTGAACTCTTATTCAAAGTTGATCAAAGTATTACCAAAATTCATTTCTACACTCGTGTGCCAATGGTCTATTCGAAGTAACATTAATGCACACCCACTGTCCCATGCGTCAATTAAAAGCTGTGGTTAATGTAGACAAACAGTGTAACTAAACGTGTAACTCGTGTTCGAGCAGAACCAAGGTGGCCAGGACACCTCAGTTGAGATGAACCTTGCATCATTCGACACAACACAAAGCTAAAGGCATGACCAAACACTGCCAACAAATCGATGGATATGCATGTAGACATATATTGCAGGAAGATGACGCAGCCTCTCACACTGATACACTAGATCATGTTGGCAGCAAGCCGTCGAGCCTCCACCTCTTCATCATCTTCCATTTCATCATCTGGCCCCTCTTGGTACGTGGCCCATATAGCATCCATCTGTGGCGCGTCCATCAACAACTCCAAAAGATCCTTTGCAAGCCCTGTGTCACCATTAGCCAGAAACATGAACAATATGTAATTAGCAGCATACCGGCAACTCTTTCCAGGTCCTGTTTGTCCTCCTCTTGCACCCACTCGGGCACATCAGCAAAACTGAGACGTCCCATGGTAACAACAAAAAGATGTACAAGACCGTTGTAGTGCCGTGGTGCGCGCTCTAGACGCTCTTGCAATCTAAGGGGAGTTTCGGCTTTAAACATCAAATGGTGCAAGAGAAAGGTCGTTTGGTTCATCCGTCGAATCACTCTGAATAAACAATATAAATGTGGCCAGTTTAAGGCAGAAAATTCGTTACCTTGAGGCAGCCTGTGGGTCAGACTCCATTGCCTCATCGCCTTGCCACACAGGTGCTGACAGCCCGTATAAATAAACAATGATCGACGGTATCACGGATTGCGACTCGATGATGATCGTGTGAGCAGTTGGATGAGCCTCGGAGAGCATAGCAAAAAATGTCAGTATGTGTCGCTTGATCCCATCGGCCTGTCATAGTGTAAGTAGGGTCAGATGAGGATTATACTACCGCATGTACCTCGTTGCTCGTTCTACTAGAATCGATCAAGAGAGAGCACATTCGCTCGACATGAGGGAGCCGAGTATAGTCTTGTGATTGCCCCTCGGTGTCAGGAAATGATAAAAGAGGTTGGAAAAGGACGGGTCCTAAGCGTGATTTGAAAAAGACGGGGGATTATGGTAGGAAGGTCATGCTCACGAGTTGAGAGCTGAGAAAGCATGCGTGTACTTTGAAAAAGAAACCACATCGGGCGAGAGGAATCCAAGAGTATCGATAGTACACAAGGGCAACGAGGTACGAAGGCTAGCCTATAGCGTTCGTCAGCCATGATTGACTATGGAATGCGACATCTTCACATATTTTCCAAGTCACTCGGAGTATTCCAACACAAGGCTTCCAGTAGTGCGAGTGACTCCTTGGCAAGTAGACCTAGTTCCGATTTCTCGGTATCGTGAATTACTAGTTTACTGATGTGGTCCTGAATAACAGAACATATCACGGCGAGAATACGAGGAACTCTGTCCTCTGCAGGGTCGGTGGCATTATACACCAAGAGATATGGATGAGGTGCTGGAAGAGTGTACGTTATTTGAGTCAGCTGGCTAAAAAGGGCAGCTAAAGACGTTATCTGCAGGAGACATCCATGATTCATGAATAGATCTCAATACATATGAAATACATACATGATTAGAGACGGCCAGTATATCTGCCATTTCTATTAGAGCGCCACAAATCGCTTGGGCTGCGAGTTCCCAAGCTTGATGCTCCTGAGTGGGTACATTGGCGAGAACGTCCAGTATACGAGAACATGCGGAAGTATATGCATCCGATTTGGGTCCGATTGGCAGTGAAACTCCCAACAAGGCATGAAATGTAGTCATCCTGCAAGTCGGTTCCATGTGCATTAGGACAAGCCGATGCAACTATTCCGGTTGTTACAGAAAGCCGGGGCACAATGGGTGGTATACACTTACATCCAAAATCCACCTGTGAGGATCCACCTCTTCGGATTCCTCATCCACAGTGACATGCATCTGTTGCTCCTGAGCTCCGTCGGTCATCTCAACGTCATCCTGCGAATAGAAGTTTGTATCCACATTAGAGTCGACCATGAAGACGTCCCCTTGCGCCGTCGCGCCAGAACCATCATCCCGAGCCGCCTGAAACAAATTCGTCTGCGTGCCTTCAAAATGAAACGACGCTGGCGGAGGACCACTGTCGAATTGCACTTGCGACGGACCCCTTTGGTTTGAGTCAGTTGCCTTGCCTTTGCCTTTGCTGAAATCTGTCACCCGCGACTTTGTAGGGGTTGTAGAAAGTTGGAATCCAGATGGTAGATTTCGGGTTTCAACCACTGGTTTCCTCGTACGTTCATTATTTACAATTTCGCCAAAGCGAGGTCGAGTAGGGCTCTCCTGTATGATTCTCGAAGGGCCTGCCACAGCTCCGCTTTCATCCCACCTTTGCATCTGCGAAGACAAAGGTACAGGCGTCGCAAGAGGTGCTATTGGGGCTTTCTTGGAGCGCGCAGACCATGGAGACTTTCGGGTAGATGTCTCGATTTCATGTTGCTATCAAATACAGCCTTAGCTTGTAGGGGAGCAGATAAAACTCATCCATACCTTGAAAGTAAATAACGTCTTCAGGCGTTCTGCCTCCTCTTTCATTTCTTTTTGCATCTGTGTTTGTTTGGCCTCCGACTCCTCCTTGGCCGCCCTGAGCTTCGCTGTTTGCGCTGCATGGTCTTGAGCTATCTAATCAGGCTTTCAGTTGTCCTCAGGTGACTGATTGATGGCAAGTTACCTTCTCGATATTTTTCCTTAGTATGACAACTTCCCCTTCTTTGGCGAGTTTAGCAGAAAGCGTGTGTCGCAACTCTTCCTGCAGCCTCACTTTCTCTTTGTGAAGCTAGGCATGTATTATTGTTACCACATCCATTACTCATTTAGAATGCAAGGCATCGAACCTCGTTCTTTTGCTTTCGCAAGCAAGCCAGATGCCTTTCCAATGCTATAAGAGATGGGTTCACATTAGATGTAGCTTGAGGGGCCGACGTGATAGACTGTTGCGGCAGTTCAGCTTTGTACGTGTCATCACCGCACACCGTGATGTCCGGTAAATTTTCGGTATCATCAGGAGAGCGACTGAAGGCACTGAAATCCTGCGGAGGACCGGTGTCCAGTTTTTGTCGCTTCGCTGGGGGTGGCAGGTCCTCTACGTCGAGATCATCAACACGTCTGGACTCCTCAAACCTGGACTCCTCCTTGTCAAGGATGGCCAGCGTTTGATCATCCAAGACGAAGTCATCGGGGAAGTCTTCATCAGAGTCGAACATGAATAAAGGACTCTGGACCTTGTCCTCGTCCTCATCGAGTGGACGCGTTGAAGGTGAGAAAGACTTGCCATTTCAAGTGACACATCACCAAACAGACGCGACGCGTTGGCGACGCGCTCTTGACTCACTGCAAATAACTACACGGTGCACCACAGACCCCATTGATTATCGTCTCCTAGTTACAGGGCTTATTTGACTGGCCACCTGTCGTAATACACTGGCAGACATGTCTTGGAAAGCAAGCTTTCAGCAGGGTGTTTCTAACTTCAGGAGAAATAAACATGCTGAAGCCCTTGTGCTCTTCGATGAAGTACGTCTGTCAATCGCATCCTCTGCCCAGTTGGCCATACTAATCCAGAGTGAAGTCCATTTCACTCGGCTGTGATTCCTTCATTGTTTATGATTCTCGTGCCGCCGTGCATGAAAAGCTCGGGAACAATAAAGCTGCTCTTCTTGACGCGAAGAAAGTTGTGGATACTGCTCCAGATCGTTGGCAAGGCTATGCTCGCTCAGCACGTCTATTTCATGCGCTTAACAAGGACGAGGCGGCCATCAAAATGATTGACCTTGCTCTCGAGCGTATCAAATCAGACGATGCACAGCGCCATCAGGAACTCAATGCACTGAAGTCACAAGCAACCAATGCCTTGAAGGCCGCTGACGAAAGAAGGAGAGCGCGCATGGCAAAGACAGCATATCACATCGGCAAATTACCTGTGGAAATCTTTGCAGAGATCCTTGGCCTCGTGGTTGCTACAGACCATGCACATATTCTCAAGTTGTCGCATGTCTGCAAACATTGGCGCGGCATAGCTATTAAGACTCCTTCACTTTGGCAGACGCTGGTGGTTTCGAAGAACCGTCCCACTAGAAAGGTACGATTATGGATGGAACGAGCTCGGACACGCATATCGGATCTCTCTTTTCACCATAATATATCGGAGATGGATTGGCCATCCATCCTCTCAGAACTCTCGTCATTGTCTTGGTGTGGCCTTCGTTCTCTCGCAGCACCTGGAAGCTTGTTCTCCCAACTCTACGATCTGCTCCACCGATTATCCAAGACAGAAGTCATTTCGCGTCTCGAACATCTGGATGTCACAGGGTGTCCGGGTTTTGAGAGATTCTTGCCAGACTTCGAAGCCTCTCACCTAAATACTCTGAAAGTTGCCAAATTGACCCCTTCAATGGGCGGGCTGTGGAGTCGGGTGCGTCAGCTCAGAACCATGACCGTCGAGGCAGGATGGATAGAGATACTCCCGGCCCTGACGGCCAATCAGTCGCTGGAGAATATTGTGCTCTCTGATTTGGTCTTAATCTCAATACAGTCAGGTGGCGATGACTGCGTGGAACTTTCCAACCTCCAATGCTTAAAACTCTTCAACATTGCATCAGTCTCTACGATTACTCGCATCATCGTCGCACCTAATCTGCAAGTCCTGCACTTGTTCAGCATTAGCCATTCGTCTGACGTGCTAGAATTTGCGCACGCCGATTCTCTTCGGGCTTTGAGGGAGCTCCGGATTGGAAGCTGCACTACTACTGCCAGATCGCTGAATGTCATCATTGCCGGAGCGCCTTTATTGGAAACCCTCCAAATATCAGGCATACAGGGGGTCGTTAATGAAGTACTCAACTTCATTTGCGGTACACATCCGAACGATCAGGATCAAGACGTGTGCACCTTCTTGAGACATGTCGACCTCTCTAGCAGTGGTGATCTACTCACCAGAAATGTTTATTCCCTTGTCAAGACCCGCCTGCGCACTGATCAGCCCGCTATTGAAGATGGGGGTCAGCCTGGGTGCAGAGCCGAAATCGAGTCCTTGCGATTAGATGATTGCCCTCTTATGGAAGCGGAGATGCTACCATGGTTCAGAGAAAAAGTGAAAGTGTTTAGCTGCGTGTATATGACGAAAAAAGAAGGCAAACAAAGGCGTTGATAAGCCTGCACCGGTACCAAAATTTAAAGTGACTTCATTTACTTTGCAACAAGAAACTACTTTAGATACTAATGATGGTCTGCAGCTACCTTGAAACCCATTTCAAGGCTCGAGAAGTGATACAAGCAATTCTCTTGGGGTGGAAGCACGCAGTGGGCGCGATGAAATGTGTCTATCGTGTATTCACGGAGTACTCCGAATGTATATACTGGGGATCGGGTTAGAGATTTATAATGCTTTTCAAGGATCAATAGACTGGACATCAAACACTTGACTGCATTGAAACATACGTGAGATCTAACTCCGTGATACTGACGAATGTCAGATAATAAATTATAGAAACTAGACAGAAAAACAAAAGGTATGTAGCAAGAAACGCGGCTACTATGTGGTTTCAGCCCATGTGATGAGGCTTACAGATGGTAGCCACGGGCTGAGCGAACAGCCAAGGGAACCATCGGGTCAGCTTCACAGTGCATGCGAGAATGACAGGGCCGAATGCCACTGAGGCGGTATGAAACTCGTTCACGAACTGTCGCTACATAAGAGCGCCGCCGCCGATGCATCGATCTAGGCTGTGGATGAGGCTTGATGCGACAAACGATATAGTTAGTGCTATCCGACATAGCGGATCTTGATTGCACCAGCCCTGTTGCGCACTTCGAGAGCTAAACCACACGTTAACGTTTGTGCAATATCTGTATCTTGTGGATCGAACCTTTCATTTCTTCTGCTTCCTCTCTCTGCTCGTAGTCCAGGACCAAACGTTTGAGATGTTGCTGCTCTACCTTGTCTTGAAGTTGTGCAGATCGCGTGTGTACGGCGAGAGCCGATTCAGCTGGTACAAGAAGATGGCGACCCTAACATTTCGTCGTCGGTGAGGACAGAATAGTCAAGCTCAAGACAAAGATACGCACCTGCTGCTTACTGCCACGTTTAGTAATGACAGTGAACTGCATCACGGCGTCACCGTCTGGCTTGTTGTCGCCGCCAGCATCGACATCACCTTCGTCAGCCCTTTTCTTGCGCAAATTAGGGGCGAGAACAGCGGAATCCCACCAAGCTGTCTTCTTGTCAACCTTCCTAGACTCGGCTGAAGAATCTGTAATAATCTTAGCAAGCTCTTTCTCAAATTCGGCTTCAGCTTCCTCAGATGGTCCGAGATGTTCCTGTGTGGATAGGACGATAACAGGGTCAGGTGACGCTGTTCGATCTTCGTTCTAGGAGGCACGGTCAAATCTTGGTTATTGCACAGATAGGATTCAGCCAAGCTATCGCTTACCGAAGATTCCTGACCAGTCGTATCATCATCGTCTTCGTCTTGTTGTTGAGGCCGTTCGCCTTCTTCGTCGCTGTCTTCGCCACTATCCTCACCGGTTGATACTTATTTCGAAGTGTGAGTTGAGTGCCCACGACAAAAAGTGATAAACAAACGTACAACCAGCGTTCTGCAAAGCGGCATTGAACATGTCATCGACAGCTACAGCGGCTTCCTCTATTGTCTTATACATCGTCATCTTGGGCCGGATAGCCTGCAAGCGAATTGAGATCAAGTGTGCTGTTCGAAGCAGACTCGCTCACCTCGATCGAATCAGAGAGCATAAAGTCAACATCCATGGGCAGATCTTCTTTGCATAAGACATAGTACTGCAAAGCCATGGTGTAAGCATCGACGCAGATGAGATGTCTAGCAACTTTTACCTGGAAGAAAACAAGGAAATTATCAAGTTTCCGCTTCTGAGTCCCTCGGTCGAAGCACATGCCAACAGTGTCGAGCAGGACGCAAACGAGACGAACGCGGAAAAAATCGTTAGGCATATCCAGTGGGCAAGGCTGACGGGGCAATGGATGTCCTTCAGCTGTGAAAAGGAATTAGTTGAGGCATGCAAGTCGTGTCATGCACTGACGATGTCCGAATGTGACCAGCGACCACAATGTATCAAACACTAGGATCGACCCCAACAGCCGGTAGATATAGAGTTCACCCAGATATTTTATGGCAGCCACACGGCGTTGGTTCGTGCTATAGACGTTCTGTTCCAAGCCTCTTCGAATGTCTTCGAGAACCTGGTCCACAACCGATATCGCGAAAGCAGGGTGATAACGTTGGAGGTCGTATGTCAGCATGGCCAACAAATTGACGTTGCTATATTTGATTTTCCAAGGTTTGGTGAAAACTTTATGCAGAGCGCGTTGAACAATTGGATCATCCCAATCAAGCTTGCGAAGGAGCTTAAGGACCTTATCAATGGTCTTTTTAGCTAGAACGTCATATATAAGATGGCGGATAAAAAGTTCCAAAGGAGTGCGCTCCTTCTGTTGTCTCGGCGTTCGTTCAGGTGGGTTACACTGCATCATTTGTGTGAGTAAGGTTGATCGGCCAAGTGCAACGAACTGACCTGATAATATGCGTTTTCAAGTAGAAGGATTTGTCTTTGATCAAAGTGTTGCATGCTCTGCTTACGCCTCATGAGCTCAAGCTGCAACAAGAACATTTAGTGACTGTCAGCATGTATGCATTGTAAACTGACCATAGTACCAAACCTCTCCCTAGTCTCATCACTGCGCAATAAAAAGCGACCGCACCCTTCAAGGAGAATCGAGATGTTTTCGACGTTCGTTCCAGAAAAATCGTCCAAGCATACTTTGAACATGTGGAGGACAAGATGAGAAGGCACAACACGAAACTTCGTCAAGCTGGACAAATATAAGATATTCTTTCCATCTTAATTAGCATAGGGGGAATAGTGCGAGCAGATCATTGGTTTACCTTCAAGCGAACCTCTGCAAACTCTTTCACCACATTTTTCTTTCGTTGCAAATAGCGGAATTCTTCATCCAGCTTGAAAAGTAGCTGTGACGTAGGACCTTATCGAGCTGAGATAAAGCTCACCAGTGCCACAAGCTCGGCACCAATGTCCGGCATATATCTGTTCAAAGTTGCTACAAACCTTGCATAATGAGGAAGCAAGTCGGTTCGATTCTTTGGCACAGCACCCAAGAACTACGGAACTATCAGTCAATCCGGACTGGGAACAGGCCTGACTGCTGACCTTTATAAGTCTCTTCCTAGCCGCCTTGGAGTTCAAAAACGCGAAATCGATTGCAGCTTGGTCAATCATGGTACGATTTGTTGCATCGGGGAGGCGTGCAAGTAAAGCAGTAAGTAGCTGTGATGGTCCCTGAGGAGCGAGTTGAGGAGACAACGGGGGACTTGAGGCCTTAGTCGGGGACGTCGGTGTCGGTGTGATTGTACTAAACAGTATAAGTGACCCTGCAATCTTGAATTGACTAATAGATAGACAGACACACCCATCGGGTTCTTCCTCGGGCATTTCTGTGGTACCGTCGTTTCCTCCATTTACTCGATCACCGTCCAGTTTCAGACCTTCCAATTCCTCTTCTAGTTTCTTTGCTTCAGCATCTGCTTTCTCCTTCTCCACCTTTTCTCTCTCTTCTGCGATCTCCTGATCTTCTTTCTCGTCGCTCTCAATGCCCAAAACTGACTTTGGCACGAAGTCCTTTAGGTCCTGGATGTCCTCAAAGAAGCGACGCTCTTCCTCATCCTCCCATTTACCCCCAGAATTCGCGAGAGGATCTTCTTCATCGCCTGAGACGGCATTTCCTCCAATTTGGATGGAATCCGACTTCTGGGACGCGGTGGGTAATGACGGCATAGGCAGGTACAGCAGTTCCGAGAGTCTGAGAACAGATACATCAACTGTTGTAACCGCTGGAAGATTAGTTCCAAACCGACGTTTGGCAGCTTGCAAGTAGTTTCTCGTAGCCTTTTGTCATCTTCTCATACGCTTGTTGCCTATCCTCAAAGATCTCCCCAGAACGGATATATGCTTCATGATTCCTACGATCTTGATCTTGCAGGCGCTGCGAAAATGGAGGATTATTTTTTCTGGAGAAAACTTGCATATATTTATATAGAAACATACCTTGTGCTCTATGGTGAGTTTCTTGGAAACGCTGTCAAAATAACCTTCGCACATGCGCTTGAATCGATCACGAATTTCCTGTTCAACAAGTTCCTCGTCCTCATGCAAGAGCGTCGGAAATTCCCCTTGGGTGGCGTTCGTAGTTGTTGAAGACAAGGTTCCAGGTTCTGTTTCAGCGGATATCTGCTTGCTCTGAGGAGGTGTCAGGCCCAAATAAGGTCTTGAGTATGACTTCAGAAATATGGAGAGAAGGGGTAGAGATGACAAGGTTGGATCATTAGACAACTTGACAGACATCAGTTATGCCCTAAGCAGTAGTTCATATAGAACCTACCAATTCCCTCAACACTTTCATTATCCATTCACCGCCACTTCGTCTCTGTCCATCAGTAATAATTCCGACTAATGCGAGCTCAGAACAGACACGGAGAAGGGGACGCTGTCGAGAAACTCGGGCAGAATCCTCCTTCTCCCGCTGTTCAGGAGGTAACGCAGAGAGGGCTGCACGAGAAGGGGCAGCAAGTGCGGTAGACAATGATGAAATGAAGGAAGGAGTAAATGCTGCAGGGAAACGTCTGTGGAGAGCTGAAATAACCTAAAATTGTAGAGCGGTCAATGTATGCGGTGCCCATGGAAGTTCCTTCTCACCTCGACAGCACTCCAAATATCCTTCTCCGTCTTGCATCTCATGATTCCTTCTAGTGCGGCCCCAGCTATCTCGTCGATGTACTTTTCCAGCGACAACGAGTCTATGTCCTTGAGGATTTGGTCACGATGATCAGCACCAAGAGACTGGCGCATGCGCTTGATCAAACCAGTGTGGCGCTTCAAGGTGGAGTCCAGCCTAGACAACTCTACTGTTGTTCATAAAATCATAATTAGATGCCTCCGGATATGAACGATCACCATGACTCACCTTGGATGTCCATGGCAGCGTTCAGCTCCCTAAGCTTTACACGCTTAGCGTGGCGTACCTTCTCTTCGTCGACTCTAAGGAGTGCTGAATCCATTACTTGCCAAGAATACGCTGTAAGGGCGAACAGAGTACAGCACTGAAGTCTGAGCTCCGGAAGCAGCAACGAACTCCTGATTGCCTTTTGAGGACTGAGTACTTTCTCATTGGCTGGTTGTGCTTACTAGTAGGCCACATGCAGGTTCCTCACGGAGAGTCTTTCACCTATTACTTCTTAGGCAACAGCGGCCAATGTGCTAATAACTTCTAGTAATAATGCCCAAAGAACGTTATAGAGGGGTTAGCTTCTTTTATTGTAGCCTCGAAGGAACTGTAATATGGAGGCCTAATAATAAGGTCATGCTGCGGCGTCGGTACTTCTAGTAAAGGTCGCATTCTAGCGGCGGCCACAAGCTGACGCCCAGGCCTCAGGGACCAACGGACTTACACCGTCATGATGCTCAAAAATCACTAGTGCCAAATTTTTGACTAGAAGCGTCCGCCGCTCCGCGGACCAGTGGAGTACAATTTTCATTACGCCGACGCTAGGTCATGCAACGCGATCAGATTGAATTTCACCCTCATTCACCCCCACTTCCATGTAAACAGTTGGCAATCACGATACATGACATTGGAGACTCTGAATCAACAGCTATGTGATGAAAGCAACGTGAAATACAATGCAACGAAAACAACAGTGACTGCCGGCATAAATAGTACATTATAGGAAAAGGCTATGAACGAGACCTGAGAGAGGGGGGATGGAATAAATGACGCACAGGGGAAACAACAAATAGCGTTAAAGCATAAAATAACTCGGGGAATATCGGTATGACACGTAATGCGTGGATGGGATCGCATGATGGATGTGTCGGAACGACGTGAAAAGATAACGTACGACATGACTCTGACGTGCGCCCCGGTCTCCCAACAAGGGTTCCAATGGGGGCGTGAAGGCCTTTGAAGGTAGATAACAGCCTGTCGCGGTCTCAGCCAGACCGCGTGGCATCCTCAGCCTCAGCTCCGACAAGGGAGGGGAAAGAAACACCGTCAGTGCCACGTCGACGTCGTCTGTCCTCACCAGAACCACGGGTTGGTGGGTGTCGCGGAACAGGATTACCAATGTTTCCGGTATTGAGATACCTATAGTGACCTGCGCCGGTGCTGACACCAGGAGGGTACAACGTGCCACGATTGTACGAGCTGCGCTCCTTCCTCCGGATATGTGTAGGCTTTGGGAACTCCTCCGGAAGTCCCTGATTCGGCCCGGGATCGGAGAAGAATATCTTTGGACGCCATTCCTCACGTTCATCCATGATGCAGGAGTTCTTAAATTTCTCCACGAGGGCTTCCTTTCCCCTATCATAGGACTCGACTTAGTAGTGTCAAAGAAAGCGGAGCGAGACGTACTGATAGTTCGCATAGCTCATCTGAAGTACCTTCTCGCTCGAGTATATGTTCCTAATGATAAGGTCAGCACATGTCATTCGCCGCATGGTACACATCTTACCACTTCTCATTTAGACGTGCCTTCGCGAAACGTAACAAATCCTGCACCGATATGAAATTGACGAAGGCGTAACCAACGTTGCATCCTGTACTCACTGTATCAGTATCCGCTGAAACTGTTAAAACCGCAAACACCATACCGTTCTGGAAATCCATCCTCAGGTACAGAAAATCGATTCTCCGAGGACATACTTTGTTGATGTACGTGATAAGTTCCTTGTCTGTCATTTTGTTCGGAATATTTTTAACCATCACGGTGGTCCGCGTATCGACACCGAGCTCGATTTTTGTGATGTCCAATTGATTGCCCTCGGGCGGAGCGCGAGATGAGGAATGGGCCAGCGATGGGGGGCGCGTGACAACAGCGCCTGGCTGAAGCGGAGCAGAAGATGGAGGATATGGGAAGGGATATTCCGCTACCGGGTGCGATGGCTGCGGATAATAAGGCGAGGATGTGTACATGGTCCATGGTTCTAGAACACCGTGCGACTGGAAGGTCACCCAACCACCGCTCATGGCATCCCAATATACGGGTGGAGCCGACATGGGAGATTGGGGAGGAGCAGGATGCATCGCCATAGTGATAGGGTTTGGGACCGGAGGTGATGTTACCCAAGGTGGTTGGTTCATATCGAATTGAGCACCATGATAATACTCCGTCGTGTAATATGTCGCTAGATGTGGTGCCGTGCCCGTCGCTGCTACAGTTAAGCCGGCAGTATCATCGACTTCTTGCTCGTGATCATACATGCTATGCTTCCGGTGATCTGCATCAAATAACTTCTGATGAGAATGGCCGCGAGTAGAATCGAATAGGTGATTGGAACTGCGCCTGTCGTACTGTCCCTGAGGGACGGAATTATCAACGATGTTGATGTCAGTGGATTCACCGCGGCTATGAGAATGATGAACGGGATGAATGTCGTGAGGTCCTGCAGTGGATCTCCTTCTGTCTTTTAACGCTTGACTACCAGCGATATTGTCACGGGAATCGAAAGCGGGTTGCTCACGCTCTGGATGATACCCGCTTGCACCGACGTCATTCAAGACGGGAAACGGAATTGCAGCTGGATTGGACGTGGCTTGTGACTGCGATAAATAAGTAGTCGCCGTGGGTGTCTTCGGCTCCGCGGCATGTTCGCCCCCGATTTCGCATTCTCTATTAAATGACGAAACCTTCTGGGCTTCTGCGGAATGATCACGTAAAGATGCCTTGCTGAAAAGACGAAGTTTCATGCTATCCACAACACGTTCGTCCAGCTCTTCCCAAGCAGCATCCGCATCTCGGACGTCAAAATATTCTGCTTGAAAAATCTAGGTCGTTTAACAGGTTAATGACTTGTCAATTACGGGAAGGGTGACGTCGGAAACTGAGTATCCGAAAGGGAAGCCCGTACGGTAGTAGGCCAAAAGTGCACGCTACGGGCTAATCGTAGCAAGTGGATAACGGAACACAGACAAGGATGGGCAAACGGTGAGAGACTTGCCTGAGTCGAGGTCTCGATGTCTTCGTTAATGCAGTTGAAGGCCTTGACGTCCCCATATTTTTCCAATACACTCTTGATTTTGACCGGAATAGCAAAATGCCTCTGGGTTCGAGAAGCAGAAAAATCGGGAGTGGGTGAAGTATCATTAACAGATATGCAGAACGCGCCTTCTGTTTGTGTCATAAAAACGGGAGACAATGTGCCCAAAAGCTTACCGCAAGCATTATATTAGCAAACTACAGACATCAATGACAAGATGGCCTTACCTCTGCACAATGACCAGTTTCTGCAAGACAGCACTTTAACGCCTCTTGCCAAGCAACACCAGTAGCTTGCGCACTCGGGATAGTTTTACCACCATCTTGCATCCGTTTAGACGCCCTTGACTCGATGATACGCTTGGCGCGTTCAGCATCGCGGACGTCATAAAATGCGACTATAAAATCTCGATTTTCCGGACTCCTACGGAAAATGTTTTGGATCGGTTTTGGTGGAAAGCGGCGCGCGGAACGCGCCCTGGGGCTAGTGATGGTGGGAGATGAAAGACTCTTGAAATATTGAGCAATTACATCCTCGGATATATCACTGGGTGCATTTCCGATCTACATGAAGCTTAGCGTGGCTCTCAACCAATCTAAAAAGTCCTTACGATCAGAAACCTGCTGTGCTGATTGCTTTCGGGACCAGGATCAGCGAGGGTGAGACCCTTCAGATCTGCAATGGGAATATTGAAATCTGTGGATTCATGATCGGTACTATCGCTTTGAAGGGATGAAGATGGCGTGAGAGGTGGCGTGAGGTAATGACTTGTTGCTGAAGGCTTCCTGGAATAAGTCTTTGAACGACTGGTATCTTTGGTAGTAGGGGGCTGCGGGGGTATTGGAGAAGCCGAATTACGCAAGTTTGATGATTGCGGGGGAGCCACGTGGCGAGATGTAACCATCTCTCGCGGACTTGGTCTGTACCAAGGGGTGAGCGATATTGAAATAATGATGACCGGCTTAGGAAAGTTCTCGGCTCACCGTAAATTGGGAAGGGAAGGCGATGGCTGGAGTCGCGGGGGTCTAGTTGAGCACTCTCTTGTAGTGCGCTCGAAGAGAGACATGGTGGAGGTGGTGAGGAGGACTGGAAAGGTTGTTTTCGTGTGGAGATAGACGTTTATAAGAAATGTAAACGAGAAGCTGATTGAAAAGGAAGAATCGGAGAAAGGAGAACTTGAAAGGCGAAATTGATATAACGACTTGCTCAGATTGACGTACAGAGAATCATTATAAGACGTCGAAGGGAGAAGGCTCGTGGAGTCGCCGTGAAGGGCTCACGCGGGAGATGATGGAAAAAAAGAAGGAAGCGCTTGACCAGACCTGGTCAAATCTTGTAGTCTCCACGAGGAATTGAAAGCGCTGCAACGTTGCAAGTTTTGTATTTGAAGGAATAGCAAAAAAGAAATAACGAAAATCCGGAATGCAGGGTAAAGAGTTTCCAGGATGGCACAGCAAATGAGATGGGACAATCACCAAAAATTGCAAAACAGCCCTCTACGGGAGAAGGCGTCAATAAAGATCCTCCAGCGACCGAAGATCACTTCTCTGTCAGGACAAGAAGAAGAAAAAAAAGATATCACAGACGATCCACTGCGGCGCATTTCCTTCTTAGATTTCAAAAAGCTTGATCATGATGAGCGCTTGTGCCATCTCCTCGAGCTCGATTTTGACAAAAATTTTGATTAGATCGCGTATTACATCTAAAAGTTTGGTGAACCGCGCGTGGAATGTCCAAGTGAAAGAAAGTTTCAACTTGTTTGGCTGCAAATCGTGAGACTTTTCATTAGGATCCCCGGTGGCCAAGCCACTTACGATATACCTCCGGAGACTTGGTTATTCCACTAGTCAGACCGTCAAACATCAAAATATTAGATCAGGAAGGCGATCCTCTTCAAATCGTCACTTCCATCACCCCAAAAACCGAGTTTCAAGTTTTGAGTTATCAACCCCGCGGAGGACACCGTATGCTTCGGCGACTATATCACGTTTCAAGTCCGCGTTCAGTAGTCCAAGCCGTGTTCTTGACGCCCTACTAGCTTTCACGCGTGGGCGGCCCTGCCTGCTTCACGACCCTGACTCCCACGAGATACTTTTTAAGCTTAATATTGGTTGGTCAGGAGGCTTGTTGCTGAAGCGCTGGGGAACTGCACCATGAATTTGGAAACTCGCCGGCTACAGAACTGCTCCAGAGCAACCACAAGTCATATCGGCCAGATGCGGGCGTTCTTTTTCGACAGCGAGATCAAGATTTGAACGAATTTCCATCGGAGGCCAGCTTCGCGGCCGGTATCGTTTGTTAACGGTGTGATCCGAGACGTTAAAACCCTGTGCTCTACGTTCAATTTGGCCGTTCAGCCCTTTGTTCTGAAGGAATTACAGTGCTTGTTAGTGAGAATTTTCACGCGACACAAAATCGTACACGTACATCTGATCGTGGCCTCCTCAGTTCTTCGTGCTACCAAACGTTTAATGGCATTGTGTCTTGCGAGCCGAATCCTGATTTCGCTCTGAGCTTGTCTGAGCTCTTTCTGAGTTCAGAACATTTCACAAAACCAGACTGCTTAGCAACCGCGTTCATTAATCACTTGTCTTCCCATTTCTGTCAACTGTGAATGTGATTTTGTAAGGGCAACACAGACTCCTCTAGTCCGACCAATACAAGGAAGATCCACAGACGTTCAAGTTCGCTAAAGAGAATAACATGTGAGTTACTTCATTGTTATTCATGTTTCATAGACGATATCCTTTGTTATTTTGCAGTGCTCTGACTGGTTCACCTATGCATTTGTTGCCAAGGCGGCCGCCCAAAGCTCTTGCAACTTCGTTTCATTGCACGCAGCCCTTTCATCAACCAATGATTCCGCAGTCTACCACTGGTACGTCGTGGGCGACGGGGTCCCTTAACTTACTCGCTCACCCCCGATTTTCGCAATCGGCATTTTCCTATTATTAATCTTCCATCTCTCGGGCGTAAATCAAATCAACGTATTCTAACGATATGCGGGATAGGTGGCAAACACCGATACGATTGCGTCAGTTCTGCGAGCTTCGCGATATCGAATAACAATGTCATGCCTGCACTTGTGCGTGTGTCGGTCGAGGTAAGCGGGGCATAGCACTTGTGCCTGGACGCATTGCATGAAACTCATACATGAAATGATCTGCTCCTAACTTACGATACACCCTGGAATCTTACTAGTACGACCCGTGCGGTCGCATGTTCTGATACACCTTTGTCGCCAAATAGTAGCTGACGCTTCAAATCATCTATGCATATACCTGGGAGGGGTTTTTGATAAGGTTCAGTGACGGATCAGGATTCAGTTGCTGTGTATCTACGTTCCGACACGTACTAACGTTTCGAAAGTTACGAATCGTTGGCTTGAGTACAACAAACTATCCATAATGGTATACCTTGTCAACTTCGCGAACAAGCTAGTACTAGCTCTGCTGCTGCTAGTCACTAGTGCATAGAGAATCCGAGAAGATGATCGGATCTTCGACTAGAAGTAGGACTTCTGGATGTTATAATGGTGCCGTCTCGCACGGATCTGAATCATCTACGTTGCGATCGTTCGAGAGTCTGATCAAATGACTCTCGGAAGCAAGACTTGTTCTCCTGTATGGTTTATGATATCGAGCTTGCAAACTTCCGGAAGACTCCACGCTGACAACGTGGAAATATTTTACCACGGCAATTCTATCTACGCCGCCGCGTTTGACTTGGCAAAACGGTGAACAGCACGACCGCGCTTCCTGAGATCGTACCTTTACCATTACCGTAGCCTAGGACTTGAACGACTACGTCAAGATGCCACTCTACCAAATGTTCTGCATCGCCAGTCATTTTAGGGAATACGTGAGTCGCATTTTACATTTCATGAAATTAGCATCTCATGACTATGAAATAGAAACACATAAAAGACCTGGTGACCATGTCTGCAATGCATGTAATGAACGAAGGCGGCGTAGTGCGAAATATCCAGTTCAACGGAACACAGACGCTTCCTGAACGAATGCGGCGCCATAAACAGTATTACACCATCGGAGAGTAAGTCTCAAGTACTTTATGTTGAGCTCATGGTGACCTTGCCGTTTTACCAGTTATTGGACGATGCATTTTGACACTTCGCCTCGCACACTACGTACACTGGCTGGAATGATGCGCCGAGATCATCGCGTCATAAGGTGGACGATGTTGAAGTTGGGTGAGAAGGCGGAAAATGTGGTCACTTCACCTGAGCAGACGGTGGAACGCCATTTACCAACATCACCGAGCAAAACCAACTCTCATTGGTCCTCGTGACGCATTTCTTTATATCTTATTCGCCTTCTGGTCTAGAACACTTTGTAGAGTCGATTTTGTGTTATTGAAGACTCTAACCCAGCCAACGACGGGCAAGCTCTCAAGTGGTTTGCTGTTCTACCCACTTTACCACCCCCCACAGGTCGTTCACTACCTGTACACCTTGGAGATTTTCACCCTCCTCCTTGTGTTCACCGTCACCTTCTGGACCGGCCCTGCGCAACAGCAGGGCATGCATTCCAGCAGCTCGAGCGCCATGATAGTCACTAAAAGAAATCCGAAACGACGTGACTTTGTGAACATTAGGCCATACCTTACAAGTTCATCTCCTACGTGAACACCGTCCTGCATTTCCATCGGGACTAACTCAGACCGCATGCTGAACGCAAGACGGAATATTTTGGCATTCGGTTTCTCTATTCCCACAGCCTCGCTGAGAAGAATCGAACCGAGATACGGAGCAATTTCAAGATCCTTCAACACAGATACTGCATGGCAAGTTAGCTAACGCGGAAATGAAACTTCCAGAAGACATACGCATACGCGTGTCCGTGTTGCTAATCAACGCTGTACGAATCTTCATTTGATGCAGTCGCCTCACTACGTAGCATGCAGAAGAAGCATGGCCATGAGCACGAGCTGTCGAAGAGGGGCCCGATGATGTACATACGTACAGGGAGGGAGTCGTGGAAGAGTTTGTATCCCTGTCGAGAACTGAATCTTTCCATAAGACTGGGAACGATTTGCGGCAATGAAGAGTCTACGGCTAGAAGGTGGTTATTAGACTTCGACAAGGACGTTGACTGGGCATAGAACCTTGTGGGTCGGCACCAGCTCCGATGGCTGTCCGCTTGATCACTTCAGACCACCATCCTTCAGCGCCAGAATCCCCCTGATATGTGGGGTTTTCTTTTTGTACCTGTGATAGCGCTGAGGGACCTGAGCCCAAGGACTTGTCTGGCAGAAGGTTATTGTTCACATACCAACTTTAAAAGACCGTTTGAGTCGCCCTGGCTCAAGTACACCAAGATATGGTGCAAATGTCTGTGAATACTGGGCATAAATTGGTAACCTGGGCGTTACGAGCGTGTGCAACGCATCAAAGGTCACCAGCCTGATGGTCATCTTGCTATCGTAGTAGCATAAAGCAATTAATGAAATTTAGAGAAACAGAGTTGGCTTTTATATATGGGTGTACCAGTGTGGGATGCAGTAACCGATGCAGCACTGCCAGTTGCAGCTGTAGTACGACAGCTGGGAATGCTTACTATGGCTTAGGGCAACTTTTCGTTCTCTCCTTGGTCACTTACTTAAATCCTCAAATCTCTCAATCTCTGGCCTGACTAGAGTTTACATCCATCGAGTTGTTGTTGGCCAGAGCTGAGTGTTCGGGTTCTGATCAATCGCCACGAGTCGCTTTCAGGCTCCACTAGGGTCCACTGCTCATCCACGCAGCAGGCGTCAACATCGAGGCAGGACCCCGTTCCCTTTTTTCCCCAACGCTCATCATGTCGGAGGCGCTTGGTGTCGATGCTCAGTCTCTAAGAAGAACTCAGTCGACTGGCGATATCCATCCACCGCCCAGAGCCCGCCTTTCAACGTCACATCATCACTCCGAACAGGACGGAAGGAATTTCAACGTTAGTTCGTCACCAATTGCAGAAGGGACCACCGAAGAGTGAGTAGTACACTGCCCAGCATGAAAGTCCCTTTGATCGATGTTCATCTGCGCTGTAGTACTCCCCGTGACCCCTGGTTTACACCCAACACATCCCCTACAGGGCAACAACAAAGTAGAAGATCCTCCACTTCCACTTCTCAAGCACACCTTTCCTTAATCCCCAAAATCAAAGCATTCTTTGGGATTGGTCCTGATGCATCAAGAACACGTAAAGCTCTTGTATCAGTTGTGTGGGCTCTGGCGTATGGTTTCTTTCAAGTCTGTCGACTTTCTCCGACTCGAGTACTGCACTGAATTATGTTGTTTAGATTGGGGCTATCATCGCCGTACTGGCTGTGGCCTCTGTAGTTGCCAGCCCGACGGAGGCAAATGTCCATCAGATCGATGCTTGTGGGCGACCGCTCGTTGCCTGGAATTGCATTTGGATAGTGAAAGTCTGTTTGTCAACCACCCTGGCGTATTGGAATTTTATTAGAGTCCGAAATGTGTGAGTTGCATGGATCCTGTCCATTTGGTGCCTGATAGAACGGAAACAGGGAGCGTACAGGGAGACAAGGTGATGCTGAGTCTGGCGATCGTTCTCGAACATCCAATGATGGCGGATCTCGTCGTAATGAACCCCCGAATCGTCGTCGACAAAGAGATCCTCGTAGACGAACCAGGAACGCAAGTTCCAGTGCTACAAATCAGGAAGAGCCAACACCACCGTATTCTTATCTTTACGCGCGGTATGCATCAGCTTCTTTTGCAAACATGTAAAAATGATAATAATCTTCGTGCCAGCTTGTCACTCCTTTCATCCATGCTTACTCTGACATGGTTTCTAACCGCACACATTTTGGAATACACATCTGTCGATTCATGCCGACTTTCTTCGCCTCTTGTTTGGTGGCTTACTTTTGGGATTTTGTGCACAATGTATTTCCTGGTTCTCGAGGTCTTGGTTTTCGGTTTTCTTGTTTTCATGGTTTTGCCTTTCATTATGGTGAGCTCAGCTTCTCTTCGTCCTGTCCATGTACCGATAGGCATTCTGCAGCTTTTCTACAGTATTATTCTACTATGCCTTGGTCGTCACCCACTCCAGAATCCTCACTATATCAAGCCCGAAATCGATAAGCTGCCCAAATCCACCGTTGAACGTATCCCTCTAGTCATCTACATCCCTCCTCCACCAGAAGACGATGGAAAGGCACAACCGATTTCTTTGCCAAAACCTGTGCACAGCTATCCACCTAGAGCACCAGCTTCGCGAACGCCAAGGAGGCGATTTGCATTCTTTCACCGTAGACTCAAGAAGTCCGAACAAGGCGTTGAGATCCTTGACGGCAAACAGAGCACGAAGTCGGAGGTCAAAGATCCAGAAACTTGGGAAGATAACTGGGAACAATGCGAATATCCCTTTGTCCGATTGGAGGGCAACCGAGCTGCCTGCGCCATCTGTTTGATGGACTTCGAGGAGCCAAAGAGACTTTCCAGTGCTACAGAATCAAGCACGACAGATAAGGATGAAGAACAAGCTCCAGTTACGTCCGCCGAAGACAACCTGCCCCGCCAGCGTGAGGAGGAAGATGAAATACCGGTGGAACGTATCACTGAAGAAGAAAGAAGTGGCCTTCCTCACCTTGAAGATGCGGGAGTCGGTCCTCAGCCTCTTCGACTGCTTGCTTGCGGTCACGTCTTCCATGTACGCTTATTCAGTCTGACCTCACTTCTTTGTAACTAACCTGTCGTCATGACAGAAAACATGCATCGACCCTTGGTTAACTGACGTATCAGGCCGATGTCCGGTGTGTCAGCGACCTGTCGAATTGGATGACATGGACCCGAAGAAGTCTAGGCGAAGACGTCGCTCATGACCACATACGTGTTCCGCTTTCCTCGAATATAATGGTTTCGGTTTGTGGGTGATGAACTACTACAGTAGGAACCGATGTACAACATACATTGATATTGCATATTCATTGGACGATATTCTGCAAGGCGCTTACAGCTTACATAATACAATCCTGACATTATGCCAAGAATTGCTTGCACACCAGCTGACTAACGCCAGTGACAAATGTTAAGTTCGACGTCAGGACATAGGGTGAATAAAAGGCTTCTTCGCCTTTTCCATTCAATCATGTAGAATTCCCTGCGACAATATGTCCGATTCCTACAGTCAAGAGAACTCATACCAGAGGCACGCGACCGAAAAATCAGAGGCTGCCATGCATCGTCATGCATCAATAGCGCCAATCACAACCCCTGTCGTACCTGACGCCGAGGACAAACCATTTTCACATGGCCTTTTCGACAACGATCCAGCGACAACTGCTGCAAGAAATGGCTGGTTAAAGATTAGCATCTTTGGTGTACTGGTTCTTTTCGTTATGATCTGGGGCGTTCTACCCATCTATTGGGCTGCTCTTGGTCGGTCGTACAATAATGTTCACAACCTATCCGGATATGTGGTGGTAAGGCGTCTTTACATCACGACTTGGCGCTTCCTGATATTTGTACCTGCAGGACTTTGATGGAGGCGAAATTGGGCAAGCAGTAACGCAGGCCTTCAAGAACATAACCGGTCCGCAACAAATGTCTTGGCTGATACTGGATGCGGCGCAGTTTCCTGGTGGGCCAGATGAGGTGACCCAGGCTCTGCTTGATCATAGATGCTGGGCGGCTGTCACTGGTGCGTACTATTTCTAAGTCCAGTTCGTAATCTCATTACTAAGCGAGAACTAGTCAATCCCCAGGCTTCAACTAACTTGAATGCCTCGATTCATGCAGCCAATGCATCGTATAACACAACTAAAGCCGTGAGCGCATACCTTGCCAGTGGTCGCAATGAGAACATATAGTCAGTTTTTCCCTCCCTTGCGCATGATCCACATCTCATTGCATCATGCTTACAGTCGAGGCACCATCATCCCACAAGCAAGTCACAGATTCTACTAGGCATCCCAACAAATTCACTGACAAGTGATATGCTTCAACAGGTCATCTCAATATTGACCAACATATCACATACATTTTCACTCTCCTTCTCTCAACTTTTAGCGTCGAGGTCAGATATCTCGACACTTCTCCAAACTGCGCCTCTACTGGTAATTCAACCACTGGCCTTTACCGTTAATGATTTAAGACCGTTCAATGTCCCTGTGTACGCACTTTCGTGATGCTCGTCATCTCAAGTTGATGAGTTATATAGGGCGTCTGCGGTAGACTATGTTGGACTTATCTACCTCCTGATTTTGGCGGTACGTTCACAACTTTCAAAGTTGATAAGAATGTGTCTAATTCTCCCATGTCTAGTTCGTGTTGATGGTACGACATTTACGATGGTTCTGGACAATGTTCACTGATGTGGCGTGATGATCAGAACCAACTTTTGGCGGCTCGCATTGAATCAGGCTTTGAGAAGCGTTTGAGGTTGCGCCCTCTCATCCTTATTCGCCTGCTATGGCCGATCACTCTCTACTTCATTGTCTCAGTATGGTGTTCTACTCATTTCCTGATGATTGACTAAGGTATATCATTTATAGCTAATGTATTCTTTGTTAAGTTTGGCGTTCGGAGTACCATTTGGTAGGAAGTGAGTGTCATATTTTTGATGTAGAATTGCAATCTGACCTTTGTCTCTTTCTAAGATTTGGGCACGCAGGCTTTTTCATCTACTGGATGATGTCGTGGTGTGGCATGTCTGCCTTGTGAGTTTTCAGCAATGATGAAGCGATCCACATGCTCACCAGTGATTAGGGGCCTCGCTCTCGAATCTATGATCACCCTCCTCACCATAAAGTTCATTCCAATATTTCTTATCCTGTGGATTATATGTCTGTTTTTTTCTCTCATCTCGATGCTCTTCGCTGACTCACGCCGGATGATACAGCTAATGTATCCGTAGCCTTTTATCCGATAGAAGTGTTGCCGGCCGTCTTTCGCTATGGCTTTGCGATGCCGTTCTACAATGTTTCAAGCACAGCTCGGACGATTATTTTCGACACTAAGAATCAGAGTATGTACCCTCAGCCTATCTATGTTGAATGTTTTTGTTAAACGAGCACTTATCACAGTCGGACTGAATTTCGGTGTCCAGTTCTCGTGGATTCTAATCTCTTGTATAACTCTTCCAATATTTCAATGGCTCGTCAGACGACGACAAATCAAGGCTTGGGAAGCATCCCAAAGAGCTGCGCGAGAGAAGGCATAACGCGTGCTTCATATCTGCATTCTTTGTTTCGGCGACTCAAACTCTGGCTAGGAGGTGGACAGCTCTGTGCTGGGCTAGTAATATATAGTAACGGCACATATCCGCAAAGTATACTGCATTCAAAGTACCATACAGTTAAAGCACTCTACATTTGAGGTATTCTACATCCAAAGTACTCTACATTCTACTACACCAGTTTGATGCACTCGTATAATTACAGAGTACAGAGATATCATTGAAATCGAGGTCGGTCTCCGCCTTCTACTACTTAATATTTATAGTATTCATAGAACGCAAGGTCGTCCGAGGGCAGACTATTTTCGGTCGTAAGTTAGTATTCTGATCAAAATATCAACCTCAAGCTAGCGGGACCCACCAAAAGTTGATGCATTATGAGCAAGTCTACTGTACAACGATGCGCTAGACTTATTTGTGCGGATCGTCAGTCACGTGCTTGGAAAGTTAACAAGAATTCCATGATGGTTGAATGACGTCATCCGACTTCCGAGACTTCCGCTCTGGAGTCAGTCCGTGCTTGTCATCCGACATTCCGAACGTATCAGACGAAGTTCCGCTCACAGTTTTAAGGACGGCTACTCAGAGCTATGTTCATTTTAACTTTTCCTCTCAAATATCTCAACCCATACCAGTACTTTGATCGCTAATCGCTCTACCATGTTCAAAAACTTTACAAAGAAAATTGTCGACTCATTATTGGGCTCATACGACGAGGCCGAGGTTCAGTTTCTGGATATACAAATGGTGGGTCGTCATATGTTCGCCGATCGCAGCCTTCTCATGCTCAGCTGTGGCTAGGCTGACATCGAGTCTGATGGTGCCTACATTCGTCCTGACATTGATAGTCACTGGGCGTTTGCAATGGCAGACACAATCCAAGTTTTGGGTTGTGTCTGTATCTGGTGTAGGAGAAATAGCGAATCGGTGAGCACTTTTTTCATCAGACATGCCTGAGACATATTGATGTTTGTGCAGGACGGAGACTCGCAGGTGGAAAGAGGACAACCAAGTCAATCTCTACACCCTCGCATCCCCCCACGGAAGGTGTGCGATTCGCCAATAGCTACGACAAGTGAGGTTTTGGAGGTGTTGTATCCTCCATCACATCTTGACACCCCTACGGCTCTCGACCCTGAGGCTAGTCCTCCCGCTTACGAGCTGCGACCCACAGTACCTCCAAATACTCCGCAAGACCAACTGCTCCCGATTTCTTTCCGAGACGGCAGGGGTCTCGTCCCTTTTACCCCTTGTCCTCCGCAAGTCACTCCTTCCATGGATGCTGTGTCATCTTACCACTTGTCCGATACTCCTCTTGACGTCGCCGTTCCAAGCTCACAATCTCCTCGTCAACCATCAACAGGGATTGTGCGACAACCAATCACTGGCTGTTCACTGGAGTCTCATAAAGAAGTTGATAATGTTGAGCCTCCGGCATACAGTCGGTTCGATTCTTCACGGCCCCGGTTCCCAGCTGCTTCTGACATCCTGGGACCATACCCGCATATCTCGATGCTTTCCCCGAATCTTGGGTGATCTAGGGGGGTTTGATATTATATTGTTCTGGAACGAGGATTTGTGTAATCTTGATGTATCAAAAACATATCACATGTATCCCTAGATCTGCAATGCTATGTATGTCATTGTAGACTGGTCATCGTTGGCTTAGTCATAGATGCTAGTGAACACAGTTTGAATCACGCGAAATATGACGAATTTGGAAGCAACTTATTTCACAACAGGAGACAACTCAAGTAAGTACTCATTAACATTCCTGAGACTAATTATTACAATATTTCGCATAAGTCGCATATCGTAGGGTACTGTTGAGAATATCATATTTCACCATATTTTGGGTCAGTTCCACCTGTATTCGGGTGAATTCTACCATAAATTATAATATTTTACACTATCCTGACCATGTCCAGTTTTCACAGCCGCGCGTGGGATAGTCAGCGTCTGCATATAAGTATAACTTGCGAATTCTGATAGGTTCACGGAATCGTGTCCTCCCGAATTCACTCTGTGATACCAACGCACAATGTCATGTCGTATTGGCTCTGTCAGGCGAATGGCTACACTACATAGACCTTCGTTAACAGGGAAAAGGTGTGCTAGTCACATCGGACATGATTCAATTCGTTAACGCGAAATTCCAGTCCTACAGGTATGCATCTGATACGTTTCTTCCCATGCATGCCTAACGCATGGTGTCTCCGTCAGCCATTGTTATGTTGAACATGGGAGGACCTTCGACAGTTCGTGAAATTTCATCTTGTCTCAATTTCTCTCATACCATGTCATACCACTCTCTCACAGGTACCAGAGACCTATGACTTCCTCAAAAATCTGTTCATGGATGGCGACCTCATTCCGTTACCTTTTCAACGCGTTATAGCTCCTCTCATTGCCAAGCGGCGGACTCCTCAAATCGAGAAGCAGTATGCTGACATTGGCGGTGGTTCTCCCATTCTCAAGTATACAGAGATGCAAGGAGCTGGTATGTGTGAACTACTGGATGAGCTGCACCCAGAAACTGCTCCGCACAAACCTTATGTCGCGTTTCGTTATGCGAACCCGCTGACACAGGAGACCGCACAGAGGATCAAGGCAGATGGTGTGAAGAGGGCAATTGCATTTACACAGTATCCACAGTACAGCTGTAGTACGACTGGAAGCAGTTTGAACGAACTTTTCAGACGGGGGAGGGCAGGCGAGATGGGGGACATCGAGTGGAGTGTGATAGACCGCTGGGGTACTCATCCAGGATTCATCGAGGCACGTTCATATTGTCTTGTGCATTTTTCAGGGTGCTAATAACGACCTTCGATATCAGGCTGTTGCACAAAACATTGAGGCTGCCCTGGCCAAATTTCAACCATCAGCACGCTCAGACGTGGTTATTCTGTTTTCGGCTCACTCATTACCCATGTCGGTAGTGAACCGAGGTGACCCATATGTCCTCGAGGTTTCCGCATCTGTCAATGCCGTTATGGACAGACTCGGCCACTCAAACCCATACCGTCTTGTCTGGCAATCGCAGGTCGGACCTTCCGCGTGGATGGGCATGCAGACAGGGGAGGCTATCAAGGGTCTTGCTCGCCTCGGTAAGAAGGAAGCAATTCTAGTCCCCATTGCATTCACGAGCGATCATATCGAGACGCTTTACGAACTGGATCTCGAGTATCTGAAAGAAGGAAAGGAGGTACGTTGAGCCATGAGTGAATGCTTTAACGACTCACCCATGTGTGTACTATTTTTTTTCGCAGCTGGGGATGGAGCTACATCGCGCAGAGTCATTGAATGGATCTCCTGTGTTCATCCGTGCGTTGGCAGACATTACGGCAAAGCATCTGCGTGACTATTCTGCGAGGAGGATTGGGCCCACGAGTGTTCAGATGGGGCTTCGGTGTCCGGGCTGTAAAAATATGACTTGTAGCCAGCAGAAACATTGGTTCGCTCGTGCTGGACGTTCCTAGCCGTTCGTTCCCAGTCAAAACTCGCAACAGGCTCAGCCCCGCTCAGACAGCCCGCTTAGGAAACCTGGCTGAGTGTGGATGTTTGAACCACCTCCTGGATATCCCTGTATGACTTCGTAACTAGTTTACTGCATGGATAGCCCTGTATACATGTGGAGGTAGCAAAATATAACACGAACACTTGTATTGGACAGGATGAGCAAACAATGCAAACAACAATCGCGACAAGAACAACAGCTAGTAGAATAAAAAACATAGGGGACGACCAGCATGAATCGGATAAACCGTGTGCGCAGAGACTCGCGCTGGATGGCCTGACACGACACAACCACTTGCGTCGACAAGATGGGATGCGGAGCCGGCACCGTCAGGACGCTTGACTGCGAGGATAACGACCACCCAGATATTCCTTTGTCTAGTCACTCTTGAATCAGTAGTGCACCATCGTAGTCGTCTTTGCAATATACTGGGATCTGTCATTCCAGGAGTTGGTCATATCTAGAATTAGAGAAGAGCACAATCAGTTTCGGAGGTGACGATGTGAAGAAAAAACTACCTTGATAATATCTCAAGTTTGCACTCAAGAGATACAACTTGTTGCTCGAGCTTGATAATCATCTGCGCTAGGGAACGATTCGCCTTCAGTGTGGACACCTCATTTTCGCTGGAGGCGTGCATATATGCGCTAACTCGCTGGCTATATGCACGCACGAAGTTGGACCGGAAGTCAGGAGGATGATACAATAATGAAGATGAGTTGTCTGCGAATGAGTTTCCGCTGCGAGATGTAGTATCTTGTAGTACTAGTTAGGGACACCTCAATGGAAACACGCACACTTGGATAATAGCTATCAACAGCAAATGAGGATAGGTGAGCCACGAGGAGGCTCAGAAGGTATCTGGGAAGACGCGTCCGATGCGCTCCTGCCGCCAGAAGGCTTGCTCTGGGTTGGCATAGTAGCGTGACTTTGGCTACTCGCTTCATCGCGAAATTTTGCAGCTTCTGTAGATGCCCCGATAAGTTGCGGGTTTTGACTGGGGTTAACGTTCATTGTTGGCTTACTATGTGGAGCGAATGAAGGCTGTATCGTGACTTATCTGCCAAATCACGAATCGCATGATTCTGAGGGCCAATCAACGCGTTCTCTGAAGAATCATCAGACCCAAGTACAGCTGCTGACTCAGCGACAAGCCCTTATACTTAACCGTATGATGTCTCTGGATGTACAAATGACACCATGTCTACTATCGTATCAGCGCCGGGAAAAGTACTAGCAGCAGGAGGATATCTTGTCCTTGACCAGCAATATCCAGGGGTAGTGATCTCCACATCTTCGCGATTTTACACTGTTATCCAGGCTTCGTTGGGTTTTGCGAATCAGATCGTAGTCCGATCTCCCCAGTTTCATCAGGCCGAGTGGAGATATACCGTGACCTATAATGCTGCAGGCATCCAGGTAAATCCACAGGAGGACAGGTGAATAACATTTCTATGACACCTTGATCACGCCTCACGTATATCTTGATCAGCATCGGGGGAAAGAATAAATTCGTTCACCTGGCACTCCAGCACACCCTGAATCTCGTATCAGAGATCCATTCTGTAGCCCAGGTGCAAGAGAGGCTCTTCAATGGTCTCGATATAGCTGCTGTGGGTGATAACGACTTCTACTCTCAGCGTGCACAGGTAAGCCTCCTTATTCTTACAGTCATGGTACAAATGTGACCGCTGGCACAGCTGGAGTCGTTAGGTCTATCTAGAACGACGGAATCCCTCTCGCGAATCACCCCTTTTTGTCACAACGGCGTGAAACTGACCGATGTACATAAAACCGGCATGGGCTCTTCCGCAGCGCTTATCACATCGCTCGTCTCTGCGCTGCTTCTCCATTTTTCAGCCATAACTGAGACAGATTTTGCCAACCTAGAAGGGGATGGCAGACGCCTCGCCCATAACGCTGCTCAATTTGTACACTGCCTTGCCCAAGGTAAAGTGGGGAGCGGATTTGACGTATCTTCCGCGGTGTTCGGCAGCCAGATCTACAGGCGATTCGGCCCTGCCGTCTTGGACCCCCTGATGAAAGGCGAAGTATGTCATGTTTGGGGCATTTCCGCTTCCGGCGACCGCTGATTCTTCTTAGTTTGCGGCAGGCACATTGAAGAGCGTTCTGAACTCTAGTGCCTGGGACTACAGTTTCCGGCCGATTCAACTTCCTCCGTTGACAAGACTGGTACTGGCAGACGTTGAAGCAGGAAGTGATACTCCTTCTTTGGTTGGTAAGGTGTTAAAATGGAGAGAACACGAAGACAGCCGTGAAACAGGTACGTAGTAGAGCGATAAAAGCCAGTCGGATACCTCATTCTTATTATCTCATGCAGCGAAGGATCTATGGACACAGATTGACGAATCAAACCAATCTCTAGCACAGCAGTTGGACGCACTTTCGCAGTCGTACATTCGGAATAAAGATGTATACGAAGAGACCATCAGACAACTTGCTTCTCTGCCTGCACAAGAAGTGAGTAGGTTTCCTTTCTTGGAGTCTTTGTTCCTCATCGTGTATTGCAGTGGGAGAGTATCTCCAAAGCGTTTTATGATTTGCATCAGACTACCCAGGTAAGGAAAGTTCCTCACCATCGTGCATCAAGTTGAATGTGCCCTTTGTTTCTAGCGAATACGTAACCTTATGCGGAGAATGGGCGATCTTGCTGGCGTTGAGATTGAACCTGAGCAACAAACCCACCTACTTGACAAGTCGATCCAGCAGGCAGGCGTGGTCGGTGGTGGTGTTCCAGGCGGTTAGTTATGCTTCTTCAGGAGCTGGACTATATCCTAATCTGAAAACAACGCAGCCGGCGGATATGATGCCATATGGCTGCTAATCTGCAGCCCGCCAAGTCTTCCGGACGAGCAACAACCCTTGCGCCAAGTTGAATCCGTATGGAGCACCTTCAATGAATCCAACGTGACTCCTCTTCTTGCTCAAGAAAGCGTCGCCAAGGGTGCTCGTGTTGTGCAACTCGATGAAATACCAGGGCTTAGGGAAGCGATTCAACGGCAATGATCAATTTTAAATAGATGTTCTCGATCCAATGTCCAATCTGTGCATTATTCACTACTCTAGATGTATAAATGTGCAAGCCCGTGGCTGTATTAAAAACGAAGGTCACGCCATACACATCTTTGGCTCGCCCAGAGGCATGTATGCTCTTTGGATCACTTGAAGGAGGGATACGGTCATCACAGCCACCCCAAATGCAAGGCAGGCTGCGGCTGGAAGTTTCGCACGGGAGTACCACGGGACATGTGGGTCGGTCAGTTTTAGGTAGCATGCAGCAGGAAATATGTACGCAAGCGCTGTGGCTGAGACACCGCCCGTAATCTCCAGCGTGACGCCCAGATCGCAGGTGATCAATGAGACTGGTCCAGAACCCACGTTAGTTCTAGCTGTGGTGATTGGCGTAACGACTCACGAAGCATCGATGAAAAGAGAATGGTGGAGGTGAAGAAGACGTGTCGCTGAATATTATAGCTTTCGTGCGAGAAGAAGTATTGTTCGATTACCTGAAACGGTTGAGTTAATTTTTGTCCTGAACTTGCATACCATCAATTTACTTCTCTGCAGACAAACAGCTCCAAGGGTAACGTCGTAAACATGTTCAGCCCAAAACAGAAACGGGCGACATTGATCAGCGCATCGTTCTGTTCCGTATATGTCAGATGTCAAGCATTCAAAACCAGAGGAAAGCCTACCCCGGAGAAGTTATTCAATATATTTCCCTGAGTTCTATCTGTAAAAACCCAGAAGCCTGATATAGCCAAAGTACAGCACGCCACGAGTGAAATGATCGTCGATATATGAGTCACTTGAGCGAACCGATCTAGGGTGGGGGTCTTCAAGCTCCCGTAGATGAGTAAACTATTGTGATGGCACACAAAGGCAAAGCTCATAACGCCGATTGCCTGAAAGACCCCCGAGCCTACCACAGTGAGGCGTTTCGATGGATCGCCCTTGAGATTGGGAGACACGTGCGATCCTTCAATCAGGACCGCTGAAACGATGACGAGCATGCTGATTAATGCGAGCCCGGATGCACGTGAAAGCTTGTGGATGTCGCGGTAGAGCGACAATGGATAAGAAACACAGGTTGTGCACAGGGTGATGATAAATTGGCGGTTGGTGAGGAGCGAGAGAACAGGTATCGTGTGCAAAGTAGGGAATATTGAACGAATGACATGGGGTATCGTATCTCCTGGAGAAAATGTAAGGTAGGAATATAATACACCAGGAACCCTGCACTTGCCGATAATAATACCAAATGCACACATGCCTGAAGGAACAATCAATCGTAAACACAGCGACGTACATATGAATTACTCACCACCAAAAGCAAATGAGAACTGAAAGAATGAAACGGCTGCACGACCACTGGGGCCAAAACAACTGTTCATGACCTCGATGTAAGAGGTTCTGCCACTGAGTTTAGCGTTGATGACAACCAATCGGATAGTCCAATCGGTGACAGCGCAAATGCCAACCAGGAGAACGATGCCAAGAAAGAAGCCTGCTTGATTGACTGCGTACGGCAAACCTACCGTAGTATTAGCCAAATCTGTTGCTGAGATTACAACCTGACAAACCAATAATTCCTGTTATCCATTGTCAGCACCTTGTACATCTAAGCAACTAAAAGTTTACCAGCTCCGAGGATTGAATTTGCCATATTGGCAACCGAGTTCAGTAGACCTCCACCCGACCACTGTTTTTCAGCAAGGTCATCGAGGTCTACATTCCTAAGTGCTCCATTATCCATACTATCTGTTTCATACATAGGAATAACTGTGTCTGGCGTTCTCCTTGCAGCCGAAGCATCCATGAGGCCAACCAGCAAAGGCATGGTTCGTTCTCGTCGTGGAGCCCCACGAGAGTGCCTTTGTTCGCGTTGGATATCAGCTAGTGAAGCATCATCAAAGTCGTCCGAGTCCAATTCATATTCTGTACAGGCACTGATAAGGTGCGTCGAATTATGAGCACAAAGATACGCACCCGCCTCCCGACTCTGTATTGTGGACCGCAAAGGTGGACCAATGACCTGTACTTCTTCCTGAAATCTGACACCCGGTTCTGTCCTCCGCACTGTTGACCAGGGCTCTGCACCACCGCTTTCTGAGTCTTCGTCGTCCACTGAAAAGACAAGTTGGTTTGTATCCGCTGAAACATCCTCGTGTGAAGCATTCAGCAGAGGCTGCCTAGCCTCTCCGTCTGCTGCCTCTCTTGCTCTTGAATTTGCGGAAAACATCTGGCGCTGTCCAGGACCATAGGCCAACTGAAGAAATTACCGTGAAAAGGGTTAGTAAGTTACAAGTTTGATGCAGAGGCGAATCTAGCGACAACGAATAATCCGGATGATCTTGACTTGAATCATTTGACTTGAATGCTGTATTTATTTGGCTAACTACCGATTATAATAGCCTTAACTACTTAGTACGGGTAACAAGCACAGGTTTACTGTGCTTGGCAATGCAGATAAGTATGCAGGTAGTATTGTACAAAAAAATCAGCATTGTCGCTTGGCTCGCGATGTTGAACTTCGACATGGAACTGCCAAGGACACAGGCAGGACGTAAGCATAAAGAGGCGGTCACGTGATGCGGCCAAACACGCGCGTGTCCCTCTGCACGGACCTGGGCCTGCTCCCCCGGTGACAGCGGCTGGCCTAGTGGTAACTAGTAAGTTGCTAACAACCGAACCACCAGACACAGGTTTCACCCCCATGCTCACTGTTCTGTCACTTACACTTTTTTTTCTCCGGTTATCAAACACTCATGTCTCAGCGGCCGGCCAAGTTCCTCTCTCATCAGTAGTTACGTCCTTCTCGTTGACCACGAGTACCCTGATGCCATTTCCTTCCGCTACTCAAAGTGTATCCGATGCATCGTCGTTCATTACATCCCAGTGGTCGTTAAACAAAGGACACATTCAGAATGGCGGTAGCAATGTTGCCTTCGTGGACGATCCCTTCCCAAACTCGCCAGCTCCTGGTGCGACCGTGTCAAATACTTCTGGGTCTGTCTTACAAGTGACATATGCTGCTGGTACCTACGGAAGTGTAGATTCTGGTGCTCAATGGTACTCGCTTTGGAATACAACAGATGGATCTCAATTTCAGAGCATGTTGCTCTCCTACGAGCTTGCGTTTGATTCTAATTTTAACTGGGTCCAAGGGGGAAAACTTCCTGGTCTTAGAGGCGGTTCCGATGTCGACGATTGCTCTGGCGGAGTGCAAGCGAATGGCACTAATTGTTTCAGCGCCAGGCTCATGTGGCGAAAAAATGCGCAAGGAGAAGGTTCAAACGCAGTCATGTTCTCGTATCAGCACTGAAGTCTTGCATATAGTTTATGCATACATGTTGACTCCTAACAACATTTGTTCGGATAGCAATATAATTTGCAACTCTGATTACGGAGTAAGCATCGACCGAGGATCATTTGGCTTCGAGACTGGACAGTGTGTATTTTTCAAGGCTATTTATCCTGACACACTCACTGACGACTGGATGGCAGCTGGAGCCGTATCACAATTCTTGTGCAACTGAACAATGATTCCCTCGTTGCGAATGGCAACATTATTCTATAGTAAGTAGTGTATCATTCAGGCAGCCCTGATGTAAAGTTCGTCGTCGTCGTAGCTTCAATGATGTTCAAGTGCTATCACAACAAAACTTATACTTCAGGACAGTCAACAATGTCACTATTGGGGGATTGTACTTCTCGTGAGTCGTGTTCTTCTGCGAATCGTAATGTACTGCTACTGACTTTATGAATATGTAGGACATTCTTTGGAGGTCAGTTTTCAGTATACTTGTCAGATTCGCATTGAAGGGTAACTCTTTTTCACAGGGGGCGACTCCAGCTGGGCAACACCGCAAACTGTTCATACTTATTACCGCAATATACAGATGTGGGGCAGCTCCTCTCCATCTTTACTTTCTGGACAAACGGTCAATGCTGCACTATCCTCATGTTGCAAGCTTGGAAGCATGGGATGGACGTTGTCCGCATCTGTTCTTCTCACTCTTCTCATGTATCTATAGGCTTGGATGACACGTGGACACTTGCTGCACGCAGTTGTATTATTATATTACGCGCACTTGGAGCACTAGATGGCGTATAGGCTGTGCGACATTATATCCCACGGAAAGTACCTTGGTCCCTAGAGTACTAAAGGTCCGAGGTGCCAAAGAAGTCGTCGTGGTCGACGAGGGTAGCCTTGGAATCAATCGAGTGGCGCTTCGGCTTCTGAATCGGCAGTACTCTAATGGGCAGGGTGGACGGCGAAGTGCTGCAGTATTCGCTTGCGATTGAATTCTATAAAGAGAGAAATCACAGAGTGTTGCTGGTAGGAGGTAGATCATCTGGGCTCGGCTAAATCATGCCACGGACTGCATGGCGAGTGGCCGCAAAGCAAGGGGTGTGCACGCGATATCGGCCATGTCAATTTGTCGCCAGCGACATGCACGGTGCTTATTTTATGATGACACGGGGCTCTGGCCAGGTGTGTATGCATATAACTGTGACATCTAATATAAGCAGACGTTACGCGTTATCCTGCAATTGGTCATCAAATATGGCTTTGCAGCGGCAGCCCCTATTTTGTCGAATAACCTGTCTCCTTTACGATGGCCGCCATAGCCTTCAATGACAGCTCAGACCCACCTCCCTCGTATGATGTGTCCGTGTCAAAAGATTCCATCCGGTCTAAACAATCGGTATTTTTATTCTTACAATTCAAGCAAAAACGCCACAAACTTGAAGCTTCTGCTCTATCTCTCATCCGATTATCTCTTCTCCTGGTTTCGCTGTTTCCTCTGTCGCCCCAATTATCAAATCCTGTGCTGCTGCTCTCCCAGCAGCAGAGTTCTCAAAGCTGCTCCAAAAACGCAATATAGAGAACCACACGGCGCTGTATTGGGCGATTGTAAACAACCAGCGAGAAGCCCTTCTGGAGTTTGTTAAATTCATTCCCAAATTCTCACCTGCTTGTTCTGCCGACTTGCGTCTTGCATGTATGGCAGTGAACGACCATGATTCATATATGCTACTGCATTTGGGAGACAATGATGTTAATTGTATGTTCAGATACATGATGTCCTAAAAGTAACTCACTGCGTACTATTAGCCAAGGATAGGTCTTTGAGACACATGTTGGGTTGTCCGCAAGATGTCGTTCAAGTCCATGAAGGGGATACTACCTTGAGTGTGGACAGTCACGAAAATAACTTCTTTGTCCATTTTGTCTTCAGGATGTTCCAGAAGCGTCTCCGTATTGCACGGAAATTGGAAGTAGAATTTGTTGCCCAGGGTATGTAGTACATAATTTTGGTTTGTTCCTCGCACTTATACCAACATCTGATTCCCTGAAGGACGTATATGGGTGTTACGCTTTGATATGGATATCTCGGGAGGGAATTGGCTTGTTGAGTTTGGTATTTCTCGAGATAGCTCGCAAGTGCGCCCAAATGCTGTACTTGAGATTCAGGCCAACAGACTGTTACCTGGCTCGGATACCATGCAACCTCTACGCCTCGATATGTGTACATCACACGTTCTTGCACCTGGGGAGTAGGTCTATCATTCCCACTCATTTGAAGGCATACTAAAGTTTACTATTATTCATACATGGCTACTCTTTACTTGCTCTGGCTAATACACAGAGTATATCGATGGGACCTAGATCGGTTTGACACCAGACGCACAGTTCTCTGGCAATTGAGTGATTGGCCAATGTACGAGTAAGTATTCTTCCTTAATCCAACCTCGGGCTGACATGGACTACTTTGCTTCAGTAATACTGCTTATGTGGACTGCAATGGCACCCTAACTGCAGAGCTTATGATGACAATAAAGCCACGCTACCCTTACCAGTGAGGCTGATGCTGATAGTACTAGGAAGTCAATACACATGGCGCGCACATATTCATTACATAACGCTAATAAGTACGTCAATATGGACAGTAATAAGAATGCTTTGTGAAATGATGCCGTCCTACTAAAGTTCGAAGGAATGAGAATGCAATTTGAGCGAAAAGCCCTGCAGCTTGGTAGAAAGGAAGGTTTGGTTTGTGACGGCGGTTCATTGCACTGGCGGATACATCGTGACTCATGCTGTGTGATTGATACCTGTTAAATATAAGACGCCATACATACTAGGTTGAAAGAGAAATTGCACATAGGAGACGAGAAGCCTGAAACAGGCAAGAAATGTAGCAGATAGCTCAGCGACGTACGAAGTCAACTGGTCATATTGGTATACCTGTAGCAGATAGCTACAGTAGGTGTTAGTTACATACATACTAGATACGAAGATAGTACTAACCTCAGCGACGTACGAAGTCAACTGAGGGTAGCTACGAGGCGCGGGAACAACGAGAATATATAGGTACTTAGTAAAATGAACGGTACCGAGTGTCCATGACGAAGGTTTGATATATCCAACAAGAAAGCCTGATTTCTGATTGTACAGTCTCAGTCAGTGGCCATTGTATTTCAGTGATGTTTTGCAGTGCCGACTTGAGCAGGAGCCGGTAAAAGTTGCGAGCTAAAAGCTAGGTCCATCAGATGAGCAAAGAACGCCATTGTCAGACCTTCATCATGCTCAGCAATTTCATGGGCAGGCTATGAAAGTCGCATCATAGTCGGATGCTTGCACATGCATAGCCATCGTACAGATACGTTGTTGCTTCAGAATCCTTATTCCACCTTCACAAGGTGACAACAATACAAATCCGAAGTGGTCACATGTCGCAACATGCAGATAGCATCGCATCTTCACGCGATGAAGCGCATGGTAACGATTCCATTCTCCATCTTCGTATGGAAAGCCTCAGCCTCGATGCAATTACCATAATCTAGAAGACTTGCCATAAAAACCGTATATCATTTCGGACATGCGAAAGAATATTTGTCGACATGCCTGCAGACAGCTTCGACTTGAATTTACTTGCACACGCCCTCTCTTGACGTGCTATCACCTTGGTTAAGTGGGATACATCAACCTGGAAGCAGGTCAGTAATGACTGGACAGGCCACAGTCGCCATGTTTAATCTTGCTGGCACACTTGTCACCACCGCATCTCTTGACGAGGATGTCCGTCTCTGGCAGCTCTCAGATAGACAAACTTCTATCCATGGGCGAAATTGACAGGAGCGGCTATATTGGTGATTTGATGAAGATCTGTAGAAGAAGCAGCGCCGCCGCTACTAGAGTCAACTTTGTATGGTGGATTTTTGATTACGGTTCGATTTGCCGCTATGCCGGAAGGATTTTCAATGTCCGATCGTTGTTTTATTTTATTTTATACAATAGCCCTCCGGGCATGCCTGGACCCGTTATTTCATGTATCTTCAAGCAAAACAAAAACGGTATTTAATTGGGGGTAAGCGAGGGAGTCCGTCTGTATAGAACTCCAAGTCAATTTTTGGTGGCACCCTAGCACACCTCCATCCACCACTTGTCTTAGACCTGTCCAAAGGCGACACGCCCATCGATCACTGTAGCTTGAACTTTGGTGCTTAAAATTTGATTGACAGGAATAGCCATGATGTCTTGTGATAACACCACATAGTCTGCCCGTTTTCCTGGAACAAGAGAACTCAGGCTGTCTTCGGTAAATGAAGCATATGCGGCATCGATCGTCATGCCTATTGATTGTTTTCAATATCAGTGACGCTCATATCTGAGTACTCTCGTAAAGTACCTCTCAAGGCTTCCATGTGAGTCAGCCGTTGTTGCGAAACATACATGAGTTGAATGGAGAATTTTTGGACGAGAAAGCCATACCATCCCGATGGGCCATTGGGTGATTGTCTTTCAGGAGACAGTCTCGTAATGGCTGCATGGAACCCAGCGAGCGGATTCATGTCTTCCACCGGGAAGTCAGAGCCAATGGCGAATCGAGAGCCGTGGTCAAGTAAGGAGCGGAAGGCATATGACCCCTTTACTCGCTCAGGACCCTGGAAAACGATGAACATGCCAGTAGTAGGTATGATTGCCATGAACTCACAAGACGTTCTTCCGCAAACTACATATCGCTGATACTATTCCGCCCATATAACACATGTGAGTAGCGAACACATTCAGACAAATAGCTTAACGTACGCATGTGTGAGTTGAATGCTTGAAATAACTAAATAGCGACGATTCTACTCCCATTGACATTAAGGAAACTAAAATGCTCACCTCCAAGCTTTCCGACACGTTCCAGGTCAGTTTGTGTCAGAATCTGGGCATGTTCTAGGCGAGGTCTGAGTGCAGTTATATCGACGTCCTTCAAGGCAGCCTCGAATGTGTCTAGGACCACACCGTTGGCATAGTCCCAATTGCATGGATGTTCTGCCAGACAAAAACAAATGAGACGTATTGCTTTATTTTTGCGATCGCCGGCACTTACAACCTGCCATCCATCTCTTAAAAATTTGGGTACAACATCAGTCAAGACTTTGGGGTCCACACGCATGAATCCCTTCGTGTGGGGATTGTCATGATACGGCTCATGGAGCTGAGAGACATCAAGAAAAACACAAACACGGCCAAAGAGATTCTCACCGCTGCTCCAACAAAGTCATGCATAGAGTGCACAGCGGACGACGAAGACGCAGCGTTCAGAGAAGAAGAAGCCCCTCAACGAAAGGGGGCAAACAATAAGAAGCGCGAGAAATTGTGGACCGAAACAAGCAAACTGAGCGGACCGCGAGCGGGCCGGTAACGATCATTGGACAGAGGATTTTTTTCGATAGACCTGTACCCTAAGTCGGGTCCAGGAATCCAGGAATTTTATTCGGAATATACCCTAGTTTTATTCGACTCCGTACTCGACTGGTTTGTCAAATAAGGTAAGGATCATGTTGACGCCTTGATTCCACGAACCATGATAAAGCAATAAGCAATTATAGGACGAGCGCGCAGTTTTTGCGAGATGAAATGTAACTCGAGGGTTGAACGTTGCAGGATCACGGCAAACGTCCAAACTCCCACTGTGCCATAAGTATCCTAACTGCTCGGCTCACAACTACGGCCAGCCAAGCCGTGTTGTTAGCTGAAAAGCGGCAAACTCGCCCGACGCCGAGTCGCGAAACTATGTACCCACGTTCCGCTTGCACGGAAAGACATCTAGGTCAATACTGAACATGCCCCTTGCACTTTAATGAAGAAGGCTAGAATGGAATCCGGCACATAATGTTCCAGAGCTACCGCTCATGACCAGAACTTAGGCAATGGGCGATGTTGATATCACCATCTGGAACGTAACGGAGCCTTCAGGCAGGTATAAAGGTCGCAACTTATCCTGCCATTAATATATCAGCATCTATCTCTCACTCCATACTCAGCAGAATCAACTATCAATCTCACATCATGCTACCTTCTGGCAATTACAAAATTCAGAATTTTCTACATACCGACAGGTATATCCACATGAAAGCTGACGGCACAGTTGTTGGCTATGAGGAGGCTGACATTGTACGCATTGCATCGTTGGCGTAGATCCTATACTCATTAATGCTCATAGGTCCAGCTCCATGCCACGAACGCAGCTCTCCGGGCTTACGATGACAATAAGATAATGCTACCACAGGTACGGAAGGCCGTACCCACAGTACTAATGTAGTAGGCAGAACTCAACTTGGATGTAGTAGTGCTACAGGCTCTACAATGTCTAGGTCTCGAGGTCATCCTCTCAATTCACTCGTCGAAAGTAGAGACGTGATGACCAGATTCGAGGGAGAAGGTGTGTGTGAGCTGAAATCCGGCAATTGAGGTGTTTTGCATACACTTCTATCTTCCTCACATTTTCATCCGATGATGTGAACTGCGTTTCCGACGTTGACTCATTCAATCTAGGGCGTGTCCATTGCCTCGTACTATCAGCTCAAGTTTGAAGATGATGACGACCAAGAGCATTCTGTTGCTACACAGTATGGCCGACTATATCGCATGTAGTAGCATTAAGTATCTCTATCCCCGAACACTCGTTCATATCTGTCACCTACTATGACGCGTTTTGTGGCAAGTTCTTATATACGATGTATTGTACAGTATCATCAATTACAATAAGAGGTGTCTGTACACTATGTCTGCCGTCATCAAATGTAAGTCCCCAAGACGTCGGCTCTACCTATTCTAATGTTCCCTTTCTTGCATCTGCGTCTGCATCTAGTATTCCTCGGGCACAATCGCGACCCTTCCGATATCAATGTTTCAACATCCGCCCTTTACATACTCTCACCACACCCATGCCATGGACGCTTTCGATGCCGTTTGAGCATGTAGGTCGGAACAAAACTCGTCAATCTTCATCCCACCCCCATCAAATCATCTTCAATCCACTGAACCAAACGGAGAAAGAGCTCCTTGTCCCGGATTTAGGTACAGACAAGATCTGGAGACTCACCAAACGAAACGATGACAAGTAGTCCATTCGCGGTCACATTGACTTTGAAGCAGGGGGTGGCCCATGACATGTCGCAGCTCGAGGTGTGTCACTAACCTCCGAGTGCTCTTGAAACCTTCTTGATTGTTATAACAGGAAATACCATTTACACGCTACTGGAGCTCACCTCAAAGCTTGCTGTACATATTTTCCGCCGCTTCCGGCGCCCCCTACTCCTCTTACATCTCTGTTCACACTTTCTGCATTACCGATACCGGATAACATGTTGGCAGCGGAAATTCTACTACCCGAACCCAACGCATCCTTCCCTGAAACATTCATCTACACATCGAACAGAAACGACCCTCATTCAGAGGGTGACACTATTGCAATATTCTCTCTCACCGCCGGAGAGGCCAGAGCTTGTGAACGAGGTGCGTACGGGGCTAATTCATGTCCGAGGAATGGCGTTTAGAGGTGACGAAGATAAGTATTTGGTTGTAGGTGGTGTGGAAGGTGGCGGAGTGGAGGTATTTGAGAGGATTGATGGTGGTACTAGAACATCGTCACGTGTGCGATATAGGATCTCGCCCCGGAGTCCCATAACGGGTACTCGCTATTGTGGATGTCTGGTATGCTTCAATACAATCACCGCAGAGTCGGTTATCGTCGAGGGCAGAATTACAAAGAAAAGACGAACCGGCGAATACATCTTGAATATCATCTTCTGGTGCACAATTCTCTCGTTCATTATCCACAGCAGCAGTATCTTGGAGATGTCGAACTGAAGACATTGATGATATTCGGAATGCCGTGTGCAGGATATAGCGCAATGTTGTCATCCGAAATCATGATGTTGGAATACAATGGATTTTCTCGCTTGAGGAAAAGTAACATGTTGCGCAGGTGAGTGCGGCTCAAGAAAGGTGGTGAGCAACGTTCCGGAAAATTATTGGGACCGACTTAATGGAAATGCCAATAGTTGTCGCGGTTTAGGAGACAGTAATTGGCCCTTAAGCATAGCTGCAATGGACGATGTGTTGAGTCGGTAGGTAGATACATTTCCACGTAAGCCGCTGTTTAAACCTGCTGCATCCCAATGAACAGCACCGCGTTTTTTCGGGAAAAGCTTGACGATGTATGCAGCAGGACATGATACGGCCACTAAGATACGTTCTGGAAGAGTCAACATCGCAAGTTCATCCGGAACTTTTCAGATCCAAAGATTGTTAGCAAGGGAAAATGAAGGAGTTTTGTTAGATTTGATGTCGTCTAAGCAATCATCGCAAAGAAAGCCATATTGACCATCATCTCAAATCGTGATGGCTGGATTATATAGCGACATGTCATTCACGAGTCGTTGACTGTGATGCGAAATATATGCGTTTTTGTGCTGAATCGAAGACAAGGCAAGTTCAGTTGTTTCGGATGCTGAAAATTCGCCTGCGCAGACGAGGCATACCATGTAGCCCGACAGGCTGCATTTCCGGTATGGTCGATGAATCGTGATAGACATTCATTTCGCACAGAGTCTCCCACCTCCTCCAGGAATGATTGGCAGATATTTGCCGCTCTTGTTGCAGCCGTACCTTTTTCAACTGCTGTCCTTCATGATCTTGTAATCGCGCAGCCTTTGCATCTGCAGCTGACGCCACTGTGGATTGAAGAAGGGCAGAGTGTCGAACTGATGGCAACAGACTGTTTCGGTTTCGTTTTCGTTTTTCCGCGCGTGAAAGTTTGAATTCATGAACAGCGGAGACGATTTCATTGACAGTGAGCTGATTTGGCGCGTTTTCGAATGGCGAACACGAAGATAAATGTGCATCGTGGGATCATTGCGCTGCTTTGTTCGCTGCTGATATGATCGCTATATGGGTGTCCGTCGAATCTTGCACGGTAGCCACTAAGTCACTGCGCTTGCGTTTTTCAGCTCTATTCAAGTTCTCGTCACCTACTGCAGCTATGATCTCCTTCATTGTCAATTTATCCAGGGCAGAATTGAGCTGTTGCGACATGGTTCCAGATTTCTTGGTGTCATGACTTACAGCCACATCCAACGTTTATTGATATTTAATATTGTTTATTATTGGCAATTAGTCCGTCAGATTTCGTCAGATGGCATATGACAAGGTGATGATGCTGTTTATAAAGAACTAATACTGGAATCCCGATTATGTTCAAATCAGAGTCTCTCCCTTGTTTACTGGGCCCAGTTTGAAGTTCCCGCTGTCGCTGAATGAGACCGCTTGACATTTTTATTGCAATCTCTACCTTGCTAATCCAAGCATTTCGGCAATGCGCAACGGATGTTTCGGGATCGTCGACAATAAGTTTTGCAATGCCTGTGAATACTCGAGCCCTCAACGTTCAACGTTCAACATCAACCTCATGTAGATGTCACCTGCCGCTCCTTCCTGGGTATGGGCCTAACATCAACGTCCGTTGCTCCGAGTCCGCAACCTCTGCCAAGGAAGCCAAGTCTCTCGGAAACGCCTTGCTAAAGCTGAGGAAAATGGCTATCAAAGTTTATACTTCATCCCTCAGGAAGACGTATCAGGGACTGAATGAGAAACTTGGAATGACGAGCGAACTTGTGGTGTCAAGAAACATGTTATACGAGACTGTCAGCCATTTTGGCTGATACTCACGATACTCGAGTCAAGATTAAGACTACCCTTTTCTTTTTAGCATCGTCTTCATTCATGGAAGAACTAGCACGTGCATTTAGAACGTACCTTCTTCGCCCGTGGTTCAACATTGAAAGCATTAAGAAGGGCATGACCCACATGCAACGGAGCAAGGTGAAAGTCAGCAACGCCGAACCCTAGTAAAATATTCATATTCATATATTGTCGCCAGCGAGCTCGAGGTAGTGAGCCGGTGGCTGCTGGCGTGTAAATCGCCGCTGAGAAATTCCCGCGCGGTAGCCAAGATAGTGGGATGAACGATAAATGATTTTCATTGGCTGACTACACTCGGGCACCGCCATATAGTAAGTTGTCAAGCTCATTGAGCATGTGGAACATATAAGACTGGATCATTGCAAAAGTGGGAGATCTAGCGCAAGCGGCTGTCATAAAAAGTATTCAGCCAAGTCCACGACACACAAAAATTGAAACTTACCGAGCTTCACGCTCACTCTCAAGAAGTGCAAGGATATCCTCCTCCCGCACAGGACCCTTGACGTTACGGATAATTGTTCGTGTAGTGTCATCCATGAATTCGACACGGACTTGCGTGACTCCACCACGGGAGCCGGTGCGTCCAAGAACCTGATACCAGAAGTTGCAATCAGTACAAATTTTTTGCAAGGGGTCAGTATATCTAATGGACCTTGATGACTTTAGCAAGTTTGACGGGAGCTTTTGATGAATCCTGGAGAAAGTGAGTTGTAAGAATGGCTTGAGAACTTGACGGGGCTTGCTTACCATTTTTATTGGGGTTGTCGACAGCGATGGGCGAACTTGCGGCGTATGTAGATGATGGATGTTTAGAGTTCAAGATTTCAATCAAACTCCGATGGCATTCTCCGTCCCTCCCCACACGCTGCACTAACGGGAGGAATTCCGAGGATTACGTGATATATTGTCATGAGATCCTTCTCTACTCTCAACTCATCTTGAATGGCATTCTCTGGAGCTCTTGTGCGTGTTCACCAGTGTTTGAAACTACAAACATCTGATTTACGCAGAGCAGACACTGACTGATCTTAATGACTTCCTAACCCCATCTCAAGCATGTATCAAGCCCGTTGAGCAAGTGAACGAGCCGCAGGAGATCATCGAGCCTGGTGCCGCTACAGTGCGTTATGCAGCGAGTTTTATGTCAAGGATCACACTAAGTATTGATTTCAGACCGAAATTGTGATTGACTCCCGTGGATCATACTACGAAGTCTCAGCAAACGGTGTATCCACTAATACATCTTCCAAGGGCACAGAGCGGAAGCTCCAGCAGGCCCAGATCAGCTTGAATGATTGCCTTGCTTGCAGGTCTGTCATCGCATAGTTCCTTCCAGCCCCATCGAATGACTACTGACCATATTCCCGATATCTAGCGGTTGTATAACATCGGCCGAATCCGTATTGATCACGCTACAATCCCACACGGAGGTCCTTAACTTCTTGGACTCCAATCCTCCAATTTCCACGCCAGGTCACAAGATTCCGGTGCTTTCCATTGCGCCACAGAGCCTCGCGTCACTTGCAGCGTCCCTTTCGTCGTCATCCGGTTCCCCTGTGAGCCTCCGTCAAATACTAAGGAGAGTGCGAGCATTCTCTACACGAATACTTGGGTTCGAGCATGTTTACGACATCACGTTTGCTCGACATATTGCTTTGCTCGAGCACACGCAAGAATTTTTCGAGCGGAAGAACGGAAACGGGAAACTTCCGATGCTAGCGAGTGCCTGTCCGGGATGGATATGCTATGCTGAGAAAGCACACTCCGAAATGCTACCTTTTATTGCTAGGACGAAGAGTCCACAACAGGTGATGGGAACTCTGGTCAAGTCGTGGTTCGGAAATCGCTGGGGAGTGCAGTAAGTCTCTTTAGTCGCTTCTATTCCGTTGTGTTGATTTGTTTTGGGTGATAGACCGGATCAGATTTACCATGTGTCAGTTATGCCGTGCTATGACAAGAAGCTTGAGGCTTCTCGGCAGGACTTCTACAATGACTTGTATTCGACTCGGGATGTAGACTGCGTAATCACGACTGGAGAGCTCGAGCTTATGATGCGCGACAAAGGCTGGGATCTTTCACAGACAGTAGAGAACGAAGGTATCTCTGATGTCGACACTGAAATCCCGGAGCTCCTGTCACACCCTGGGACCAGCTCTGGATCTTACTTGCACTCTCTCATCAATTCTATCACCACAAGCCACTCGTCCCCTGTGGACCTTACCATAAAATCCATCCGTACATCTGATTACGAAGAATTCACTCTTCGCGCTCGGGACACCGGCGAGGTGCTTTTCAAAGGAGCAAAATGCTATGGTTTCCGTAATCTACAGAACGTCGTACGCAAGGTAGGTCGTGAGGCTGGTGTGCAAGTTGGGAGGGGTGCTGCCGGAAGGTTGGTTGGGATGCGTGCAAAGAAGCGTGGTGGGGAGGACGAGAAGGGGTATGATTATGTCGAAGTGATGGCGTGTCCGGGCGGGTGCGTCAATGGTGGTGGACAGTTGAAACCCATTGCACAGGCGGCAGGGCAGAAAGAGGACGAACAAGGGTTTACGAGGACCTGGGAGGAGAGCGGTGTCCAGATGCCAGTACCAGGGGAAGATAGTGCGATGCAAGGGGCCAAATGGGGAAACAGAGAGTGGACGAAGGAAGTCGAAAGGGTGTATTGGCATGACTTGCCTACACCGCCTCCATCACCGGGATGTCATGATCGGGATCTTGAAACCCCATTCGTTTGCGGAGACCGTCTTGCGGCTCAGGTCAAGATGGATCTTTGTCACCCCACAGACGGAAGCGTGGACGGAAGTTGGGGTTCCATCATGGACGAAGAAGCAGAGACACGACGCCGTGAACTGTTTCGGACTCAGTATCGAGCTGTTGAAAGCGAGGTAGTCGGACTTGCTGTGAAATGGTGATACACGTGTGTGTCGTTTCACTCTGGGTGGTATTACAAGACAAGACAAGACAGTGACTAGATAAATAATGCGTAAGTAAAATATGCGACAAGTAAGCCTAGAACTACAAAATGACACAGCAAAGTGGTGTGCAAAGCAAGGCGTGACTAGAGTGATAATTAATAGAATAAAACGGCATTATAGATGCTTTCTGGATAGATTTAGCGAAGAAGCCACCGGGGCGGTCGAAACCATCGAGGTTAACGACGCTGGGAAGCTCCGTCCTTGAACCAGTACTGACATGAAACACAGTAATCGGCTGTTCTGTGGGTGATGGTTTCTCTTGCGTCGGGACCGAAGTACTTGGTGTAAGATTGAGCACTGGGGTATGAGGTTGAATGCGGAGTGAGACTTACACGTTCGCAATGGCAATCAGGACAATTCCTGGGATGATAGACGGAGTGGATGCAATACTGGTTGTAGCAATCGATCTTCTTCAGTTTGCGCGTCTGAAAGAAGGTCAAAAATAGTTCTAATAGTAAAAAGACATTGATCACGCACCACCTTGTAATGCTAAACGAAGCATGATTTGAGAAATGTAAGTTCTCGATGGCGTGAGACACTTACCCCACATCCAAATTTTGTTCCTTCGCTAAAAAAAGGGTCTGAATCAGCAAAGGTTCTTTCCAAGGCCTAGACTTGACACGTACGTTTCGAGATTGCACATTTTGAATGACGGGATGGTGAAAGGGACACCGGTGAAATTGTTTTACTATGTGAGAAAAAGAGAGATATTATTCTGGGGAATTAAAAATGGAGGACGGAACAGCATACCGGTGTGGGGTAGGTAACTACGGGGGACAAAAGACCAGTGGAGTAGAAGAATGGGGGATCAAAGGATATGAATGGGGAACTTTATAAGATTTTGAATATTGGGATCGAGTTGTAACCGATGACAGGGAGGAGCAATCACAAGACCATTTGGGCGATCGGGCACGATGTGGTAACGAGAATAAAGAAGCCGGCCTGCGGGAAGCAAGCGGAGGCGTGATTGATGGTAAATGCAAGTGTAAGAGCTCCACGGAATTATTATTCCGGTTTCCGACCCAAAACACCTATTTCGGACCATCTCTTTAGCCGTACAGCTTTATTATTGTATATTTGTACATCAAATATTAGTACAAACAACCCCATACACAACTTACTCTGGGATGTCCACCGCAGCCTCGTCGTCATTGCCAACGACGCGCTCGAGAACCCTGCTCTTTATCTCATTTCGTGATTCAAGAGCACCCTCAACACGTTTCTCTCGTTTACACTCATCCTATTCAGATGATCCATATGATGAAAATGAAACACTCATACATCCTGGCTCCGCACTTGACTCTCAGTTGCCTCCCAAATGGTACGTTTCATTTTCTATCTCAGACTACCTTTACTCAATTTGAACAAAGGGTTGATCTTTCCGACCAAGTCGAAGAGATCTTGGGCGGAACACAAGCTAAAAGTGTGTTCCTGGTATAGTCTCTTTGCGGCTTCAATGACATCATCTCCGTCCTTTTTACCTTAGTCGTCGCTTTAGAGAAGCTCCATGCAAAGCATGTTCTCCCCGGCTTTGCGGACCGGACGGCAGAGGAGCGAGAAATAGAAGCAGCGACCACCGAAATAACCAAAGTACATCCATCCTCCATGGACTTCCTCGTGTCTTACACTCGTCCGTTTCTTTCCCCTCGTGGATAGGATTTTCGACGATGCCACACTTTAATTCAACGTATCGGTACTGAACAGGACCACTCATTTCCCCCTTCAACTCAGAAAACTCAGTTTGAAGTCCTCGCGGCCAAAAATGTGCAACGAGGCTTAGCCGTGAGGGTCCAAGAACTCAGCTCAACCTTCCGCAAGAAACAGCGTGTCTATATGGAACGTAAGTCTTCTTGCCCATCATGTTTACGCGAACCGATCATTTCTATGACCGCATTTTCGCCTTCATCAGGTCTGCAAGGGCACGCGATTAAGAATCAAGATCTCCTGATTGCGTCTGGGACTATTTCCTCAAGAGGATCCGAGGGCTTGACTGCTGTTGATGAAGACGTAGAAGCTGCGGTGAGCAACGATCAACGAGCATGTCTCCTGTATAGCTAAATTGTTATTCCCCCCTGCAGCAAGCTCAGATTCTAGATAACACGCAGGATCATGATCTCCGTTCCCGCGACCGGGAGCTGACAGAAATTGCAAACTCAATAGCTTCTCTAGCCGAATTATTCAAGGATTTGTCCGTCCTTGTGATAGATCAGGGGACCCTTCTTGACAGTATTGAGTATAACATCGAACAGACTTCGGTAGAAATGGCCGAAGCTGTGAAAGAGTTAAACCATGCAACACGGTGAACCATATATGCCCGTAGTCATCGTAGCGCTCTAACACCCTCTCTTTCTTACAGATACCAGAAGAATACGGGCCGTCGGAAACTTATTTTCCTTCTCCTATTGATCATTTTTGGGTTAATCGTTGTCCTGATCTTCAAACCTCGTCGGTCATCCTCTTTAGGTTCTCCACCTACTCCAGATTCAGTGATCTCCACGGATACTTTTGTTTCACGTTACTTTCATTCACGGACATCCCTCAGTCTTTACGTACCGAATAATACTTGATTGAGGGTCTGGTTACCCTGAACGGCATGATTTGTGGACAATCTGCATCAGTCAGTCGATGAAAGCGGACGCATACAGTGCTGGGCGTCAAAGGTCAGCTTATATTAAAACTTGCCCCTTTCGTGCCAACCGTCACCCCTGACGTTTCATTTGGTTATCACGAGGTCTCGCCACTTTGAGCACTTGGCCCTCATCGATATGAGATCAGTAGCGCTTTTGGTGAGGCTGCGTGCCTTGTCTGGCGAGTTCATTGACACTATTACTCTCTCTAACACATTTCAATTCTTAATAGGTAATGCTGCCCCAAGCATCTGGGAAGGTACAGTCTGCTCATGGTCAAACTAACCACCCATTGCCAAGTCGAAGACGTGGCCCTGACCATTCTTACTCTATGCAGAATGATACGTGTAAACTGCGTTGCCCCCAGGCAGCGATAGCGATGTTTCATTACGTCGGGTCGCAGCTCTTTGCGCTCTTCTCTTGCGACCATCACGTATGCCCGATGACAGATCCAACCTAACTCCCAACCCTCAAACTCAACGGAGCAACCTGAACTCTGTCACTGCAAGCTGGATCGTGTTCGACAGAAGTAGAAGGTCTTCCCTACCTCGGGCACCTAGTATGCAAAACCTTCTGTGCTCCGATTCGACTTAGAGGGATTCTATATTGCCCTCTGCATCGTGAGTACCATACCACCGGCTTCTGGTATGTGCTGATGCCCCTCATGCTCCTGATATATACAGAATAGGCAGAGCGTGATGGAACGCAAAGGAAATGATGTGCCGCCGATGGTTTTGACATCTGATACATTCAATGTCCGACATGGCGTACTGTCCTCCCTTGACCCAAAAGCGGTCGAGGTGTCAATAAGAGGGCCGCAAGAAGTGTCGCTGCGACGAGCTCGTGTAGTTTGGGGAGGGCTCTCCGAGTCAATCGTGTATTCCCTCACCTTGCACCCTCTGAACAGGATATCGTACAGCTTTGGTTGTTATCAGTGTCGCAATTCTGTACTTTCCACGTTCGCAGCAGCGATTGGAAGATTTGAAAGACATCCGCATGCGCCGGCGATCCGAGGGCGATTTCTCAAGTTCCGGGACTTGGTTTCTTGGGATTGGATGTGCACATGGCGATGGGATCAAACTGTATCACGAGAGCCAGCGGTAAAATGCTCTCTACTAGTTACTCTCGGAGGCTGAGAATCACTTTCACAAAGCATGGGTCACTCAGATTTACGACAATGACGTAGGTTCATCTTGTTCATTGGTTTCACCAAGATCCGTCCACTAATCGGTATAGTTGACATCGGACGAGTCTGTCCGCAATACTCGTTGGGCGTAGAGTCATTTTGTTCACCGAGATCCGTCCATTATGCGTCTATCCTCAATACTCGCATGACAACGAACATTCTCGTGTTTGTCTAGTTGACAATGATACAAATACCGAGCGACAGAGAGCGACACGGATTCTGTAAACCCGACATCAGATCCGCGGCAAGTGCGTCATGATCATGTGGGCCACCCTCAACCCAGAAGAGATACCAATAAACGACCGTGTTGCAGAGGATGTGGTTGATCAATCAGCGGTGATCAAGATAGACCATATCTAACGGCGTCTGACAATCCGCTGACCAAAACGAGTTGGGCTAAAGCCACCTCAAGTTCATCTACTCGAGACAGCGTCATCGTCATCATTCCCTTCACCCCGGGCCCGATTTACATTCAGCTGTTTCAAATCAAGGCTTGATGATTGGGTCGCTGCTCATCATTTTAAAAGTCCGTCTGGTCATTTCGTAACGTATAGTGCACGTATTTCGTATTATCATGTGCGACATACTGAGTACTTCCCAGTTGAATATTCGATACGCGTGCATAGGCAGTCGTGTCATAGACTCATAGCGAGGGATACTAGTGGCTTCAAAGTGGTCGACGATATTTCATACAGCACTTCCAGCCTTCGAGATAAATTCCCCGGGATGGTACGACTTCTTCCCGGGCCAAGATCGGAGCTCTGTTTCATAACCCCAAAATACTTGCATGCATCTCGGTTCCTGCTGGACAATCAAAGTATGTAAGTGATGCGGTACTTGATAATCAAACTTCTTTCCTAACGGACATATGCACACATGATTATCAGAGGCGCTATGGATTGGTACAGGCGTTAGTCTTCTGTGTCAACGTGCCCTTGCCCGAACTCCACACGCTGAGTCTACGGTCCGACGTATCCATATGTGATATGTCCTTTAGGCTTTTACAAAACAAAGTTTCCATCGCGTCCTACACGCCACGTGGCTGACAAAAACGGGATGCGCAAGATTGTGCTATCAAACGAATCATCGTGTGCAGAGACATGTTCCTGCACAAAGACGTCAATTTTACGTTTTGCACAACGTTACTGCTGTAAGTCGGGAAGTCGCAAACAATGGCCTGTTCGTTTCGATTTGATGGAGTGGTCTGCATGCACAGATCCAACACCGATGTTGTCTTCAGCTAACGACATATGAAAATCGTATGACAACTAACAAAAAATCCCCCCCCCTCCCCGATGCGTTTTCGTGCCTTCTTTGCCCTGACGACATTTATCACGCCCTGCCGATTTGATCATCGAATATTGATGCACATCGAACCCCCTTCCCGTTGGTGTCCCTACATGCAAAAATAATCCAGCGTAGATAACATCGACTGATAATGTGTTGATCTAGGTCTTATATCCTGCAGAATATGCGCTAGGAAATGCGAGCCTGAGGGACACCAGCATGAAGTTACAAGCACTCTGTCAGACTGGTCGATGGATTGACGCTTTCCGAGCGTGACAGTGTATACCTGTCGCGTACGTATATGAGAGCATGTGCATGTTCCAACGAAGTGTGCTCTTCTCCTAACTTACGTAAATGTATTGCCAGCATGAACTTGAAACGATGATGTTCACAGTCAGCTATCAACGTTTCAACAGCTTCAAATCATCGAATCGAATTTGCGCTGATCTTGGTGACAGTCGTTCGGGTCTTTCTATGTATATCCCATGCACATGGTTGAGCCACGCGTCAAAGTACCAGGTGAGCGCCGTGTCCTTCCATATATTGCGCATGCACTTCCGCGCATCGTGTATAAACCCTTGTCACACTTGAAATGCAATGGTCTTAAAGTATCTATCCCTTCAATGCTCGTGGTCTCCTTACTACCACTTCCCATCCTTCCCGAGTCACGTCGTGCCACAGTCGTGGCCCCGGTCACCTGTTTAGCACAACGGGAGCCGCACGGAATGTCGTTCTGCAGCCACATCATATATTTCAGTTTGTCGTTCGGCACGATGTCAACTGGAACATATGGTCGACTGCAGTCATGACCAATAACAAAATAAGCAACACGACTTGAGTCTTCTCCTCGGATTTTGTCATTTACATTTATCGGGGTGCCTCACCGATTGCGACGGTCTGGGTGGTGTATGGCGTGATCACGGACGAGGGCGTGCTGGTTGTTGACCGCACCATCTGCGACCCCGAAAATGCGGATAAATGGTATGCCCCGTTCATTCTGTCTCTTCTCTTCTTTTGATTGTTTAGTACTAGACTGATGAGATCATCGGCCCGTCGGACATCCAGCCTCCAAGAACAGGATCTCGTATCGCAAGAAGATTGTTCATCGTTGCTCGTGTGTATATAAAATGGTAGCCGTTATTATATTCGGACACGCCCAAGCCGTACACGCACCCTGATGTTGACGTAGCAATCCTAGAAGAACTGCTACATAGTAGGCAAGTTATCATTGTGACATCGTTGCGGCGACGTAAGAAAGCTACTGTATCATCTGCGTCAGAAGGAACTTGAAGTGATCGGAAGCTCGACGCTCAGCATGTCGAGGGCGTGCGATTTTTGTCATGGGCCTAATAAGTCGTGTCAAGATATGCAAGGCAACAGGCCCTCATCGTAGTTCGGTCTCAATGTCGAGTACCACACCCAACAAGTTCACTAACCTCACCCGCAAGGTGGCATTCATCAACCTACGAACATATGAATAAATAATACATCTGTGACATCAAGATTGCATGAGGCCGTGAAGTATTCATGCCAAAGCACCCTGGGTAGAACGATCAGCATCTCGCATCTGTGAAATAATAATGTCTTACCATGGGGTCCCAAGCAGGTAGCACCACACTCTCCCCTGACTCAAAGATCTTTACATGCTCCTTTGTCGCAAAAGACTTGTGCACCACGACCTGGAACACAAACTGGTCGAACCACTTGTCACTCATTACATTATGACCCTGCACGCCACTGTCTTCACCCCAAGAATTTTCCACCTTGTACCGGACGGGGCGACCAGTCTCCTCATCCACATGCACGCCGGAGATGACCATCGCATGTGTCATGGCAGATTCGTTGGTGTCCAGTCGCTGGGCCTTGGTAAGCCCCAACGTGATGTTGAATGCTTGCTGTAACGGGAAAGAAAGTGTTTTAAAAAACCGTTATTCTTATGTTAAAATCGGCTTACTTCGTATTCGAAATAGTCAGTGTCCATGATACCGACGCCCTTGCTGGAGTCGGAGAATTGGCCTACATCACAACCGAAGAAGACTGGCTGACCGGCCTTGATGGACTGTGAACGGGGTCAGAATCAAACCAAGCAATCGAAAGATAAATTACTTACTCTGACTATGGCCTGCTTGAGCTCATCGATCTCAGTGTTCACGTCTGCTAGCAGTCAAGCTCCTGTAATGCAGACTTGACGAAAACGACTTACACAGAACAGGTCGTCCGCCCCAGATGTTGCCGAGCTTATTCACGGTGTATAGTTTGTTGTACTCATTCCGTGGGTCGTTAATGAGGGAGAAAGACTCCGCCGACTTGAGATTTGTGAATGTACATTCGTTAAGATTGTTAAGTGCACTAACCGAGAACTTGGCTGTGAAAGCCTTGTAGAACTGCAGAGGAGTACCCTCCCACTTCGCATACTTGCCATCTTCAGTGTAGTACTCCCAGGTGAAGGCAGCATCGGGCTTAGGAGGAACACCTAGACTAGCACTCATAATGGTATAAACTTCTTGCATAAGCTCTTCCTTCTTCGCACGAAGAGTCGAGAGAACCGATTCCGGCGAGACACTCTGATCGGCCTTCAATGATGAAGAGAGAGCGCGAAGAGTCAGAGCATGCTCTCGGAGCTTCAACTTCAGAAGGGTGTTGAGAGGGCTCGAAGCGCTTGAATGGTACGACTCAGGGTAAATTGGCTGAGGGACGAGACCATATGTCTGGAAGACGTTGAAAACATGCCACACCATTGTTTGTAAGGAAAGCGTACCTCAAGTAAGTTGAGAGCCATGTCCCATTGACCACCGTCGCTGATGGGGTCTCTCGCGAGGAAGTTGACCAGGCGATCATCGACAGGCAGGTCTGCATTCTCGATAGAAAGCTCGAGATAATAGTTGGACTTGTTCAATTTATCCCAGAAGAAGAGGTATGACTATAGCACTATGTGAGTGAGAGCTAGCGAGAACCAATGATCATAGATGGTCACCTGGGAGAGCTGGAATTCCTTGAGCTTTAGCTTCTTCATGACTTCATATCGAATGACATTGGTCGTTGCGAAGAGCCAGCATCTACCACTGGACTTCTGGCTTGTAACAGGCGAGGTTTTGAACTCCACCTGGTGATTGAAAACATGGGGTATCGCGACCTGGGCCGGACGACTGACAAGGGTTGACCTTAAGTTGTTATTGGCAAGGATTGTGCGGGTAAGTTGGATTTTGGGGTCCGCAGCGGCGGCGGACTCCCAGGCATCAACATTAGGCAGTGAAATTGAACCGTCAGTTGCCAAGGGCGACGAACCCACTGTGGGTGACGCGGAGCTCTGTGAGCGAACAAAGCGTTTCTCGTCGAAGGATTCAGATGAAGATGTCGCGTTCGGGGTGCCCGAAACTTGAGCAGGAACCTTGGATACAGAAGAACCCATCGTTGCAAGGACTTAGAAGACTTGACGCGCGTCACAGTGTGGGGTTGTAAACAAGTTGTAAACCAAAAGCAAGACCTTTATAGGTCGCTTGGCATTATTATTGGGATTAACGTGATTGGGCATGATAAGCTTCGGAGCACGCTGTCCCTTCCCTGGCTGGCTGTGATTGGTCCGGAGAAAATGGCCATTGCGTTGCATCACCTACGTGAACCGTTTCAGGAACCTGTGTAAGCACTAGTAATAGAACTGTCTTATCTACCAATGATTTGGTTATGTCTCTCATAATAGATATTTAAATGCGCCTTTAAACTAGCGCGAGTCGAGCACATAGGGTGACTGGATTCGCGTCGTACCCGACCGAGTGTTTGCTCAGCGCTGGGGAATCCTGGCACGGTCATTCGCGGCATTGCACATGGTGTTATCACTTGGTGAAGGCATCTCCCTGAAATGTCAACTGCCTGACAGTGATGATGGTTTGGTAAGGTGTATGAAATTCAGTCGTACAGCTTTAGGTAATGGTTGAACGTTGCGCCCCGGAACGCTCAGGCTTGGCGCTGACCCCGCACTAGTCGTGGTCGGCGACGTGCAGAGGCCTGTGGGCAGCGAGAAACCAGGCAGGAAGGGCGAGGGCGAGGATACTTAGAATCAACAGCCGAGCAACATATCATTGAGTCGGGCAAGCGAGAAACCCTCGTGAAACCGATTACTAGGGACGCGCTGTTCTGCTCTGCTTGCCCCCATGGGGCACCCTGTTTCCGAATCGGTTCCGGTTTTTCAAAGCACTTTTGTTGTCGGCATTGACGTGAATCAGCACATGGAGAAACACCAAACATCTTTTTGAGCTAAACAAATAATCACACCTCGGCGCAGGATGGATTCAACATACTCATAATAGCTAACTATGATTTTTCCGCATCGAAAATGACTCGAAAACAAGTGTTTTTCCTCCTCCCGAACCTCACTACTACTATGACCGGTTCGGAGGACGTCACAGCCACAATTTCCTTTTATATTTGTCGCCACGGCCACTCAGCACTGAGCTTTTAGAGCAGCAAGACAAAGTTACAGCTATCAATCACTTGACCGCTTTTGTTTATTGTTGGATAAAAGTAGCTAGCATTGTGGTATTGCTCCAATAAGGGAACTCACACAGTCTGCACGACCGTCGACTGAGAACCACCGTGCGGCACAACCGGCACCAGCTAATTTTCAAACTCCATGCTTCGCCTGCCAAATCTCTTCGATATAAGCCAGGAGCACTTGCCCCTTGGTGAGCCCTGGATTGACCCGCACAGGCTCGATTCACACTTCTTGGCCTTACTAATACGTCCACCACCTCTCTAAAGGTTTCTCCAAAGGCTCTATCGTCCGTTTCTTTCTGCCATAATGGATTATTGCAAGTCTGTAATAGACTGCTCTCTATCATCACAAACTCGTTTTTGCAGGTGTCCGCGGCGCGCGCCAGAATTGGCGTACATTTGTCTTGGCAGTTTTGCAGTTTTGGTTCGTTATATTCCCCTTTATATGCATCTACTCGTCGCTGCCTTTGCTACTACAATGCTCAGTCCAACAGCTCATTATCTGCTGTGACCTATCTTGTTCAATAGCAATATGACAATACTATGGAACAAAATAAGTTACAGCCGGTCAGCAGATATACGAAGATTGTTGCAATTCTTTACTATATATTGCTTAAATAACATTCTCATTTGTTCATCGGTTCTCTCATGGGATTCGAATATGCTGATTCTCGACCGCAGTTCTCCTAGTAAAAGAGAAGGTTTGATAGATCATCTCTATGTGCGTTCTCTCTTAATGATGATGCATACCTTCCCCAACTTTATATCAATGAAGTCGTCCTCGCAACTGGCTTTGGGGTCATCATATGTCCTCACGTCGCCAACGTATTCACACCGCGCGCATGGGGACCTTTAGAAAAATACTATAACATTGGAGGTGCCACATGCGCATCGTTCTCGCCACCGGCTTGCCGCGATTGGAGTCGAATTACCATGTGCATATATGAAGGAACATACAAAAATGGCTGTGAAGGCCTCATAGAACTGCGGAGTACCCTCCCACTTCGCATACTTGCCATCTTCAGTGTAGTACTCCCAGGTGAAGGTAGCGTCGGGCTTGGGAGGAACGCCTAGACTTGCACTCATAATGGTATAAACTTCTTGCATAAGCTCTTCCTTCCTCTCGAGAGAACCGATTCCGGCGAGACGCTGTGATCGGCCTTCAGCGATGAAGAGAGCGCGCGAAGAGTCAGAGCATGCTCTCGGAGCTTCAACTTCAGAAGGGTGTTGATAATCTCGAGGGTAAATTGGCTGAGGGACGAGACCACATGTCTGGGAGATGTTGAAAACATGCCATACTATTGTCTGTAAGGAAAGCGTACCTCAAGTAAGTTGACAGCCATGTCCCATTGACCGCCATCGCTACTGAGGTCTTTCGCAAGAAAGTTGACCAGGCGATCATCGACAGGCAGGTCTGCATTCTCGATAGAAAGCTCGAGGTGATAGTTGGACTTGTTCAGCTTATCCCAGAACAAGAGGCACTATGTGAGTGAGAGCTGGCGAGAACCACATTAGGTAGCGAAATTGAACCATCGGTTGCTGAGGGCGACGAACCCGCTGTGGGTGACGCGGAGCTCTGCGGGCGAATTCTCGTCGAGCGATCCGAATGAAGATGTCGCGTATAGGGTGCCCGAAACTTAGGCATGAACCTTAGATACAGACGAGCCCAAAAGACTCGGAAAACTTGACGCGGGTTGCAGTGTAAGCAGGAAGGAGTTGTAAGCCAGACCAAGTCCTTTGTAGGGATTATTATTGGGCGATTGGGCATGATAAGATTCGGAGCATGCTGTCCCTTTTCCCTGGCCAGCCTGAGCCTGTGATTGGTCCGGAGAAACTAACCGCTGCGTTGCATGATCACCTATACATGAACCGTTTCAGGAACGGCCTATGTCAGTACTAATAGAACTGTCTTATCTACCAATCGTCCCACATACGAAATATTTAAACGCGCCTTTTCACTGTATAGGGTCTCTATCTCTTGGGCCTTGGCTGGATTTGCATCGTATTACTCCTTGGCAATCAGGCTCGACCGACAGTTTACTCAGCACTAGCCGAATCATGGGATTCATGGCAGGGTCTTTCACGGCATTGCTGCACGTGGTGAGCTTAAGCGTATCGCCAATAAATACTTGGTGAGCCTGGTTTGTCTCGGACAGCCTCCATCCACACTTTTTATCCTTACTACGTTCACCACCTCTCTAAAGGTTCCTCCAAAGGCTCTATTACCCGTTTCTTTCCGTAATAATGGATTTGGAGTTACTGCAAGTCCGTAATGCTGTAGACTGCTCTCTATCATCACAAACTCGTTTTTGCAGGTGTCCGCGCCAGGATTGGCGTACATCTGTCTTGGTGGTTTTGTAGTCTTGGTTCGTTATATTTTCCTTTAAAACATATCTACTCGCAGTGTTTAATATGCTGATTCTCGATTGCAGTTCTCGATAGTATCCCTCCTGGTAAAAGAGAAGGTTTGATAAATCATATCTATGCGCCCCCTTAATAATGATCCATACCTTCCGCAGTTTTATATCAACGAAGTCGTCCTCGGAACTGGCTTTGGGATCATCATAGGCCCTCACGTCGCCAATGTATTCACACCCCGCACATGGGGTCCCTTGGAAAATACCATAACATTGGAGGTAATGCGCATCGTCCTCGCCACCGGCTTGTTCGCAGTTGGTGTCGAATTACCATGTGCATATATGAAAGAACATGCAAAGAGCTTGCTCATAATGGTCGTACCCACCATGGCCTTTGGCTGGGTCGTTGTCGCCGGCATGTATATCCTCGCGAAGTTAAATTTCATTCGCTGATTATCATGACAGGCATCATACAAGCGCTGTTTCCGGAGCTCAATTATGTCTCATCTCTTTGCATTGCTGCTTGTTTGACCCCTACGGACCCAGTCACATGTGCTGCCATAACTCGTTAGTCCCATCAACCATGATGTCAAATTAATTGATGTCTAAATATGTTCTACAGGCGGTAAATTTGCTACTAAACATGTCCCTGTGAACATTCGTCAGATATTATCTGCGGAATCCGCAGCGAATGATGGTCTTGCGTACCCGTTCCTTGCGATATCCATTTACCTCACCATAGAGACATCCGTTCGAACTGCTCTCGGCAAGTGGTTCTTGGTGGGATGGCTATGTTTGTGCTCTCTTTTATTCAATGCTTCGTAAGGTATTCATAATGTCCTACAATAGACCAGGTCATACTTGGTACTGTTTTAGGTGCTGTTCTAGGTCTGCGAAGTTGCTTTATCATCTGTGTGCATTGATCTGATTGCATTTATATTTGTGGTTCAGGCCTTCTATTCTCGAAGCTCATGAAGATATCCCACAAGAGGGGCTTTATTGATCGTGAATCATATGTGGCACAGTATCTGGCTCTGGCCATCTTCACTATGGGAATCGCGAGCACCATTGGTGCTGATGATCTTCTTGCAGCATTCGCGGCAGGTCTGAGTCCAGATTACATGTATGATCACTAGGGTCTGACATCCATTTAGGTTCTGCAATTTCTTGGGACGGTCACTTCAATGTACAGACAGAAGATGATGTATTCTCTTCTGTGATAGACTATGTCTTGAACTGTGGCTGTTTCATCTACATCGGTGCTTGGCTACCTTTTGACGCCTACAATTCTGCTGAATATGGCATCACCCCTTGGAAGCTCTTTCTCCTTATGATCACTATTTTGGTTCTGAGGCGAATTCCGCCCTTATTGGCACTTTACAAGTTTGTCCCAGAGATTACTTCCTGGAAGGAAGCGTTATTCTCTGGCCATTTTGGTGAGCAGTTCTCTTAATCATGCTGTCGCTTTCATCTAAATCCTGTATACAGGTCCAGTAAGTCAGTTGAATACCATTTCTCATCATTCATTAATTCGTCCTAGATGGGAGTCAGCGCAGTTTTCGTATCTGCCTTAGCTCTTACGCGTTTACCCACTCCGGAAGACCCGCCTGCAAATCAAGCCCAGTATCTCGCAGCAGTTATCCAGCCTATTGTTTCCTTTATCGTCCTCGGCTCTATTATCGTTCGTAAGTACTGTCATGGGAGTGTTCTCGTATTTGTCGCTAACTTACAAGGTACAGATGGCTTATCTATCCCATTCTTCAACATGGGCCGTGGCGTTCACTCTCACACGGTCTCATTAACCATGACGTGGACCAGCCGCAATCGTGCTACGGTCCCGGATTGGGTTCTTTGGGCCCGCCGTGCTCCGGATGTCGTGGAGTCAGCTGTGGATGAAGATGTAGAGCAAGGTTCCACCAGGACCCCTAAAGACACCGATGAATCTACTGTAAATATTCCAGACACCGGTCCCCCGAATGTCCTAACCTTCGAGGATGTTCATGGGGATGTCGTGTCAGTCGTGACTAGACGTCATAGTCGTGGTATAGATGACTCTTCTCCAGAACTGGTGCAGGTCAGTGTTTCATTTTCTATACATAGTCTACCTAACTAAAACTGGCTGCAGGTTGAGGCTATCGACAACCACGCTGGACCAGGGAATTTGGATAATGGCGCTCCGGATGATAATCAGATTAAGAATGTGCGCTTCCCGACTGCTCAATAACAACTACCGAGTGTCCGTGGACTGGCATGTATAAATTGTAGCTATGACTTGTGCGGTAGTCGCGACTCGCATGTTACATACAATATTACGCTTACCACGTTGAAACACCCCTTTCCCCCGTTGCATTACTCGCTTCCTCTACCCCTTTACACTCCACTTTCCTTAGTGGTAGGAATAATGGCATGCACGCGTTCCCAAAGATGTTACCCCTTGAGTTACAAATGTCCGTGCAAAAAATAGTCAAGGATTAATAAACAAAAGCGAATATGCAGCGGGTATGTATGCGGCGAATGGTCCGAACACTATGAAACCTCTAGACTACGAGATACATATGCAATGGCGCAGGTTAGCCCTGGATGTGAACTACTGATATGGTACGTGTATGCGGGGGTGTCCACGGAAGTGTATGTAGGGAGGATGAAATCGACTGACTGAGTGGATCATTCAAAAGGATTCGTGCGTCCAGCCTGAAGCAAACCCGTCAGTACAGTCAAATTCCTGAGTTAAAATCTTTCCCACCTGATTATCTCCTCCCCGGTCTGGTCCTTCGTTGCATCCACATAACCAGTCGTGCCACCATCTCACCTCCTGCTCGGGTTCTATGGGTTCCTGATGCAATGTAGGTGGAGGTGTGGATTTCATGGGAGTCATGCGTGGTCTAGCCCCTTTAGGTGGTGGTGTTAAAGGCGGCGGTAAGCCTAGCTGCTGTGGGGGCGGAACAAGCGTTGGGGTCGGAGCAAGCGTGGCTAGCTGCAATGAGTGGGTATTCGAGTCCAAGTCAAAAGTTTCGGTTATCACACTAGAGCGCTTCTTCGAATCGACGAGGGGGAACAGTGTCGGGGAGATTAACCCCGGTCCTGTTTCAGATGGATGTAAGAACGGATTTGCAGTTGTGGGCGGGCTCTCGATATCGTCAAGTGGCACTACGTCGATAGAGTCTCTAGATTGAAGAGCTCGGTGGTTCCCTAGCCCTCCTGCAGATGATCTGACTGACGGCCGTTTCGACAGGAGCACGCTTGCTCTGCGTGTTACTTCTCCAAGTAAAGATGGACCGCCCCCGCCTCTATTGAGGTTCGCAGATTCTCGTGCGGCTCTCCGTCGTTCGCGTTCAGCCAACTCCCATTGACGTAGGTTCTATCAGGATAGAAGCAACGTTTTAATGACCCGAACTCTTATGAGAGGGAACGAAAATAGCGCACCTCTTCTACGCGTCGCGTCTCGGCCGCATCGTCATTCATAGGAGGGTATGACTCTGAGCTAGGGTTTTCTATGATATCTTCGTCTAGTTGTTTAGCCTTTCCCTTCTCTGTGCTCGTACTTGAACGTGGTGGTGAAATGTCTTGCAAGTCTCGCCGGTTATTATCCTGTGACCTTGAATGAGTATGACTGAGATCCTCTTCAAAGGTTGGAGGTGAATTAGAGGACATGTTGTCGAATGCAATTGAAGAGGATGAATGAGAAGATACCATCCGCTTTGTTCGTGGTGTCCCCAAAGCCCAGAAACGACAATTACACAATATTAATGACGTTTACTCAAAAACCGTAAAATTCTCACAAACAAAGAGCTATGTACATAATTTAGCTTCTAGGCATCCATCAAGAGCTCATCATGTATCATCAATCGCAACGTTATCAACGTTTCAACGCTCGGCCGCTTAACTTAGAAACAGAGCTACGGTTGCTCAGCGCTCAGCACTTAGGCCTCAGGCGTCAGCGCTCAGGCGTGGGGCGCTGGCACTTATCCGTGGACATAGATAAACCGCTTGAATATCTGACAACTCAACCACTTATTTTTATCCGTCCTGACACCCAAGAATACGAATTAAGGTCCATTCTAAGTATACGTATATAAGAGGATATCATGTGAAGAGATCAGTCAGTCCGTGGTGAAAAATAGTCCCCGGTTGACGGATAAGACTCAAAAAGCTCAAGGCGTCTGTACACAACACCCACACCTACCGATGACCCGCTTGCATCATCATCTCATCGTATACACTCCCGTTATCATCTGACAGGTACTGCTGTCTCAACCCGCTCGACTTGTGGACCGAGTGCTGGACCATCGGTGTGAATGACTCTTCTGATCCAGCGCGACTGCAGACTGTACTGCGGTTGCTATTCCCGGTGCCGCCAGGGAGAGACAAGATGGAGGTGCGAGCAATTTCCTTCATTTGCATGATGCTCTGGCGGAAGGCATTCTGCATTATACACATTAGAAAGACGGCATCAGAAATGCGGGATGCGGAACACTTACCTGTTCACACCAGTACTGGAGACGCTTTTCACGTTCCTGGTCACGTTGACGGCGGTGGAATCAGGAACAGGGCAATCAGAGTGGCAAACATGCCTAACAATCCAACCCTCGGGTCAGATGTCGTTCAAATATTCGAAATAATGGGGCATGACCTCCGAAGATACCAACTCCAACCACAGGCATATACCCAGGTCTTGAAGTATTTTGGCGAGTCGGAACCTAGACCACAAACGCCTTTATCCAAGCAGTTAAACGACGAACATCTGAGCGTCCAGTCAATATCACGATGCATCCTACATCGAACTCAATACATACTCTTTGTCTGCATCACAGGTCTCCCCAAGCTCTTTCGCCTGAATGCAAACTAACGACTGCGAATCGCAATACGACCCTATTTGACAGTTCCCTCTAAAAAAAGGAGATGAGCACCACGCTTAGGAACACTGCAACCCTACTCACCGTGACACGATATCAATGAATTCGTTATTTCCCGCATAAGCGATGTAGGCGGTGTTCTCTACTTCACAAGATTGGCCAACTGTGACATTTGCCCACCTATATCAAACAGTCAACACACAGTCGTCCGATACCAGTTTCCGACTCACATGCAGACGTTGTTCAGACAGATGGAGCCATTTACGTTACGGCCGTACTTTGAGGGATCAGCTAATTGCTGCCAATTTGGAGGCGGCTGGCATTGGTCTGCGGAGTTAACACGGAATTAGCGAATATAACCACATCATGGAGCTCCATCGTGGCGTACCATCACGGTTCAGCTGACATGCACTGCCAACAGGTAGCCAAGGCTGGCACGCATCGCTCTCGTCGGGACAAAACTGCCCAGCAGGACACAGTGGTGGCACCCAGTCGCCTGGTGTATACCCAAATGGATATTGGTCCTTTCTGCAGCCTTTCAGTTCACAAGTGCCCTGCGACGACGAGCAGTATGTTTGTACGTCGCAATCGCTATGAAATTGAAATGTGCCGAATTCGAGGCGGTTGTTAGTGATAGTGCAGTTCTCGCCCTTGGTTTGATTACCAGCGTAAACGAAGGTGTGCCAAGAAGAAAAAAAGAGTGTAAGAGATAGCAACAACATCACGAGGGAGGGTATCGAAAACAAAGAAGAAGAGACACAAGGGCCATTGAATTTGTGCTGGCATCACATTACGTCAACCAGAGTTGGCCGTACCGATCTAGTTCCGAACTGTACATGTGCTAGTAGCGAAGCGTATATGTAGTAATAATAAAATCTTGTGCATCGTACTATACTATTTGCCACATCCTGGGCAGCAATGGATAACATCGTGAACAAATACATCGCACTCTGCACAGAAATCGTTGTGACAATCAGGGCAGCGGTACCGACCCCAAGGACTCATACCCTCCGAAGTTGCTGCAGTTGACACTGAGGTCGAAAATATCCTTGCACATGCGTGGCAACTTGAAGCCGTCTGTGGCGTGGACTCGCCTTCCATTGATGTTCTGGGATCAACAGCATCAATGATACAGACATAAATCCACTAATATATCACTTACACAGCTTCATACGGTTTCACTGGGAATAGATGGTGATAGCTTCGTGCCAGGTGAGGTGAGCTCACGATCATGAGTCCACAGATGTCGCAGTCGGTTGGGACATCGCACACTTTCGCCATACACCTCGGACACAAGAAGCCTTCGCTCTTCATGTCCGAATGACAAGCACATAAGCTTGGTGGTGATGAATCAGGAAGTCGAGTAGGAAATCCCATCATCATCAAGTCGGCAGCTGGGTTTGCTCCTGGCCCTCCTGCGCGAGCGACGGCTCGTTGTGCAGGAGGTGGAACAAGCTCAAACAAGATGTCTTTGAAGTGCCCCTCGTTCATGGCCACGCCAAATTGACCTGCCCTATGGATGAATCAACATATTTCGTATAAAACATCCTACTTACCACCAGTCTTGTCACATAAATCTCTGGATATCTTCATTTCCGCAGCCAATGCAACGACCGATATGCGTATTTTATTCTTTACGCAGGCATCCAGGGTGTCGTGAATATTTCCAGGGTCGCATGTCGTCAGAGAGCCAAAGATGATAAGGATCTCTCGTGAAGAGTGGGTTGGCAAGTGACTGCATAGATCAAAAATAAGTTCCAAGTGCTAAGGAACTGATATACCTCATGCTACTCCGTGCCATCTCGATGGCATTTTGAAGGCTTGGTTCACCCGTGGGCTCAAGTCGACTTCTCTCGCTGAGACATTTCAGGACATCTTGCGGATTGCCTGGTAGAATGAGCATGTTACTTGATGAATCACCCTGCAAAACCTACCAGACATCTCCCCGATCCTTTCGCCAATACCCGCACGCATACCAACGACGCCAATCTGCCCCAGAGGATTCTGGTCAAACCACTCGACCACAAATTCCCTTGCGTACTGAAGCATGAGATCAAAACGAGTCGGACGCATGTCGCGGTCCATCATCGCTGCTGAAAGGTCGAGGAGGAGAACCAGATGTCGGATGATCGTACGGCGGATAGCAGCAGCAGGTGCAAGTAACCTGACTCACTAGGTCAGCGAAACTACAATGGGAGACGTGAAATAGATGGACCTCCTCCGCCTCCCCCGCGCCATAAGATCCTCCACTGCGCCCTGCAGACTTCCAGCCTCATCTTCCTGCACAGTGTCCCATGAACGCGTATAAGATGCCTCCCAGGTGTAAGCTTGCTGTAAAAATATGAGTATAACTCCGTGATGAATACCGCCTTGCTGACCTCCTTCGCTTTTGCCTTGCCTTTGTCCTTTTTGCGTTTGTCAATGACTTTGCCCTTTCCCTTTCCTTTCCCGCGGTGTTCAACATCACCGAGCAAAGAAATGTCTGAATCAGAATCTACGTCCATGAAATTATCATCTCGATTCCTGGGCGCCATGGCTGAAGCTGGGACTTTTCGTGAAGTGAGGAAATGAAGCCTTGCAGAGATGACTAGGCTGTCGGAAACATATCATCTTAAGGCGGTGGCTCGGTGGCAATCACTCTCAAAATACTGTACAATTGTATATTGGTTATTACTAGTACTGGTAGTAATCTATACTCCTTGTTCACATTTATACCGTGACTATTCTTATCTTGCGAATCGTACTAGTGGGCGCAGGGTGCGCATATCAGCTCGGCCTCGTTCATCGGTCACGGCGAGAAGCAGCCTGAGAGTTCAGTGCTTCTCGGCATGACCAACACTCGAAAGATAACAGAAACTGAATGGGACAATCGGCCATCAGTAGAAAACTTCGACTCGCAACTCCAACACCCGTCACAATTCATACAGTTTCGGAGGTGGCAAAGACAGAAGCATGATACGAACTTCATTCATAATATAATCAGGTACAATGACAGAGCCTCCCAAAAAAAAATCCAGCACCAATTGAGGACTCGCTACTACACCAATAATACATCATTATTCATCGATACAGACTAAGCAGATACCCTGATCAGATGTTGCAAGGCCGTGATATCCATCTCCGCATTCCTCGGAGTGATACTGCAAGGGAATGGCAAAGGACGCCTAACAAAAATCAATAAGCCATCTCTCCGGAGAAATCCTATTAAACCCCACGTACACAGTAAGCCCTGGATTCCAGCGTGGCTCGATCTCAATCTCTTTACCAGTCTCGTCTTTGGCCCTAGAAAAATTGAAAACTGCAAGCAAACAGACCATGCCAGACCATATAGAAGCTTCGGCAAGATGACGACCAGGGCATATCCGTCGCCCAAATCCCCACACGAAACTCACAGTATCGTCTGTCAGAGTGCCATCTGGGTTCAGGAAACGGTCAGGATTGAATTCGTACGCATTTGCGTATTTATCTTCGTTGTGGCACATTGCCCTGAGAAACATTGAGTTACAAACCACAAAATAATCGATCTTCGTACCAAACATTCGGGGTGACTGTAGCACCTGTACTGCGAATGAACGTGGACTTCAGGATGAGAAGAACCTCGCACACCTTTGGGTATGTAATAACCTTCGTAAATGTCGCTTTCGACAGCAGCATGCATGATCGCTGTAATAGATCAATGATCCAGTTCCGTTGTGCTGACGTGTGCGACGCACCAAGAGGGAAAACTGGGTGCCACCGCAAGCACTCCCGTAAAATGGCATCAATGTAGGGCAAGGATGGACGATCGTGGAATGTGGGCAGTCTCTTTTGGCCAACCACACTATCAACAAGTTTTTGCGCTTTCTGTTGTATATCTGGGTGGAGAATCATGACCAGCATGAAGTTCATCAACACAGCGGCTGTCTAGTACTTGTCAGCGTTGGACCGAATCACTGGCTGCCGCTTTCGGCCTACCGTCTCAGTGCCAGCTGGCGAGACAATCTCATTCAGTCTGACAAATTTACACTGAAACCCATTTGCTCACCTCCAAGAGCGGTTGCTGCGGATTCCTGTATTGCTTTCTTCTGCCAGGCAGAATCGCCGTGGCCATCATCAAGCTCCGCCAAATGTTTAGCGACCATGCAAGGAGAAACAGATCCCATAGCCTGAAAAGAGCTTGAGAAAAAATAATCTCACAAAATGTTGCATTTACCATACCACGCACTGTGTGCGCGAACGGCCTTTCCAAGTTTTCCACGGCCAATTCCTTGGCTAAAGGTGAAATTCTCTTGAGACGCATACCAGGCAGCCAAGAGGGGAGGCGGAGAACTGCAAATTATACGGTAAGAAATTGGTGTATATGATAAACGACTGAGCATACGGAAAGGATAAGCACTAAAAACGGCAGCTACCTCGGGTCTCAACTCTTTCAGCATGATATCCAGAGCCATGGTTGCGCGCTCAATCATGTAGTCATGACGTCGTGCTGCATCATACGAATACACGGCGGACAAGATGACTGAACCTGAATGGCTGGAGAACTGTTTCAATACCAAGGTACCCGGTAGATGGGCATAAAATCTACCCACGCTTCAAGGTGTTCCGGGTAGTTCAAAGGATCCTCGAGGAGGTTTAATAAAAGGTCGTGGCTTTTGGCTACTTGCATGGGCTGAAAAGTGGGGACTGCGTCTTGTCGGAAGGACTGATGTAAAATTTTCCGCTGAAGGCGCCATCTACTGCCATATCGCATAAAGGCGGTAGTATAGTCGACGCCAAATCTAAGAATTCATGGCTAATCAACAAGAATACTGGAGAATTCGACTAAATCATACAATTCATTGGTTGCGATCTCTGGTCGGTCGGAGTAGTTATGTGAGCGATGCTCAAGGAGGTCTCTTGCAACCCGCTCAGAGTTGATAATGATATTGTCCTGACCAAAAAGCCGAGTATATACCACGTCACCTGGGAAACACTGATTACTAATTGTGATCTGCATTGTAGGGGACAACTCACCGTATTGATTGCCCCATGCCTTGTAGGTTAGCCAAGGGGCGGTCACATCGACTGCCAGTGCACTACCTAGGATTGGGAGTAAAGCTGGACCAGGTGGTAATTTACCACTGTGAGGCAGCTTCGGTTTGGCAAAGTAACTTCTGAGTACCAAGCTGATGGCAAAGGCGGCAGAAACTAGACCAAGCGTACTGTAACTCATGAGAAGGTCCAACATAGCAAGTGTTAATAATACAAAGTGAGTGGTGCGGTAGGTGGAGTTTTGGGGTCTTTTATATTCAGAAGGGGTGCAAGACAATTTACCTTAAACGAGCATTCAATTTGAAGTACGTGATGACCGGTGACGCGGAACGCCTGATGTGTGATGAAGCAAGGACTCGATCTGAGGGTGACAACGGACAATAAGAGGGCGTAGCATTCTGTTAGCAATGTAAAGTAGAGCTGATCACGGTGAAGGTACAAGTAGATCGAGTAGTACAAAACACTAATGCGTCAATTGCGTCCGAAGTGGAAAGACCTCAACCACCGCTCGGTAAACGTCATAATTAACATGCACCGCCGGTAGTAGGGCAGAACTATTTCTGCCGGCAGAATCCTCCCATGTTCTACCCCTGCCCTGACAAGTGGCAGGATGGCAAAGTTCTGCCATTCGCCCGTGGCAGAACTTGAGGTACCGGAGCATGCGTGAGATGAGTCTATCAGTGCAATCCCTAATTGTATCTACCCAGGCACAACGGTATGACTGCCCGGCACCCGTTCTCGCGCGCACCTTAGGACGTGCCTGAAATTCTCCGATACAGTTTACGGGGTCCAACCTTTACTAGCATGGTTCCTGACATGGACAAGTCAAATTCCACTTACATGCATTATGGGCTCGATTGGTCCCCAGACCATACACAGTCGTTCCGCTGCTGAATTTCTATGCAGTGGACGTCTCAAATGGCATTGCACGAGCTTACCACAGATCTGTCGTCGGCATAGCTTTCCTGCAACAAAGACGACTCGGTAACGTCGAAGCTTGAAGCCGAGTCAGGGGTGGAGATTCATCGATGCAGTCCGACTTACATGCCAAGCCTAGTGCACCCCTTGAGATCATATATTTCCAGATCGTCATCCTTGCTCGCGAGTGAACGTTAACGTTAATAACCTTATGCTCAACTCCAAACTATCAATATATTCTACAAACCTAGACAACGTACTCACGGTCCACAACCCCTGACTGAAGTACATCCTGCCAAATACCTTCCACCCATCTGACACACTCATCTACTTTTACAAACACTTCCTCGACAACCTTCCTCAAGTACTCATCTTCGAAACCTTGCACCCTACCAATCGTCAATTGAGGTGTCTCTGCATCATGAGCCGCATCAAATTCTTCTGGATTTAAGACTATCGCTATCCGAGCTCGCTTCTCAGTACGCTTGCCATGCTGCCCTGTCTGCATTCTGAGTGGTCCCGTATGCGCTCCAGCTTGTTTAGATTCCGACCGTTGATGCCTGAGTGCATCAGCCAACGCTTTCAGTATCCGTTTCTGTAGTAGCATAAACACAGGGTCATTATGGTTGAGTGTGCGAGCAACAGCCGCGCGAAGCCTGGTCTCTTCCTCTCCAGAGAGCATGGCGCCATCCAGCTGGCGTGCACGAACAACTTCATCTGCAAGATTCACAAGCTTTATGTCGCCTGAACCTGGTTCTTCTATGATTTCAGCATTGAGAAGGATCCACAGCCGCTCCATGAAGCTCATCGCGTCGTTCCCTTGTGCACCTTGAGGTACACGAATTAAGGTGCGTAGAGAAGCAGCGATCACCAGTGCCTGTAGGTAATTCTGAATTTCGAGTAGCGCGGGAGTAGAGAAGAAAAAAATCGGTGGAAGGGAGTTCTCATTGGATTGTGGCTCTCTGGTTGGTAATTGACATGATATAGGGGTCGATGATCCTAGCGCCTGTACAAGTCGCATGATCCATTTGAATTGCGGCTCAGCGGCGACGCCGTTAACCTGAAAAGATGGTTGATAGTCCCCAAGCCATACCGGCCAGATACACTCTATCCGCCAGCACTTCCAAATATCCAAGATGTCTTTGCGTTCTTTGGTTTTTGCCTGTTGAGATATCATAGACTGTAGCTGCTGCTCAGTCATGCTTCCCAACACGAACTGGGAGAGCTGTTCTCTCATAATGTCCGAGATCCTGAGTATGGACTTCACTGTGTCTACCACCAGCGTGGCTAATGAGATAGGACGCGATGACCGGAGGGGAGGTTCGTCCAGTGAACGAAGAAGGTCATCGAGTTCTTCGTCCTGGACTGGCGCGCAACGCTTGCGCAGAGAAGTTACAACCTCACGTAGATGCATGACAGCTGAATCTAATGGGGAAGACGTCGGAGGTAACGGTGAGGAAAGTGTGGTAATGACAGGACTCTGAGATGGGAGAAGAGGCGTCAGTGCAATGAGGAGGTCTTGGTACAACGATTTGATGCGCGGTAGCTGGCAAGAAGGCTCTGGATTTGAGAGTGATTCCACAGCCTAGAGAGCCCTCAGATGGTAGAATATCCGAAGCACATGAAGCCGCACCTCATCCCAGAAAGCTTTATGCACGAGATCCTCAACCTTGTCGCGCAAAGTAGGTCTTGCGCCGTCGCCCTCTTTAGGTGAGCCAGACAGCATTGAAATGAGGGACTTTCCTGGAGGGACAACGCGCTTTGGATCCGTGGCAAGCAGGTGATGGAAGTATGTGCGGTTGAGAATTTCTACTAGCTCTAAGGGAAGCAATATTGGATCAGATGTCGGAATGAGGGGGGACGGTGCGGATTCAGGATCAGGATAAATGATTGAGAAAGAATCTTGTGGTGCTTTGTTCGCTGGATGAGAGGGTGCGGGTATATTGCCAGTGGCGGGCGTAAGGTCTGATCCCTTGGACGGTCGAGTAGTCAATAAACTGCGCAGCGTATGCAGAAGTTTTTCATTATCTTCGGATATGTCCCATAGCCCTTGATCCTGTAGCCGTTGGAAATCCCGGATAAGACTGTCCCAAGTGACGCGCTGAGTAATTGCTTCGTTATGGTGCAAGTCTGTTAGCAATGAGATAGTGTCCCGAAGTAAAGCATTATCTGGAGCAATCTCTGCTTTGGCCTTGAGCTTTGATAGGATGGCCTCCATATTGGTCGATGACGAGCTCGACGCCTTGCACGACCTAGAATGTGGTGGTCGATGCAAGGTCGATGACAAGTAATTACATCAGTGCCCGAAAGGAGACCATTTTAGGATCACACTGTGACACGGCTTACATTTTTGTACGTCACTGGGGCGCTCAGTTGACTGTCAGCCAAATTCCAATACTTAGCTATATACAAGAACTACAATTTTAACGAACTCTACGACGACCGCAGCAACGGTGTGCTTGCCTTAATTTCCAGCGCTTGATGTCACAGTCAGCAGCAGCTTCACTGACGACCTCAGTTCCCACTCTCACCAGTACTATCGCTCAGGCCACAGCAGAGCCATCCGCAACTGACCTGGTTTCTGCTCATCATGCCAGTCCGGTGGTAGCGTTCATAATTGGACTAGCGATCATTCTACTTGCATCTATTCTGAATGCTGCTGGTCTAAATATCACAAAGTTGGATCATGTGAGTTTCTACGACGTGTCACAACTCAATCAATGATTATGTTTTGATACGCCCAATTTACAGGTGCGGACGAGCACCATTCCAAAGTCAGCCCGCAGGCGAGACTGGCTACGACCGCTATGGCTTCTAGGCATCGTTTTATATATTCTATCCCAGCTCATAGGAAGCACGCTTGCCTTGGATTATATGAGGGCAGGCACGTTGACTTGTTCTCTCATATCATCCCTCTCTGACAATTAGCTCCTCAGAATATGTTGCCCCTCTCGGATCTACATCTCTCATCTTTAATTTTCTATTCGCTAGATTTCTAATTGGGACCCCAGTCACACAAACAGACATCTATGTGAGCTCCTCCTCGCTCTATTTGCACGCTTCGCTAACCAGACTCAGGGTACGCTGATCGTGGTACTCGGCGTAATCGGTATCGTTGCCTTTGGAGGTGTCAACAGTGGTCTGTCGACGGAAACGGATGTCAACCATCTCACGGCTTTATGGCGGCGTGGTGGTTGGCTTGGATTCTTTTTTTGCATGTCCATCGCCCTCATTCTCGTCCTCATTTTCACAAATTCCCTGGATGATGTTCTCGCTGCACGGTCAGACTTGGACTCGGAACCTTTTGCGGGCATGAGCACACGGAGGTCGCACGAGTCAAGCACTACTTACCTTGGAAAAGTCAGGAACAACTGGAATGCATGGATGTTATGGGTAAAGGAAAAGTTAGAAACCTGGACTGCGCCTCAGGATGATACGCAAGTCGCGTGGGTGCTTGGAATTGGTTGGGCGTGCTGTGGGGGTGGACTTGCTGGAGGGTGTCTGGTTTTCGCCAAAGCCACGTGGGTTCCCTTTGTCTCTTTCCCAGTTTTGCTTTTTCTGACTCGGAATCAGCGTGAAGCTACTCACAGGAAGCCTCTCGCACGAGAACCCCGGAAACCAATTTGGCCATCTAGCTCCCATATTCACAATCATTCTACTCGTAATCACGGCTGTACTTCAGATCATCTGTCTAAACCGTGGACTTAAGGCTTATGACTCCACTCTCGTTGTCCCAGTTTTCTACGGCGTTTACACTGCAACTGGGTATGTTCATTCTTCCTGTTTTCCTGTTTCAATTACACCTATTCTTATCTATGACCCAGTTTTCTGGACTCGTTGGTGTTCAACAACGCAGTTGACGCCTACAAGCCATGGATACTCTTCCTGATCTTCGCCTCAATAATGATCCTAATCTCCGGCGTGGTCCTCCTAACACATAAAAAGCCCGAACGATCGACTCGTGCGCCTGCTGCCACTGCGCTGTCTGGCTTGTCATCTCGCAAGGCTGCTCGGTCCTCTTCAAAGGTCAATCGTATAGATGAAGACGACGATGACGATGACGAAGAGCAAGCTTTGAGAAAAACAGAAGAAGGTGAGGAGGATCGGGCAGTACTATGGCAAGTGGGAGATATTAGCGAGGATGAGGATGACCAAGTTGGCAAAGGACATACGCCAAGAGGTGTGCACGTAGCTGGAAACACGACACGTGTCACTGGAGAAGGATCCATGCTGATGCGAGGTGAGGAAGTGAACTTCGAACAATCACACGAACACAGTCACTCGATTTCCTCAGATACGACACTGGCTCAGAATCCGCAGGATCCATTCCTCGATGATGACGACGAGGAGTTTGGGCAGTGGAAATGATGGATACTGTTCATGATACAACTTCATACCCCGACGTTGGACTGCACATATATGCAATATGTTCATAATTGCTTCACAGTAGATACATTTACTATTTACCGGAACACTGCATTCGCACGCGTCTAATACATTTGCTTCGCGAACTTCGCAAGATTGGTTCCGTTGATCGGGTCTAAATGGTTGAATCACAAACCCGTGCATATGTATACTATTCGCTCAATGAATTGTTAGTATTATTAGTTAGGCTGACTTTGTCATCTTCTTTCTCAAACACCATGGTCGAGTTAAACTCAACACAAGAAAAAGAACTCGACGAACTTGACGACGATTATCAGTCAGACGACGAGGACCCTAACGTATTCAAAGTCAGAGATGCATTAACACCGCCGTCCGCAATGAGCTACTCTGCACAGGAGTTACACAGTGCGTCGGTTAACACACAACTCGTGGCGTATTCTCTTACATACTGTCAACTTCAGGATATATACACGAAGGCTTTATTGACCTGAACCCCATTTATCAACGAGGCGAGTTACCAGAACCCTACGCACTTGACGTATATTGAACAATAACTGCACGCAGACGTTGTTTGGTCAGAGACAAAGCAAATTGGTCTCATCGACTCCATCTTTCGAAACTTCTACATCCCCCCTGTGATATTTGCCGTGGCCAAAGATGATGATGGGGAGCCCGTTCGTATTTGCGTGGATGGAAAACAAAGGCTCACGTCAATACAAAAGTTTCTTGACGGTCTGGTGAGTGCTCCCTTGTAGTCACGCGACGTTTACTGGTATCTTATGCTACGTGAGCGTTAACAGATACCTCGTGAGTGTGATATTTGACGATACTTGGTCTTCATGTTGTTCATTTAACTACAAAGATCGAGACGTGCATACAAAGAAGAGCTATTGGTTCGTTCGTTCGGCGAAGCAGAAGAATACACGCCTAGAAATACCAGAAGAGTGGAAACGACGGTTTGCAGAAACCAGAATTACTTGCGGTTCGTGTTTTGACTGCATCACCCTTCTGAGCTACTTACCTTTGTTTCCCTGTAGTCGAGTATCATCACTTGACTCCTGAAATCGAGCGCGAAATCTTCCAGCGGGTGCAGCTCGGTGTGCAATTGACTGCTGCAGGTGCTGTACTTCTTTAATGACACAATTTATACTGACGGACGTATCCAGAGAAACTTCAGGCGATTTCGTCGCCATGGGCTGACTGGATCGCGGACCTCGAACTGCGTCATGTGAATGTGGACAATAAGGGACTAGCCAGTGTCCTCGAGTGGGACACTACACGCGGAAGAGACTTCCAATGCATTGCACAGCTAATCTATTGCTGTGATGGCCTCCCAGACCACCTGCTTCCCACAGCCCAAAAACTAGAAAAATGGCTGAAGCGGGTGGATAAACCACCAACGAAGTTCATGGCACTGATCAACGATGTACTGTCGGAGTTTTGGCACATCGCGACAGATTCTGAACTTAACGCCGCTTTCACCGAAGTCGACAAGCGCGTTGCGCCTGTCGAATTTGTATTCGTCGGTATGTATCATATCTTTAGAAGTGAATAATTTGCTTAGCATATGCTCTGCGTATGCCCCACAGGCGTCATCCTTTTCCTTCTTCGGGGGGACCACACAAGTGAAGAAAAAGCGAATGCCGTCCTACATATGCGTTTACGCATACGAGAACAATTCCGCGACGTTCGGAACAATGGTGTTGTAGGAAAAGCCTTGTGGAGTTTCGTTGATAGCATAACTGGTCAATCTGGGTTGAGAGTGTTGGACGCGAGCGCTCCAATGCTGGCGATTGCGTCCACTTCCACGGGCACGAAGCGGAAGAGGAAAGGTTCGGATGCCGACGATGACTATCACCCTTCGCCAATCAAGAGTCTAGGTTCGAAGGCAAAAACGCGCACATCGGGCAAGAAGTGATTGTCTCGTGGTGTTGTGAACTATACGACAGGGATATTAACTGCAGAGGCTTATAGTAAATACCATGATCGTATACATGCCTCCTGTAGATATAGGCTATTGTTGATTTCAGTTGTTGTAACTTACTCTCGCAGTGTACCATACCCCCTCAGTATCAGTCAGAGCTCTGGCATGTTTGAGCAGTAGTTTGTCTCTTTCCTTGGAGTTAACGGCAATGTCAAGTAAGAAATGTTCGATCTCCTCATGTCTCCATCGTTGGCGAGTCAGAAATAGCTCAACGAATCTCGCAGCTGGGTCAACTGGTAATGCAGAAGATGGAAAGTAGGTCAGTGTCGCTTCCTCTCCGATTGAGGACAGATTTCGAAGGTAGTCTCCCTACAAATCATGTCATTGTAGTTCAGCCAAGAGTTAGCATAGCAACGCACCGAAAGAAGGGATAGCTTCACAGAAGACTCGAAAGTGTCCCCTACTACGTTTTTCCATTTCTTGAGGAATTCGTTCTCAGAGATAGGGTTATGCTAAGTCTGGCGTCAGTATCGGCAAGCAGAGCCAGCAAAGAAAAAACAAACCCTATGATGGCGGAGAATTCCTACTCCAAGCTCTCGAATCACCGCATCTACATCCATTTTCCAGAGGCCTTCTCTTACATCCCCGAACCAGGAGATAACCTGCTTCGATACTGCGCGGGGTATTTCATGTTCATCAGCAAGTACAGACACCAGCTCCTCGATCGGAGCAGCTTGGTGTGAGAGGGACAGTGATATCAAGTAGTTTAACAGCAGTTCGAGAATAGTGCTAAGATGCGCTGGGGCTATAGGCCGTAGCTGTCCTAAAATAATATTAATATAACGACTCGAACAGCCATCACAGGGGGTCTTGCTCTTACCTTCAAGGACGAGGATGCGTCTCTGTTTCAGACCGCGGGCGAACTCAGCTTCGCTGGCTTGTATTTCGCTACGAGCCTGCTCGTAGCTATATTTTGGCATGGTTGCCTTGTGAACATGGATGAGATGATATGCCCCGTACACACTGCATGCTGGCCCACCTGCTTGTCCTCATCTCCTTCATCATATTCCATGTCCCTCAGCAGGATGGAAAGCTTATGCAACTTTGGTACCACAGGCACCAGCTCCAAGATTTCATGCAATTGGTCTCGGATGTGCACGGTCCCATCTGGATCCGATCTGGAGGGTGTCACAACCAGCATGGTATTAGACAGCACGACAGAACGGACAGCATATGTCTTTTCTAATGTACATAGTACTGCGTCCTCAGTCGGGTGCCCTTTGATAAAGAGGCTGGGTGTTACAATCTCAAATCAGATAGTTGACGGTCGAGAGGAAAATCCACCTAGCAGTTTTCTCAGAAGCAGATTCAATTATTTGGCACAGCTCTGGAAGAAGCTCCAAAAGCCTAAAAGAACCTGTGTCCTGAGCAGTAGCTGTAGACAATCTAAGATCCAGTTCACTCATTGTGGTACGGGTCTTAAACTTGGGTGTCATCGGGAGACCTTAACGCGCTTGTCACACTCGCACGTGTTGCAACGGTCACGCACAGATCACAAAATAACTGAAAAACAACTATATAGTGTGTGGAAAACACAGAACATATCGACGATACGTCCATTCACATAAATGCGATCAGCTCTGAGGAGCGTGCGTGTCAACAGGGTGGAATTTCACGCGGACTTCTGAGATTTCCTTCCGCGCCTCCTTCAACGTCTGCGAGATCTTTACTTCCAGTCTTGATGTAGCCAAGACTGACATATTGCTCGGCACATCAGCTGTAAGGTCCACATACATCATGGAGCCTGCACGCTTAGCTCGGAGATGTCGGACGGCAAGCAATTCAGCAGTGTCATGGAAACCGTTGCCGATGACAGAGGATGGCGGTGATGATGATGAGGTGGTAGAGGAGAGAAGAGGGTCCAATGCGTGTGCAAGCTTTCGTTGCGAGTTCACCGAGATGCCAGCATCTGTAAGCTCAGTGAACGCGCCTCCAAATAGGTCTAAACCTTGCTTGAGGATGACAAAAGAAACGATGAGCCCTGGTGAAGGTGATAAGCAGTGTAGAAAAAAGGACCTGGTAAAAAATTACTCACCCCCTATAGGATCCAAGGGTAATGCAGGGAATAGCCATGATCCTATAATTGCGAAAAGGGCAACAAAACTCGAATATGCGTCACTGCGATGATGAACAGCATTTGCATAAAGCACTGGGCTATGTTCTTCGTCGGCAACCTTCTTGGTTACTCGATACAACCACTCCTTTGCTACGACGCTGACTGCGGCGAACCAGGCTGCATTAGGGTCGAGGATGCCAGTATGACCATGCGAGTGGCCTATGGCAGGAACATTATAAGCAATAGACGTAACTTGTTGGAGCAGGTTATGAAGCGGGCCGGGTGGGATGGTGGAGACAGTTGTCGCCAGTGCTTCCACGAGGAGGTGATACGAATGGAAGCCGATGGCTAGTGCTCCTCCGATGAGCAACAGTGACACGGTAGTTGTCCCGAGAGTCTCAAATTTGGCGAATCCGTATGGATAACGTGCTGAAGGTGGCTTCCTTGATAGTTTCCAGCAAAACAGGACAACAACGTCACCAAGCAGATCTAGAAACAATCATGTTAGTGCAAAGAGCCAAGCTATTGGTTGGAATCACGGACCACTCATGGAGTGACCGGCATCTGCCAGCAATGAGGCAGAATGCATATACCAGCCCGCGAAACCTTTAGCGCCAGTCAAAGCCACGTTGGCAAATAGCCCTATAATCGTTATTCGGCTCCCTCTGTCACCTAATGAATTATTAGCTGGGCTTCGACTAAGCAGGGGATCACAGCTTACCAGCAGTTTGAAGCGCCTGTACTATCTGCTCTGCATCATGTCCGTGGTCGTGTTCATCGTGCGAGTGTGAGTGAAAGATCGAATGCGAATGTTTGTCATGGGCGTCATTGTGACGATTTACGCCTTCCTGCGTCATTTCTTCACGCTGTGAACCTCGCTGCGTCGAGTTTACTCGTCGGATTGCCATTCCAAGGCACGTTGTAGGCGGATACGTAAATGACCTGGCAACACGTCAGTACTCCTCAGGTCCGGGACTCTGGATGTGCCTTGCTTAGTCTCCACTCACCTGACACTATCTGAAAGCACGAGACTAGGGACCCTATAACGACGTTGTAGGTCCGAATGATATACTCTACTTTGCGAAGACCCCCTTGGAAATAAATACCGGGAGACAACAGGCAAAATGAATGGAAATGATGCCAAGGACCCCGTTATCCGAGTCGAGCCCACCGCGGTGTGAACAGCCCTGATCAAGCAGCGCTCAAGGTTCGCTGCAGCCTTCATGGCTGGGCTTGTCACAAATGAGACGATAGAGATATGGTCTAATGATACACATAAGGATGTGGACCAGGCATAGTCAGAAACACTACAGCCTTGACAGTGACAGTGTGACTTCCTCGCGATGTAGGTTTGATATATGTTCGACCGGATTGGCAGACGGAGTTTAGAACTAAAATTAACCATGCTAGTCGGCGGTTGAGAAGGTACTCTCTAGAAGTATCGTCAAGTACCTTCCACACATGCAACTCGACTCAATTGTTGTTATACTGATAAAAGAAATTGTCTCTTTCTTGTCGCCGCATCTGCACCAAACCAAGATCGTCATATTGCCAACTCATGGTTACTCAGACCAATACCCCTTATATCGGGTCCTTGGAATTGTATTGATAGGTTTGATCTTTCACAGCACTATAGATCACAGTTCAAAATATGTAGAAAACGGGTCTAACCTTTTCCCCCCCTGCTGACTACTCTAGACCAATCCATCGGTACCGTCATCGCATGCTGGACTCGAATAGTATTACCACGGACTCACAAGCATAAGAAAATGATCACGATCGCCACCTGCCCCAGGGAAATCTCCGCATCTGCTACCGAGTACAAACATTGACAATAGGTAGCATGATCTCGTCCCATATCGTCCGCAGCAGTGCTATCAGTGCTGTCCTTGGCTCCTTCTGCATCTGAATCGCTCATTTCATGTTGTCTATATGAATGCGCCCTACGTTGAGGTTGGCCGTTAATAGATGAATATTTGCGACTTCAACGCGATGGCGGTAGAGGTACATAAGCACCATATGGTGCTCTAAGATGCAATCGGCCAAGGGACACGGCAGATAAAAATATTTTCAGCGAGACTTCTTGAGATTCCGGGTGGAACGACGCAGTGGAAGTTTCGAAGGTCCTGCCTCGGGAATTGGAGGATGACCTATGGAAGCGGACCCTGCTGAGGGGTTAGTAGTGGGTGCGATTTCAACATAGGTGTTGATAAACGCGGTCAAAATCTCGAGAACCTTCTCGTGAGTGGTCTCTACTCTCTCTCTCTCGTCGGGCTTGTTCGCGAGGCACACCAAAGTCTGCCATTGTTGGACGAGAGGCCTAAACGCTGCGAAGTAATCCGAGGTCATCTTCACCATAAAAGTTGGGTCCAGGACGACCCCCACTTTCACGAAACAGCAGGTGCCGAGAAGCCCTCTGAGATCGGTCTTGCCCAAGGCCTCATAGGCGCTCGCCCATGGCAGCGAGTCTCGAGTCCACGATGGTGACAATTCACCGCGCGGCCCCCCATACTTCGTAACAAACTCAAAAAATATATAAAACAATGACTCCAGGTCATCAGAGGGCTTGTGTTCAATCAGCCGTTGAACATCATTGGCCGGGGCGACGTCCTTGCCCGGATCAATGTCGCCCAGGTTGGTGTTGGTGTCCAAGAAGGTCATGTTCATCATGCTCTGGAGAATACAGATGGAAATGTATGGCATAGTACCCTGTAACAATAAAATTGACAGCACGCACGGCAAATTTCGGAAAAAAAACTTACAGTACCAGGTGAATAAGTGCTGGTCGTATTCACTGCCAAAATTGCAGCATGGTCGAGGTCGATGAAGTAGCCAGTACCTTTATAGATAACAAAATTGTTGGGACTGAGGTCACCATGTAGGACTCGTCTCTCAATCATTGCACGGTGAGCTAAAAATGAGCGTGTTTATGTTCTGCGCATGTGATATGACTCACTGATTACAAATTGACGAAAAGCCGTGATCAGCTCCATTCTAGAGTTGAATTGAGAGAGAGGCTCTCCGCAAGGGCTCAAGAGAAGATGCTGGTGCAATCTATTGCAGAATGTGGTGTCGTCTCGTTGATCCTGGTTATATTCCTTGCAAATACGCGATGTACAATCAGGCTGCCCCTCGTAATAGACATCCCAGTTGTCAATAAGTTCGACGACGTTAGGAATACCCTTGAGCATCCTCAGGACGGTTGGTTCGTGCATTTTTTTCGACTCCTCCACCCAACAATCTTTCAGAGCGTACTCTACTCCTTCCTTGTTTCTAACCCGATAGCAGATCGTGCCTTTGCAGAAAAATCCATGACTCTTCCACAGCAGAGCCATGATTGAATAGACGTTGTGCTTGTTGTCTTGCACCCAGCCTATCGCCCCATCTGCAAGATTGTCATGAGTGCCATTACACGCAGCATGACACATGTGAATAGTGGGATCAAGGCCCAGGTGCATCACTAAATCCCACCGTTCCCCACAAACCATTATATACACATTATCATGTAGATAATAACCATATTCGGCTAAAATATGACAGTGCGAGATATATAGGCATATAAGTGTTTAGAACGCTATCCCCTATGACCAATGATTGTCATGAATCGTGTAGTGACAAATACTAGTACTGTTTTGAAGTGATGAAACATGTTCAACGAAGTGTTTCTCATGTAGAATTTCTAGCACAGTGGCTCTCCTGTCCAATAAGTAACAAAAATATAAATTCTTGCCATCTGTACCATCATACAGACAATTGCTTCAAATACTGGTATTATGATATTATGGGTTTTATACTTGATTGGCCAGAAAATCATAAGTTGGATGGTGTTACGACACACGGTCGTGTGCGACTAGGATGATCTAAACAGCGACAACCACGACAGTGGTACCGAGTGCTGAGAGTCATCGGCCTTTACAGACAAGCAAAGGTTGCGTACTCGAACGTAGCTCGTGGTGGTTAATGAGGGGTTACGCTGAGATGATAGCAGGGTTTACAGACAGTGAGAGGCGTCACTGAAGGTACGAGTCGATGTCGAGCAGGTAGCTTTAGCGGGACAAGGAGTTCAAGGGTAAACCTAGTAAGATTAAAGTAAGGAACGTCTACTTTAATCTTCGACCTTATATAAGGCTACTCATCGTATCTAAGCTCAGCCTAAAGCTGGGTTCTAATCTGCTTATCTACATGAGTCAGAGATAGCGTCCATGAGGCGGGCTTCTATCGTAGATAGGGTCCATGCGGTACCCTTCTATCAGTACATGAGGCAACACGAGGCTTGCCTTCTATCTTGATAACATAAATAGGTCTTCTAGACCTATGTCGTCATGTATCGTCATATGCGGTCCAGACCGCTTATCTAAGCCGGCAGTTGCCGCTTATCGTCTATCATCATCTATTGTCGTCGTCGTCATCTGTCGTCACAGAGCTGGTGAGACTCCGTTATCATCTATAGCCGTGCGGTGGCAGAGGGCTGTCTGCTGGCAGGGGACTCATGCCATGTTACTGTAACATTACCCCTCTACTAGTGTCAAAGTCACCGACTTTGATCAATCCTGTGTTCTTCGTCAGCTTCCATCGCCGGAGGTATCGAGGGCGTGGAGACGGCTGGTACTGGGGGAGTTTCTGGTTCGGGCGAAGGCGGTGGTGGGTATCTGAGCGTGAGGTCCGCGAGCACTTTGTGGTTATGCTCCCAATCTAAGAGAGCTTCGTAAAACTTCTCTTCATCTCTAAACTCTTGGAGTACGATGCGTCCATTGAGTTGAGGGCAGTGGACCGACAGATGGTCAAGTCCTAGTTCATCGCAGATGCAACAAACGTAATCTGGACACTTTCTAAATGTGTGTCCGAATCCTCCGCAACGCTTGCAGAGCGTGGTACGGGTACGATCTATAGTGGCCGCCTTTCGTCTCAGCGGGCGCACTGGTCTGGATCTTTCTTCAACATGAGGCCTTGCCTCAACTGTTCTGACAGCTTGGTTCGCGATGTCTGGGAAGTCGAGCGGAAGGAGGTGAAGCGTGAGTACGCGAATCCTTTTCTGTAAATGAAGCACAGCAAGTTTCTTCGTGCCTTCATCGAGGTCATCACGATTGGCTACGTCTTCCAGCAGCTTCGTGGTACGGATAATGCAGACAGCAAGGGATGTCCCTGCACCGAGTCTGGCGTCTTGCTCGCCAAGGATGTCGTCGATCACTTGGGAGTACATGGGGGTGAGAATAGCGGTTTCGCTGAATGCATTGTTCTCAATCGTCTTTAGGATTCGTCCGTAGTCGGAGTCCTTAAGTGCAATGCGGATAGTTTCTTCTTCAATAGAGGTCATCATGATGTTGGGAGGTTCTGGGGAATGTAAACATTCACGGGAGGCTTATATGGTTGCTCCATGTCGTTTCCAAGCTCCGCTTGATTCGAGACTTATCTTTTGTTGAGTTCTTCTATCGTTATCTATCTAGCCATGAGGCTAAGATCTTCTCGTTATCGGGACATGAGGGGTGGTTCTTCACTATCAGAGGGGAGGTGCCGTGATAGGTACGATCTTCGTTAATCCTTTGTTTATAATCAGGATCAAGGTTTGTCTTCATCAGAGGGTGGTAATCATTGCCATAATGGTAAGGGCGCGTTCCGTTTATCTTTTGTTGATTCGGTCGGCGGATCTAGAGGATCTTGCAGGCTTGCAGGAGTTTCCGAAAGGTTCGCCTCATGATAGTTTTACCTCATTCCGGAGGATCGTCTTCTCATCTTTTGTTTATCAGAGTTGAAGTCGTTCTAGAGGATTCTGTGGATAAGGAGTTCGCCTCGTGATAGTTTAGCCTCGTTCCGGAGGATCGTGCAGTTTAATCGTCATGCTGGACGGGCATAGTTTATTCTCTTTGCGGAGATCGGTGCAGTTTAAAGCCATGCCGGGCTCGCGTGCAGTTTAAAGCCTTGCTGGGCTGTCGTCGAAGTCGTCATCAAGTGTTCATATCAGAAGTAGTCGGGAAATGGTATTCGTGGTGGGGGGGTGTCGTGCATGAAACGAGAATAAATCAGGGATTTTACCCTCTCAATAAGCCATTTAGTCTACCATGACTAATCTTCAGTCTAAAAATCGAGGCCGTCGTCAGGGCCTTCGTATTCGATGTCGTTTCCTTCGTCATCAACCATGCGCCAGTTGTGCGTCGATGGTTCTTCTAAATCCAACCATATATTTTCAATGGGATTGGAAGCAGGGTGTGGCGCGTAGAGCGCCCGAGGTTCGGAAGCGAGCGTTATTGCTTCTTCGCTTCGATCATCTTCAGATTCCATATCTGTAAAGCGGACAAATTGCAGTCCGACTTCTTCTTCTTCCTTCTTTACAAGACGAGCGAATTCGTCAGGGTCATTTTCTTTCAGAGCCTTCAGGCGGTGGGCCTCGTTTACAATACGAACACGTTCTATGAACATGTCGAAGTCTGAGTCGGAAGATGGTTCAGGTGCGGGTTCCCGGTGTTGCATCATTGCATCGATGTTATCAGCGGGGATCTCCGCAGAAGACATGGAGAGGTTCAGGGAATTCGGGATGGGATTTTCATCGGCTGTGTCGGTATCATCAGCCAGACTTTCGTAAAACCTGAGTTTCTTGGCTTCAGGTGGTTCTGCCGTCGACACGGCTCTTCCTTTTCCGAGAACGGAGATCGGTTCTCCGGAAAATTCAAATCTGGGGGTCGTCTGAGTTTTCTCTGGTTCAGGGGCCAGTCTGGGTGCCTTCGAGATAGGCGGTTCTTCTGTCATAACTGCACGTCCTTTTCCGAGGACTGATGCAGGCTCCGCCGAGAACCGATAAGGTTCAGGAGTCTCTTCTTTCATCGGCTGAACAGCCGGTCCGATCTTCTTCGCGTGTGTATCAGGGATGATATAGTCCGTGATTACCGCAGGTCTTACGACCTTCTTCTGAGTTGTCTCCGGATCAGTGGCCGGTCTCTTCTGCTCAAATCGTCGTGCTCCGAGGTCAATACGAGGCAGCAAGTCTTTCTTTACGATCGTCGTTGATCGTGGTGCGGGAGTAGGGAGTTTCACGGATGGTGGGTTTCCGTGCGGTTCCTCAAGAACCGGTACAATCTTGGTCGTTGGTGCCAAGCTCATAGAAGCGAGGCTACCAGAGAAGGCGCGAGGAGTGGTTGGGGAAACAGACCTTTTCCTTTTCTTCTGTGCGCCCTTCTTTTCTTCTTTCTGGAAGAGGGGCGTCTTGCCGTTCTTCTTCCGGTCGGAGTCAATCTCCTTTTCTTTCTTTCGGGAATCTACGGTGCTCTTAAGAGTCACCGTGCCATTCGTCCAGTTGATGGCGGGGTTGTGGCTGATAAGCCAGGGTTGTCCAAGCATGAGCTTCTCTTTCGGAGTAAGCTCGGCGAGGTAGAACCGTTCGGTGCATACCCATTCGTCTATCTGGAAGGAGAGGGTGCAATACCTCTCAATCGGCTTCTTTCCGAAGCTGGATCCGTCAGCGTTAGAGAGCGTGAATGGCTTTTCTAGCTGGTGCGACGAGATTCTGTGCTGCGTGCAGAAGTCCTTGTTTACAAAGGACTGGCATGCCCCTGAGTCGATGACCATAGATGTCGCGATGGAGGTGTTTCTCGTTCTGGTCATCAGGGTGGCATTCACCCGTAGTTCGTTCTTCTTAACTCCGGTCTCTTTGATAGAGTTCAACCGGAGGTCTTCTTCGATCATCTTTCTCCGCGGGGTTCTGGGCCATTGTGGGCAGCCCGCGGCTTTGTGGCCAATGATGTGGCATACAAAGCATCTTTTCTCGTTCAGGTAGATACGAGTTTCTTTTCCCGTAAGGTGGGAAGCAGCCAGGGTGTTTCGGGAAGTTGCCATATTGGAGATGGTTATCTTCGATCTTCGTAGTGTTCCGAGCAGGAAGTCTTCTACTGTGACAGCGGTTCTTATATTCTTGCGACTGGTCAGGCCGGTACGTTTCGGGGTTTCTTCTACAGATCTTCGGTAGCATTGAAGATAGGTACGATCAGGGATCTGGCATCACAGATGGGTGACGTGCGAGTTGAACTTTAATCTTTTGTTACGACACACGGTCGTGTGCGACTAGGATGATCTAAACAGCGACAACCACGACAGTGGTACCGAGTGCTGAGAGTCGTCGGCCTTTACAGACAAGCAAAGGTTGCATACTCGAACGTAGCTCGTGGTGGTTAACGAGGGGTTACGCTGAGATGATAGCAGGGTTTACAGACAGTGAGAGGCGTCACTGAAGGTACGAGTCGATGTCGAGCAGGTAGCTTTAGCGGGACAAGGAGTTCAAGGGTAAACCTAGTAAGATTAAAGTAAGGAACGTCTACTTTAATCTTCGACCTTATATAAGGCTACTCGTCGTATCTAAGCTCAGCCTAAAGCTGGGTTCTAATCTGCTTATCTACATGTGTCAGAGATAGCGTCCATGAGGCGGGCTTCTATCGTAGATAGGGTCCATGCGGTACCCTTCTATCAGTACATGAGGCAACACGAGGCTTGTCTTCTATCTTGATAACATAAATAGGTCTTCTAGACCTATGTCGTCATGTATCGTCATATGCGGTCCAGACCGCTTATCTAAGCCGGCAGTTGCCGCTTATCGTCTATCATCATCTATCGTCATAGAGCTGGTGAGACTCCGGTATCGTCTATAGCTGTGCGGTGGCAGAGGGCTGTTCTGGTGGCAGGGGACTCATGCCATGTTACTGTAACAGATGGTATGCGAGTTATACAAAAATGCTTGGTACAATACACGTGCTCTACCCCAATCTCATTGTCAACACCACCTGCAAGAATTTGACAATAACAGACAGCGGGTAACCACGACAGATATTGTGAGCGTCTTGAAGTCCAATGAAAGCAAGACATAGTGGTCCATAAGCGGGGATTCGCACCAGGCATCACGGACTCGAATAAAGTACAGCGTTATAGGATCGGGCTCGGTGGTATAAGATCGAATTTGGCAGGCCGCAGTACTATAGAATGTGATGGGATCGAGTCTGGCCATAGAATCCAGTTTGTGGCCTTGGAATAAAGGTTGGCCATGGGACCAAGTTTGAATGTAGGATCGAGTTTGAATGTGGGATCGACTTTGGCCATATTGTTGAAGACCAGCGTTCCTTAGACAGAAACATAGACCACAATGCTTGTTGCCGAACCATACCATATGGCACGACTCCCTGGACGGAGACTCGAGAAACTTGAAGGAAGTAGTGTTAATGAGTGACTAGAGGCGGAGTATGCGATAGTGGGGGTTATAAATAAAGTCAGAGTCGGATCCTTACTTATGAATGACCAGAATATATGCTTGCCGAGCGGTGACTGAGGTCTTGACCTCTGCCAATGGAGTTGTACCTCATTCATCTTGAGATCCGGTAGTCAGAGTGTTTCGAAATAGGAAAAGAGGGATGGAGCAGGGTCGGAGCCGGGTAAGGCTGTGAGCTTCGGTGTCAGTGGTAGACAACAAAGACTAACGGAGAACTGAAACTATCCACTTTGGACGTCGGTTCAGGACTAATGACTAACAACTCAGACCATATCAGTTCACTTTGAAGCAAAGTCACACTGATACGAAGTCCTGGACTCTCGTACATAAGTGATGTTCCCGGCCTGGCTTGGGCCCATGCAAGCCGCAGCCCGCATGCTAAATCAATGCCTGAGCTCCACCATGCCGTTCCCAATGCCACAAACACCATGCGCAAACGCCCAGCACACATCAGCGACTGCTGATGTGGCTCAGACGAATACAGACAATGGACAAGAGCAGAAGGGAAGAAGACAAGGAGGAGAACGAGAACGAGAGAGAGGAGATGGACGAGACAAGCAGGAAGACATCAAGTAATATGTAAAATAAATAAAAATTGCTTAAAAACGCACCATGCAGATGATGACAAGTGAGAACGTGAATGAGCGAGAATCATGAGAACGAGTGTCGAGAGTGGGCTTGAGTCCAACACAGGAGACAGAGAAGTCTTGCATTGTTTGTTGAATGACAGGGAGGGGAGGAAGTCTTCGTTCGGCGGGGCTTGCTGGTGCCGGCGTGCCGTGTTGTTGTTGTTGAGGCCTGAGGGACGAGAAGGATGACGGCGACGGCCTGCCTGTGTTGATATACTTGGCAATAAGCTCGAGGTTGGGTTCGGGCTGTTCCCTTTTTTCGCCTAGGTCCAGTATTGTTCAAGTTGTAGATGCTAGAACACTGGCTTGGAATCTAACATGGGGTTATAATGGTTTATCAGCAAGAAGCTAGATGAAGAAACAGATCAACACGCAATCATGTGACCCGTGTCGTAGATGCGCAATGTAGAACTTGGAACACTAGATTAGCGGTCGATATGGGTTTACATTCGATTCATCAAAACAAAAGGCAAAAGACAAGATAAGTAACACATCACAAATCTAAGCCGGTGCTATACACACCACGACATAGGCATATAAGGGGAAATCAGACATCGCCCAACTTATAAGGTGAATACTGTCATATCATGCTTAGTGGTTTTTAGTGATGTGGCGGCTATCCGGAAGTGTGAGGGCAGCTAATGCATCACAGAGGCGTATTGAGCCGGGGTACTTGTGGATATGGAAAGGAACTGGGACACCAGCAGAGGTGATTCTATCACAGAGAAGCTGGTCAATGTCAACAAGGGATGAGACTGTGGTGGTTTCCAGCATTTTGTCGTCATGGTGATCAACCAGAACTCAAGTTGGCTTACATTGGCCTCAATGCAGTGTTTCAAACACCTTATAGAGCATTCAAAATGACATCGCGTGACATTCAATTATAAGCCCTCTCAACTCACTATCATGAACCAGGGTATGAAGCCTGAGTTTCTGTTCCTTGCTGATCTCCATGTTTACATTCTGTCCTTCCTTCCTTACCAAGATATCCTTCAATGTACATCCGTGAGTACTTTATTTGCTGATACCCCTATGTACTGACAGTTGTCTTGCAGGTATGTAGAGACCTTCGCCAGACGTACCTGTCATCTTCTGAGCTCCAATATATTGTTGAACTCAGTGGTCAACAACTACTTCCTGTTGATCTCCCTCTCGATAGCCACACTCCTACTATCTCAGAGTGTCTACAACTCCTGAGGGACAAAGCTCATGCATGGTTCCAGTTGAACACTCAACCTGTCGAACACATTGATGTCTCAAACAAGTACATTATGTTACAAGTAACATCGGTCACGTGGCCCCCCTATCATTTTCCCTTCATCCTCGCCCTCACCATCTACCGGCTCGTCCTCCTTTACCGACTTTCCGTTGACCGGATCCTCGGGACCGTTCCCGACCCTCGCCTCACCCGCCTCTATGCACGTGCACGCACGTTCCTCCTCTGATTCGACCACCAATGTGGTCCCGCACCTATGACTCGGTCTGACTCGTGCCACCAATGTGGCCTTCCTCTTTCTGTTCCTTCTGACTGAGGATTCCCGCACATTGTATTCTTACAGTTGGTTCGTTCCAACGTTTCTCTGTCTCATTCCACATTCGACCACCCATCACTAATCCGGCTCTGTTGCCAACGCACTTATACCATTCTCGTTTCCCCTCTACCCTTACCTACTGTGCGGTAGCCTTGCCCTGAACCCTCTCCACTTAGTATAAGTAGTCGGTCACCCTGTACTAGATTCTCTAACTTGAATCTACTCAATCTTCCCTGGAACATACTTCCCTCTGAATGCCCCTTTGGCTTCAGTCTCTAGTATCTTTTCTTAGTTGCTCATCGCGACTAAGTCTACCTCGATCGACCTCATCGTTCGGACAAGACTGTCCTTACCTTGAGCGACTTCAAAGACATCCGTCTTAGAAGTCACGTGACACGCACGTACTGTGATCACTGCCGACTCGTCGTCGCCAGTCTCACTTGCTATACCAGATCCTTCCGGTTACGTCACGAACGTTAGCGGACGACGCCCCTCTTAGGGCTCCACCTAACAGATCTATTTGAGTGCGTAACACATTATGAAACTTACATTCATGTCAAATGGGCATTTCTGCCTCATGGACGACCCAACCCTGCATCATAACTATTTACGGGGTCCAACCATCTCCAAGATCTTTCCAATACTACAAAAGCCCTCACAGCGAGTGTTTGACTGTGTATGGCATTCAAATACACTGTCCTCAGTTCCCAATGCACAGCTAAATGATATTCTCATGGACCCGACACAAAATCTGCTCGCTGCTGCATACCACATTCCTGATGGGCTGGATGTCTATATCGACATTTACCTTTGGATGGAAATGGCGCTCACCCCCAAGCTGCTGGACCTATGCTGTTTATGTTACCAGAGCTGCATGGACCTCAGAACATTCTCCCAAAATCTGAGGGTTGGAGGATTCGGAGTCTGGGGAGGCTTATGGCTCTCTCACACTCCCTGAGACTCAATGATCCAGACAGGATCCTGTGGTGGTTGCAGATTTGGGACTGGCAGCACTTGACGACGTCAAATGTGAGCAAGCCTTGTCGATTGAAAGACTCAATGACTGATGGATTATTTAGAGTGTCCTCAGCGACGCTACATCTGGAAGTCAAATCTCGATCGATCATTATTTCCTCAGAACTAGTAGATTGCTTATGATTGTCGGCATCAATTTGAAGGTCTATTCCATCGAGGATATGTCTCAGGCGTGGACAATTGCTCACATGCTTCTTGTTGCCTGTACCTGTACGTGGTACACATTTCCTCTCCGACAACTCAAAGGACGATGGTGCACAAAGTAGGCCGCAGCCAGGGATGCAACAAAAAATGTGGAAATCAGATCCTACTCATTAAATCATATCCCTGAACATGTCACCTTCCCTCCATTTTGTCATTTCTACCAGGATTTTCTTCGAGCCCAACTTCATTAAAGGGGGGTCAACGGCGATACCTTGGAAACATTGGGGCCCGTTGAATACTCGTATTTTCCAGCACTGTCCAGACGTTGTTGATTCTGCTACTGGGAGTCGAGTCTTGAAGGTGGAACATGCAATTGACGCAACAGACGGTAATGATTTCTTGGAGTACAGTTTGCGTGTGATGGACTTTAGCCCATTAGCTATCAAGTATGGGCAGGGCCTAGGACGGTTGGTGATAGAGCCATCTACGATAGACCTGGATGGACAGTCTTTAACGATGTCCCTGCCTTATGTTGAGGTTGTGTTGAGTAAGATATCCAGTTCTACAGATGAGCTGTTGTTCTCATCGATTGATGAAGACAGAATTTACATGTTCCATGTCCATGATTGCTTTGTAAGCTCTTCCCTGTCTCAAGGAAGCCTGATCTGATTTTAAACCTACAGGTCAAGGTCATTAAGATTTGGGAAGGGGTTTGAAGTGTGCTCTATTCAGGGCAATACATAAGTTCTACATGTAGTGGGAGTAGATTGTTAATGTCGAGGATGCAATTGAACAGAAACACATATAAAGAAAGAGGAATTTTAATGGCCCAGTGAGAATGAGAAGCGTATGTCGAGTGCTTGCGAGATGCGTGAAGCACTTGGCGAGAATCCTGAAGCATTGTATATCCACTGGGAGCTTGTTTAGCGCATGGCAGGGGGAGAGGACTGCCAGTTGCAGCCAGTGCACTGGTGCTTGGAGCCTGAAAGGTGACTCTTGTGATATTGAATGTCTCCGCTGGTAGCACGCTACTGCGTGAGGCACCAGCAGCATTCGAGACCCTGGCAGTGATAATATGGGCTTGCTGGCGATGAGGACGTGGCGGCTGTGCCAAATGCCCTTTCCCGCTGATGGCATCAGCGCTACGCTATATGGAAATATCATCCAAGTCAATGGTAGATGGATTCAAAAGGTTAGAAACCTAACATATTTCCCTCACAGTATGCAGACGTTCAGCACGGGAGTCCTGTGTGGGTGGTTGGATACTATGGCTCTGGAGGACAGAGGGTGTGAAAAAAAGTTGATCGTGTTCTTTGTCATGGGATGTGATGGTAGCGGTGCGGTTGTTGTGTCAAGGTGGGGAATGTCTGTTGAACTGGTCAGAGGTGCATTGAATCTGCTGCGACATGAAGACTTACATCATTGAAGAACCCATGGCGAGTCCAGCAAGTTGTGGTCGAGGCAATTGACGCGGTCCTTGCCGTGCCTGCCTTGGTCATGACGCACTTGTGATGCGGCACTGTAACAAATTCTAGCATACAGATCATGTTCAAAACAACTTCATATGTTATTCCAAACACTTTAAATCCTCGTTAATGATCAACATATGGGTGTCTGCCTGCATACAGGCTCTATAGTGCTGTATTCACTTCTCACCAAATTTACAGTACTTGTCCTCTGTGTTCACACTACTAGTATGCATCTTGCGCGTCAGTCCTGTATTGTTGTATTACCTCTAATTCATTCATCTATGTTGGTTTTCAGACGCAGTGTCAAGTGGTGTCTCACTTTGTCAAGCCTCGACCTCACCCTGTCAAGTTCGATCCACTCTCTATACTCTGTGTTACAGGCATCCGTAACACCTACAGGAGCCCCAGCTCTGCCTACGCCAGCCCCCACTCTGCTAGACTCCCCACACGGCGGTGCGCCGCCCGCACCTAGAAAGACAGCGGTCTGGACCGCTATGACCTCGCCCCTGGCGCTATGACCCCGCCCCTGGCCTAGAAGGCCTTGTACCTGATCCATGGAGGCTGTACGCCTCATGGTCACCCTAGATCAGCACATGCATACCGCATGTCGCTTCATGAAGATCCGGAGCGCTCTTGGCGCTTCCTGTACCTACGCGCAGTCGCACTTGGCGCTGCATGCTTGATCAGAGGTTAAGCCTCATGTATCTTATCTGACCTCATGTCTTGTTATCATAGATCCTAGATATACTATTGATTACAGACTGAGCTAGAATACTCATATGTAGCACATATAAGTAGACAGATTATTGTACTTAGACTTTACTTTAATCTACTAGGTTCATCCCAGAACTTGTTCAACTAAGCCTTACCAGCTTCCTTGTATAAAACCGCACTTCTAAGTCACCCCCTTATGACTTAGCACGTATCCGCTAGCCCTGTATCTCAACGAGCACCGTCTTACTGAGATCACCGGAGGAACCCTTGATGTTCCGTCAAGCCGAGAACCACCCTCAGCTTCAGTAGACTCACTTGAGTCATCGCTGAGAAGACCTATCCTAGTTCACACACGCCGACCGACGGTCAGCATAACACTCTGAGTCTGCACCACCACATCAAGCCCCAACATGTCAGAAGCCTCGTTTAGGCTGGGTCAAGCACCATTCACACCACGACAAGTTCTCCCAAACATCTTCGCAGTCTTAATATCAACATCCACACTCTATGCCGTGTCAAGGCCTACTATCAGTGCAGCATCAAACAAGTTGTGCCGCATCAAACCTCGTCAGTGTCGCGTCACATGCACGTCAAACTTCATTCATGCTGCGTCAAACCAACTGTCACACTGTCCATATCAAGGATTCCGAAGAAGCAGGACCTGCAGGCAACCAGCAGTGGGGTTTGGATGCTGGCCAACATCACAGGTGATGGAATGTGTATCTCAGCATTCCTGATGAATGGGTTTCTGGAAGAGATTATAGCGAGAGTGAACTTGAAGTGGGGAAGACATTACTTGCTGCGTTCGATAGATATCTAACTTATGTGATTGACAGCATGGCCCCTTATTCAGTGATAACTCTGATGCTACATCTTTGGAGTCTGCAGACGAGTTATCCGAAGCTGTAGTTCCTTCTCGGCTGGCTGGAGGATGTCCTCCCGTTAAACGTCAATGTGCTCCACAGGCTCGAAGGGCCCAGAGAGGGAGGGAAAGAAAATCGACATTGGCTTATGTACCTAGCTGTACATATCCCTACGGCAAATAAAATCCAACTTGATCTGGAAGTCAAATGTAGGACATATAGGAATGACTCGTCAGTGCTGTGTCGCATGTGACTTCCCCACGATATAGCTATGACTGACAGAGGTCATTCCAACAGTGGTTGGGCTGGGGCTGAGCGTTAGCTCGGTTTGGACGCTGACAAGATTGCCGCCGGGTGGGTGGGAAACAAACTCGACAAGGTGGACTGTTGGATGATAGGTGTTATGCTGATACAAAATAAAATAAAATAAATAGTCGAGTCTTTCTTGTTGCCGCATCTGCACTAAACCAAGATCGTCATATTGCCAACTCAATGTTACTCAGACCAATACCCTTTATATAGGGTCATTGGAATTGTACTGATAGGTTGACTTCTTTCCGATGATCTTTCACAGCACTAATCACAGTTCAAAATATCTAGAAAACGGGTCTAACCTTCCCTTCCCCCCCCCTGCTGACTACTCTAGACCAATCAATATGTGACATGGGTACCGTCATCGCATGCTGGACTCGAATAGTATTACCACCCCCTGGCGCTCGCCTTTCTTTGTAATCTTTGCCAGGTCTTCCCAAACTGGAATCATGGAAACGAGCCCATCGACTGAGCAGTCCTACCACTATTGTTGATGCACTTCAATTACGCTCCACTAACGCACCTTTGCATTTCCTTCGACGGATGGACATGATGTTGTCCGAACCACCAAAATAAACAGAAAAACCACCCACTTTAATTTCCTCAACTTGTTCGGGGCGGGCATTGCGAAAAATAGTTGAGTAAGGCTTGCGCATATATTTACATCGGTGTCATCCACCACTCGATAACGAGCAGGACTTGAATCAGTAAATGCTCTCCAAAATAATCTTGACCTTTGAAAGCAACTCTTCATCCTCTTGACCAACTGCACGGACCGCGATCTGTTCAATTTCGGCTGTTGGTACCCCATATTGGCTCAAAGTCTTCTGCAGTCCGAGCTCTTGCACAAGGCTATGGAAACTGAGAATTCATTCTGAGTGTATGGCAAAAGACACTTGCCTAGCGATCATGTACGATAGTTTCTTGACATCTCCGTCAACAGTCCCAGTTGATGGCTCTCTGAGATATAGTAAGGCTTCAGCAAGGTACTCCTTGTCCTCTTGACTTGCTATTTCCGCTTGTAGGTTGACGACCGGTGCAAGTGTCAAGCACTAGAGATAAATCGTGGTTAGGAAATTATGCGCGGGTTCCGGGTGTACTGACTGAGGTGATGCCATGCGGTATTCCATATGTTGCTCCGAGCTTATGACCAAGCGTGTGAGATAATCCTACCGGGCTTCACAAGAAATAATTGAATGTAAGCCACCTCCGCGTAATATGACTTACCTATGTCTTTCAATCCTTCGCGGCCATAAACTCATCCATGACGCAACCTGCAGCCTCTGCCTGGCAACGAGATCTTCGCTGTCTTTCTTTGATAATACAAGAAAACGGAAGAGATCCGCGATAGCAGCATGGCATAGCTTTTTCATTGGTAAGGGCACTCCAGGTCTGTATAGACTCTCTGTTTCCAGATATTTAGAAGCACGAGGCGCCGCGTATTATCTTCTTACCAACCGCATGGTCCAGCGCACGCATGCCAGTGGAAAGCCTTTGGAACGAAGTGAGCATACACCGGGGTCACTGGATTGATTATCTACCATAATTGTTCAGGTGTTGAAAGAGTCAACTCGGCGTCCAGTATGATCCCCGCTGGAGTAAGCTGTTGATGAGCAACAACTACCTTGTCACCCTGTTTATTGGTATAGCCTGCACCACACTAGAATATCTAAATGAGAAAGCGAGTTATTTATATCTATATCACTTCGAGATCTTACCGTGTACTCGGCCGCACTCAGGGTTGTTGGTATTGCGATTTGCCGCAAGAACTCCAGCTCTTTGCCAGACGTTTCTTGTGCTCTTTGTTGCTGCAGCCTGAAAATAATAGCCTTTGATGCATCGACGGGAGAACCTCCACCAACGGACACTATAATATCGGCATCGACTTCACGAAACTTGGAGACGCCATTCTCGATACCAGCCTCAGGAGCGTGCTCCCCGATTTCCGAGAAAGTGGCACCAAATGCATTGGATTTCTTCAGAATGTTCTCGATTTTTGTCACAATACCAGTCTACGCTCCGAGTCAATTATATTGATTGACAAATCTGAAGCGATTCATGCATCAACTCACCTTGTCACGGAGAGACCTTCCTGTTACGACAAGTGCTCGTTTGGCTCCAAGAGTGTCCAAAAGTTTTGGGAGTGCGGTTTCAACGCACTTGGGCCCGTAGTAAACACCCTCGAGTGTATTGGTATATGCGTAAGACCCAGCTGGCACTGTCTCGTTGGCAGTCGTCATGGTAGATAAGAGGTATTAATAATGTTTATTTCCTGTGAGTGAGTGAGTGGTCGCAGTGGAGTTTGATATGCTTCATTGAGAGGACCGTATAAATAATCGCCATATCATAACTGTCATTGCGACAATTATCTATCAGTACTCACTGAGGCGGCAGCCCGCATGTGAAATTCCAAGTCCACTGGCAAGTCGTGCACTCGCTGGCACGAGAACAAGGTTGGTTGTATCGACCTTTAGTTGTTGATATGGCCGAACCGTCCTCGTTACTTGACATAACGTGCCGCTTGGCGAAAACCGCTATCTGACAAGTTCCTGCCGGGTGAAACGGTACCGCCGCCCGCGGACATGGCCTGCGACTTGCTCGGCCCGGTAACAGTCTATTTTTATAATAGTTTTCCATCGAGTGGACTTACATCCTGCTTAGATCCCAAATCTCACGACAGTGAACGACCATATGCATATGTGCATGCAACTTAAAGCTTAAGTACTGGTGGTAGCAATTATTTAAATAACGCAACCATGAGCTACCTGCACAAGTTTCGTCGACTACCCACATTGACCCCACTGCGTCCGACGGCCAGGAGACTTAGTACTCTCTACAACAAAAATTGCGCCTCCAGGATCCAGCTATTCTCGTCCATGTCAGATAGAAGCAACGAACCTACCCAGAACTCTGGACAGCCGTTTAACTTTGCCGCCTCATTCCGCGAGACTGACCCACCAAACCCCAATTGGCAACTGAGGCAGGGCCTCCCAGACCATGTCGAACCTGGAAAGTCGTGGAAAGCAGAAGAAGAGAAAGGCTGGAAGACTTGGAACCTCTCAGACATATCGTCAAGGTACGCGACCTCGTGCAGTGTTGTACAAACAGTGGTAGCAGAAGTTCTTGCTTCTCAAACCTAACCTTATCGTTCGCATATCACTGACTTGAACTGCTGACAGGGAGATATATCCTTTATTGACTTCATGCATCGTGCCTCGCCCCATCGCGCTTGTGTCCAGCACGTCTTCCAATGGGATACCTAACCTTGCTCCGTTCAGGGGAGTTTTTTTCAGCACGTTTTAGCCAACCAGTCTGACCTAACTTCATTGTACAGCTACTTTTCGATGGTGCGTCAGACATCTTTTTGAATGCCTTGAAATTGATTTATTTGTGCTGCTGGTACCTGAAAGGTCGCGCACAATCCGCCGTTATTGAGCATTTCCTTCTCTCATTCTCCGCGGACTGGGAAGTCAAAAGATACCAAAGAAAATATACTCGCGACAAAACAGTTTACCGTAAGCATCGTCAGCGAACCATTCATAGAAGCAGCAAATATCACAACTGTCGACGCCCCTGCTGATATCGACGAGTGGGACATCAGTGGTCTAACCAGATCTGCCAGCGCAAGTCCATTCCGTTTAGCAGCCGCAGCACTTGTTGATCATGTGTCGCTCGCGTACGTATTGACCGCAATGCTTGCCCTTACATAGATAGACGTGAGGCCCCCATGGGTCAAAGAAAGTGCCATCAGTTTTGAATGCGAGGTAGGCATGCACTTCGTTGTTTTATTTGCCATGCTCGCTTATTAATGACATCGGCTTCACAGTTGTTCCATTCCTACGAGATTCGTCCGCCCAATTCGGACGAGGTCACGAACACATTGGTCTTGGGTCTCATAAAGCGGACACATATTAGAGAGTCCGTTTTGACTGCAAGCGGTACCGTTGATCCCGCTAAGCTTCGGGCCGTGTCGCGCTTAGGCGGTGATATGTACGCGAGGATCGGTGAAGGTTTCGAACTTTCCAGGCCACCTTGGACAGTGATACGAAGTCAAGTCACGTCTGAAACTGAGTAGGAAGTCTGTTGCACTATAGCGGATACGAGCTCGCATTGATAGAAGGGTCCGCATGTTCATATCAGTTTGCATTTGGAAGGTTTCAGGTCGAGGGATGCGAACGTTTCGAAGATGCCGAGACAACGTTCCTTTGCGTAACCATCAACCACTGAGAAGAGTCACGGATATGGAATGCGTGTCAATGGACCTGATCTTTGTAGCGAACTTGGTCCGAATAAACGACAATGTATTTCTCACCGCATGGAACAAGCTGCACTTCCCCATGGTACCAGGTTGAAATGAAGCAAAGCTTACTCCAGGAGGCGCATGCCTTGAAAAAGATTAACCAAAAGTCAGAAACACAAGGCATAAACGTGGAGGAATGCACTGCTACATGCTTTAGAAGATGAAGCCACGATGCAGAGCACGATGCGCGTGCCTTATCGATGATAATTGTTTTGACAAAGAATGATCTTCCGGTGCAGATCAACGCCCCATCAACTGGAAATAGCACACGAATAGCCCACGAACAGGTGACAATTTTGACAGGGACAACATGTGTTAGCGAAAATTACGAACGATGATGGTCCACCATTCGCCGCGTTAACCTCACTAACTGTTTGAAGAAGCGCAGTCAACAGTCGCCGTGACTCCTCGAGGCAGCTAATGCTCCTTTGTATAGATAGTTGAGACAGATGCACTCCAACAAGTACTTATGTGTCCGTATATTATTCCACAGCCTTGTCTCCGGAAGCTTTTATTAGTCACGTGTATACAAGTACTTCCGCCGCATTCGGTCTCTCGCAGTTTAGAGCCTTTCTCTTCGTTTGTTCTTCCTCAACATTCAGCGCTCAGCGCTCAGCCCAAGTATTAGGTGTGTCTTCAGTTATTTTTTTTTCGTTAATAATACCCATGATAAGTTTCAAAGACTGTCGTTTGCAACAGATATTCTTGCTACTGAGGCGTACCCTAACCTTCCGGGTCGGATACGGCCAACAAACTACGTGAGTCGCTTCTAAAATCACATAAACATAAAATCTAAGTGTACCGATGGTTTGTTCTCCTCCAGGGTTCTTCCCGGGCATGGAGAATGATCCAGGGTCGGTTGCTGAACAACGCGCCAATGCGGTTGCAAAGCTCAAACGCGCTGCATCTTTACCACGACTGAAAAATGGAAGGCGGCCCCAGATGCACAATGAAGTTGTTAGCGAAGGCGAGAAAACCCTGCATGATGATGTCCAGGATCCATCACAGGACACACCCCCCGAGTGCGTCTCCAATAGCGACTACAAGCCGATCGTACAGCCCGAAGAGAACCCAGGGTCGCCTGAGCCGTCGAATGTAAACCGTAAACGCCGCTCACGTTCACGTTCACGTTCTAGGGGTTCCAAGGATCTCAGAAAATTCAAACCTCCTCAGTCTCCTTTGCCAACGTCTGTTACGCCCAGCAACGATTCTTCTCCTGACGATTCACCACCCTCGCGAGCTGAATACCTTCCACATTCAATTCTCGCACCAATACCCTCCCATCTTAATCCGTTACCCAATTCTCCGTTCATTTTACCTGGTTTCTTAACGGCAGAGAACCCTTTTCTACCTTCTGTACCTTCTGGTGCTTCTTCTCCTATCCCAAGACTTCCCACATTGGAGGCTCTGGTGTCACGTCAAGGGCTTCAACGATCGAATAGTGCAGGTGCAGCCCGCATGCTAACTTTACAGAGCACATTACAAAAGCTCACGGGTGGCACGGAATTAATGGATTCAACATTTCCATCTCCAGCAATGTCGCCTCCGCCTTCTGGCACTAAACTCGGTCGGAACAATACTGTATCTGGTGGGGAAAGCAGCGAACGTAGCACTGCTCGGAGGCTTATGATGGCTCAACTGAACAAGAGGATGATAAAGGAGACGGATATAGAAGAGGAAGATCCTCGACCATTCAGCCCTTCAAAGCGACGCCAGAGACGACGTTCAAAACGTCAGTCCGCTAATCGTCCTGTGGTGTCGACCACAGATGAATCCGATCTTGTTTCGACCAACGATGCCACGCCAAACCGTTCCAACACCCCTCAAACTCAACCCGATGAATTAGCCCCCAACGTCCAGCGCACATCTTCCAGCACTCCCATACCCCCGATACCAATATATCCTCTTGCAACCCCAAGCATCAACCTCAACGAAACCATCAACTCCAGCCGTCAATCCACTCCTGTGCGAGCTGTGCCACCCACTCACTTTGATCACGCTGCCAAAAAAAGACGGGAGAGTGTTCTGATAGAGGATCCAGATGACGAAGACCGGATTCCTCCACAGTCGACGTATTATGGATTACCAGGTGCTCCGAGTCGGCCGCATCCTAGCCTTTCTCCTCGCCTTCCCCATTCATCAGACTCCACTGACTCACCACTTCTTGATGTAACGAATGTACCGATATTCCTGGCCCCCCATCTTGAGAGGACTCCGTCTCGGCAAGCCAGATTCCCTTCTAGTCCCTTCGCGAGACCTCATAAGGAGATATCGTTGTCGTCTGACCAGGAGGAGGAACGCGATCAGGAGGAGGAGGAATTCTTTCCAACAGAAGCTTTTCGACGGTCTCCATATCATGATGGTCTTAACCGAGAAATCAGTTGGGTGGCAGAGCCAGGTGAGTTCTAGCTGTGTTGGTTGATCAGGATACCTCTCAGCCGTTTTGCGGTAGTGCCGGAAACCCCCATGCCTGTGCACGAAGAGACAGAAGAGGAGGAGGATGACGAACCGCTGCAGGATGAGCCGGCCCAGCAAATCACCGAAGATGAAGATGATCATCCGCCTCCGGATTCGCCAAGAGAAGGGTTTAATACTCAGATCGAGGAACCATCATCTCGCGCATCATCGGATTCAAAGGAACTTGTTGTGGAATTAGAGACATCTCCCTTGCCTACTCCCGCATTCACTTCGCCGACACCCTCCTCATTTGCCAACCTGCCTAACACCGCTTCCATGCTCCGAAACAGTGATGAATCAGATTCTCAACAGTACCCTCAGCGGCTTTCGGTAGCTATTCGCATGCACAGCGATAAATCTCCGGTTGTAACTGAGCCTGAGTCGACCGATCCCCAAACAGTCCGGGCAGAGACTCCCTCCAGGCGCGAAGGTAGCACATGGAGCAAGATCGTCCATTCCTTGACGAGGAGTGCTTCAAGTAGCGGGCGCCGGTCTCGGACGAACTCAATTGCGACAAGGGAGAGAAGACAGCACACTGACTCTAGCATCAGCCGGGAGAGTGGAGTGAGTCTTCCAAGTCCGAAAATTGATAAGAACGACAGCATCAGTTCGACTACATACCCACACGGCCAGCCATCCTCAGCGTCGACTTCGGTACATTCATTGGTCCAAACCGCTCCTCCCAGCAGCGGAGTATCCCCTGTTCCCATGACTCCCTCCACTGATCCTCTGGCGAAGTATACACACGAAAAACTCATGCCTTTCCCCGGGATCAAGAAGCTGCAAGAGCAATGGAACCGTCAACCTCACTTTTCGTCTACTCCTGATATCATTCTGTCGCATCATGTTGAGGCTGATATACCGCTGCCATCGAGTTCTTCCAGTAATACCCCTTCTAATTCTCCCGAGATAAATGGGGACAGGAAGCTAACACACCAGGCATCAGATACCCATCTGTTGCATATCTACAAGGCTCAAGCACCACCACTTTCTGCCTCTGCATCCACATCCTCTCATGACCACTACCAGCATGGCAGTCCCCACTCACCGTCCTCCATTATGCTGAAATCCCTTCCAACTAACCGAGATGGGGTCCGGAGATGGCTCAGTGCCAGGAAGTTGTTCCCCCAGCCTTCACAGTCGCCGGTAGGCAATTCGCCTCCGACGCCTAGTCCTGAACCGAAACCCGCAGTAGCGTCGAAGAAGCCATCACTCTCTGACCTATTCCGATTGCGGAAGGAGAATGATTTGTCCGCTGAGCTCCAAGATGAATGGGTAGATGTTGATCGTGACAAATCACGCAGTTCTGTTGGCAATGGGCAGCTAAAGAAGGCGAATGGTGAATTCTCCCCGACCAGTCCAAACGATAGCTTTATCCGTGACGAGCTTCAGAAGACGCCGCGAGCGAGTAAAATCGCTAGGCCTAACGGCCAGCCATACTCTGCCACAGATATCTCCCTAATACCTCTCACTCCGGCAACCCCTTCTCCCCCTGAATTTCCATCTACCACACCTGAGCCTTGGTCTTCACTATCCGACTACCCCCATCTTACAACATCCGAGTCTTCTTCGTCCAAGACTTCCTCGCATTATTCAAATTACCCTGCGAAAGGCGGCATACTGTTGGAGCGCTTGAATGACATGCTGGGCCGAGGTTCAAGAAGCCCGGTATGGCTATCTGCCATTGATGAGCCTCCGCGAAGATTTCTACGATGTTCTCCAGTCTTCCAGGTCGTGAATTCTAACATCTGCAAGGATCGCTTCCTCTTCCTGTTCAACGACATTCTCGTCATTGCCAAACCTCGTGCTGAGGATTCCGATACGTTCCTCGAGGTGACGAAGCCTAATCCTGCTGATCGGAAGTTCACCGTCAAGAATGTGGTATTGCTGCGACAACTCTGCTTCACCAGCGAGCGTGAGGAGCCGTGTTCGAGAGCCATCCCAAGAACTCCTGCAGTACAAGCCTTTGTCGAACAGTTCTCCATAGATTCGGATAATGCAGTCACATTGCTCTTCAGCAGCTTGGATCATCGCGACGATCCTGCTGCACTTGCGCAACTCCTGTTCAGAACACCACATATTGACAGGGTACAGCTCGGTGATTTTTTGTCGCGGCGTACAAGCCGTGTTGTGCTCAAGCATTATCTTGACGCCTTCGGGTTTATGGGAATGAGGGTGGACAAAGCCCTCCGGTTGTTCCTTCAGTCTATTCACATCCCGGAACGGGGCAGCCACGGTATCACTCCTCTCGACGTTCTTCTCGAGCCGTTCGCGAATCGGTGGTATGAGGCAAACGCAATCCACATCTCTTACGACAAAGATTTGGCCTACCGCTTCACGAGAGCCATCGTGCAGCTGAACGACGTCCTGCATGGTGCTATCTCTCATGAGCCGGGTCAGATGGGGCATCCTAAAAGGAATATTACTGCAAGAGACTTCCTTGAGGCTTTCCGACGTCATGACAATCGCCTGTCGGATGAGTTATTGGGAGATGTCTATGATTCCATCCGTCGTGAGCGCCTGTGCCAGGCGCGCAACTCAACGTCTGGCGGCCCACCAGAGATCACTGTCACCTTCAAACGCACACTTCCTCCGCGACTCACCTACCGGGTTCAGTCAGAGCCAGTCGTCATCCGTATCCCACAACCAGATCCACAGTTCAGTATTGAGTTGTTTGGGCACGATTTGGTGTTTGACCCACCTGTATTGTCATTTGCGAAGTCGGCAGAAGCTTCCTTCCGGGTGACGGGGCGCTCTTTTGGACTGAAAACAATGTCCATGCTGCGGTCAGGTCCGAATGCCCTACTATATGCTGGCCTAGCCCAGAGTTACACCATAGCAGTGGAGCGCGCTTTCATGCGCAACACCTTTCAGGTGGCATTTTTGGATCACAATGGAGCCAAGCGCAAATATATGTTCAGTGTCACCGACCCTGTTGTTCGCCACGAGTGGGCAGTTTCGCTCAAACGGGAAATTGATGCCTCTGTCGTAGCCGCTGATCATCCCTACGGCATAAACTGGCCGTCCCCGCAGACGGCTCGGTTTTATAAAGCATCGTACAACATGTCTTTCAAGGTGTTGCAGGATACCCTACTCAAGCCATCCGCTTCCCTGAGCGACACCAGTCCATTTCCTTCTAAAGTTGACCACGCACTAGCGCGCCTCACCTCATCCGGCCTTCATGCCCGCGACCAATCCAAAACATCTGTTCGACTCGGTGTGAACTGTACATCGGAGCCAGTGCGCTCAAAGTCTCGGAGCAAGGTGTACCATCGCCATGGACCTGGAAAGATGGAGTCGGAAGGCAACACCCTTGGTTTCCCTCACGAGAGCAGCGACGATTGCGGAGATGATCCTGACACGCAACTCAGGTCGGATGATCAATACTGGTCAGGAAAAGATTTAGCGATGTACTGCCAGCAAAATAGCTCTATCGCCCTTTTGCTGGCATACCTGCAAGTCAGCACGCCAGATGCTAACGGCTCACAATGACAGTCTTGTTTCGGTGAGACTCTTGCTTTGTTGTATATGCCAACCACTAAAACTTTGACTCAGTGTCTCGTGTTTGTTCCCGATCTCCCTTCTGAAATCTGTTCCTCCATATCTGTTCTCTCTATATCTCACGCATCCCGTTCATGTACATTCAATCGTTCCGCTTTTTCCATTCTACACATCACTATTGCTATATCGTCCACTATCATTACCGCATCTTCTCGTCTTTAAGTCACATTTGAATTCACGATACATTCTGGAAGGAAAGCACCACACTAAGCTCGAGTATTACATGCAAAAAATCAATTTGTTGATGTGTCACAGCCACTCCGTTTGTAAAGGAACAGCCAAAACAGCCTTTTCCGGCTTCAAAAGCTTCCGAGTCCGTGACCAGGCCAGGCGGCTGTCCAGTGTTCACCACTTTGAATCTTTTAAGTAGTTACTTGACTAGATGCCCCAGTAGGGCACGACGTATCCACTGCCTCGTGTCAAGTCCCAGTTCTTGTCTTTCCCTTGAGAGACAGGTCATGGCTCGTATCTATGCCGGTGCGAATGCACAACTGGGACGCTCGTGGTATGACTATGGTGAGTAAACTCTGTTTTCCCAGTTCTGCCACCGCATGAATTGTACAGACAATTTCCGAATCGAGTGGAGTTCTCCCGACCGCTATGAGATCGTCGATCGTGTAGGAGGCGGGAAGTATAGCGAGGTGAGAATTTTGTGGACATATTCCACAGATTTTGAGCTAACCAGTTCACAGGTGTTCGGAGGGTTGGATACCGCTAACTCCGAGACATGTATCATCAAAGTACTCAAGCCTGTAGCTGCAAAGAAGATCAACCGTGAAATTAAGATTTTACGCAACCTCACTGGAGGTCCAAATGTTGTTGCCCTTCTTGACGTCGTTCAAGATCCTTCATCAAGATACCACAGCTTAATCATGGAATATGTGGATAATGTAGAGTGGAAATCGCTATATCCAATCCTTGGCGAGGTAGATATCAAGTTCTATACTTTCCAGCTCCTTAAGGTATGTTCCATGACTTCATAGATCACCCCGGGAGCTTCTTTTAAGGCTAATTCACGAGGCCTTGGATTTTGTGCATTCGCGAGGAATCATGCATCGTGATGTGAAACCGGGAAATGTCATGATTGATCACCGACACCGGAAAGTACGTTCTACGTTTGCTCCATCACGATGAGATCGCTGATTAGTTGAAATACAGCTACGTGTCATTGACTGGGGACTTGCTGAATTCTATCATCCTGGGACAGCATATCATATTCGTGTGGGTTCACGGTACTACAAAGCGCCCGAACTGCTCGTGGGGTATAAGCTGTACGATTACAGCCTTGATCTGTGGAGCATAGGATGCATGCTTGCTTCGATGGTGCGTGACATTTTTGCGTTTCGCTCAGATCCTTCTTCTAATTATTCGGTAGCTGTTTCGCAAAGAACATTTCTTCCGTGGTTCGGATAATAATGACCAACTCTTGAAAATCATGAGAGTTCTAGGATCTGACAGTTTCGATGCCTACTTGAAGACATATGATATACCATTTGAAACAGACATGGAAGCCCTTCTGCATTCGTCAGTGGCATGTGCTGGCACGCATTTCAATGCTGATATCTCGTTCCAGTTATCCAAGACAGCCTTGGGCACGTTTTGTTAATGCTGAAAACCAGCAGTTTGTGACGTCAGAGGCACTGGACCTTCTTGACAAATTACTTCGTTATGATCATCAGAAACGGCTAACAGCACGGGAGGCTCAAGCCCATCCATATTTCAGTAAGCACATTTATTTCCGCTATGCTTCTCTTCTCAAGCTATATACAGATCTGGTCAGACTCGAGGCAGCATCAATTAAAGGAGACTCAGCAGAGTACGTTAACGACTCTGGATTCTGCTCTATGTAAAGGAACTAGGGGGTTATTTATGTAGGTGTACTCCTGGATCTCACGCTTGTAGGGAAGTTGTGTATCGGACGATGTTGTCACTATTAGGGCCAAGACAGTTATGCTGGAGAATGTGATCAGAATTCAAGCACGCGGTGACTGCATCAAAACAGGAAAGTCCAATGAAGTGGCAACGTGTTCAGCCCAAACGAAAACGAGGTAAACACACGCTCTCGGATATGTTCAATTACTCCAGGCTTTCTACACGCCCTCACTCGCGTCTATCGTCAGGTCAAGGTGGTAAACTGATATAACGCACCACATTCATCTTTACGTCCTTCCAATCTAACCTGCGTCAGATAATGGACTCAGACTACATACATCACATCCGCCCCAGGGCAATTAGCAGTCCTCATCATCCTAATTCGCTTCCCCAACACAGGTGTGCCAAAGTAGCTGAGCTACCGGTCTCTCCATCACCAACAACCCGACTACGCTTTCCGCGGCATGAAGATCGGAGTTGTCCACATAATTATACCAGCGCTCATCCTGTCCAATGGAAACGCATAAATCCTCACGCGCTGGCATGCGTCAGGGAGCAGGAGCACTACACGCATAGCAGACATGAAAACCCAACAGAGCAATGGGTGAACGATCAGATCCACTTGGCAAGCCGGCCAAACCATGAGCGCCGCTGGATGAAGCCCACGGAGACAGAGGAACTTCGACATAGAATGCGAGATGAATTCCTATATGAATATGAAGTGGGGGCCGAAGCGCATGGGTGGATGTCATATGAAGAAGATATGAGACGAAGAATGCGGGAGCGCGAGGAGGAGAAGAACCGCCTGATACAAAACGAAGTTAGACGAATCCAAGCCCGCGTTCGCCAGCGGAGAGACAGCGAAAGACATGTCATTGCTGAAGAGCGAAGACGGGAAGCTGAGAAGGCGAAGGAAAGAGTGATGAGGGAGCAGGCGAGGCTGGAACGAGCAACAATGGACGCTTGGAATGTGTATGAGTTGCGATGGGTAGCGCTATCCGCTGCATATGACGGAATCGTTCTGAAATTCCGTGATATCCCATGGCCACTACTTATTCCTCCGCTGACTCCAAGTGAAATCACTGCGGAGGGAATCGCAGCATTTATTTTGTCGACGGCCCATTCCCCGGAGCAGTCCCCGAAAGAGAGGATACGCGCCGCTCTCCTCCGTTGGCACCCAGATCGATTCTGCAGAGTGCTGGGGAGAGTGCGAGAATCGGAGAGGAATGCTGTCGAGGAAGGTGTAGGGATTGTGGTTCGATGCCTGAACGATCTTCTAACGAAGGATAACAAGGCCTCCCATATGGTAAGCACCGTTCCTCGTGAAAAGTTCAAACCCTAGCACTGCGGTCTGCTCACGGCCAGTCCACTGCAGGCTAGACGAGGATCGAGGTTATGAGTGAACCTATTGCACGACGCTGGCGGAGTCACAACTTGGGGTCAGCACCCATACCTTAACACATCATTTGATTCCAACTACACTGTGTACAACAGCAAAGGATGTTCAAGTTCCTGTTAATAAAGTGTTTCTTCATAATAGACTCCAACATTAATTTGGTTTTTTCTGAAGCAAGGTCTGAAACCAGGAGCGAAGCCCCGATGATATTGCATAATCAAGGAAAACGAGTATTGGGAATTTTTACAATATTCTAGCACAAGGGGCCTCCTACTCTTGCTGCGCTTCAAGGGAAAGCGTTACTGCGGAAGGCGGAGCAATGATACAATAGCTAAATAACGCGAAGTTGGTTATATATGGTGAAGAAACGTTGAGACTCCGAGTCGTCATGGATGCTGTATATGTATAGACACAGGGGAAAAAATCTAGTAGTCTGATCACCTAACATACCGGATCCATAACATAACTATCGTCGGTTGACATCTTACTTAACGAAGTCGGGCGAGAGCGCGATACGACCAATCCATTGAAGAACGGAATAGACAAGCCATCTACGAAATTTTGAAATCAGCGACAATACATTACTACCTGCCACGATACTTACGAACGATGATAGAACCAAGGACGACAAATGACACTATAGGCTGGATAGTTGTAGCGAGGTACTGTGCTTGATTTGCAGGCGGGTTCTCTGGGGTGGGCAAACGCGTGAGCGCTAGGGTAGATACGAAGACTGCGCTGACGCCCATCTGCGACGTATTGATAAGTGATAAAAATTGGTATTAGACAGACTTACTGGACCTGTATACAAGATTCAGATACTTGAGGTGAAAGCGACATCATAGATAAAAGAGCTGCTCACCGAAGTGACCAGAGAATAGAGCTTCCCGCCAGCATGCAATCTCGGGAACAAATTTGTATACCGCCAATAAAAATGGAATTCGCCTGAAGATCATGATAGCGATCACAAGAAGAACAAGCTTCCAAGGGCTGATGTTAAATTCGGGAGAGTCATAGGCGTTAAAGGGCAGCCAAGCGCCGATGTAGATGAAACAACAACAGTTCAGCACATAATCTATGACAGGAGAGAAATTGTCATGTTCTGTCTGTTCACGGAAGTGCCCATCCCAGGATATTGCACAGCCTGATGGGAATGTCAGACCCTACTGATAGGTGAATCATACAGGCTAGATGCAAACCTGCTGCAAATGCTGCAAGAAGATCATCCACGCCAATGGTGCTCGCAACTCCCATAATAAAAATGGAGAGAGCCAGGTACTGCGCGATGTACGATTTACGATCTATAAAGCCTTGATCAAGGGATTTCTTCATGAGTTTGGAGAATAGAATTCCTGAATCACAAATACAATGCAATCAGACCAATGCATTCGGATGAAGCGACATTACCGACCTAGAACAGCTCCTAGAACGGTGCCAAGGATGACCTGGTCTGCGGTAAAGAAAGTTGAGAACTTTACGAGACACCCAACACACAATAGCACAAACATAACCATCCCACCAAAAACCACTTGCCGATAGCAGTTTGAACGGACGTCTCGATGGTGAGGTATATGGATATTGCAAGAAAAGGGTAGGCAAGGCCGTCGTTGGCTGCGGCCTCAGCCAACAAGATGTGGCGAATATCCTCGCGAACATGTTGGTGGGCAAATTTACCGTCTATAGAGTGTATGTAAGTATCAGGGGTAGTTCATGATTGGCCGGACTGACGTGTGATGGCAGCACATGTCACCGGGTCCGTAGGGGTCAAACAAGCGGCGATACAAAGGGCTGAGATGTAGTCGAGTTTCGGAAACAACACGTACATGACCGCTGACAACGGTGATCAGTAGGTACACGATTTCATCCGCGATGACTTACCAGCCACTACGACCCAACCAAACGCCATGGTAGGCACAACCATTACCAGCAAGCTCTTGGCATGCCTTTTCATATATGCAGGTGGTAATTCGACTCCAGCTGCGAATAAGCCGATTACAAGGACGATACGCATGACCTCTAGTGTTATGGTATTACTCAAGGGACCCCACGAATGGGGTGCGAAGATGTTGGCAACGAAAGGACCTATGATAATCCCGAAGGCGGTTCCTAAAACGACTTCATTGACATAAAGCTGGTGGAAACATGGGTCAATCGTCAAGGGGTTGATAGCAATTACACACCTTCTCTTTGATTAGGAGGGACACCAGTGAGAACTGTGTTCAATAGTCAGCATACTGCGGTATATAACAATTCTCATGGAGCCAGGTAGACAGCACCCGAAAACGACCCTCATAAACAGCGAGAGCAACGACACGCGTACTGCATACATGCATTCGAAATGAGCTGGAACGAACCAAGACTGTAAAGCCACCAAGACAGATGTACGAGATCCTCGCCGGCGACACCTGAAAGACAAATGAGTTGTTGGTGACAAAAGAACAGTCGCTAACCGCACGGACTTGTAGTAAATCTAAAGCCATGCTGAAGTGTTGTCGCAAAATCTTTCAGAAAAAGACGCCTGATTCCAGGAGTATTTATCCAAGCAGACGCCAGATTGCTGCAGTGCAACAGGGCCGGGAATTAACCATGGAGAGATATGGCAGCTGTTCCACCTTGGCAGACAGCCTGATAAATACAGTGACGGTAATGAATTATTCCTGAAATGCTCATCACGTCAAGTACATTGATCAAAGGATCCACCCACGACCTTTGACTGCATGGCACCTGCCAGCAGCGGTGGGAACTAATGACGTGCAGAAGTCCATGAATCTCTCGATCGTGAACCCTTGTGCGAGTGAGCAATTTGAAGGTATTTCTCTTAAAGTAGGTCAAGCGCTCTGTGATACTGAGCCACCTCCGTGAGCCGTAGGGGCCAAGAGACGTTGTGATAGGGCTAATACGAGCTGCAACGCTGAAACAGCATGAATAGAGTGCGGTGGAGTCACTTACCAGGTTTGTGTGCTTGACATACGATTATAGTTGGGAGTCGCGATTGCGGTAAAAATTAAAGTGGTTGATGAATAATCAGGAGTTCCGGATCCGGAAATCAGGTGGCGCCGTGACATGGGGCGCCCAACGCTGGCAATGATCGTTCTGGATAAGGGAGAGAACGTTCGCTGCAGCTGCATACATGCAACATGTAAGGTGAACTGTGAGTGGTGCTACTTTCTCGCTGCCAAGTAAACTTACATATATTGAACTTTTCGACAAGGTTGTTGTAATTAATGTGCCAACAAAAGCGCCGTTCCTTGCACAGAACACAGAAAGGTCTAGATAAAATGTTCGAGGCCAGGCAGGCTGTGTTATTTTTTCGTATATACTACGTTCGTGCGCGACATTATACACCCAATCACGGGAATCATAACTAGGCTGATATCTAGTTAGTACCGCCAGTTGCCAAGAACATGAAAATATAATCTAGCCCTACTATAGAGCTTATATAGTCCCTGGGTAACGTTAAACGACCAAGCCCCTGACTCCCATCTCCATTCAGCACTTATAATATATACTTTTCAACGCACTCGGCAACACCATAACATCATGCATCCCACGAACCAGAAATGGTGGCACAACAAGAAAGTGTCATTCGGGCATGGAATCACAAAGGGGGATTGGGCTGAGGTGCGAGGACTCGGAGAATGTCCACATGTTGGATTCTCTACCTAGCGTCGCAACGGAACACCAAGAACAAGGTGCCCTCATGTTGGGTATGTCACAGTGCTCTGATGCTTCGAACAATCAGAGACAATATTGAGCTGCAGTAGTGAAAAGACGTTATCGCATGTTCATGCGGTCCGTGTCGAGAGCAAGTCGAGAGAGTGATCGAGCTAGGACAGCTGGCCTGGACAACGAGCATGTGGAACATGGCGTTCACAAAAGAGAACGAGTGGGAATGGGATCTCAAGAGACATTTTCCGTAGTGGAAATGACCATCTGCAGGCAATAAGTTCAATCAGTATCGAATACAAGAGCGTGATGGATGAAAGATATTCACATCAGCTCACATACATGAGGCCTTGAGGTCTCAGTTAGACTATACGAGATATGAATTGTGGGCGAACGGGTTATACACGGAAGCAAGCACAGCATTAATATTCTTGCACATCTTGTTAGTGATAAAAGTTCGACAAAGCCCTCCCTACCGACGTCAAGGATATACTCTGGTTTGGGATGGATTGAGTCCACTCTGGAGTCGGAAGAATGCAACCTATCCTCAAAGTGTCGGGCTGTGGACATATATATCGCGCCACTATATGGTGCTTCATTTCATAATGATATCAAGGGATGCCGCAGCTGGCTCTGGATTCGGGAGCGGACTGCGAATAGTACACAGCGCACGAGTTGATGTTGGGGCGTTCCAGTTCGCCGCGTTACACCGTGTTCTACGAGGCTGAGCGTTAACGTTGAGCAAGGGGTCGGGGACTTGACAGTCTGAGTGTGTAAAGAGTGTTGTATTATTCTACCCTTTCACGAAAAATATTTTGTGGCGAAATTCGAATTAATTTGGCTCGGAACTAGTGAACGGCAAAGCGGGGCGCGTCATCATGAGAAGTGACAAATCCAAATTTTTGGACTTTACTCTCGGATTTTGATTTTCGTCTACCTCATCATGCTCCGGACTATAACACGACTGCCACTGCGCAGATGCGTTCATACGAATGCCAGCTCCTCGAGCACCCGTATATTCAAAAATTATTCGAGCAGGTCTGGACTTGCACTGGGAGCTACCGTCACGTTTGCTGCATACATGGCTTGGTCGCTGAGCTCGGATAGTCAACGGATATCACTTGATGCTCAACCTGTGTCCGGTATGCGTTCATTGAGATCAACAGCAGTGCTATTCTAACACATTCGCAGCCCCCAAAAAGCTTCCGTCCTCCACAAATCCCTCACTTCCCGCTGCAGACTCCCCTCCGCCTCCAATACAGACAGAAGAGACATCCTCTGAAACGTCAGTACCCATAATAGAGGAGGACGCGGATAAAACACTACCGGCCGCGCCAGTAGAAGCACCAAGCGAAGAGCAGCCGTCTGGGGGTGCTTATAACCCGGTGACAGGCGAAATCAATTGGGACTGCCCGTGCCTCGGTGGAATGGCCCATGGTCCATGTGGTCCAGAATTCAGAGAGGCCTTTTCATGTTTTGTTTACTCTGAACAGGAACCAAAAGGCATTGATTGTGTGGAAAAATTCAAGGCCATGCAAACCTGTTTCCGGGAACACCCCGACGTATATGGGGAGGGTAAGCTTATTTTCCGATTAGGAAGTCTCTTGTGCTGATTCCGTGGCAGAAATTATGGACGATGATGACGAAGAGGAATCCCAGGGTCAAGCTACGCCCTCGGGTGCTAAGCTTACTGAGGCGGAGTACACAACTCTGGATAACGTAGCTCAGGAACCCGCGCAGCCCCAACATCCCCCGTCACCTGTTTCCACATCATCCGCCTAGAGCATCGTTATCTTAGAGTATCTTGGTTAATTATCCCTCATATATTCACCACTCAATATGGCAGCCTATATGACCATACATAGCGCATGGAATTTGATACAAGAAACTATGCTAAAGGTATATGGAATCTCGTGTCAGTTTGAGAACCGCTTCTCTATGACCTGGTCTTTCAATTTATAGCCGTTGGCAGCGAAAAGCTTTGAGCGCAGGAAGGTCGATGTATCATAGATCTCATGTTCCTTCGCCTGAGGAACCAGTGAGTTCATAACAGTTCCTACAAAGGTACGAACCACTCACCCGTTCATCAAGCTCAGACATCTTGACCGTGATGAGCTCAGGTTGCTCGTGTTTCTGTAGTTGGTGGAAACGGGCCTTTTCCTTCACAATCTGGCCAAGAAGGAAAGCTAAGAGTTCTTCATAATCACGAGCTTGTGTCAAGTATTTTCGGAAGCCCTGTCTAAATCATCAGTGCCTTTCCTGATAAAGTCATAACGTACTCACCCTTTCAAGGGTCTTTTTGATTGACATCTTTTGAGTGCTGACGAAGCTCCCTACTGCAACGGAGATCGCCATGTCAATGTCATCAGCGCGAACGTATTCCCGTAGGGACATTTTTGCACTGGCTTCAGCCATCCGAATCATGCTCTCCAGGTGTCGGACGGTGATGGGGTATGAACCTGTTGCCAGTGACTCGCGGCGAAGATCAGAAAACAAGCGCGCCAATTTATCCTGGTCCATGTCATAGAGCTTTGGGCGTATCTTCTCTCGGGCGTACATGATGTATTTACGGAGGATATCTTGGGGTATGATCTGTCTAGACTGTTATGGAGGGGCACAGCTTCAGGGGCTGAATAGACTTACATCAGCATCAAGGGTGGTGCCAACATCCATCTCATCTCTGTCAGCTTCGAATTTAGGATGACTGCGGAGGTGACTTCCGACAACGAATCGGGCTAGTAGCTCATCTTGCACAGGATCCACGTTGTCTTTGACAACACACAGCACATCAAACCGAGATAGGATGGGTTCTGTCAGCTCGACATTTTGCTGGAAGGGAATCGTTGGGTTATATCTTCCGCGAATCGGGTTGGCAGCGGCAATTATGGCACATCGAGCTTGCAACGTCGTGACGATCCCAGCTTTAGAGATGGAGATGGTTTGTTGCTCCATTGCTTCATGAATAGACGTCCGATCCGCATCATTCATCTTGTCAAACTCATCAATGAGACATGTTCCTTTGTCGGCAAGGACAAGAGCGCCTCCCTCCAGCGTCCATTCCCGAGTCACGGGATCCTTGCGGACGCTGGCAGTCAGACCAACAGCCGATGCACCCTGACCAGTTGCGAAAACAGACCGGTGAGCTGTCTTCTCTGCGTACTTCAGGAATTGCGACTTCGCCGTTCCAGGGTCACCCAAGAGCAGTACGTTGATATCACCGCGAAGTCGGTGTTTACGGTTGATGTCTTTCGTAACACCACCGAACAGGGAGAGGGCGAGGGCCGTTTTGATGTCTTCGTGTCCGTAAATCGAAGGTGCAATAGACTTGACGATGCGCTTCCGAATACGTTCGTCTCGTGCGAGGGCGCGCATCTCCTTCTCGTCTTCTTCAGTAAGACGGAACGCTGCAAACAGATCTTCCTTTTTGTTGATGTGGTTGGCCTCGATGATTGTGGAGAAGACTGGGAACCCGTTCTTCGAGTTAAGAGAGGCGTCGAAGTTGTTCCTGTATATCCCAGTCACTTCCTACGCTAACGTGCTTAGTGCCGGTTATCGAAAGCGCCTTACGTTACTTACAATCTCCTCTCCAGGCTTTGCCAAGTCAATGAGGTCCCATAGGAGGATAACTTCACGATGCCTTGGTAGACGCCCCGGAGGGACTGACCCAGGGGACTCCTGCAACGTCATTTTCTGGTAATTGCGGTACACCGTCTGTCATGAAGCATTTAACAGGTATCGTCATAAGTTCGAAATGCGACTGACCTGCTCGGAGTTAATAGGAAATGGGCCCTTGCTCTCACAGTTAGCGCAAAAGCTAACTTTGACCTCCTTTGTTGCATCCTGGTAGAATGGACCGAGAACAGCACCACATTTTCGGCAGTCAAATTTGACGTATTTAAGCTGCGGGAATACACCACTTCGTCGAGTCACAACACCAGTGACTCGGACTAGATTGTTTAGGTTAGAGCGTCGGAGATCACGGAGCGAGGAGCTCAACGGAAGGTCTGCAATGCGAACATGAACTTCCGAGTGGATCCGTTCGTACGACGGGTAATATACAAGAATCGCATTCAGTGCGACCTCATCGAAGATTGTAAGCATGGCGGCCGGGGAATTTGTCAGGAAGTAAGCCAAGATAGGCTTAGACATTGCTAGATGAAGATAAGATACTTCCAGTGACTCGGCATTTGCTGCAATAGACCATCAGTAACTCTGCAAAAGATATAGACTAATAATACGGACTTTCTCCAAGATTACGAATGCGTTGACCGTAGACCGATGCGCCGTTTTCGTCGACGTAGGTCATCAAAAACTGCCGGAAATGTTTGACAATTGATCGGCGAACACGGTCATTGGCAATCCATTCGACGATAGATTTAGCCTTTATGTCACTCAGTTGCTCAAGGGGTATTTCCTAGAAAAACATGGATGAGTACACATCCGACTGACCGCCAAGATTTTCACCAACATCGTCTATACCATCCACATCATCTACATCACGGCGCTCGTCATATTGTCGCCTTGTGCGACGCTTCATTCTCGAAACGCCGAGATCATCGCCAAGAGCATCTTCATCGTCCATGTCATCATCCTCCAAGAACTGGGGTGCACGGCCTCTATTAGCTGCTCGGGTGCCTTGCTTTCCTGTGCGTTCAAGGCGATCGCGGCGATTCATCTTGGCTTCAGCCGCTCGTCGAGCTGCTGCTGAAATTTCGTCAAAGTTCCCTTCATCGTCGATGTCTTGGTCGGAGTAGCGATCCAGTAGTTCGTTTGGTGCATAATCTCTATTTTCAGTAGCGTAAAAGTGAGTACCTAAAAAAATATGGACTTTGACACGCACTCTTCGAGGGTGTCCGCAAACAAATCTTCGCCTTCACCGTCATTTTCATCGTCCTCATCTATATCACGTACTCCGTCACGATCATCCAAGCTATCATCTGTATCCGAGAAGGGTGCCGGAGGCGAAGACGGTGGGAGAGACGATTGTGAATCGCTCCGTCTTGGAGTAGGACGTGGAGCTGGTGATGAACTGGGAATGGGAGGCGATCTTGGACGCTTGGCACCTCTAGGGGTCTGTGACTATGATGTAGAAATTTAATAAACATCAGTCTGATTTCTGTGTCCTCCGTGCTCACCATGGTGAATAGCGATAATGCGGGGAGATGGCAAGAACAAAAACACGCGTCGCGACGCGTTCAATTGTCGGAATTTAAAATTCAAAGCGTGTTCGCTTCCCACGCAAGCATTGATCCATCCGTGCCGACCAAATCATTCCTTCCTTTGTGATATGCCTAGCGTCGACCTTGAAACCGCGATCAAGCAAGAGGAAGAATACCTACGCAAGGTTCATCCTACCGTGGACGATATTCCAGGATGCATGACCTTGTTTGATGAATTTTTGCAATGCCATGGTATGCTCTCAAAACGCTTCAGAGTGCTGGTACTCATGAAACTTTCAGTTCTGGGGACTCAAATAAAATCTTTATACAGATACGGTCAAATGTCAGAGTGTGGAGTTAAAAAAGAGGACTTCAAATTTTGTATGAGCTTGAAATTCATGCACCCAGAACAGAAACGGGACGCTTGGATCCGTCGCCGTGCCGAGTGGTGGGCTCACAGACGACTCGGAAAGAGTAGCGAAAATGTGTGGGATATGAGGAAGTAATGTCCACCCTTTGAGTTATTTCTTCGCTTACTGAATTCACTTCAAGGAGTCCTCTCCCAGACTGGCCCCCAGCCCTTTCGGACAATGTTCCAGAGAATGTGGAAACTATCTCGTGAATGATCAGAGTGACTTACCCTGCAGACTCTCATAGGGGAATTCGGCAGCCCTGTTATGTTTCTCAGCCACATGTGCATGGCGGCCCTTGGTCTATCTTAGGCGGGACGCAACCTTTGGCCTTCAAACACAGTGACCCTCTTCGCGAGGAAATATGTTCCACTCTGTTGAGCTCACATTGCACTTACTTTGTTCTCCCTTCTGATACACTCAACTTATTTGCATAATTGTGTGTCAACAGTTGAAGTTCTCCTAAACGCTGAAGCCGACTCTCTGGATGTTAGAAAGACTAGAATATCGCACGTTCTTTGAACTATCCCAGATAAAGAGCTGCTACTTTCTGTTCGCTTTGATTTTCAGATAAGTACATCAATATGGTTGTGCGCAGCTACTTTGGCAGCACAACCACATGCACTTCGTGGTAACGTCCCAGGTAGGATTTGTCGCATTTTTTTTAAAGAAGTCATGAGGACAGTCGGGAGAACTAAGTCGAAGCGCCTTTGTATGAGCCCACCATCCAGCAAGTCCGGCCGGATCCTGTGCAAGTGAATGCAATCGAGCCTACAGGGTTATAATATTCACGATGTCTCCGCGGGTTGCACCACCATCTTTGGTGAGTTTCCCTACCATAATTTACTGTCACATTTTCGTCGCACCCGTGTTTCGAATACACGGCGGCCTGTCTCTCATTCTCCCGTGTCTGAATCCAAGTCAGTGCAGGACAACTATTGCCTACTCCAAGCCTGCTCTGTTGTTATTCACTTACCCCTTTGTCCACTCGGATCTCTCGCATGCAATTGATTGTCATTTGCTGCTCGTACACTATCTCTTATAGCTCGCGCGTCCTCCCATCGCTTTCAGTCGGTCTTGGCAATGGCGATGTTCATTTGTATGATTGTACCCTTCCATGTCAGTATATATAGCTCAATTTCACAGCAGGATCGGCCAAGTGTGTCTACATCAACGGATCAAGTTGGGAAACGGGCTTCTTGACCGCTCCACGGGTAACGCTGTGAGATCATTTTTCCGATATAAATTTTCGCCAACACGTTAGTACGAAAGGGACGACTGTCTTCCTTCGTCTATAGTCTGCTAGGGAAGGCCAACATCTACTTGGCCCAACAAAGTCCATTTTTTCAGTAGGTGCCGGTGTGACCCTTGACAACTTGAAAAATTCATGTCTAGCCCGTGGATGTCGGATCTAGATGCTGCTCTAATACTGACAAGTCAAAAGTTAGTCATGCATATGGCCATCTTTTTGCTCCCACCAACATTTACTAAGTACGTATGGATGTACGCAGCAGCCCCTCAAAGGGTTCATTAGCACGTTATCATTGATCATCAGGGTGCCTATATGGTCGTTGTGGTACTCGCTGCCTTCTAAACGCTCGAGATCATATTCGTCCTGGCTTGGGACATGCAATGCTGGGGTTAGTACGCCACGTTGTTTACATCTCACCATCGTGAGTTTCTTCTGTAAGCCTTGGCGGATTCAAATGCGATCACGGGTTGATGTGGCAGTACCGGTGCTATTTTTTCGCGGCCAGACCATCGCGCACTTGCGCCGACCAAAGAAGCTGAAGGTGTCTGGGTCGAGGGAGTGCCTTCTAAGATGAGTGGAATATATTGACTTCTATCTCGGAAGTTGCACCGGAAGTTGCACCAGAACGATTTCCAGGTTGTTGGTATGGTCGGTCAGGGCCTCCTCCAAAGCCGAACCAGTCTCCCCAACCTGGACAAGAGGTATTCGACTTCTTTCATGCAGGAACTCCACCCACATTTCCGCACGCCCGTCAGACTTCTCTGCCAATATTACCCGCGAAGTCCTGTAGAACTTAAGATTTTAGTTCCACATGTCTTCGCTCTGGAATACTGTGTGTCATCTACACATCCTCTCCCAAAACGCTTGCTATTTCCAGATGGACTTTCTGGGTATAATAAGTTGGCGTTGTAACGTTGATTCTTTATCGTTACCTTTTTAAGCACAAAAACCTGCTCAGAGCGGCGCTCATGGCCAAGCAATTCTTAGATGGGATAACTCGCACGACTGGCCGGGTCCCTCTAGTCTTATGCTCAATATGAACTTTCCCCGCAATCTAAAAACAAGAGGTGTGCTGTTGTTCCAAAACTGGCCTTTCTCGGCCCCTATGACGCGATTCTGAGCTACTACATTTTTCCTGCATCTCTGCATCCTTCAGTGCACGCTCATTTCCGGTGTTTTCGCAAATATTCATCACCGTCGGTATTTCCCATCGGTTCTTTGATCGAATACGAACATTATAAGGAAGATGGACAAGGGAGAAGCGACGTTTTTTTGAATCACAGGATATGAGTGATTTCATGATATGTGAAGCACGCGTTGTAGATAACGTTGATATCTATTTATAAAGTCAATTCAGTTGTAGAGGTTCTAACGTTCCTAATACGTCTTAGGTGATCGAAGTTAACGTTGATCAACAGAAGGTGACGAATATTCTTGATTGCTATTACATAGCTAGCAGTTACCGGCTATGACGTTATAAGACTTATGATCTTCGGATCCCAGAGGATTTTGTAAGTCAAGCTGTATTACTGACAACGTTATCTATCTTCAGTGCTCCGATTGAATACTCGCTGGCATTGACTCGGACCTCAGACTGATCAATGGTACAGTCAACATGATAAAATTCCTGTAGAGTACACAAAACATAAAAAAATCGATGTACCGCAAGCTTAATACTTGCGATACTCGTCCAATACACTATGTTACGATCCCTTCCGTCTGCTCTCCCTACAACTGTATACAATATGGTGTTCATGACACGTAAATCTCCTCTCCCATCGTATACCGCTCGTGGAGGATCGCCTGAGAATGAACCGAGCCCGTTTCATTCCAGTAGTGTACATCGTACTCCGTTGATCATGTTGCCTGACATGTGTTCATAGATAGTCGTCCAATGAATAAAAAGTGATGAGTGTCCCAGTATTGGGCCGCCTATGCGGACTTTTCTGAGTCACTAGGCTCCGAGTCTTTGCGGACTATCCGGGCCTCCTCTGCATCACGCATGCCACCGGCATGCCAGTCACCAAGATAGAAATACACAGCTGGTAGGCCCACGAAGAGACCTCCAATAATGTTACCAATCAAAGCCGCAATTAGCGACCTGAGAAAGTAATCAGTAAATATTGAGATGCACTGAACGAAAGACTTGGTGCATACTTGCGAATGTACAGGTCGGTCGTAAGCTAGAAAGCAATTAGAAATGTACGAAGTGAGGTTAGCATGTGAAAGACGTACCTCAGAGTGAAGCATAATGCTCAACGGGAGTGAAAACATATTTGCGATAACTGGTAAAAAGTATTGGTGAAAGTTTGAAACCGAATGTTCTGCAACTTACCGTGGTCGAAACCACAAGCCACGAAGACCTAGAGGACATAAATGAGTCAGGATCACCACCTTTATCGATTTTACGAACCCAGATGGGGAACCAGATGGCTACGATTTTCGACAAAGTGTCTTTGGCCCCCATTCCTTGCTAAATACCGCCCGTGAGTAATGACTTGGAGCAACACGGTGAAATATGTACCCAAACGGCTATGCAAACAAGCCAGTTACAACCAATGCCGCGAAGGAAAATCTGATACCAGGCAGGTGTGATGGCTTTCGTACTAGCACAGGGTTGAGACAGTGGGATTTCCAGATTAGGATGAAGTGACTCACATAGCAAATGCCCTTACGTATGAGGCATAGGGATCATCCACCATTAGCCCATCGTCTGTATGAACATGTTAAGTTATACGATAATCCAAGCCAATGAACGCGAACTGACATTTCGAAAGGATTGCTGCAAAGAACAGACTGCCAACGAGATTTCCGAAAAAGACTGACACAATAGTATACTCAGTATCTGAATAAGATCCGGCTTCGGCCGGTACTACTTACCAACAATCCAGTTGAGGGGAACGCCCCACCAGGGAATCGCTCTCTTCAATGCAGCCATGGGGAAGATCTATAAGTTGGGTGTCAATGAGTGAAAAGTGGTTCTACACCAGCGCTAAACTGCCTACCATAAGATTACTCGTGAGCAGGTCAAGACCCTGGAGCACAATCCTGCGGAGGGTTATAACAATCAAGCCATGATACGATGGTACTGAAGCCGTCAGTACCTACATAACGAGTCCAACAGGGAATACGAAACCGCCAAGGACCTTGACAATTCCGGGGTTCGAAGCTGTCAGACCTGGGGAGCCACCACTAATAATAAGATCAAGGAGGCCGCCGAAAGACAACATAACACCCGCAAGGACCTATCAGATAGCAAGATTAAGATGTTAGACCACACGTGCATGCACTTGTTACTTACCGCCTTGAAGAAGGTCTTGTCCAACCGCGTGTTGTGCTTGGCTACAGCTTGCTCGACCAGAGCAACAGCAACTTCAGCTGGGGTGAGAGTGAGAGCGCTTGAAATGGACATTGTAGTAGTGGTAGTGTGCGATCCGCTAAGGTCCAAGGGGGATGCAAGACTCGAAATGGTGGCATAGCCCAGCATTTATATGTTCATAAGGACACCGGTTCACGGTTCCTGACAAGCGAGATACCAAAATAACTGGATTTCTCGTGTGCAGTTACTACTAGTGGGCCCTGGGATCCCGATCCCTGCCAAATGGATCTGCACATTGGATTAAGGGCCGAAATTCAAAGTTGTGCACACACGGATACCAAATGATCCCTTCGCCCAAATCCCAAACACCCCTACTAAAAACGGTAACAAACTATTACCTAAACATTAGCAGTCCTTTTAAGCTTTCAGTCTTACTTACACCCCCCCTTCAACCGTATAAGATCATATTTATGACACGTGATCATTCAAATATGATTAAATAAAATCATCAAGACTGATGGAACATGTAGATTAATACTCTGTGGGTTAAAGACTGGTGTTAGTCTAAAGTCCGATGAATATCTAGTACTATGTTTAGTAATAGGCCCTGTGTCGTTTAGCATTTGAAATTTAAAATGTGCGCGGGAAGATGGTATTTTGGCGAAGGGTCATGGGCGTGGGGCGGTGCCGGCGAGGGGCGGTTGGTGTGTGCGCCCAACGTCCTTATTGAATGATCAAGGGCTTACCAGGGCAGCAGCCAGGAATCACGGCAGAAATAGCAGACACTTGTTCGCCGTGATAGCTAGCCTTATTAGCCCTACTGCATGACAGCGCGACTTTTCCCTGGAAATAACGGGACCAAATGGTAACCGTTGTTAATGACTAAGCCTTCTCTCCGACCTATTTCGGTTTCCCGTAGCATCACAAAGCATCACAACGTTCCACTCTGGCATTGAATATGCAATATTCAATAATAAATTCAATTGCACCACTATGCAAAATGTAATGGACTGATGACGGACTAATGGAGGCTAGTGGCACTATCATTAATAGCTGTCGTTGTACTTGTATTGAATCATACTGAATATAGAGGCCAAGGTTTGAATCACACGACCATTGATATCTATGCTGCAGAAAGGCCCATCAGAAGAAGTAACTTCAGGTCGGTTCTATGATTACCGACTTACTAGTTCATGAATTGGCGACGCATTCTAATCGGATGTATTACTGTTGGTAGGCAGGCTGTACGAGAACGTGAAGAATTTTGTTTATCGATTCTCTGTCTTGGAGATATATTGTGGGCCTCAGGGTCTGGTTATCTTCATGGCATATTCTGTTCGGCGGACAATCAGTCAAGTTTAGCAATGCACACTAGGCCGAGCCAGGCCGCTTGCGTGCCCGAGGCTCATTCAATAATGTTGATCTGTCTAACGGAGTCATCTATTATGTTCAAGCAGTGCATGTTTCTCCACTTGCTGACCTGATGCAGAAGCTCCGATATCTTCTTGCAGTTGATTGGTAGATCAATTGTCTACGCACTCTGCCTTGATCACGATAACATGTGGTTACAAGCGGTTACAATTCATTTACAAATCCCGAATCGGTACCCGGGTTCTCACATGACGATGGGAGCTTGGCATTGATGGGACCAGTTATCCGTGTGTGTGTGTAAATACCAATATTTTTGGAAGCAGCTTGATGCTTGCCTGACCTTGGTCCGGCGCAATCAGATCCAAAATCACCTCCTGGGAAAGAAATCAGACGTTTCGTTGCTACTTTTCTGACGACGCTAACCGAGTCAAACAACTCCACGTCCCACAATCGAAGCATCTGGCTGCGCCCATCGGAGCTCGCCTGGACACCGGCTCATGTGATGAAGAGTGGCCGAACCAAATATCCCATCGTATCTAGAAAAAGAAAAACCTTGCACGCGGGTCGCAGTTGTCATTCTTGTCCGGAATGTTTGGCAAGATTTCGTCCACTGATGAAATTCTAGCTCTGTGTGTGTGATGGTCGCCCATCAACACAAACCAATCCAATCAAGGTGATCAATTCAAAAAATCATATGAGGGTATCTATTAAATGCGCACGATACACGCTTCCATGCGTGCATATTTTGACGTACTCATCAGTGTGGTCTCACTTCTCTCCAGATCGGTGTGATAGCTTGGGCGACTGTATTAGCGGCAACCTCGAGGCAGCCACGTTCTACATCATCCCGAATAGCTGACCACAGCTTCCGGGCACGCCATCTATCCGGGTGGAAACGCCGATGACTTCTTTCTACGAAATCTTTGTAATCTTGAGGTCGCATGGAGGTCTTGACGGTTGCAAAAAATCTCTCCACGGCAGACCAATCGACATCCTCGACTGTTAGATAGGAAGGATGATGGAGCACAGGCCACGGGATGTCAAGAAAAGTGATCGGCTGATCAGGCGTGAACTTCGCAGCGTCAAACTCTTCACTGAGAACCCTGTATCGTTCCAGGGCTCGATGACTCGTCCACGTACCAGACTCCCAGCGTTGGCGCTGTTTAAACCGTCGCTGTTCTTGCCGTCGCCTTTCTTCTTCTGCATCATGTCGTTCAGCTTCCGCTCGGAGCTGGCGTGCCTGACGTTCGGCCTCCTCACGTTGCTGCCATTGTCTTTCTGCCTCGGCTCTTCTCCGCTGTTCAGCTTTGGCCTGGCGATCCTGTTCTTCAGCACGCTCACGCGCCTCACGCTTCCTTCGCTGTTCTTCCCAAATAGGTCTATCCCGGTCAAGTTCTCGCATTTTGCGAATGGACTCTGCAAGCTCGGCTTGGCGCGTTGCCTCTTCGTCCGACTCTTCACTCTTACGAGACTCGGACTGCTCTTGCGAAGCAGCGGGCTGAGGATATGTCGATTGCGCATTATGATCACTCACTGAAGAAGAAAAAATATAAACCGTTGAAAGAGCAGAGTGGGAACGGTAACATACGCAGTTCGTCGATATCGATCGGGTAATAATCAGCAAACACTTGTTTGAATCCCTTTTGATGGCGTTCGTCCATTGCCCTAACTTTTGCTTGTTTTCGTGTTTCCCGTTTCATCTTTGAGTGATTGAAAGCCTGCTTGGTCTTGCTTGGAGATATGGTCCGCTGACGCTTTCGCGCATGGCCATTGGTAGGGCTATGTTTTTGTGGCAGTTCGTCGTCCGTGTCAGCGGTAAATCCATTTTCTATCACCTTCGTCAGACCGCTATAAAGAGTAGAGATTGCAACAAACTTTTTCGTTTGGCATTCTCTTGGGCTTGCGGCCCAGTAGGCCCAGTATTGCTCTGAGATGCAAATTGTTCCGCGTCCATGGACATCGGTTGTCCGTCAGCCTGAGACTCTTGGCTATATTTTGCTTGTGCTCCCTTAATCTTCTGCCATCGATTGTCTCGCTCCTTTTTCAATTCTTCTCTTCCGGATCGTACGGCATTCGACAGGGGCTTGGTCCTTGGACGAAGAAGGCCATCAACAATCATTTGTTCCACTTCTTCTTCGTCCCCGTCAGATTCACTGTCACTGCTGTGATCATCACTGTCTACACGAGCGCGCCGCGAACGCGGTCTTTTTCTCGGAAGCAGGTTATCCGTTTCAGGGGTAGGCGTGCGTGCGCGTGCGCGTTTTGGGCCTGGCAGTGAAGGAGCTCTAAAGCGCTGAGCCTTAGGGTCAACCCTCACAACAGATGTAAATTTAAAGCCAAAGTGAACAGTGCACCGATATTCCGGGTCCAGCTTGTAAATCTCCCATTGCTCTTGGTAGCAAAACACGTGTTCTCTGAAAGTACAGCATTCCAAACAATTGCAAGGACATAGATCGACGATATCGCTCACCCGCATATTTCGATTACTCGTGGCCAAAAGCCTTCATCGCGCACATCTGCATCCAAGCGTGCTTTTGGCACAAATCTCCAAAAGCTCGTACCTTTGGGTGTTGTTTCGATGACAATACGTTTGGGAGGGGGAAGATCCTCGCCGATAGATAGTTTATGCAGGTCTGGGATATCTTCGCCAGCAAGAGCGGTACGTGGATCGAAGGACGCGAAGGAGAGCGTGGAATCGTGAGCACGCAATAGACGGGAGGGTTGGGTCGGGTCAAGAAGACCAGGTTCAGTGCCACGAATTGTCCGTGGCGCATGTAACGGTCCCGCAGTAGCCGGCTGGGAACCCATTAGAGGAAGCTAGACCGTTTGAAAAAGGTTACAGAAAGAGGTTGGAATGATGGAAGAAAACTATGTACCTTGCTTGTTGCATTCGATAAATTTAAGGGTAGGTTAAGTCATAGCGTTTAGCGTCACGTGAGAGTACAATAGTTTATAGGTGGCCAGATATAGTATTCATTCATTCACTGCAGTGACCAGTCAAGACTTTTTTTGTCCAATGTGACCCTTCGTATGATACATTGTTTTCAAATAGAGCGTATGTGACGGTTGTGTGCCGCGGCAGACATGGAAATTGGACTGCGGCATGTCGGTAACGAGGTAACCAATCCATAGTCATGAGATTCGTGTAATGATGCACATAATGTATTTTACAAGTTGAAGCCTGAGGTCGCAATATTGCTAAGTGTGGAGGAAGATGGGTATATATAAAAGATAAAAGTGATATGAGATAAAAGAACAATAATGATAATGCCAAATTCAAAATGCAATGGTAATGCTGATGTCGATGATGATAATGTATAGGTAATGGCAACAAGATGAAATGCAATAGTCAAGATTTCAATGGACGTTATATTCGTTCGTAAACGTGGGCTAGGACATGGAATATGTTGCACTGTCCGGGTACTCACAGCGGCCTTCAAAGTACCCCGAGCCATATGTCTGTAAAAACTCCTCTAGTTCAGCTGATGCGGAGTTCAGATCGTTCCCGGAGACAGGCTGGTATTGAAAGTCCACGTCGAAGGCGGGAATGGACTGCTGAGAGTTGACATCGGGATCCAACTTCGGGTCGAACTGCGGCATGTGGGAGGCGGAGAGATCGACAGGGACAGTTGATGGCTGGAAGTAGTTGAAGGTGGGGGCGGTGAGCTGAGAGGGCTGTTCGTAAACGGAGGTGAAGCTCTCGGCAGGGAAATCGGGGAAGAGTCGCTCCCAGGAGAGTTCGGTGAACTCGCCCGAAAACTGGGGGATGCCGGAGTCGCTGGACTCAGCGGGTGAGAGCGCATCGCAGGGAATGAGGCCTGCGAGCTCGGGAAATGTGAGGTCATTTAAATCCAGTGATGCAGGAATATCTTCCTCAGGCTTCATAAACCGAGTAGATGGGTAAGGTGCGGCGGCGGACTGTCGAGCAGCTTTGCCCCCGAGGTTGCGACGCGCCTTGGGCTCGTAGCTGTGTAGGTGCTTGCGGTGACGCGTCAAGCTTGCTGGATCGGTAGTGGCAAACGCGCACCCAGGGTGGGGGCACGTCCTCGAGCGTTCACGGGTGTGGGTCCTGATGTGCGTCTGCAGGTTGGACTTTTGGAGGGTCTTGTAATTGCAGTCAAGGAATGGACATGCGTGCATACTGATCAAGATAGCAGATGGGTCAGGAACCATCTGGTACAATAGGGTACGAGTACGTACAGAGACTCCTTGTGTTCATCGTGCGTACGCATGTGTCTAGGAAGATCTGCCTTGCGGCTTATGGTCTTGTGGCAGACATGGCAGTCAACAGATGTCTGTAGAGAAAGTGTCATCAGTACAAGACGCATGATGCGAGGTAGGCTGAAAACGTACCATGTTACGTCCTGCAGCAGGCATCTCGTGATAGTGTTTGGGAGGAGATAAGCTGTTGTTGTAAATGATCTGCGGGGTGAAATTAAACCCTGGAGGTGAATGAATAGCGATTGCGTTATGGCAAATTCACACATCCTGCGCGTTTCTTTTAAAGCACTAGGCGTGCTATGGACATCGAGTACGATTGCTTTTCTGCGGCGCGCGTTTCTGCCTTTAAAGGCAAAAAGCGCGAAGCAATCGTGTGCGATGGTCTGAGCATAAGGGACGAGCCACTCGGTTAGCAGGGAAGGCAAAAGAGCTGGCAGAGGGTCCGATTGCGTCTCGACATTTTTCATTTTTTTGCCTTGTAAGGTAATTTCTGGTTACCTGCGACGAGTGGCTCAGTGAGTCAGTGCTCAGTGCTCCTTGCTCCTAGTCAGGCCTCATGCACATCAATGAAGGGAAGTAGGGGCTTACAGATACTTCCTAAAAGATTACCACCTCGAGGCGCGTCCAGAGGTATTGAGGTTCATTCCGGTGGGTACTAGTCTCTGGAATAGTGTTCGTAGTCGCCAACGAAGTTGGGGAAGAATTGAACAAGACCCTTGAAGTCACTGCAAGCTTTGTTTGGCGTCACGTGAGAGCGTAGATGTCAATTCATTTAATCATTCAAGAAGCAACACGGAGTCACTGCGGCTTGCGTCGTGAAACAAGCTTCCAGCTTCCTAAGGGACGTCAACAACTAATGTAGGGGGAAGAACCACTTTTCTGTGTTATCATATCTAAATTATATCTCCGTAAGTCTCGAATACTCTGGAGTTCTGCCAGCCTGTTCTGCCACCCTTGCACCCGAGTTCTGCCGTGGGCCACGTACCACCAGTTGTGCCAATAACACTAGTACTATCAACAGCCTTTAAATGGTCGTTTCTGCTCTTCCGGATGATCTTTTGAGCGGTTTTATCATATGTTCCCATTGGCAGGCTACCCCTGTGTGACGGCATCGAGGGTGACGTGACTCACTGGCTGGTCATTCTGACTCAACATGCACCCCCATAAAGAGCTGCTAGAACTAGTATTGCTCACAATACTTATCTGCTTGCTAACTCATACTAGTAATGTCTCTAAAGAGCTTTCAATCCGAAATTCAGGAGATTTATGCACGGGAACTCGCCCGCCAACGTGGCCAAGCTAGTGGAACTCCTGCTCCTCGTAATATACATTCCAAGAAAACACAGGTACTCGAGGAATCTAATATTGTGGGTGAGCCACCTCCATCCAGGGATGCCGGCATCGAGGGTGAGGTTGAAGCAGTTCTGGTACTCCACCTTCCATTATCATGTTGCGCATTCGCTCAAATATTCTCAGGCATTACTATCTATCCATGACTATGACCGAGCACGCACCTCGGTAGCACAACTTATCACTGGACGCAAAGGCGAATACATATTCCGCATTGGCTGTCAACCATCCCATGCATCGCTCTTTGCCGGAGAGAACGTGGACGACGCAACAGGATGGTCGGGGGTCTCGCGAACAGACGTCGAAGTCGCTTCATTACAATCATCAGTTAAAAGGGTTGTGGAAGAGCTGGGGGGAAAGGTGTGTTATCTATTTATGTATAGGAAGCATGAACTTATCTCCAATAGGTATCCGTTCTTTTTGAGACTACTGACGGCCACCATCCACGTGCAACTCTACTACTACGATTACCTCCGCCCAGCATTGAATTAGTTCCCGAGGTTCGCTGTGCTGTCGTCGGGAACGTTGATTCGGGAAAGTCTACAACACTAGGAGTTCTAACACGTGGTATGATATACACATGCATGCAGGCATGTCTGTCTCAATCATCTATTTCTTCTCAGGTCCTCTGGATGACGGGAGAGGCCGAGCTCGTGTAGCTTTATTTCGGCATAAACACGAGATTGAAACCGGACGAACATCTAGTGTAGGGATGGAAGTAAGTTCATGTCCCCACCAGCCTACACTATCCTACATCTTTTTACCCAGATCCTTGGCTTTTCGACAGCTGGAACCCCGGTACTCCCAAATATACTGCCGTCTGCTGACGCAAACGTGATTCGACGCGATAAACTGGGCTGGGACGAAATTTCAGCACAGTCAGCCAAGATAGTTTCATTCAGCGGTAAGTCCGTTCGACGTGACTTCATTTCGTATATACACCTCCATTTTGTAGACCTTGCAGGCCACGAGCGATATTTGAAAACTACTCTGTACGGGTTGACGTCTGGGGCGCCATCATGTGTGATTCTTATGGTCGGTGCCAACGCTGGGCTTATTGGCATGTCGAAGGAGCATCTGGCAATAGCTCTGGCTTTGAGCGTGCCCGTCGTTGTCTGTATTACCAAGGTAAAAAGTAACCCACAACCATCCGGCTAAGCTAATTCCCACATAGATTGATATGACCCCACCTAATATTCTTAATGAGACTATGAAACAAGTGGTAAAGATCTTGAAGAGTCCTGGATGCAGGTGAATCATATCCTTTACTCTGCTTTGAATCCACATAAGATTACTTTGAAGGAAAACGCCAGTTTTTGTGAACTCGATGGAAGTCGCGGTTGAATCGTCGCAGACATTTGCGCAATACAAGTATGCCTGTTTGGCTTCGATCGTGGATTTCTGATGCTTATGGAACATAGACTATGTCCTATTTTCCGTGTCTCCAATGTCACTGGAGAAGGCCTTGACTATGTCGGTGTTGTGTACTTTCACATTTGCTATGTTTCTGACTTGACTGAAGTTTCGCACGTTCTTGAATCTCCTTCCATCCAGCGAAGCGGACACCGAGACGTTTGCAGTCGATCAGCCACTTGAGGTAGGACCGGTCCTTGGCATACATTCAAGCGTGCAACTGATATCTTTCGCTACAGTATTCAGTTACTGATGTCTGGTCTGTCCCATACGTGGGGACAGTCGTCAATGGCATTCTCAACAGTGGAAGTGTTAAGACAGGTGACTCCGTTCTCTTTGGGCCAGACTCCAATGGACATTTCCAGTCGACCGTTGTGAGGAGCATGCAACGAAAACGGTATTTTCGGTTCCTGTTAGCATTTTCTGCGGGTACTGAACTTTCATAGAGCTGATGTCGTGACAGCCGAGGCTGGCCAATGCGTCGCTCTCGCTCTCAAGCGAGTGAAACGTGCGGCCGTCAGAAAGGGTATGGTCATAGTACACAAGGCCGATACTCCCCCGAAAGGTCAACATTTCATTTATTGCCATTATGTTTGCGATAACTCATCAGGACTCACAGCAACACGCCAGTTCGAAGGGCAGGTCCTTATATTATAGTGAGCTCAAGTATACCTCGCACGATGTAACAATTTGAGCAGAACTTGCAGTCACAATACTACCATGCAACGAAACTACCAGGTATGCTCAATGACTCGCTGTTCTCGCGGCGTATGCTGATGCAGTGTGTGCATAGGCCATGCTTCATTGTGGAGTGAGTAGGATCTTTTGATGTTTGTTGTAATTCTCATCAATCTTAGGCTGTCCGCCAAACTGTTCGTATCATATCGATGGACAACCCTGAGGGGGTCCTGCGGACCGGTGATCGAGCCACCGTTCAGTTTGAGTTCATTACACAACCAGAGTTTGTCAAGGTCGGGATGAAGCTATTGTTCCGTGAGGGTAAGACCAAGGTATGTTGACGACTGCACCGTGCTTACCACTGCATCTCTGACTGTCAACACTTCCAGGGACTTGGTGTTATTACTCGTCTGCTATGACAGAATTATGGTGCGGTGACCGGCTGGTCTTCCTAGGTTTCCTCACTCGAGGGGTCATCCACGTCCTTCTCACTCACTAGCCACCCTTGTCGCACTCCGTTGCACTCAATTTTTCTTCCAATGGACTTGTTTGGTTGTTGTTTGGTTGTAATGATTTTTCGAGTGTGGAAGAATTGTATTCATGTATAAGTGATAGTTTATTGGTAATTTGAAGCAATAGATCTACAGCGTCTCATCTCTGTCATTCACAGAAACCTATTCTTCACCCTGATCTGCCTTCTAAGTAGGTGAGATTATAAAAACTATTTTGCAAATATTGTAGATCTTCAAAGACACAATACAGTAAGTGTTCAATCATATAGTGAAGGTATCAATCCTGAGATCTTGAGAGCTTGTGATGTAACGGGAACGGACTGCAAGGGGAACCCAAGGCCAGACCTATATAGCGGGAGGCTACGGTTCTATCTATCGAGGACAGACTACGACCTACTACGGACTACGAGCCAGGACTCTTGCCACTGCGCCAGGACATCTGCTACTGCGCCCGGATCTGCCTATGTCTGATGGGACGCCCTGCTCCAGTGGAGGCCCGAGAATACAGTGTTCGTTCCACGCAGCCGGCGAGTCTGAACCCAAGCGTCCTTTCATCCCGTCCTCCGCATCAGAAAACTCATCTTTGTCACTACCAGGCGGGGTAGGTTGCAATTCGTCGTCACCGTCACTTTCAGATGGCACCTCCTTCTGGCGCTCGCTTCCTTTCACCCTTTTGGCGGAGGGTTTCTTAACTCTCGAGCTCGATTTCTTCTTCCTTTTCTGCGGTTTCTGCGGTTTCTGCGATTTTGGATGCGCCTGGTAATGCAAGAACTGCTCGAACCATTCCGTACGGTATCCAACACATTTCATGACGGTGAAGTTAATCACAAGCCTACCATCATTGAGTGCCTCCCGAAGGCCATCTTCCGTAAACTCGATGAGGCGAATTTCACCCCCCTTTTCTACAAGTTCGGCATTCGTTCTTTCGACCCAGCTCCTTCCCCATGCGGTCGCTAGGGCTCCAGACACCCAATGTTGAATGACCAGAGGTTGGAGTAGGTCAAGTTGGTTGGGTGAAATTTCACCCCACCGGAAGGTCTCATACGAACCAAGGTATATCCATTGATTTGGCTTGTCAGGAGCGATGAGGTCGATTGGCCCTTCAATGAGCGAGCCGTCTTTGAAATACTTTACCTCACAAAACACGACACCATGACCGCCCGGAACGAGTGGGAGGTGTGGATTGTAGAAACGATTCATGGCCAAGCTGTGAAGCTTCAACTTTAGTAACAGTATATTGGGTAGAGTCGAGATACGCACTATGGGAATTTATCCGTTTTTGTACGACCTTGCCAGTTGTTCGACATGGTTTGGGGACATCCGCCAAGAGCCTGAGGTAAGGTTAGTTTGATGTAACAGACAGGGAAACCCCGAGCTCACGTTGCTGATCACGGTGCGCGGAAATCCGACGCGGAACCGCTCTTCGACCACAACTGGAGGTCCGAGACCAAGGTGCTCAAGATTCCAGACATCAAATTTGCCATCTTCACCCTTGACGAACGGAACCTGTTCGATCAGATCGGGTTCATTTTCCGACTTGATAACGACTTTAATTGTTGTATCGACTCGGACAGGCTCTGGTTTCACGATCGGACTCGATCTAAAGGTGATTGAGTTTGAGGGCTGCGAGGGCGCTGTGGATGCGAAGCTGTCGGACATGTCTTGATCAACATCGTGATGCCATGTAGCTTCGACGACAGTCCCATTTGACTGCCCGCAAAAGTTAGTATCAAAACCGAAACGAAAAAAAATGACCGCTTACTAGTACAGCATTCGACTTCAAGTTCTTGAGCTTAATCATGTTGAAATTGTGATTTTTAACCTTTTAAAAGATATTATATGAGTGGCTTTTCGTGAGTTTTCGTGAGCGTATGCACGAACTGTTTGGTCATCCAGTTGACGCAGGATGTTCTTCAACTCATCTTGAAGCCCTGCGATCTCAGCGGTCCGAAGGTCTTGGTCGTTCTTAAGCTGCTTATTTTCCTTGCGGAGTTTAGTTAACTCCTTGCCCTGTTCCGCGACGAGGTTGGTCTTGGATGTCAGGCTTGCCTTGAGGGCGGTTACCTTCCGATTGAGGTGCGATGTTTTGTCTGACTCCTGTTTCACTGGGCGAGCATTAGAATCAGAATCAGAGTCGGTGAGTTCTATGATCTCGTTATGCATTCTGATAGTTGCTAATGCAATTTGCACTAAGGTTTCCGAGGTGGCAGCGACGGAGACTCGAGGCGGTACCAGGGGCAGGCTAAGACAGAAGAGATGAAAACAAAAATACAAATTTAGTCTAACCAGGTACTGAGCACTGCAAGGTTCAGGACCGTCTCGCTAGTATATTAGGTTGTGAAAATGGTAGAAAACATTAATTTTCAATGGTAAGGGATTACGAGACATCCTACGTCTTCGGAAGCGATATTGCTTGGTAGCCTAAGGGCCACATTTGTAAATGTATACATGAACGCAGTTAGACTATCCTGAATACCGAGTACCAGTCCTTAGTATTAAGACTCGAGACTCATCTTTCGCTGTTGTCACTTTCAAGCATCTCATCTTGAAGGTAGTAACTTGGCAGCCCATTTCGGCGGGGCATGCATCGCGTCGGGCTTGAACCTAGAGTCTTAACGGTACTTGGCGAACATGGCTATAAATATTCATCCAGGCCTAGATACACGTCCACGAGTGTGTCCAGTCTGTCGACCTTCGAGTGAGTTCTTGGTTGGTTCTTGGACAATAAATTTTCTTGTCTTCAGTGTAGTCTGACCTTGGACTCGTGAGATATGGAAAATGGTGATGGCGAGCAGTAGAGTGGATGCCATGCTTGCTTGGATGACAGCCACTAGTAATAGTTGAGTTTGGTCAGCATGCCAAACTTTGTGGAGCTATGTATGAGTCTCGTGCATGTCTTCGACAACATCGTACCAAGCAGTTCCTTCTGACGAAGGTAGTTTGCCCGTCAAACCCGCTTCTCGTTTTACATCTCGCAAGACACTTTTTCTCTCTGGATTAGTGTTCATCATCATCGCGTTTGTATCGTATAAAGCGTTCTTCTCGTGGTCTATTCAACATCCGTCTTTTCAACAAGACTCTTCTGCAACCACTGGCAGTACCAAAGCATTAGAATCTCAAACATATTCATCCATAGTACCGCCAGCACCGAGCGATACTCCAGAAATGCAAGGTCAAGGAAAGTACAGCGTTGGATAGTAAGTGTTGATATCCTTTATAATGACCCACTTCTGACTGTTTTATCAGCTTCGTAAATTGGTACGTGTCATTCACGGAAAATATTGACCGTTCCGCCAATTATTATTCTTACTTGTAGGGGGATCTACGGTCGCAAGTTCCCGCCGTCAAACATCCCTGTCCAAGATTTGACGTAAGGCGCTGTCTTCCTTACATTTTCAAGCTCACTATCCATCTAGCCACATTCTCTATGCATTTGCTGATCTGAGACCTGACACGGGCGAAGTTGTTCTCTCTGATGCATGGGCGGACAAAGATATTCACTACCCTGGCGATTCTTGGAATGATGTCGGGAACAACCTCTACGGAAATTTCAAGGCCATCTATAAATTGAAACAGCAAAATAGACACTTGAAGGTCCTTCTCTCAATCGGAGGTTGGACATATTCCCCTAAGTTCCATCCTATCGTCGTCAATCCTGCCCTTCGTGCCAACTTCGTGCGGTCCGCAGTTCGTCTGCTCGAGGATTACGGTCTTGATGGTCTCGATGTGGACTATGAATATCCATCCAATGATTACCAAGCTCGTGGCTACGCCGACCTCCTAAGGGAACTCAGAGTAGGCCTAGATCAGCACGCTCAAATGAAGGGAATCTATCACAGATTCTTGTTGACAGTATGCCATGCAACTTTACCTATCCCGCCGAACTTCCAATCTGAGGTATTGTTTTTTGCTAGATCGCCGCTCCTTGTGGACCCGATAACTATCAAAAGTTACACGTACGTGAAATGGACCACTACCTTGATTTTTGGAATATGATGGCGTATGACTTCTGTATGTGCTGAAATGTTTGGTTGCATTACAAATTGACTCACATGGAAAATATCACAGCTGGTTCATGGGATTCTGTTGCAAATCACCAAGCCAACATCTATGGTGGACCTATCAGTGCCTCACAGGCGATTGAGTGGTACAGCGCGAACGGCGTCCCTCGCTCCAAGATGGTCCTCGGGATTCCGCTGTACGGTAGAAGCTTCATGAACACGTCCGGCCCCGGGGCACCGTTTTCCGGCATCGGACCAGGCAGTTGGGAGCAAGGTGTCTATGACTACCGTGCTCTTCCGCTCCCAGGCACATACGTGTTCCAAGACGACAAGGCCCTGGCGAGCTGGTCTCACGACTATCAGAAGCAAGAGATGGTGAGTTTTGACAACGAGCACGTCGGCCATTGGAAGGGCGATTGGATCCGCCGTCAAGGTCTTCGAGGAAGCATGTTCTGGGAGTTAAGCGGAGACAAAGGAAGCGCGCGAGAGGGAATGGAAGGCGGGTTTGGAAAGGACCCAGTGCCCGGGAGGAGCTTAGTTGCAACCGTCAAGAATGCCATGGGACCATTAGACCTGAGTCCCAACTGGCTGAGCTATGAGGGCAGTCAATTCGACAACCTGCGCAGCGGTACCATTTAGATTCATCGATTGCATCACACGATACAAGAGGACTCGGACGTCTTTTCTAGGACAATTACTGTAACATCACTTTTCCTTCGAGCATATTTCATCGACTCCGTATGATAGCAGTCTTGTAATGTTACGCTGTGTGACTTCTGTGACTGCCGTGATGAGCACTGCCAAAAAATTTAGTGGTTGTGGGCGCCGGCACTGCTGCAGGGCTTTCTTTCAACTGTATTTCTCGTTTCACGACCCATAGATTTTGGACAATAATCGGAGGCATCCTACACTGAGATTCGACTTCAATCTCACCTGTATCATCAGTGCTCAAGATCAAATAGACCGGTCGACTACGATTTCCTTCTAATCGCACAATTTATCCTAGGACCTATATCCTGAGTTTTTCAAATGTCTCCCGCTGTAATGACTTCTTCTTTGGAGTCGGAATTCGCTTTGATCATCGAGGCTTTGCGCACTGCACCCTCTGGCCCAGGTTTACATCCCACGACTTTCTTGTGAGATAGAACTCATCATAATCTATGTAGACGCCAAGGCAGCAGCTGACAAGCTCGCTCTTGCTGTTTCTAAAGCAGGTATAGAGAGCTTGGTGTGCGTCCATTTTATCTGCGACATTTTAAAATGATTGCATCTAAAGTTTAACAGCGACCAAAATGTAATCACTATCCTTGAAAATTTCGCACTCAACAAGAAGTCTGGATGGGAACGAGAATCTAGTGCTATTGCATTCCAGTCATTCCCCGCTATTCTCGGTCCCCCCTGTGCACCCCTACTTCTCCCAAGCCTTCACGTTCTCTTCGATTTGTTGTCTGACAAGGGAGAGGTTGTTCGGATCGCTGCAACAGCTGCGACGAAGGCTATCCTCCAGCTTCTCCCCCCAGAAGCTACACGAACTGTTTTCGGCATTTTAGAAGATATCCTAGAGAAAGGAAAATGGCAAACAAAAGTCGCAGCCCTAGATGCTCTCAAGAGTTTCGTGGCTCGCGCTAAGGACGCAGTAGCTGATGAACTTGGACATATCCTACCCAAGGTCGAAGTAGCAATGCACGATACAAAAAAGGAGGTGCGTTATGAATGTCCTTGCGTTACTTTACTCCGCCGACCGAATTACTGCAGGTTGCTTCTGCTGCCGTCAAGTGCGCCACTTCTTTGTGCACGACGCTTGCGAACCCCGATCTCGCTCCTCACATCTCCGCTCTGGTTAAGTGTATGTCGCATCCTGATGCAGTACCTGGTTGCATAAAGGCGCTATCATCAACGACTTTCGTCGCGGAAGTCACGGCACCAGCGTTGGCCGTTCTTGTACCGTTGCTCCTTCGCGCTCTTAATGATCGCAGCATGGAAGTGCAGCGGCGTACAGTTGTCGTCATCGATAACTTAGTCAAACTGGTCAGGAACCCCGTAGTTGCCGCAAGATACCTTAGCCCTCTCGTAATGGGCGTGCAGAAGATTGCTGAGGGTGCCGCGTTTCCGGAGGTTGGTTATACTCTTTTGTATGCTTTGCGAATCTCATTCGGCCATTTACTAAGGTTCGTGCCTTCGGCGAGACGGCACTTGGTACATTACTCAAGGCAGGTGCATCTACCTCGGGGACGCCGCCGACGCGGGATGTCAGCAAGGAGGTAGCTGAAGCTGTTGCCGTCTTGTTGTTGTTGCTTCCGTCAGACCTTGTTATCCCTTCTGCGACTAGCCCAAATGCTCCGCTATCCGCAAGGCACCCTCTTTTGGACCAATCTTTGCAATTTCAGGGGTCCATGGTTGCTGACCTTATCTATAATCGCCGTTTCCAAGATCCGGAAGTATGGAAACGTTGTGTCGGTGTGTATATGACATTCTGGCTGGGGCCAGAGGGATCTGCTAGCTTTGCGGAGTCGGTACGGGCCCATTTCCGTGCAATTGATCAAGTGTGTGCTCTTGCTCTATTTTGCAAGGGAACTTTTCATCATTAGGCACCATCTAGGCACTACACAAATCTGTGCACGACAATGAGAGTGGCGAGGGCGAGCTTCTGTGTGATTCATTGTTTTCTCTCGCTTATGGTGCACTTTTACTGCTCTCGCACACAACACTCCGTCTGTTCCGCGGGCGCCGTTACGGCATCCTCGGAACGAATGGATCAGGGAAGTCGACTCTTATGCGCCAGCTTCGGGACGGCAAAGTGGAAAATTTTCCGCCTCAAGATCAATTACGTTGTGTCATGGTAGAGCATTCCTTGCAGGGCGAGGACACGTCTATGTCTGTGCTAGACTTTGTGGCGTCAGGTTAGTACATTTATTCGTTATTATTATGCTTGGTGACAGTAATTAATTTGCCGCAGACAAGGCTCTGGCACAAATTCCGCGTTCTAAAATACGGAATCAATTGCTTGAGGTGGGATTTGACGATGCCCGCCAGTCAGACGTAGTCGGTGGGTTGTCTGGTGGTTGGAAGATGAAACTAGAGTTGGCCCGTGCAATGCTTTACAATGCCGACCTTCTTCTTTTGGATGAGGTGCGAGGTGGTTTGATGCTACTGTTCTAGGGTTAGCTCACTTTTTGCAATGCAGCCTACCAATCATGTTCGTATCCGGATTATCCCCATTTCCATCGACTGACGTTTTCCTGATAGTTGGACCGGGCTTCCGTCAAATGGCTTGAGAGTTATCTCATCGCTCACAAAAATGTTACTTGCCTAATCATCAGTCACGATTCTGGGTAAGTGCATCTAACCCGATCCTAGCATTCAATCGCTAAATCTCTCCACGTGGCTAGGTTTTTAGATAATGTGACTACTGATATCATACATTACGAGTCCAAGAAGGTAAGGCCCTCGTCGGTCGATGGTAAACGCCGACTGATTTACTCCCCTCTATTGTAGCTCGCCTATTATCCGGGAAATCTTTCGTCGTTTGTGGAAAAACACCCGGAGGCTAAATCCTACTATACCCTGGCGGCAACATCCGTCAAATTCTCATTTCCTCCGCCTGGCTCCTTGATGGGTGTTCGTAGTAACACTCGTGCCATATTGAAGATGTCAAATTGCACGTTCACGTACCCCGGTCGGTCACAACCTTCGCTAATAAACGTGTCTTGCGGTGAGTAATAATTCATGCTTCTATTTGTGATAAAGCCTTATTTGCTCCACCTCGCAAGCATTATCACTCTCCAGGTGGGTTTGTGTGCTCCACATGTCTGATTGAGCGTGTTTCATTGTCATCCAGCCGAGTAGGTGTAATCGGCCCTAATGGCGCAGGGAAATCGACTATGATCAAACTTCTGACGGCAAGAGTGATGATCTGATCGATAGTGTCCCCTTAATGACCTTTTTACTTCAGGGCGAGACTATTCCTCAAGAGGGAACTGTATACAAACATCCGGCCCTTCGTGTTGGTTACGTCTCACAGCACGCCACCCACCATATAGGTCCACTCTTATCTACAACTTCAGCGTTAGATATACCAAACTAACATCGATTTAGAACACCACTTAGAAAAGACACCAATTGGCTATATCCAGTGGCGTTTCCAGGATGGTCACGATCGTACGTATTTAAACTTAAAGTGACCCTGCCAGTGTCTCATTAATATAATTTGCCAACCATATCAGGTGAATTACTGGAAAAGGCCACTCGTGTTCTGACAGACGAAGAGAAGGAAGTCCTCGATCAAGATTGGGTTGGCAGGAATGGCACCAAGCGCAAATTGGAGGTTAGTATTACTTTACATTGTCGATCTGATCCACATCCTAAAATTATCCAGCTTATTATGGGTCGTCAAAAATTGAAAAAGACATTCCAATATGAAGTCAAATGGCGTGGTCTTGACCACAAGTTCAACACCTGGGTGCCTCGTGATGAGTTGATGGCCAAAGGTTTCGTAAAGTTGGTGCAGCAATTTGACGATTTGGAATCCTCGAGAGAAGGTGCAGGGACTCGTGACACATCTGCTCAAATTGTACGCAAACACCTCGAGGACATCGGTCTCGATGGGGACATCGCGCAGTATAATGAAATTTCGGGATTGTCGGGAGGTTTGTAATCAATTATTGCGTTTGTTTTATCCTACTAATCTCCGGCGTTGCCAGGGCAAAAAATCAAGTTGGTTATTGCGGCCTGTCTCTGGAATAATCCCCAGGTTCATTAGACGCCTGGTTGTCATGATGATGTGCTGAAGTTACTTTGTAGGTTTGCGTTCTTGACGAGCCAAGTAATTTCCTAGATCGTGAAGCGCTGGGCGGCCTTGCGGTGGCTATCAGGGAATGGGGTGGTGCTGTGGTGAGCACCATGAAATAAGTACGAAATTCTAATCCAGGTGACATGGGGTGCCTTAGGTCATCATCTCACATAATCACGAGTTTGTATCGGCTTTGTGTCAGTCTTCGATGTGTTGCATTTTGCATATCTTTCTGATGTAGCTTTCCAGGTCCTGAAATCTGGCAGATTGAAGCAGGACGGATGACACATCAAGGAAAGGCCGCTGTTGTCGAGGATGCCTTTACCGACTTGAAGTCTCCAAAGGGCAGCGGTGCTAACACCCCAGCTCGTTCGCGAGTGCAGAGCCCGGCTGTTTCGGCTCATGGGACTCCTGCAGGGAGTGGGGCTGAAGACGCTGGCACTTCAAAGCTCATCAAAAAGAAAAAGAAACCGACACGCAACCAAGTGAAGGCTCAGGAGGAACGTCGGAGGTTGAGGAAGCTCGCGTGGCTCACTCACGGTGGACCACGGCCTGAGGACACCGACAGTGATGTTGACCCTTGAGATCGAGAGACCATGTGAATTTTGTGCTGTTCATCAGGGGCCATTTCATTCTGATCCGCGGATGCTTTTCGACAAGATCTCTTATAGATTACCTTCCTCTCATGCTGTGAAGTAATAGATTTTCCGTTTTACCGCGAATTCGTTGAGCAGATTTTTGAGAAGTTTCACTGCCACGTAGTGTAGGCGATAAAAAGCCGAGTCTGTAACCTCTTGCAACGGGGGAGTTCGCGCATGAGATGGCCGTGCCCACGCAGGTGGTGATCACACATTTCAACGTGTCGATTGCTGGCGGTGTGTAACATTTGAATGATCGTTGTCAAACATGCAAGGTGAATCCGATGATCGGGACATGTGTTCGAGGAGGGACCAACTAATAATATTACATTAACGGATTCAGACATTGAGTGACAATCATTATGCGGCAGTTTCCGAAGGTGTTCCCAATTCATAATTGCAAACTTCGAGCTTCATGCTTATCTCGAATACTATCCCCTGGCCTGAAATAGCGCCACGGTTTCAACGCTTCAAGCTTCAGCCGCGGACCGTCAGAAGTTTTTTTTTTCTTTCATCAGAAGGACCTACATGATCATGAGGGGCCCCTGCCCGAGTAGTAACGCTTGACTTGATCGACAAAAAAAAACACATTCCTTCTCGCGCGGTTCTTGAATTGTTGCTATATGAATACGCCAAGGAGATACCCTGACCGTGGATCTGGAAACAAGTCCTGGGATCGACGCGGCGTGACGAGGGAGCTTTGCTGGACGGCAGGTTGCCGCTGATGCGGCGGTGAACTCGCGCTGCCAACAGCCACATGACATCTTATCGATGGCATTCGTGCCGATGTTGTTGTGGCAAGCGTTCGTTGTATCTCACGTACTTATTATCAGTAGGATCGTAAACCGAAGAGCATACTTAAAAAGATTAGTGGCGTAATTCACGGCCTTCTAACCGCGCGGGGCGGACATCCGTGACAAAATCGAGCAAGAACAACGTTCGGTTTTCAGACGTGTACGTGTGATCAGACCAATATTGAGCGCGATGATAAGAACGTGATAAGTACATAAAAACTACGGCGACAGTGCATCAAGGAGGCAGGTACATGTGGACGGATTGGAAAAGGGCATCAGATTGCGTGGAGTGATATGGATATATAGATATGAATGGGTATTAAGGGGCTGGCGAGTAAGTTAATACGGTGTTAATGAATGATCGAGGTCCTAATGCAAAAGGATGACGACGCTTCTGTTGTGATGAGGAGAGAATGAATCTAGCTGAAATGAAGGCATGGTGTTTAGACAACGATCAAATATTCAGTAGCGACCAGGCTGCTGCCATTTGCGGGGATCTTCTTCGCGCCGATGGGGGATAGGTGACCGACTGTCCTGCGCCACTGACCGGCCGTCCTGACTCGATCGTGGAATGTATGATGTATGTGAAACAGACGTAGGACTGATACTGCTACCGCCAAATGAAGTATGCGACACTTCGTCTGTTTGAGAGGACATGCTAAATGGTTGATGCGGTGTCGACACTGATGTCGACGACTGGCGGGTAGTCTGTCTCATCGACTGCCGTTTATTTTGAAACCTATGGAAAGGCATGAACATTGATCTTTTGATTTGTGCAACACACCAACCAGATCTGAACGCTCCTGGCTGACATGTCTAATTTCTTTGCGAGCTCTGCGCGTTCTTCAGTAGAAGGAAACGCAGTGCGAGCGTATGTCTCATTCAGGACTTTGAGCTGAGCTGCGTCAGCTCTCTTACGCTTTTTCTTGATGGCAGGTTGCTCGTTATCCATCATTTGAGCAGGTTCTTGTGTTAGTGCAGAATTGGTGATTGGCCCTCGGGCATAGGGAGAAGGACCATGAGCCTCGACTTGCGTAGGCATACCGCGCTCCGATGGGTACATGCCCATTGACATCTGCGGCGAGTGGTGCATCGATGGGAGTTGACCCGAATGATGACGTGGATCAGGGACGGGGGGATATGAGTATGAGTTTTGATTTGGATAAGGAGCATACTCGGTAGGGTAGGTTGCGGTCGGCGAGCGAATATCACCATAGTTGGAGACAAGAGGAGCGACTGCCCCGTAATTACCCTGATATCTATCGGGCATATTTAATGGAGGCAGCTTGCGAGAGCCGTGGGAATCGACCGGGATCGTCGGCGAACTACGCGGTGGATAACTTGGGTATTGGGTTTGAGGGTATCGGTCATAGTGTTGTTCATAATAACTGGAATGCTGTGGGGGAACTGTTACCGCTTGAAGTAAAATTGATGAGTGTGCGATCGGGATAAGTGATGTCAGACATACTAGAAGGCCACTGACCATAGCTCGAAGAACTATGATCACTTTTTCCAGGAGATGAACGTTGCTGAGAATATGGAGGATAGTTGGGAACTATACTTGAGTTGAGCATATTTGCATTTACACTAGATAGAAAAACAGACCTGAAGAGGGTGAGGTTGGAAACGCTGAAGAAAGAGGAGGGAGCACAGTTCGCCCACCCTGTCCCGTCTGAAAAAAACCACTATTTTGAGAATCCCCTCCAGGAGGGCTTTTGCGGGCCTTGGAAAGGTTTGAGAACAAACGATCGTCCCTCGGGTTTGTCATAGTAAGTTAAGCAGATAGGCAAAAGAGGAAGTGAAGGAAAATTATGGTTCAATGAAAAGAAGAAAATCGATGTGGATATAAGTATGAAGGAACACGCGCTGAGCATGCCAATTGCCCGACGAACGAGCAAGAAAAGGCCTGCGGCACGGGAAGGCTGTGACTTGGATAAACCGATCAGGGCCGTTGAATGAACGAGGTAAACATGAACACCGGCAAAGGTAACTGAACACGAGGCGTAGTTGTGCAAACTGGGCAAGGGGGGTGGTAGGATGAAGCGTGTTTTTTAAGTACAAGATGCGGAATGAGGTACTTGAAGTAGTAGGTCGGGAGTGAGTTAACTTTGGGCGTTAATAAATGAATTTAAGTTATACTAGTATCCCGAAGAGGGAGAGTATAAGATCTATGATCATCCGAACCTATAGGTGCGTTGTTATTGTTTTTTTGAGCTCGTAAGGGGACAATCTTCGCGGTCTTTCATTATTTTCCGCTTCGAATAAACCAAACGAGGAGACGGACCGTAATACAGCTCAAGGGAAGCACTGACGCGTTGGAAAAGCTGTGTTCTTCTCTGTGCAACGCGGAAATTGCATTGTTGACATCAGATCGGGTTCGAGCCTCGTGGCCATTTCTAGTGCGGACACCTAGTAAGTGTTTTTCCACTTTTCCCACAAACGGCTAGCTCCGTAACGTACTTACGGAGCAGAATAATCTCAATGCCGCCGCCGTACTACCAGGTACTACCAGTGTACGTTACTGAGGGGTAACTTAGTATTATTATATGAATGACCTTTAATCAAAGTTTTACAAAGTACAAGTATTCAAAGTATTTACACAATATTGCAAATATATGGGCGATCATAAATTTAGTCCAATGATTACCGGAATTAGTTACTGACTGCAAGCTCAGTCCTAGTGCCAGAGCCTCATCATCATCATCACCATCGTCGTCTCATTCATCTCCCCATCATGAATTCTTTTAAATACTACGATAACTCTTATCCCCTTTCGTCTTCCCGGGTATCTTATTACTTTCCAACAACATACACTGATCATGAGCAATCTACATCTACAATCCTACCAGCAGGTACTTTTCTACACAAAGGCTTTTATGATCTACTCGCAATGATCCCCACCCCCTCTCTCTGGGGTACTGCTGCTGATGGTGGTGGTGGATCTAACCAAGCTTCACCCACACACGGGGAGCTGGCACGTCATGAGGACATCAATCAAAAATCCCGTCACATGCCTGGATCTTCTCCCCTAAAGAAGGGTAGAAGAGTCAGTAAAGCTTTGGTCTCCAGGCCCACGGGTTTCGTGTAGGTTATATTTTGGTATTCAGCGTTAACTACATCCCAACAAGGGCATTCGTACTAGGCATCTTGTCCACGCTTCGGACGCCGGTCAGGCAGAAGCCCTATTGACTCGCTGGGGTCCAGATGGTTTGGGAAAGCTTGGAGGTCAGCCATCAGCGCATTATCCACTTATGCTATCAGTATCCTCAGCTCGTAGTTTAGACCCACGTTGGGCGGATCCAATAAAGTCTCGAGTAAGGCAATCAAACCAGGCCAGAGCGGTTAACGAGGTTATCAATGCACTTAAACCGTCTCAAGATAGCACAGGCCAGCCACCTCTCCTTAGAGTCATGAACGGTATGAGCACTGCTACTTCGTCTACAATAACAACCGCTGCCCGTGAAAATGTCCACTTTTCACCCGCAGATGCCTTGCCGGGGCGCCCAACAACTTCCATCGTAAAATGCGGGGGTCTCAGGGTCCATCCAGAAGTTGGCGAGTACGACGACGATCTGGGCCTTACCCTTCCTGGCCCTTCACCAAGGCCAATTACTCCATCATTGGCTACCTTGGAGAAGGCGGTGTCTGCTCGGATCTACTTTGAGAACCTTTACTTTCCCCTTCTTCGGCAGCCACCTTCTCGAGAACAACGAAGAATCGCCATGGAAAACGATATGGTTATCATGCGCTTGAGTGAAGATCAGAAAGAAGCTTTACGTTCTCAGTGGCGCCAAAACGAAACAGAATATCTTCGTGAACGCCGAAAGAAAGTCGATGCTACAGCATTCATCAAACTAAAAACTATAGGTCACGGTTGGTGCCCCTTATGTTCCTGAAAGAGCATTCTCACAGAAAATACTATCGATCAGGTGCGTTTGGGGTCGTGTCTCTGGTTAAGGAGCGAGCCACGGGACAGTTGTTTGCCATGAAACAGGTTCTTATTTTCCATTTTAATCTACCCATATGGCATTGTCTCCATTATTAATTATTCATTTCACTAGCTAAGGAAGACTGATATGCTTCGCAAAGGGCAAGAAGGTCACGTCCGTGCAGAACGTGATATCTTAAAATCTGCCTCGCTCGTCGCTTCGCCAGGTGGCGCGGAGTGGATTGTGAAGCTGCACTACAGTTTTCAGGACCGCGATAATCTGTACTTGGTCAGTAGCTCTAACCCCGATTACCGCCATCTTCCTAAAATTCAGACGAGCACATGAGTCACTGATTTCATTTCGATTTCATATCTAAAACACATAATAATAGGTATTGGAATTTATGGGCGGTGGAGATCTCCTGAATCTTTTGATCGAGAGAGACGTTTTCGAAGAAGACTTTGCTCGTTTCTATGTCGCTGAGGTTGGCATCTTCTTTTTCTCGTACTACACTTTGTTGAACGACAGGCACATTTACCCCAGATGGTTTTAGCCATTGAAACTTGTCATAAACATGGTTTCATTCATCGTGACATTAAACCTGACGTGAGTCTCGAAAAAAATACTGAGATTAAGGCCCGCTCTAGATTGATAACACGGCTATCCATGTGTTTCTAACAGAACTTCCTGTTTGATCCGCAAGGACATATTCGTCTGAGTGATTTTGGGCTTGCGTGAGTCATTAGCGGAACTGGTCCACTTTCCCGTCCCCGTTTTCTGTGTGCTAAATATGTAGATGACTCCACAGGACTGATCTGCACTGGGCCCACGATACGTCCTGTCAGTGCGGAACAGTCTAAGTATACGGAATATGAAACTGATTCGGCGACCGCAGATTATGAACAGCAGCGGCGTCAGTTGTTGCACAAACATGGGATAGACCTTGAGGACAACAACGGCATCGGGGATGGAACCAGAACCAAACGAATGGACCGCAAGGATGTCGAATTACTGATGGGCGACGGGAACGGCCAAAGTGGCATATTCACATGGCGAGAGAAAAATCGTAGGAAGGTATGATCCACCACTAAATTAAAATGTATATTTCCACCTTGTGCCTCACCCTGTCTGTTCGCGCCGTAGCTGGCATACTCTGTGTAAGCAATGTCATCGCAGCCTGTAGCGTGATTCTGAACACCCTTCTTCGGATCCACAGTTGCGGGACGAATTCTTACAGTATGTGGTCACCTTTGTCCATATTATTACCCCATGTTGCCATGCTTACGCTTTCAATAGTGTCGCCAGAAGTCATCAGAGGTCATGGCTATTCGTTTTCCTGTGACTGGTGGAGCTTAGGCGTTATCATGTTTGAATGCCTGTATGGGTAAGCTTCGGGGCTTTGTATATCCGGTATACCTCGTGTTGAAGAATGGAAATCATTCAGATATCCCCCATTCGTTAGCAACTCCGTAAGCACACATATTTTGGCACCCACTTTTCGCACCCCAGTTCATCTGTGGCTGACTGCGGGGGGCAGAGGCATGTCACCCGTCAGAAGATTCTGAACTGGAAGCAATCCCTCAAGTTCCCATCTCGCCCTCGTGTCTCGGGTGAGGGCGTGAATCTGATGCAGCAGCTCCTTTGCGAGCCCGAGGATCGCCTTGGAAGTCAGGCTCCAACGTCTGTATCGCGCCCAGATTCCCTCGCCGTTCACGCACGACGCAGCGGCTTCATCCTGCCAGGGTCAACAGTCGGCAGTGTTGATGGTGTAGATGCAATCAAGGTCCGCGTCACTTGAGCTTGCGTTCGCAGCTGCTGACGTCTAAACTTGAAGGCGCATCGCTGGTTCCGAGGAATAGACTGGGAAAATATACACCGCTATCCTGCACCATATCGCCCGGATCTGCAGAGTCCAGAGGATACACAACACTTTGACTCCGACATTCCGCCGGTGGTGAGTGCTTCGAGGTTTTTCGTCATGCCGGGTGTTCAGGTTGTGCCTAGCCACTGGCTCCCGCGAACGGAGCGCCAGCAGATGTGACGAAAGACCCCCTACTTAGGGACAGGGTCCACGGGGAAGAGATTCTAAACGTCCGCAAGGCCCTCGCATTTGCGGGGTTCACGCACAAGAGCCCTCGAGCGATCAGTTACGCTCGTGCTGATCGTGCATTTGATGGACTAGCGGACATTCCAGACAAAGAACGGGGCGAACGAGGTCGTCCAAGGTTTCGCAGCGGACACGAGGCTGGCACAGGCCGGGCTATATCGCTTTAGTGTGATGCATGTTCTGTGACCCTGGCTGTGTGTGGCTGAGATGGTGCCGCAACTGTGCCATGCGGCATAGTCGAGGATATGACGACACTTAGTCTACGGACATGACGCACAGACATGCTTTTACTCCATAACGTGATTACTTACTGTCCTTGATTACTAGGATCTACGGACATGACTATGACATGCACTGACTTCACGATGCTACTCCACTATACTTGATGACTATGCTATACCCTTGTTTCCTTGCTGTACGCCGCCGCTGCCACCGGATCTACCGCTCCCGTTAACGGGTGGAGTGAGTCAATCATGTCCTGCCACGAGTCGAACTCGAACAAATTGAATTTCAACACTGAAAACCACTATTAATTAAAAAGGAATGGATACACCCGAGTACACTAGCGACGATGACTGTATAGAATAGATATATGAGTAATGAGTATGATGCTCATCAGCAAGTGCATGCGATATTTGGAATAAATAAATGCTCGTAAATTGCCATAAATATGTGCCGCCCATCATGAACCACTGATGCAATGTCCGTGAAAAATGCAACGAAGATCATGAGACCCGAATAGGAGTGATTGCATGTGCCTAGTATACATCCGTGAGGACAACACATGTCGCTCTAACGCCCGGAACGTGAATGTGCGTCGTTTGACTCGTCGCTGTCCTCATGATAGCGTCCTGAGGCATCGGCATGCACGCGAGCATGCCGACGCATGTTGCTGAGCACGCTGAAACTACGACCACAGCCCTCAAAGGTGCACGTAAAGGCTAGATGGGTAATCAGTATGACGATGAGGAACGTTGTGAATGGACACTCACGCTTTTCGCCAGTATGACTATTCAGGTGGATCTTCGGGTTGGCAGCCTTCATTAGCTTAGGAATGATGCAGGATATTGAAGTACACACCTTTAAACTACTGGGACGATTGAAGCCTTTACCACAGTAGTCGCACTCGTATTTGAGTGATGAAGGCCCGGCATTAGCATGAGGACTGGAATCGTCTATACTAGATGTAGTCTCTTGAGAGTCTCTACGGTAATGTTGACCCCGTACATCGGGGTAGCGTGGAATATAAGATGCTGATCCAGGGGGCTCCATCATGGATTGCCCGGCATACTGATGCCTTGAATAATCTAGATATGAGCTGGGCCCTGGGTGACTCGTGTAATCATAGGCTGGCCGTCCCTGGCCACTATTAGTGGATGACCGAGAAAATTGATTCGGTGGATGCTGAGAATGATACATTGAATGCGGTGGATGCTCATGAGATGGATGGAGGTGCGTTGGGTGCGTTTCGTGTCGTGAACTACGGGAAGAAATAGGGTGGTAGGGTGTCGAAGGGTTTCTCTGGGAAAGTGATCACTATCAAGGTTTGATCTAGTCATTAGACGACGGCTAACCTGCAAGCCTGGTCCAGATAGGACATCTGACTGACCCATATGTGGTGCACAGTATGGGTCGTGATTTGAACCCACCCAGGAAGGAGGAGGTATTACGGAAGGTCTTGGAGTACGAGATAATTCTGAAGGTTAAAGGTAAATAGAATGCACGGATATGGGTAGCTAGAGAAGCTCTACTAACCTGGGAATAGTTCGCGAACAGAAGGGAGGGTTGGCCGAGCTGCTTCTCGATGAGCATCACTCTCCGGGAATGAGCGGCTGGACATTTTATGGTATGAGATACAAGGGGAAAAGTATACAAGAGGACGAGTTGAATTGTAGTGGATGTCGGGGAATCTTATATGGTCGGATCGCCTCTAGTAGACCGCGGTAACGGCAGGATACCGTTGCACGCCGATCGTGATGCGGCGGGTTCGGAAGGCTGGAAAGTAACTTGCATGAAGAAACGTGACCGGGTCTATTCCATTATACTGCAGGACAGCACCTCGAGGACAAACCTGACATTCAAAGACATGGTTACCACTCGGTTACCATATTTAAGGTAGGCAACCGTGGTGATTGTCGCTTTAGACCTGCTGCGCACTCATTCACAACACATTTGTGGGAGTCTCATGATGGACTCAAAAGAGCCGTTTGGACGGTGCCAGGGTTGGAGATAGAGCACCGCAATGTCACACACTAAGGGGCGCGAATGCCGCGCATCATCCACGGGGGATGTGCTGTTAGTATATCTTGAATATATATATACCGTCACTTGCCGCATCTCAGATCAACTACAGCGGATCATTCTATTGGGCCCACCCGTGTTCCTCTAAACACACCCCTGCTTAGAGATCTATTGCTTCTTGCTGAATGTCAGTGATTGAATCCTCGGCGGTAACATTTCGGTAACGTTGGATCTCAAAATGGCTACAAATCGTCAACTTCAATTTCAACAGCGGGAGGCAGTGCACTGCAACCAATCTGGGCCATGCATCCCCAAGCATGCTTCGCATCTCACTGTGAAGCTCGCACGTTATTTATGAGCAGCCGTCGCTCATGTCGGCGGTTCGGGTCAGAGAGCTCACCATAATTCGCCTCGCTTCTCCGTATACACGATCAGTCGAATAATGTTGTATTTATTCTCTCCCCTGTCAGTTTTCAGCTTGGCATCTCTGCGCCTCCTCCGATGTCTTAGTGTTTAGCGAGAGTGCGTGCAACCCTTGAGAAAATTCTTCAGAAAGGGCAGAGTATATCAGGCGATGGCGTTGCACCGTGTTCTGTGAAGGAATAAAGCAGGTATACCCGAGATTCGATAGCACACGCACCTTCCCTTTGAAAGCATCTGAGATTACCTGCACGGCAAAATCTACGCCCGGGTCGTCAATGAACAGCGTCTTTGGGGTAGTAGAGTATGCTTACGTGTTTCTCCATTCCCGCCACCTTGAGAGCGCATTGCGGCGTGATGTCTATGCAACTGCGATTCGTTGGTAATGATTAGTTTAGACGGTTGGAGCAAGGTCACGAGCTATGAATGATTGCTCAGGAGACGGATCGACCTGCGCTGCTAGCTTGCTGCCTTACTTTTTGTCGCATGACGATTTCCACTGGACCTGGAGATCCCAATATTGTGTCTGACGCCATGGCACGAGAAAGATTCAAGCTCTGCCGCAGAGCAATGCGAAGGCTGCGTGTTGCCCAGAGCATAAACCTGCTGGCTACCATGCTGAGATTGCAATCAGAGCTGCGCTGATGCTAACGGGCACTTACCACCAGACTCGGAGCAAGCCTTCACAAAAAGGCGGAACGATAAAAATGCGCAGCGTGTTCAAATTGGCAATTGTTGGTAAGACATTGTTAGTCAGCAAGCTAGTCTGTGAGTGTGTGAAATGTTACTTCGCCACTGTTGACTTATCCTGGATGAGGCTTACTCTTAGTCTTCACGAATCGTGTCGGCCATAGCTTGCCATTGCTAACTGTTCCTCTCTTGCATAATGATCACGGACTGCAGTACACGAGCTAAAAAATCTGTCAGCGACTGTCAGCTTATCAAATTAGTCTAACTGTTCAACCATGATTTCACAGCCATGAACGACTGGGCCATCAGAGAACCGATGAGTCAAAGTGACGACCAGATTCCCCATTAGCTTTCTCAGGCAAGAAATACCTTACGGATACTAGGCACATACTACGCATGAGTTGGCAGTGGCGACCGGTCCCGAAAGGTAAGATTGAGCCCGACTCAAGCAGTGATAACGGTGATGATGATCAAAAAAACAGGTGAAATGATTCAGTGAGTCATCGAGTCTAACATAACTAACAGTGCATATAACGAATCGCATGAATCGCCGCATTCCTTTTGACTACATTATTTGACAGGGTGCCCTTGCGACAGAAATGATATAGTATTCATCTTTCCACATAGCGTTCGTTTCGAAGGCTATGACTATGTGCCTTATTGTTACATAGCACTGACGCATTCCATAGCCCACTGTGGACGTATTCTCGTGTTGTCAGTTGTCCGTTCCGTTGTTTGAGCCAAGCAAAAAAATCACGGCCTCATCGGTGTGAATTGGAAAGTCACGTTACCGTTGTGTATACCAGTAGCGCCATGAACGTTAAACGGAACGCATTCACTTCACTACGAAGAAGTACTTCGGTTGATTCACCTCGCCATGGTGTCAGACCCCTCGCATCAAGACCCTCAAGAAAGCGAGATGACCCGTAATCAGCGTGGTCTAGTAGAAACGTGTTTTGAGGAGGGTCAATACGAGTCTGGTATCGCAGTGCTCGAACAGCTAAGGTCCAAAAACTTTAAGCCGCCGGTGTAAGGTCATCTGGGTTCTCTTTTCTCGAGGAGCATTGAAAGTAGTTCCTAGGTCTCTCGTACGTCAGCTCTTATACATCGCGCTGTATCCCCCGCCACCATCCCTTGATCATGTGGAAGAACGCGATCTCAATTCTGCTTCGCCATCAAAAGGCTCCCCTACAAAAACAAAGCACCAGGCACCAAAAATGATCTTTGCTCCTTCAATCAATGCATCAGAAGCTGCGCAACGCTTGCTATTATCTTTCGTTAGAACAAATACACCTACATCTCTTTTCCAGGCTTTGCCACAACCGGGCAAGAGCGACGAATTACCATTCGAAGGTGATGATCACGACTCTGTTGTAGCAAAGGAGTCCTTGTGCATTAAGGACGCGAAGCACTGCTGGGCAATACTCAAGGAGGGTTTCGTACCGCGAATAAAAATCTCTCAGCCGTCCCTATTAGCAGGGAAGAAGAAACGCGGAAAACTCATTGCTAATACTGAAGAGTATGTAGAGGAAAAATACAGCAATTCTGTTCTCGCCCCTGTTGCAGAGCATGGCTGGTTAGTCTTGCAGTGGCTGGTCGAGCTTTTTCAGCGGGACGAATCTTTGGCATCTGGGGATGGTTCAGGTGGGACGTTATTTCTTATTTGTAACCTTTTGACTAAGATGATGCACAGCGAAGCATTCACCATTGTTGTTGTTGCAGATTCCCTCGCCAAGAAGTGGTACTGGTCTTCGGTGGGAAGCTGATGCACCCCTGGATATCGTGTTCTATTGTGTTTCGCAAGGTCAACCGCAGCGACGACAGCTGGGTCTTGAACTGATGGCTTTGGTGAATTATGCTTTGCTTATTACAAGCTATTCACCTGACGTTCTCCGCAGCTCATCGGGATTTGTCTAACAGCAGAATTTGATTTCAACATGTTTCTTGAACAAGTCACGTCACGATTATACTCAGCCTCCCCAGAGATTGTCCAGACTTTCATGTCCGGCTTTCATCTGTCACGTTCAGCACAACTGTTCAAACTAGCGCTCTGCCGCAAATTCCTTTCCGATGAATCGGGTGGGAGAAACCCATCCAGCCGTCGCCCCAAGCCACAAGCGCGAGCTGTGAGAGCAGCGCGAGGCAATGCCGCTGCGAGAGAGCAGAATATGTCATCCACCAGTGCAAATGACTCGTCAGCCTCCTTTTCCGCGAGTAAAATTTCTATGCCTCCTAGCGGTGATATCGTCCACCTTCTTACGGGGCCTAACGGACGCACTTCTCCTGCAATTATAACTGTGAAAAAGGAGCTTCTTATTTCGTATGCCTACCTGCAGCAGACCGCGGAACAACGGGATGTGGAATGGCAGCAATTAGCAACAGATGGGCGTCTCGAAGACCAAGTCAATTCGGTGTTTGGTGGAGAGAGCTATGCTCAGCAAGACAGAGATGCTCTAATTAGTCTTGTGAGAGTCTGGGCCATGAACTAATGCGAGTAAGGCATCAGGCAATGTCTTGTGGGACCGTCCTCCACGGAGCGTGTTATCTGTTGAGTTCTTTTTGCTGTATGATGGAACATTACTCACCCAAGCCGGTGACTAGATTATTCACACCCCTCATGAGGATGGTCAATGCTATGTATGCATCCAGACTCTAGCCAGATGGACGAAGTCAACATACGCTGCGGTCGGCGGCCTCAGACAGATGAGATGGGTGCAATGATCCCTTAATTTCTGCTCTAATCTTGACAAGCTTAAATAAAGTGCATAATGTCCTCTGTCACCAATTTTCTCATGTACCTGCACTTGTGGTGATCTGCAGCCGAATTTTTGGCTTGGGTGTTTGTAGATCAAGGGCAGTTCGAATAATGGACCCTTACGCATATCGATGTGAAACATAACCTGTCCATGCGAGATATTTTGACGCGTTAGGACAACATTAGGAAGCGTAAAGATATTATCGTATGCGAAGCATTGTACTGAGTATTGTGTGAATGAAATGATAACCCGAAAGGGTGTGGTGTGGCTATGTAACGAATAGACGTGAAGTATTATCACGCGAAAGCACACGACGTCGAAGTTCCGGTCCGAGGATTGAGTCACAGCATGAGCTTAAGAGATAGTACGAGAAGTCTGGCATCCAGCCCAATGGATACCAAAATTCTAGGCCAACACGTTATGAGGTGGCAATGGAGATAGGGGATAATAGTAATGTAGCGGAGGAACCGTTCGCGTGCGGCAGGGTTGGAACAGCCAGTACGTAAGACGTCGCGAGTAGACATGGGTGCATCCAGATTTGCGGGATGTCGAAAAGTAGGTGCCAAATCCGGAAATGGTGGTTGGTTAGATCCAATGCGAATGCATCGTCCCTGCAAAGGGTCGCAATCGACAGCTGTGGCACACACAGAAGTCAGCCTTGCAAGGAATTTCAGCGATCTGTTGTAAAAAAGTTTGTAAATACCCGAGGAGAATATGACATCAACGCGGAGATAGTGGAATATCGCTTCCAGATGAGGTTAGCGAAGATTTGGGGTCAGAAAATAAAAGTTCTTTGGGCGTAAGGTTTTGGCAATGTGGTGGATGTATACTACTAGCAGGGATGATTAGACGGAGCGGGCGTGTCAGATTTTTGACAAAGCTTCAAGTCACACCTATGATGGATAATAGACAGATGTATTGTGAGTCACAATATCTTCTAGCGATTGCACCGACTACGGACACGCCACGGTGCTGGCCGATCCACGGGTCCACGATACCTCGCACTGACGTAGTACGTGGAGTCAAACGTAAAGGCGTGGAGGAAGAGAATTTACCAGCCCACGTGACAACACAAAACATGGTACATAGTTAGACATGAGCATACTAGCCACGAGCGGCTAGAATGCATTTTATTTTTATTAGTGCAATTCACCTTTGCTGTTCTTCTGGAGAGAAGCTTTGATTCGGAGGAAAGCGTCGACTTCCATGTCGTTTCCAGAACACGCCTACTCCAAGTGGGAGCGCAACCCCGTTAGATACTGTCATCCTGGAATTGTCAGGAGATAAAGGATATGACGTAGGTTTGGCAGCTTACTGATGCGCGTCCGAACCTCGTACGGCTTTGCTGCCGCAAAAGCATATACCATATACAAGGACGTGAACGATGACCTGTCAATGGCTATCACCCTCGTAACGTTAGTGAACATTGAGGTCTGTGGCCTTACGAGACACGGAACGCCGCCGCTTGACAAGGTTCAACATTGGGCTTCGGAGTGTGGAGAACCAATGGAACACGACTGAGTTAGCCTAGAAGCACTTGTGCGACATGTAGTCTCCGGTTGATTGGTCGACTCAATTCAAACCGTTGGCGTGTTGGGGAAATACACATCACACAAACCAAATACAAACATATTTCACCGAAAATATGCCGAAACTCTGGGAAGTTTCAGTAATAAAATAATTTATTCAAGCACTGTAACCTGGTATTGTCTAACGTAGCATGTTGACGGGCGAACCACCTTTTGACTGAATTGCGTGTTGGAAATGGTATGTTCAGAATAAATATTTAGAAGCATATGCTGGCATGGTGCCAAGGTTACTTTCTTCTGGATCCTGATTTATTTTTTATTGTTCCAGTGTTGGATAGTATTAGTACTATACGGTGTTTGGGGTTTGCCCCGTATATACTCTCTCTGTTTGTAGATCTAATGTGTGGTGCGAAGTCTTGCAAGTGGGATTACCCAAAAGCCTGACCAAAAAGTGAATGTTAACCTAAACCTTTAAGGTTCGGAGTCAACCATCCGACTCGTCTGCTCCTCCGGCGACTCCCTCTGAATCTGGCTCTATATCGACTAAATCGCCATCATCAGCGTTCCCCGCAGTGGCCTTGGATTGCCCCTGTTGGTCTTTCCATATCTGAGCCAGAAAATCTGTAGTGCTGGCTTGCTCTGGCAGTTTATCATCTCGGGTCTTGATAAATCGCGGGAACCTCAGACTGAGGCCTCTCGAGGAGGAAACTAAGCCCAATGCTGCTAGAGATACAGGGCTCAAAGTGATACTGAAAAAAATAGGGCGTGAGTAGATATTCGTCTGCAACACTGACGGCTTGTAGCAGACTCACTCTGCCCCTCGTATCTCCCACACCTTATGGGGCCTGAAGTAAACGTCGGGCCTGAAGCCTGGAAAAACAGTCAGCTAAGAACCTTAGTGCTCAAAGATAATGTTGGCACCTCCTGTATCAGTTTCCCAGAGGGGTTGTCTGGAGCAATTATCGGACCCCTCTGAGTAATACGCGACCATCTCCTGATACGAAAGTTGCGATAAGCAAGTTAGCCTGCGAAGACGTACTGTATGACAAACTTTGTAAAACGAGTCAGAAAATCCTGCGGCAGATGATAACTCAACATATCGTTATGAATTACAATGTATATCACCTACCGGAGATACACTTGCAAACGGCAACAAGGCAATCATTCCTGGGATCTCGAACAGCAAGCAAAACTGGACTCCACCACCCTGCTTTCCTTCCGTTCCCATGCCACGCTCCAATAGGAACCATATCGAGGGTATCCCCGAGACCCACGACGTAGTCCTTTTTCAGCTTCAACCAAGCAGATGTTCGTTTATCTGTCCAGATTCACTAAGAACACAGCATAAAGGAACGGCTCAATACACACCGGGTTCGTAAGTCGCGGACAAAAGTTTCCGTTTTCCGTTTCCTTTTCGCATTCCATCTTCTTGTCGAGTGTCACTACTTAACAGCTAGGTAAGCATTAGTGATGCCGATCAGCCGATCAGAGTCCAGACGCTGTCTCGCCTTGATCATGAGACCCTCAGAGCGGCTCTCTATAGCTTTCTGCCAAAACTCCTCGATAGCATCTTTGCCAGCATCGCTCTCACAGCTTTCAACGTGGTCAAGACGCGCTCCCTTGTCGCTTGGTACGAAAGGTGGAAAACGAGACCTCAGTAGCGAGCGCCTCTCTCGAAAGGGCTGTGCAAGTAAGACCTGTCGAGGGACATAAATAACCATCGACTGACATCGTCGCCACACAATCAGACGCACGCACCTCACCGTCTATATACATCAGATCGAAGGCATACACACAAACAGAAACTTTGATATCGCTCATTTCCACACCCTTCCTTGCCCTGTTCGAGAGCTCTTGGAAGGACTTCAGGCCGCCGTCAGATGGATCTATGGCAACAATCTCAGAGTCGATAATAAAAGATTGCAGCTGCGGCTGCTGTTGGAAAATGCATTTAACAAGGTGAACGATGTCGGGATACTAGTTTTTGCTGATAAGATAGTAGCCCCGTGCCTACGAGAGTGCACAGCTCACCTTAGTGGTCATATCTTCTAGATGACGGGAGAAAATATGAACGGACGGATTGCCGCTATTCACTCCTCGTACCCCATGAATCTGAGCGCGTTGACCATCATACTTGAATTCCGCCGCAAAGGGGAGATCTCCCAAACGATCGTATATTTCATCCAATGACCGAGTGGGAGAGCCCAGAGTCGGATGCAAGGGGATTCCTATCAATGATTTATTAGGTCGTTCGTGGAGTAGGGGAGCGAAACGCCCACCGACAGTCAAAGGGACATGTAGGTCAAGACTATCCAATCCACCCTTGAAGAGACCAGCTACGATGTGCTCATAATTCGGATGTTGAACAAACACTTTTTTAACCAACGCTTCAGCCTGGATGAATTTCTCATGAAGTTTCTCACGTTGAGCCGAGGAAATTGATTGTGAAGTGGCATGGTATAGCGAATGATCGCAATCAGGACCTCCCAAACTAGTTTGCGATGTCAAAACCAACGCTCTTGCCAGTGCAGTCAGGATGGAGGTCCTGACCGCTCCGACGCGTAGATTCAGCGATAAGGTACGGACAAGGTAGCGCGACTCTTCTCCTTTAGCCGCCACAAGGAGTTTCTCGACGACGGTTTGCTTCTGTTTGGCTGCGCCTTGTCCCTTAGAGTTGGCAATTTTCAATAAGTAATCGTACACAGCCACGATCATTAGTGGAGGGTGAGGCACTAAGGTGCGAACATTTGACTTTGCTTCAAATGCAACATCACCGGGGTCGCCGAATGAATTGTAGAGCCGCCTAAGTGCAGAGGAGGTCAGGCCGGAGATATGTTGAATTGCCTTGGATATAACTGAGGAGCCAATGCCTAGCTCGACCGGAGAGTACGGAGGAGACAGGCAATTGGAAAGGAGGTATAGCGATGGTAGTAGGGATGGCCGATGCCAATTGAGTAAAGACCTCAGTGTGTTGGTAAGCGTGTTGAGAATGATTGTCCTAGATCGTGTTCCCGATAGCGTGGCGAGAGCATGAACGAGGAATGAATATGGTGCTGGCTCATTGGCTGGCCAGGGACTTTCCTGGACATCATAAACAAAAGGGTCGACTCCTAGTGGCTGATAATTTGGCAAGGGTGCGATGTCATTTTTCATGGGAAGGCGCCTTGGAGGCCTATTAGATCTACTAGGTAGGATGACCCCTGACGAACCACCAACATCGCCGACTTGAGGAGCTGCGGCAGCCTGAACCTGAACCTGAGAAAGACCATTTTCAGATCCACAATCTCTGAGCGTAGGTTCAGAATCTGAAGTTAGGTCAATGATATCTGGTGTAGCAATCTTCTTTGTGTTCAGTTGTTTCCGTACAGGTTCTGGGACACTGTTCCTTCCCTTCTCTGCCCCAGAATTAGGCGGAAGGATAGACCTTTGAGAAGAACCGAAAAAAGTCTTCAACGATGACTGATCTGAAGCGAATTTTGTTCGCTTCAAGGGCTGGGACGTTGATGGCGAAGCTTGGGCGCGTTTAGACATTGCGGCTGTAGCTGTGCAAGTTTCAAGTTGAACATGCATGACGTTCGATTGACATCCGACAAGTAATTTAATTTCCGACGTCGAATTTGTTCAAATATGATTACACTTATGTACTCTCCTGTCATTTTCAGTCCTCCCTGCATTTTGTGATGGGCGGCAGGCTCTTCTGCATTGCCCACCCATGTCATTAAACCACACGGCGATCATCGGTCTTTCTTTCGTGAACAGTCACATAAGGACAGTTACTCCATCTCTCAAGTTTTTATCAGACCACCAAGTATCTCCTTAGGAGGTACGTACTACTACGTACAGGGTCAAAGTGTTGAGCACCCTGTTATGACGGCGTCCGTTAGCTCATTAATGGCCGATTACTGTCACAAAGTGCGAGCAGTCGGTCTCTTTGACCCTGAGATGGACCCCAAGGACGTTGGCGGCTACGTAAGCCGAATACTCTGCTCTTTTTTCTTCTTATTTTTCCTCGTCGTCGACCACGATGATAGCCACGGTGTAAACGCGCACGTGCACTCAAACCATATCCCTGCCGTTGTCAACTACGACCTCCCGTCGCTCGTGGTTCCAACATCTAAGTGCCACCCCAGCAACATTCTGCAGTATGGTGCGACGCTGCCATCGATGGCAGCCTCCTGCCACCTACCGCTACGCACTAACACATCCAACCAGGACCTTTCTTGTCCTTGTTATAACCCGATGTTGCCGCCACGACCTGCCAGTCTCTCAAATTCCACTTCGACCTCCTGCACTTGCACAGTCTCCGCGCTTCAAGGGCAACGTCCTGCAACCTGGCATGCCAACGCAGATCCTTTCATGGACCTGGTATTGCACATTCGACCACGATCTTTCCCGTGCGACCGCTAACCTGGTTCTACTATTGCGACTTACCAGTCTTCCGCTGCTCACTTCGCCTCCCACGCCTTATCATTCTCGGCGCTTCACGCGGCCGCCCGTGACATCTCGTTCTTTCCCTGGTTGACATTCTGGTGCTGCGCTCTTCATCTCATTTATACAACTCATACCTATACAATTTTATCACATGTTGCATGTCGTATGGTTAGACAATATAATGATATTGTTAACTCTCAAGCATTGAGTGAGTGCTTGCTCAGTTTGTAAGCACCACACCCATTCTTCATCAAGGAATAAGCTTGGATTTATAAGCAGATATATGTATAGCAATTACAAAAAGCAATAGATGGGATAAAATATACATATGGAAGAAGAATGATGCACGGCGGTATGATATATCACAGGTGGTAACGCATGGATAGGAACTTCTCCGGCCAAGGTGGGAGGGGAGGGTTATAGATGTCTGCCAAGCGCGTTGGGACGGACATGGTAGATGTCAGTGGAGTTGCTGCTGCTGGACGGATGATGGGGCGAAAGAAAGAAGTACTCAACGTCGGGGTATAGGCATATATAGTTGCAGATAACCACCAAGTATACCTTGAAGCGAATGTGTCGGGGGTGTCGTGGGGTCTTGAACCCTGTGAATGGTATTCGGACGTATTCAAAGGGTAGCTGAATGAACCGAGCTAGCTCGCAGTCATGACAGGCTACAAATGATGGGCCCACATACTTGGCCCTGGACAGTCCGACCTTTTCGCGCCACCATGTCACCATCCTTGCGTTAAATTCGGAGGGTCTTTGTCGTTGGGAGATGAAACCATTAGCAAATTATTACATCTTGCTCGTGTCTACTTTCAAACGGGTGCCTGGACATTATCTCTTTGGCCAGACAAACCCAGGCTGCAGGTGAGAATATGCCCTTGTGCAAATATGGTGCTATGAGACTTAGGGTCCGTGAACGCGCGCGGAGCTGAAAATCCAGGCTTCTGGGTCTATCTTGAATTCATAGCATTGGGGCGTCGAGAGTACCGAGCATTGGCCCATCACAAGAGTGGACATCGCACAGCACGGTCCGATCGGTAGGAGCTGGGAATATGGTCGAGATTAGAACAAGGCTATGTAATGACATCTGATGAATAATGTTCAAATCAACGAATCCGAAAGCGCAATTGATTGACCAGACGAGTCTCAACGGAAGCAGACCCGGGTCTCCATGAGTCGCCGGTTTCGAAGAGCAAATAAGGTTGAAAGGTCATTCAGGACGTCCTTGAATTGCTGCTATTAGTACATCCCTGGCAGTCATCGTGGGCGACCCCACAGCTCCATGGATCAGACAGCGTACCTGATTAAACCTGCAGATTCCAGGATTTCCTCGCAAATAAAGCTTGGAAAAGCCGGATGAAATCTAAGTTTGGTTAGACAGGCGTCATTCAGGCATCTCTAGAGCCTGAGAGCCGTTTCAGGACAGCAACCTTGCGTCAGGCACGTAAGGAGCGTCAATCTTGACTGAACAGACGTAGCAAGATCTGTGAGGACCACAATTACGCCGTTAGGTCTCTGTCACCGACGGAGACGCGGCAATGTTACCGTACACTCACAAATATGGGCGGCTCTGAAAATGCATATCAACCCTGTCCTTGTCATAACATTTACCCCAGATTGAATCCTACCCAGCCAAGCACGAACATCATGAGCGACCGCCACAACTACACATTCCATCCCAATCAGCCACCACGTCCCCCCAATCAGCCACCGCGGGGCAGCCAATGGCTACCCAATGCTCAACAGCAGCCCCCTCATCAATCATCTTCCTATCAACCAGTTCAGCGTGGCTTCCCAGCGGCACAAAGCAACTATATGTCCACGCACCCTGCCTCATCTTCACCATATGCAATTCCTACCATGCCACCATCAAGCACACATTACACAACAAACCATCATGCCGCTGCACCATCACAACCCTACCCCCCAAATGCTGCTGTCAGTCCATATAGTCAACAGCAACAGATGTATCCACCACAAGATTACCCTATGCGCCAGCCGGCGCATTCACCGGGTCAGATATATCAGCCAGCGGGACCTTCGCGCAGCCATACAATACCGAACGTCACGCATCCGTACGCCATTGATGGGCCGATAGCGCCCGCAATGCAGTACCCAGCATCCCCTACACGTCCATTCTCCTGCGACATGTGCGCGCTATCGTTCAACCGGCAGCATGATTTGAAACGGCACAGAGACACACACTCGGGAGAGAAACCATTTTTGTGCAACGGAGGCTGTGGAAAGACATTCACGAGGAAAGATGCACTAAAAAGGCACCAGGTACCATTGAATTTCCCCCGGAAGATCATGATCTCATTCATTTGATCAGCTTGTGAAGCATTGTGGATATGACGAAGATGCAAATTGAAATGGCGTTGTTTGTTAGTAACTTGCTTTGTGCTGTGTTGCGACTTGCAAAGCTAACTTGATAATATAGAATCATCAATCGCTCGATTGCAATTTACTCCACATACTAATATCATATTCAACATTGAGGCAAGTCTGTACCGGAAGGAATGATTGGCATAGTGAAACTGCAATGTAACACGTTAACATATTTATGTGTCCATTAAATGAAAGTTACCATTCACAGCGTGGTCAGATGTTGCAGCAGTGGTTGCAATTTCACAATTCAGGCTTCTCCTGGTCCTGTTTGTCTTCAGAATCAATGATCCTCTCTAATATCCACGCGCCGCGTGGCATAATCTTCTTGTAGTAATCCTCTTTGATGCCTGCTTCTTTGAAACCATGTCTCTCGTAGAACCTCTTGGCGTCAGTGTTTGAGACTTGTACGTGAAGATATATACGTCTGATTTTGGGTTTGGAATGAGAAGCAGCAGCCTTGATGACGCGTTTCAGGGCCTGAGAACCAAGCTGTTTGGAGCGATATGGCTGGAAGGGTTTGCACATTTGCCACGACTGACAGCGGGATAACTTACTGCCAGAACGCCCATAGTCATGAGATACAGATCTTTGTTGTTCTCTAATCTGCAGCAGATATTGCCCACAGGAACATCGTTATAATAGACTTAAAGAAGTTAGGCTAGTTTCTAAACCTTTGCAAGAATAACACGGACTGAGCTGACAGAAGTCTTCGACCTCGGGAGCTATGACATCCTGGTAGAACTTGTCACTGTACTTGATGGGAAACAAGACTGAATTGAGTTTCTTGACTGTCCCAAGGTTTCTAGGAGTCAGGCTCGCAAAAGTGACACGTGAAGACGAAGACGAAGCGGGTGGATTTGACATGAAGACGGCAGATTATTTTGGTTGGGCAAGTTGTCCGGAAGAAGGCCGCAAGTGGTTGGGACGAAAGTAACTCATCCGTGGGAACATCCCTCATCTGGGATTCATCCATAACCTTCTAGTATCTCAAACAAGGTTATACTTAACTCAAATTTGCTCTGTGTCCTTGTGGTCCCATAACACGTTTCCGGACTGAGAGTCACGCAAGCATTCTTGGTGTATATACAAATCGCCGATGAGCCATCATGCATTATGAACCAATTGTCATCTCACTTACTTGACACCGGACATTTACGAACACGCCAAGGCTCACCAGGCCAGGGTCTCATCATGATCATGTCAAAATAAGCACGGCAGACTTCTGCCCGTATATGTTTGGGCTCAGAGACCTTCAGTCAGGTATTCCGTACGTACATATTATTAACTAAATATTTTGAACTGACTTGACAACATATGATATTCTGCGCCCATTGTATCTCAAAGCACTCATGTTTTTGCGCAATGCCTTCATCTTAACGGCAAGTGCAACGTTGCCATGGGATTGGATCAGCTGCGTATTCTTGCCAGATTAGAGAAGCGCAGTCAAGACAGTGCACGGTCAGATACTTCTACGTTTGGCTATGACCCATACAAATTATAGCTCCATGAGTCCATGACCCTCGGGATTACTGAAACTCCATGACGCTGTATCTTGTCTCCCTGTCATTATGTCGATTTCAAGCTCCCTTTTCTGTTCCGTCATTCTGTCTATCGAGCCAATTGATCGTAGCGATGTATCTCTCCGGTCTCGCTCTCATGCCTTACGTCCACTGAGCCCAGACATAACTTATATTATAAAACAGGCAGATTGCCGCCGGCTTATCAGCTGTAGCATGTACGCCGCTCGTTATAGGATGACATGCTCCGAACATCAGGGCTAGAACGTTGCGTCTACATCCGCCCCCCGCATCGCTTTATTATCCATCTCGCAACGAGTTTTCCTTGCTAACCGCAGGAATTTTCATGACGGAGTCCCTTTTTTTTCAAGTCAGCGATTCCCGCACATTGTGCTTTGTGGCGCCAGGCCACTAGCCCCCATTTCTGAGACGATCCGGCATTTGTCTTCGTTGGCGTCAACACACTGCCTCATTTGGGCCCTGGTGACAGGTGATTTTACTTATCTCTGAACGCTAGAGATAACTGGAAGCACTAGTCCGTCACTGATAACACAGCTGTTCGGACTATTTTCTTCTAGTCCAGTTGTGCGGTTCTTTGCATGGACGGGACATGTCCTTCTGTTGCCAACTGAATTTGGCACCCCCTTACTGCCAGTGGGTGCAGATCAGAGAACCTTTTAGGTATGAATTTTCAAACGGGTACTGTTCTGATAGCAAAAATTGTTCACGCAGCCTATCGCAATTTGTAGAGATCTAGAATGACATATCTATCGCACGCAACGTCGGAATTTGTCAGTCTTCATAACACAGCAGACACCGGGAATGGTATGGTGTGATCATGAGCGCGCAATACAATTTATAGCTACATGCGTGGATCGCCGATCGAGTGTGGACTGGGAATGGTCACCCGGCGACTTGGTATCACGCTTGCCTTCTTTCGTTGACGTTTCGATCTGGTATACACTGGCGACTACTTCCCAACAGTTCTGCGCTATAGAAGCAAAAGTCCCCGGAGGCCATGAGATGATCAACATCCTTGAAATTGCACGGTGCGTAGTCCGATGGCGTAGTCCGATGGTGTGTATGAGATACAGTAGTGGTACAGATGCAACTTGAAGATTTATGGGTGGACAGAAGGTAAATATCTTTTAAATAAGAAACCTCATGCTAAGGGGGACTTGATCAATGTGACAGTGACATGGATCAGCGAAGATCTATGGGAGAGTCGGGTGCGTTTGCACGACGTTTTCGAGGAAAACGATGTAGTTGATCAATATAAACGTCGTCATAGCTGCGAAAGACGCATATGCCGTGGTCATGATCCGTCAGAGTGGCCCATACGCAATGCCACATCTGGTCTTCAACGAAGCGAAATGCGACTCCGGTGTGATTCTGGTCCCACCGTTGTTCCCTCTCTCTCGACTCGAATGCCTTGTCTGTCAAGGTTATGAGAGCACAATCTTTGATTGTCCACTGTACGTGCGCTTGCCCTGTTGTGAGAAGCTGCTCTAGAGACGAGTCCATTTCAAGTTCCTTTGGAAGACCTCTGCCAGGTAAATATTGTTGAGCATTTTTTTTGACACCAGCGGAGGTGAATACACACACCTATGAACAGGGTCATAACCATCAACAAGAATTTGAAATGTAGTGTTGTCCGAGAAATCCAGGGTTAAAGTAGGATGTTTTGAAGAACGGCTTAGTTTCCTTAGTACCTTTCCGACTAGAAGGCTCGGATCAACTCCAAGGCTTTGTAGCCGTAGAGGTACTGGATGACAGCGAGATTTGGAGGGAGATGGCAGAGGGGGAGTGCATAAGGCTGTGCCTTGGTTAGCCATTGTTACTACTGATGGCGAGACAGTTTTTTTTTTTAAATGTTGCGAGATCTTATACCGTCGTCGCTGTGGACGATGACAATGGCATCCACATGTGATGTGTCCACATGCGATTGATCGATAAAAAGTTACCCACAACCAGCGTAAGCGAGGATAAAAATGATAAAAAGATGACACTGACGAGATTCGAACTCGCGAGGTTTCCCATCACGGATTGGCACTTGACCTAAACGTGACGCCGTAACCACTTGGCTACAGTGCCATGTTTAAATGATTTCCTGTACAAGATATGGAGAGTTAAATAGTTGTGGATGGGCATTTTGTTAAGCCTCTTCTTTGAGTCACTACGCTTTGTTAGCGCGTCGTATTGTCATCACTCAGCAATGCATCAGACGCATTCTCGTCCTATCGGACCACGTACCCTTCCCCGGTCACAATCGCCACTACCACCGCTCATCCTAGCAGAGACTCGTCCATTGGCAATTCGCAAAATATCTCATGATCAGCCAGCTTTACACCCTTCATCTGCTTCATCATCTCCCCCATTGGGCTCTTCTCCAGGTCCATCGCGTCCTCAGATTCCTGGAGCTCTCAGTTCAGGCCCGAGGCCTAACCAAAGACCTAAGCTTCATCTACCACTCGCACTTGATGGTGGTACCAGCAGTGCAGGTTATTATGAAGGTCCTGCACACATTCCACCTGGATTGGATGGTGAGAACCCAGGCAACGTAACAGTTCGGCCTTTCTTGACTGTGCAAACACCACGTCCTCCCGAGCCTATCGACAGTAGCGATAACAGCATTGCTCAGCTAATTGCTGAATTTGACAGGACCACCATAGAGTCCTATACCTATACGCCTACGGAAGAGACATCAACCAATTATGGCTCTAATAAATGGTCGGACAGTGTTTTAGAAGTCCTCTCACGACTTGGCGAAGGTCAGGGTGGAGCTGTCCATAAAGTCAGAGATCGGCGTAACAACTTCATCTTGGCCCGCAAGACAATTACTACTCGCGAGGCGCCTTTAAAACAGCTCGAACGCGAGTTGTCAATCTCTGCGACGTCCAAACACCACAACATAATCCGTTTTCATGGCGCCTATATGTCACCATCGTCTAGTGAAGTCAAAGTCATGATGGAATATTGCGCTGGCCGCAGCTTGGAAGCCGTTGGAAAGCGAATCAAAGAGAAGAATGCGCGTATCAGCGAAAAAGTCGCTGGACGTATAGCCGAAGGGGTAATTATTGAAGCTTCTTTTTATTTTAGCCATACTCATTCATTCACCAGGTTTTGCAAGGCCTGAGTTATCTTCATTCACTCAAAACCATCCATCGGGACATCAAACCATCCAATATCCTGTTAACTGGTGAAGGTGTCGTTCGTCTTTGTGATTTCGGTGTCTCCGGAGAGCTTGTCCGCTCTATGGCCGGAACCTTCACTGGCACTAGTTTCTACATGGCTGTACGTCCGTTCCTCGATTATACATATCCATCACCACTGATGGTCACTATAGCCGGAGCGCATCAGCGGAAAGGAATATAGCATCCGAGCTGACGTGTGGTCCACTGGAATCACCCTTTTGGAACTTGTACAGAATCGATACCCATTTCCCGAAGACCTTACTTCCATTGAACTGATTGTCTATATTACCCAGGGACAGGTAGGTACTTGGAGCCTGTTGTTAAATCTTGCTTACATCAGAATTATTCTCTAGCCACCTCAACTGACTGATGAGGAAGGTGACAACATTGTATGGAGTGATGAGATGAAAGATTTTATTCGACAGACGTAAGCTCTTGTCCACTCTCCTGTTGCGTATCGTCGTGTCAACGTTCGCCGCAGTTTGATTATTGACCATCAAAGTCGCCCTACACCGGGAGGAATGTTGTCTCATCCTTGGATCACCACCATCATGAAGCGAGAGGTGCCTATGGCTCGCTGGATCAGTCAAGTTTGGGACTGGCCTAAACCATCTAGAGAAGCGTAAGATTGTTTGATCTAGGTACCGATGAGTACTGACCCTGATACACAAGCAATTCGAGACCGCCTTCAAGCCGCGGTGCTGTCGACAGAACACCATAGATTCCTTATTTCACTCAAAATGTTTCGTTGTCATCCTGATATATCTTGTTTCTTCATCGCATCCCCTTTGTCACTGTGCCTATTTTGTACACACCACTTGCACTGCTCTCTGTACATCTTTCCATCATACGGCTACTATACCATCGCACAGCACAGAAAGGAACGGACGCCGATTACATGCTTGACTGATGTTGTATATCTGTGTTATTAATTCATGTGCACATCGTAGCTTCAAGCGTGCTGCATATTAGCTGGACCAATGCATGATTAGTACCCTGGTCCCCGACTCCCACGTTAATTAGTGGGGGAAGGCTCGTCGAATCTTGAAGCTCCCAAACCTCGTCTCCTTCGTAAGCACGCCCTTCGCTTTGGACACACTGTTAATACCATCTGTCAGCCCAGTGCGCTGGTTGCAAACACTTGGGCTGCATGCTTTAGTGCATGAGACCTTCAAGTTCGTTCGCAGACCATCAAATAGCTAGCGAGATGGGTCTTTTTCATTAGCAAGATTATGCTATTGAAGGCACGATTCAGATCAGGCTTATATTGAACAAGATAACCCGTTCCGCCTCATCATCCATCCCCAGAGCTTTTCCTCATCTGTTGACAATCTAATCCATCTTTCGTATCTCCTTCGGGATCGGTTCTGCGCCGAGCGCCATTGTTTCTGCCGGTTTGTTTCAAAGTTTGAACTCATTTGTAACCGTGCCGTTCGGTGTGATGTCTGCCCAAAGGTGCTCATTGACGCGCTCGTCATCTTGATATGTCAGTCTGTCAAGATAGCCAGACCAATGTGACAAGTAACCAGCTCATTGTCCATTCCACCTTTCGTTCGAAGAGGGACGGGACCCTCAGGTATGTGTATCATTTGCAAGCGAGGTCCTCAAGTTAATGTGCGCTGCCGTTGTGTCTTACCAGAATCAACCAACGCTTTGTCCACGGCATTCGACCGGAAGTACATGCTTTCGTTGATGCATTTATCCTACAGTACAGTCGGTAAAAGAGGCGAGAGGAGGGGAAGCCATGTACCACGACCCTGGGGGATAACCAAGCTGCTGTCGGGTCTACGGCAGCCTTTCGGTCAAAACACGGTCATTAACTCGTCGACGCGTTTCACGACGATCTGTAGACAATCCTACCAGAAGTGGACGGGAGAAAGATGATGATCAGATGGTCAGCAGGGCACATTGAAATCCCAGGCAACCAGGCCGCAGATGAACAGGCAAAGAGAGCAGCGCGAGGAGAGTTTTCAGCCACACGTATGATCTACCAAGATCACTCCTAAGGAAGGGACGCACCCTCGCGACACTTTCCACCAGAAAATCTACACTCAAACAACTCTTCAACAACGTTGTCAAGAACGAAGCGCGAGAAGTGACGCGTAGATTTCCCTGTCACACAAAGCTCCGAAGCGTAGAACCCTCTACTCCATCAAAACACTTTGCTAGTATCATCAACGAACTGACCCGTCGACACAACTTCGAGTCACACATGTTCCAACTCAGAACCGGCCACATTCCTTTGAACAAGCACCTTCACGTACACGTGCATGCACTCTCAAGCAACTACTCAGCGACCGAAAGTGCACCAAGAAACTGCTCACCTTCATAGCTCAAAGCAAGCGTTTCGAAACCATCTTCGGCAACGTAACCCCACCCGCAGACCGCAGAGAAGAGAACTGATAATTCACGGGACACAAGATCTGATCCTTCAAAGCGAACATCACGCTCGTCTTGAAGGTGAAGGAGGCGAGCTGGAATGCAGACCCAAATATCAGATACCGGTCAGATTATAGTCGCGTTTTCCTCGATCAAGAATCTATACAGGCCATCCCTGACGCACTATAAAGTAATGAGGTTGTGTGGAGGTGGAGTGTTGGTCAAGATCTCTTTCTGCGATATAATGGGCCGAGGTACTTGCTATTTTTCCCCATCTTGTGGTATCTATAATACCTCTCCAGGGATCGTACAGAGCTCACGGAAGGGGCGTTCCGTCTGTTTGTCGAGCACTGCCAGGTAGACCCCTTTTCATACTATTTGCAGCCATCTGCGGAATCATCCCCGACTTCAGGGATTGCATGACTTCCTTCTGTGACGAGTTTCTCAAGGCTTCTACACTAAATTTGGGTTCCATTTCGAGCGCAGACCCGAATCGTACTGACATCGACAATGTGAGTGGAGCCACTTTCACGTAGATGGCACATATAACATTTGAAAACAGTTTCTCGACGAAGAGAATCATCAATGACATATTGGCCTCCATCAGCTCCCGGATATCACTTTCCCAATACTAAGCCATCCCGATGGTCTACATGGAAAAGTGACCTATTGTAGGGCCTATGATGTCCGTCTCCTACATGTGGTTTCCCGACGGAACATTCCAGAAAAATAGTTTATATCAAACGTCCGCAGTCATCTCGTCGCTGGTAGAGACTGTTGTGCTGCCAGTGAAGTATGCGATTCTCTTTGACAAGCGACGAGTATATCATTAACTGATTCCCCACAGACTTAGAGACAGTCGGGAGCATATTGCAATGATCGCTAGACCACAGCAGTCACGGTATGCATGTTTTGGAATTTTAATGCGGGGGACGCTGTTGTGCAGTCGTGTAAGTAGTGAGAAAATGTGCACGCTTAATTACAAGGAAATGGTTGTTTTTCGGGCGGAAGCCTGACAGGGGCAACCCGGCCCCGACCTGTGCAAAAGTGAGCCAAGGTGAGCTGCAATTCCCACATCAGTAGGAGTGAATGCGAAGCAGCGAAATGAGCATCGATCTTCATCGTAGTGGCCGCAAAGCGACGCATCGAGGCGAGGCTAGGAGCAGTTTGCAACAGAAGTAGTAGGAAAGCATCCGAGCACGAGTGCGGGCATTTCTGTCAATACAACAGGCATCCGCGTCAATGCAGGCATCCATGTCGGTGCGGACATCTGCATTAGTGCGTGCATCCGCGGCCACGAAAGTGCGGGAATTCACGTCACGACAAGCAGGTGTTGACAAAGACGGTACTCTCGCTCGCCACAGGTAGAAGGCGTTATGGCCTCCGCTCATCAGGTTCTCTGGTGAGAAACCCAACGAGATTTCACGACAGTGAACTTCCTATACGAGCACGAGTAGAGCTAAAAGAGCAGTGCTCTATACTCGTGGCCGGCTTCCCCGCCGGACCTGTTTTCATTGCATGCAGATACACACAAGGATCTGAGCCATCAGAGCTCACCGGAGTTTGTGGCAGAAAAGAAAATCTGAAAGGTGGCAGGCCGCAGACATGGCGCGAGATCTTGCTGGGGTGTACCCTGGATGCTGTGTGGTAGGAGGAGAAGAGAAGCCACATGCTGCACAGCCGCTGCACGCAAACCTCATTCTAACCCTGCACTCCGAGTACCCCGCTCCCAGTTAGAATTCCAAGCAATGGTGAAGAAGACTTAGACAATAGATCGAGCCAGGGATGCTGAGAATAAGTCTGGAGTTCACTGATGGGCGGTGGTAAGAAGTCTCCGATTGACAGACTCAACAGAAGGAATAATTCAGGATCTGTTTTCATATACGGGGCCGATACTTACTATGGCTCAACATTTTGATCCGTCATTTTCTTTGCCCGCGTGGAGCACCACGATGGTTGAGAGTTCCGCAGGCCAACTTTGTCTCATTCAAAGAAGTTGATACATCAACAATGCAAGCAACGTTGTACCAATTCGACGGAGCGCTAGATATGCAAGTCTTTGCAATGTACCTGACGAGTTGGTGACCATAAGGTGACCATCAAAGAAGCCTTTCCCAAGTCACTCTGACAACTTCTCAGTGCTCTATTCCACATGTTATCTTAGTAATTAGGATGACAAAATTGCCGTCTTACCGTGTCCTGACTGACCGAGACCGTGCCTTCTTAGAAAAGCCCGAGCTTTGCATTCATGTTGGGCTGTCGAATAAGCGGGTTCAGAACACCATACTGAGGCATACTTACCTACGGTCGGAACCTCGAAGTCCAAGCCCTTGTCTATGACCTCTTTCAGGAGTTCAGGGCTCAGCACGAAATCCCTAAGGAACGAGGAGACCAATCAGAGGGGCATGGTTTACGACAATATTGAGACAGAATGAACCTGAAGCCGGAAATTTTCCTCTCAGTGTTGTTGTCGCCCTCGCGGTCTGCTGCCGACGCCGCTGCCTCGTTGACAGTAACAGCTAGAGCTGTGCCATTAGGGATGACATCGTGCTTATCCTGATGAAGTTCAATAAGTTCCTCGTTATCGTGGGAACTCATGGTCGTGTAGAAAGAGAGTAGCCTGAGGGTACCGGTCAAGTCGTCGGAGACTAGTTAAACTGGTCCGACCGACTGACTCATCCTAATTTGGACACTTAGATTTTGAAACATTACAGACCCTTTTGTTGACCACATCGCCATAAGTACTAAGTGGTTGGTTTGAGAACCATGCCACAAGCGCTCAAGTTTTATTGTATCCTTCACAGCCAACATACAGTTTTATAGACTCCTTCGACATTAGTACGCCGAACCCTTCGGAAAACCTTATTACTAAAGATGCACCTCTCAGCTCGTGCGACGCAGCCTCATGCTCAGCTTGACTGTACTGCACCTGCTGGACCCATACAAAGCCTCGAATGACTATCAGACTAGAATACACGCTTCCAGATACATCAACCAGTCACACGACAGCAAGGAGGAGGAGGAGAGCAACAATAATCTTCCACCATAATAATGTGCCACTCCGTGTGGGCGGGTCAGAAGAACATAACATTCCGTAGTAGTGACGAGGTACGCAGTAACACCAGCCACTTGGCTATGTTGGAATTTTCTGATATTAGTAGCCGAAGTCGATGCATCTGATGAGCTAGCTGCGAAAGGTATCATATTGATATCGATATGTCCATCTTGCTCGCCCGATTTGCTTTTCACGACAAGTGCACCCCAAAACGCGTTGTTGAAGCACTTATAGTCAGGAACGTGGCGTTACAGTGTAAATTTCCAGAATTGGGCACGTTGCCCGACGCGCGCTCGCATGCATTTTCGGACTGGCGCAGATTGCGCCTTTTTTTCACCCCGATCAGGCATGGGTGACCTAAATTCTGTAGAACATTTGCCACCCATTGCTTTATCGTGAAACTTTCTTGTGGGCCCGGATCAGATATAATAGCGGCTTTGATTTCCATTTTCAACTTCCTCGAGTTCAGGGAGCACCCTGATCATTTTGCAATTTACCACATAGATTTTCAGGGTCGTCATGCTTCGAATACGTTGAATATGGTTGCAGGTACAGCGGGCAACTTGTAAAGCACCCTAGCCACGATGTGATAGAAAACACGCTACTTGAAACACTGTTAAAGACGTCAATATGACACACGATTTGCTCACTTAATATGACCATAAACCCTGAAGAATGAATATCAAGTTCACGAACCTCAGGGCTGTACTCACCACCCATCAGGTGTTCTGACGCGACTCACAAGCCAGCGTGCATAATTTCGTCATCATATTACAGCCATCTGACCAGCAATGTGGCTCGCAGGGAGACAGCTGGACAGTGCGAATAAACGTACCAACGTTCAGGTATTCCCCTGTAGCTTGATATGACTAAACCCCGTCACAAGCTCAAGCACGTTTAGTTTTCAGGGCTATCATGATACGTCAGTTCGCTCCAAGCAAACCTTGATCTAATCGCTTCCAGAGCGATACCAGAATTCATTATAGCATCCTTTTGATAATTCATGCACTCACCTGAAGGACATTATTCATCTGAAAGTAAGTTGCAGCATGCCCTTCACTTACGCGAGCTTTATGCTAGCTCGATAAATCCATGGTACCCACAGTGGGTCCTGCAATCATTCGTTATCAAAGGTCGACCATACATTTACCATACCTGAATATTTGTCTATCCTTATGATAGAGACCGTCGATTGTTTCCAGTGGCTCATCCACATTCCCGTGATAGGTCATAGCAGAACTGCACCAGCGCCAATCGGTCGGAAACTCTTCTAAAACGCCGCGATGCAGGTTCGGAATTAGTTACACGAGGACGTTCCCATGTATTTGAAAAGTACTGGATACGCACTATTGCCTCTGGGCCTGCTGTAGAATACGAGAGAGAATACGAGTTCCCCCCAACGTTCTGGTAAATGAGGTAATTCATCCCGCGCAGAGATTTAGTGCTCTCATCAACTTGTGAGATCCACGTACTAGTAGGGCGCGAGAAATGAACGAGAGATTAGCTGTGCAAAAGGTAAATTACAATGGCTCTCAAACGTGGACGACGACCGAGAACATAGTACTCGGGGTATAAACACGCGAGACATCCCCAATCGATACATGTTCGGAGGATGTAAGGATCCGTGATTTATCGAGTTCGCGCCTGGAATCTCCACGACGCTGTGCAGATTATTGGAGTGGCATATTACCACTCAATCTGAGGAAGCATGCGAGATGGTCATTTCTCTACTGCTGGCTATGCAGGCTGCGGAAGGGTTGAATCCTGGCCTGCCGCGGGGCTTACCTGTAACATAATAATACACTGCTAAAAACTGCAGCAGCAGGTGTTGCGTTCAGTTCCGACCATTGAACCTGACTCTTTGACAAAGGCGCGTCGAGGGTTCTTAGCGAAATGTGTATATATACTCAGCTTTGGCCCTCGGAAAGCGTTTGTTTCCGAGATAATGACATAAGACGATCGAACGATTTAGTGATTTTAACGGTGCATCACTCACGTCTATCAACGACACAGCTTGGAGGCTGCCAATCAAGTTCTGGCCACTGCACCGGGGTTATGCAGGTTTCTATCAGCTTCGAATTCATGGAAATGAGCCCGCTAATTTAGGCAAGTCCTCGACTCCTCGCCGCATCACACCAAGAACACCGAACAGCGCATCACTCAAGATCAGATCCTGGAGGCCGATCCAGACCAAGCAAAAATTGGAAGCGACAATTGAGTTCTTAGAGGGGATGGCCAAAATGATGCTCAAATATTAATGTCATGACGGATCTTTAAGAAAAATCAAAGAGAAACATGAATCTTATGGGTATCTAGGGTGATGATCATTAGATGAATGTGCCACTAAATGCCTCTCCTGGGGGTGTGGGAACTGAACAAGATAACATTCAGTACAAGAATGGCAACAACCCAAGGAATACGTACAAAAGGATCCATGGGGTTTACACTCGGCATCATTTGAGGCTGGCTCCAGTGCTGAGGGGGTGGTTGGTGGTTCATAGATCGCATATTAACATGGTGCTGAGATTGAGGAGGGGGAACGTGTCGTGAGGGAGCTGGTGAATGTAAATGAGTAGCTGGGGTAGCGTAAGCAGAGTCGTATCGGTGAGGAGGGTATGGCTGCATCTCGGATATCATTGATAAAACATTGGAATTCTGATTTGGATGCACGGGGTAACCTTGTGGAGCTCTGCATATTTGTTAGAACAGAGCGAAATTAAAAAGAACTTCAAGACTCACATCTGACGTCGCGCAGCATCGGGTTCTGGCCCGAGCCTGAGATGAGGGTCTTCCTCGTATTTCACTTGAGGTACTGGAGCAAAAAGATCACTGAAACACGGGTTTTTGGTCAGTCAATAATACGTATAATGGAAGATGCACATGCCTGTGTCGACGGGACATTGGAGGTTGGTTGTAATCGCTAGATACACGAGCTTTTGCAGGCGTGCTGTCCCGAGTAGGAGGTGTTGAAGTCTCCGACAGTCCTGATGAATCGGCAGTGGATGGACGCCCGTCGACACTATCTTTCCGAGATGTTGATTTCTTGCGGGTGGGAACGCCTTCTGGCCATGTGCACTGGACAAGTGTTTTAGCTAATTTTTTTTTTGAAAGACTATATGACGATGCGCACGTCTCGCTGCCCATGAGTGCATCGCATGCAGTTAGGTTTGGCCTCGTCACACTGAATTGGAGAATGAATAACGTGTTTGAGTTAAAGTATGGAGTGGCATACCTTTATTTTTTTGACTCGACATGTCATACAACCAGTCTTGCTTCTTGTATACTTGGGACGCTTCCTTTGTTGTGGCTCTTGACGTTGCTGGGGCGCTATGAGATGAGCATGCCCAGGAGCGTGAGCGGAAGGTGGATAATAGGATGCTGGTGGAAGGTAAGCGTTAGGGGCGGAAGAGCTGTAGAAAAGATGTTCAATGAGAATGAAAGCAAACATAAGGACATTGACTGACTATGCCATGCTTTCTGCCATACGATGAATAGGAAGTATGGGAGGTAGATTTTCGTGAGGAAGATCCTTCATCGTTTTATACTAAATCTTGTTAGAAGTAAGAAGCAGAGAAGGTTAGAAGGGTGGAAAATGGACGGGGACACCATTGTCACGGACCCGGGAAATCGGTCTAAATCACTAAAATTCTGATCTAAGGGTCGTGGATGCGTCGTAAGTGCATTTTAAGACTTGCCATAACAAATTTCGTATAGGAAGGTGGGGATTTTTTTAATCAATTTCCACACATCATTGGCGCATCATGTTTCTTTGCGTGTTGGGAAAAATCTGAAAAAAAAACGAGGAGCAGCACGAGCGATCTCCTAGATGAAAGGGTTGTTCATTGAAAGAATATTAATGTCTTTCAGGCGAAAGAAAAGAATTCAATTCAGGTCCTAAACCTTAGAGGTACCGGCCATTTTTACACCAAAATTTGACGATCCAATTTCCTTAATTGTATTTTCAGTTCTGATGCGCTACTCTAATTTAGGTAATTCGTCGGCCATCAACATTCCGGACTGTCCTGACATGTGGTCGATCCTTTAAGTGACACATCGCGTGGTGATGGGGTCTATGCTTCACTCACTCTTTACTCACTTAATTTCTCTACACTCACACTCTAGTCTCCGTACAACTTCCCCCTACTATACCGTAATGAGGAATTCCTACATGTGAATGACAACCCGTCCAACCACCTATAACTGTATGTAAGATTCCACACCTTATACTGTAAACGTCTGCCAGGTCCCCGTAAGTCGACGTTTTTGACCCTTCACGTACATGTGTTGTCTATTCTAGCATTTCCCGTCTAGTTTCTAATCTCCACCGCTCCCGCGGCTTTGAACCATGTCTCCGATGATCACTGCAGAACACCGGGCGCTCCCTCTCCCATTTGTTTTCTTGCAGACCAGGTTCCAAACTGCGCACTGTGACACTTATCTTGACACTTTCCTACGGCCCGTAAAGGGCAGCCTGTTGCTCTATTACTCAATAAAACCAAACGCTCAGAAAACGTGACGGCGTATCCGATCGCTACTTATAACACGTTTCAACAACACATGGCATGATTGACCGTCATCCATAGAACGGTAGTTAATACATGTGCTTCAGAATGTCATATATCACCTGGATGCATACGATACTCGATCAATGAACCAAACGCCGCTCAATTCCGGGCTCACTGAAAACCAATGGAAAACCATATATGATTGCATGATCTTCTAGCCTGATAATAATAATAATAAAGGCGCTGGAGCCTACTACTATCCAATTAAAAACTTGGCATCAGCATCAAAACGAGGCTGAATACCGATTTGGTCTCAAAATAAGGTACCGAGAAACTGAAGTCGAAGGTGCTGTTACTGCGCCTCCAAGTCTCCGCACCAGTCATGACGTGGAATGACAGTTGCCAAAGAACAGCACTGAGTGGTCAGGTCGCTAAAGATTCTCAGGCAAGGTACAGTCTTGCACTCTCCCTTCTCATAGATATACAGATCACGTACAATTAACAGCCATTTCTATGCTCCTATTGCCCACACTGTCACTTAGAGTCCGCTCAAAAAGACTCGGCATTCCGCAGAGGTTCTGTCTCCCAGGCTCTCAACTTTGATCGATTAGAATATCGAGTATTATTAGCCACCTCATCAACAGTAAAGACTCACGTCCAACATCAAGTTTGGGATCCCGGCGGTGACAACAGGCGTGGGGGAACGAGCTAACGAAAGAAGGTCGCGCCCATCGAAGCGGTTTGGATATACACACATGACAATCATTCGAACGTTTTCGTGATAGAGATACAATTGGCTTGCGTCCACGAGAACCCACAACAATACCTGTACCACAGCAGTCTCTTTGATGGATCCTGGACGAGCTGGGAATCTGATCCGCTATTTACATAAGCGTCAGACGTCGACGCTCGGAGTGTGGAAGAGTTCTGAAAGGATCAAATGTGTGCACAGTTTCTGTCACACGATATGAGATGACAGTAGTGACTGCGGATCATTCTTTACCTGAGGGCTTTCCGCACGCTCTCCGTAGCAATGATGTGTGCAACCGTTACCATTGGCGCTGAGTCTGGGAGAGCTGGCAACGTCTTTCACACCAGCACCGATATCTATCTGCAACTCCGCGGTCACGTCAGCGTCGTTGAGTGTAAAAGATGGGTCCTGGCGATCTGACAGGAACAGTCCCCTTCTTGATTTGCCTAGACGTCGCATGCCGACGGCGAGTAATTTGTCGTTACTGAATTCTACGGTTGAGTAGCGCACGATGAGTACTAATTGTAAAATTTTGACAGGGGGTATAGAGGTCGTGGATAAGGTGGGACATTTTGAAGTGTCAAGTTCATTGCTTGGCACACTGATCCAAAAACGGATTGCACCATCAGGACGGCGGTGACCGGATGACTACCTGATACAACTTGGGCTCGACAACAATATTTGTTGAATGTGGTCACTTCTAACGAAATATCTTCTTCGCGTTCGCGGAAAGCTTCAAGATGAATATGAGTGAACCTTGCCTCACATCCGCTTCTACTGTATAACATCATCATTTGAGTTTGCATGGGAAGAAGATTCGTACCTTGAAGTCTAAGTACCGTCATAGTATTACATACCTTTAACTCAACTATGTACAAGCGCTGAAGGAAAGGAGATGTGTGACATGGCAATCCCATGTTCGCCACAATGGTTTGTTGCAAAGTGGCGGTGGTCGGGTCCTGGCGGAGTTCAAAACTTTACTGGAGCCTTAATTTGTCTTTCACGGTGTTTGATCCATCACTATCAGGTTGTACTGAGTACTACTTTGCGACTCGCCGAGCTTCACTCTACAGAACTCAATTTTCAAACTTTGTTACTTATAAGCGAACGAGCGTTTATAAGAAGTCGTGCGATGGGCCTTTAATAGCGTTTGATATCTCTTTATCTTATCTCGTACTAGTACTCACTCACGCATCATCAGATTTTCAAATATCCAGTTCAAAAACTCTCAGGTAAATCTTCGTTATCTTTGTATCATCTACCGTCACACACTTGGCATTCACTACCATCTCAGCAGAACGTGATAAATGCATCAGGAATATACAGCATGTCTGCCAATTGTTTTGACGTCTGGTGGGAGTACCTTCTTCAAACTTACACCGTCGCTTCCTAGCATTTGATTTTCCTCAGAACGGTTAGTATCACTTGCAAAATCTTGTCCTAAAAGTGCCATACCGCTCAAGCCCGGGCTGACTCCTCGTGCATGAATAAGTTATTGGCGTCCCTGCCAGTCTTGACATCAGGTTGCAGAACTAGAAGTTCAACCCTTGGTCCTTTACGTCGACCCATAACGAAGTTATTTTATCTCAGCGATTCTTGAGGCTACTGCCGCGAGACTTGCCATACGGCACGTACCGGTTTTGGAAACTTATGACCAGACTTATCAGAAGCCTACACTCATGTTTTGCAGGGCCACGAACGTCAACGGCATATGTGTTGTCCTATGTCGAATACGTCTCTGAATGGAAATGGGACCCTCCGAAAAAACGGCATTCATGTCAGTCGCCGCACGGTCTCAATTCACCAAGGAAGATCTCCGTCGGTAGCGCAGTATTCCCAGAGAACAGCATGGGGTCCTGGTTCGATGCTCTCACTCGAGCCTTTGACTCGCTTCCCTCACCCACCAATTGCTTCCACTGCTAACCGCACTGGTTTCAGTCAGGAACCTCCCTCATTTCCTGTAGAAGAACAGCCCTTTTGTTTAGCGATATCCCTCTGCTTTGCGGCAGATTCGTTCGACCGAGAGGGTACTCCTTCTCAAGTTTAAAGATATCGAGGACACTTAACCGAGGACTTCAACGTGTGCTTCGCATTATCTGGTGGGAGAACAAATAATATGAATATGTGTATGTGCTTCACTATGCTACTGCTTTCTAACTATTAGAACAAACTAGCTGTTTGCCCGAGTCATTCAGACGAACTTACATACGAGATCGTGACGTCTGATTTGGCGGCTGGCTAGCGCCCATACAGGCGCCCAGTATGGGTTTCTGTTACGTCGCGGTCATCCCAAGAAGCTGGTCAAATGAAAGAAATTGTCGTATAGGGTTTTTTCAGTTCCCTGCATCCATGTCACAATTCGTCTAAGGAAAGAAGCTGTCGGGAGTACTCGTCGCACGGGCGGCTTTTGTCGCTAAGCTTCAAGCTCACACTCACTCCACACGACTCACACCCTCCCCCTCATTTGTATTACCACATAGAGAAGACACGATCGACGGTGCTCAACTCAAATGCTATCGCCTTCCGTAAGGTCAGGTTGCTATGGACTACGCTGCATGCATATGGCAAGAGACAGTTTACTGGCGATGAGTCTAGCGATATTTCACTTTGCACGGACGTGTCACTCTCGGTCACCTGTTGGGACTGCTATATCATTTTGATAGGCGAAGGTATTCCAGAAAATGTGATTATTTGTGTCGCTCTCTAATGTAGTCGCAGGGTGCCTTGTTAAACCCAATATTTGCCTCCATCTTTACTGTAAAAACTGAACAGGACTGTCGAGTTCTCAGTGAAAATGGCTATCTTCGAGTTCTCTCCAATCATGAAACAACACGATCTTGACAGTGAGATTCTGAAGTTAGCATCAAACTCAAAAAGCATCTACTGGGCAATGGTACGTCGTTTTCACAGGAGAGCGCGTGAGATTCGAATCATTGACAATCTTGTAGGGGAAGGTTGGAACCACTTATCGGAGGATGGTCCCCCGTTCCTAGAAGACTGATTATCCCCGCAATATTGGAAATCTGTTGGATACATGGTATAATTTTAGGAACTCCGAGTCTTCTCGGTTAGATTTCTTCAATATCCTGAGGAGCTGAAATCCTCCACAAGCTGTGGGAGGTAACCAGATAACTTGGCAGGGGGGTACTCCGCGGGCGCGACATGGCACAGCAAAGTTACATCAGTATGTTGCCTTGTAGCGCACTGCAATGAATCTGATAAGACTTGAATAGAGATTGAGGTCACATGCGATAAAACACTGCATGCAGCCAATACCTTTGACAGTTCGTGGCACTAAACTCCTTCTGTCAAGCGATTATCTTTCGGCTGGCTCACGATGAGTGCGGGGAAATCTTCAACTTTCTCGCGATAACAAGTACAGAATGATGCAATGAAACCTTGAAATGTTGACTAGAACGCTCTTGGGAGCAATCCCCGTCTTTCACCCGACTATCCTGATATTTTTAAGACACAACGAACAGACCATTGTACCTAATATACCCGAACAATCCAACGTTTGCCCACACTAGATGCAAGCGCCCTATTCCCTATGCAGGCATCGGCATCTTGATTAATGCGGCGAGCCCGGCCGAACATGTACCCCACCTCCGCCTCGTGGGAATTCTGCGCCCCACCACCGACTCGGTTCGAGTCCAAGCGAGTGCACCCCCTTTTCCGTTCCATCGACCGTTTCCTGTGATCATTCATGGGTATTTCAACCGAATATTCTCTCAGTATTAACCATTGAATGATCTTTCCATATATTTTTCAGCTTCAGAAGAACAAATCGTTCTAGACGACGCGCACGTCCCTGGCGAGGACGCGAAAGATGCATTCGATGGAAAAGTAGCCGAATCGATCAAAGAGTCGATCAAGAAGTCACGGCGCTCTTGGAAAATTCACCATGAGTCTTCAATGTGGGCCAGAGCAGCGGGTCTGAGCGACGATGAACTCACGAGCTTCTCTCGAGATGATCTCGTACAAATCCGAAACGGACAGGCGAGCTACGGACACGTTATCTTTGGGAAGTTGAGGCTTCCTGCTGTTAATGATAAGCTCGGTGAGGGATATATTCACGTCAGGTGCGGGTTCTTCCATTCGAATTTCTACTGCGAGGTCTTGGGGTTTTTTTTTTTTACGGTTGTTGTGAATATTGACTTATGAGTTGCTGTGGTCCAGGATCCACCACGAGGTGAGCATTTCATTCCGTCCGTGGTGATTTATTACTTCTCTCATGTTAATCGTCAGGGAGTTTCCGGATGGAAACTACATGCTATCCATCACCTCACAGCATCCTTTGACGAGGATGGTCATCCTCACTCTTGGCGTGCCATACATCCTGATAGCTACCCTTTGGAGTTCTTTGAGTATCACTCCGAGCTTCACGAGGCCCCACAACGTTCCTCTCATCGGTGAATTTCGGAGTTATCAGGGAAAGAAAGAAGGGTGTGATGGTTATTTTGTACGATATGTCGTTGTAACGTCCGCGGAGCGTGTTTTGTACTAATCTCTCCCTGCAATAGTTACGTGTGATTGATTTGATTGCTCGTCGCCCTCAGAGGGCGTTCACCCGCGAGTAAGTTGTCCCTGCTGTCTTATCGCCGAATGGGTAAAGTAGCTACTATAGACGGTCTCCGTCACATTAATATCTGCCTGGTACATGAAGCAAGATGACGAGACATGTCCAACCTAAGGTTAATGACTCTAGAAAATGGAGTCTAATGAAAAAAATTGGACTGGTCCCGCAGCGTCTACTCGCGCCTGTTGATGCTCAAAGCAAGTCTATAGGGTATGGTTATATACTAGTACACAAGACAGGAGGACCCAAAGTGTTCATGGTGAAGCAGATGCCGCTGCACTCCCAAAACAACAAGACATAAGCACATACTCGGACAGGCAACAAATAAACTATATGTACAGAAGGAATATGAACAAGACAGAAAAATAGAGACGCATAGGCATAATTGATCAAACTGGTTAGCACAGCAAACACGTAGGTGTCCATGGGCGATAGTAGTCAAAAAGCATATACCGATGGCCAGGATTCGTTGTGCGATACTGAAAGACCCGCTGCAAAATATGACTGATCCTCATCGTGACTCCGACACACATCGTTCGGCATCGAGTAGATGAACGGAATCGGTACCGGCTGCAACATCTTGTCGTTCTGCACGCTCGAAAAAGCGGCGAACTGACAGGATGGCGGCGGCGGCGTTGACATGTCCATGAAACTTGACATCTGAATAGTGCGATCCCCAAGCGATGAGTCTGTGGGCGTAGGCGAGTAGCTGAGACCAGGCGTCGGTGGACTGATCTCGGAGTCGTTCGGACTGTTATCCATTCCCAGACTCGATTCGGTTGGCATCCACCGCGAAGTCTCAACGGCAGACGAAATCGTCGCCGAACATGAGTCCTCGCGATAGGTGTGTGCGGGTAGCGTGGCGTGCCGCCTGAGACCCACACGAGGCCTTGCCACCAGAGGTGAGCCCACTGATATCGGTGATGATACAACGGGGCTAGTCTCCATAACCGACTGCGTTCTCGGACTGCTCCTGAGCAAAATGTTGCTTTCACTTTTGCACTTTGTGAGAGCGCGTCCAGTAGCAACCGGCGCTGTAGGCAGCTTGCCAACCCAGAGGCGCCACTCAAGCGCCTCACCCAGAGCACGTTCGCAACGGCCAATCTCCCGTGGCGGAAGGCCCGAAAGTTTAGCCCATGCACGATTCGAGTAACAACGATCTTGCATGAATTTCGATGCAAGAATGAGTGACGCGAGGAAAGTGCGGCGAGGACACAGAAGCGGCGAGGGAAGTGGAGGAAGCGGCGTTAAACAGCCACTACTCTGCTTAGGCTTGTGAGAAGACACCTTTTCTGCGTCGAATACCGGCTCTGCAAATACAGACTCGAGTGTAACAGGATTGATGCGAATAGTATCTAGCAAGCCATTGCCTGCCGATGTTTCCGAAGAAGAACTAGGACCATCAAGGCCAGCGCCAAATGCGCTGAACTCGCTTTGGACGATGCGTTCAATCGATTCCTTTTCGCAAGTGGACCCAGGGTAACCCTTCTCCTGCGAGACCAGCTCTGGGACCTTGGCGCGGATAGCTTCCAAGTAACAAAGGGCTGTCTGTAGAACGGTGCCTGACGTGCGAGAACGACGAAGAACCTCATGAACAAACCCTTTCATGGGCGCAATGTCACAACGCAGTGCCTGATCTCTCGAATCGGGCGTCAGGGGTGTCTCGGGGGATTGCAGGGAGTACGGATTTGGGATACATGGGGCGGGCGTGGGAGAAGACTGTGTCGTTGGAGATATGGGAGAGGGGAGCTGAGTATTACGTCCGTGGAGCGGAATACTGGGGATGGATGCAAGAACGGAGTCGGTAGAAGCGGTAGGCACAGTCGGACGAGACGATGTCAAAAAGACAAAAGGTATATCCTGAGGGTTCCATATTTCGCATATTGATCCTACAGCTTGATCTAATGGCGGATACAGATCCCGAATTTGAGATTGGAGGCCAAAAATGGCTAGTGAAGGTTGAACTTACCAACTAAACCAGTGACATATTTCGATTTCTGGGAGTCGCGGAGCTGATATTCTCGGGGATGAAATTGAGGATTTCGCTGTCGTTCTTGTTCATAGACTGATGCTGATAGAGGTGAAGGTGTGATGGATGATACAGATGAGGCGGGAGTGACGAGATATGAAGGAGATTGGCGTGAGGAAAGTGATGAAAGGGTGGCATAGTAGGGTTGCCAACGAACCCGAGTGTGCGAATGTGATGTTGTTGTTGGTGGCCCCCGATGGGCCAGAGAGTGAGCAGCGGCACGAGCCATAGAGATGAGCAGATTGAGAAAAATAAGGCGTGGAGAGACGAGAGAGTAAATATTAAGACGAGATAGACGAGCTTGAGCGGATTATCTAGAAAGACTTGACTGCAGCATTAATGGAGTTTACTTTGGTTACTTTGGAGCTGAACGTAAATTTGGAGGCTGGCTTGTAGACGGGTGTGGAGATTGAGTGAAAGAAACGGGGAATTACTGGGGAGCACATCGTGACTCCTTTGAGGAGGACTATCTAAAGTCTGAGACTTTAGACTATCCTAATAGTTATATAGCCTTGTCGAAAAGGCTATAATAACACAGAAATATACTGAGTGGGGAGGATCTGGAAGCAAGGATAGCAGATAAAGCCTAACTAAAGGACTTGTAGGGCAGGCGGTACCTTCAGGTTCACTGGCAGGCAGGGCGTTATATAAACTGAAGGAGTCACTGGGTACTCGAGGACCCTGATCACCTAAAATCCGGGGTCCGACTTGACTCATACTAACTATACCCACAGTGACCCACTCACAAACATATCAAATTAACTTGCTGTTCTCCCAACCTGTAGCCTTGCAATACGTCCTAGAAGATCATCAAGAGCTTTAGACTAGCTGTACGCACATCAATGGCTTCCTTGTACTACCTGTACTATTCCCACGGTCCTCAGGGCCCGCCTTCGGAAATCGGGATTGCGCCTTCCCGCGCACCGGTGGCAGTGTTACTTTCTGCTACTGCGCACAGGCAGTACATAGCTCCTTGGGCGTAAGTGAAATTCATGCGCTGCCTTGTAAATTTTATTGTTCTTGCTCTATCTGCCTTGTCCCTCCCACCCCACTCGTTTTGTTATGCCACGTCAAAGAATTCACACTCAACTGATGTATCACAGGGTTATTCTTAATAAGGGTGAAACACCTATTCGTCTCCTCTATCGGATCTCCAGTAGCCTGTCCCCTATGTGTCTTTTTGTCCATTCTTAATTCTAATTTCTGGCCTAGTGACTCTCCTTGACTCTGAGACCACGCAATTATGACGCCTGCCAGCCTGATCACCTGTGACGTCCGATCGGGGATATCCTCCGAGGAGCCCGTCCGAGTCACTTCCCCCCGTGTTCCTCTTTCCGTGAATGTCCATTTGCCGTCCGGAAGTCTCAGTAGATCTCGACGTAATCCTTCATCCGTCCCCCATGTGTTTTTTGACTCAGCTAGCGTATCATGAGCGTTTAAATTGGTACATACATGTCCTAGTAGTACTAGTATTGTGGTTTGCACGTGGAGGGGGCGTGCCAATAATCATAAACCTTGTTTCCGACCATATCGTAGTCGACTTCTTGTCCCGCGACCATCGCAGTGCAGTGCTGGGGATTCAAGTACTATCTCAGTTGACTTGGATAGCTGTATGTATACGTGATACGACCTTCTACAGCTAGACAATTCCTATCGTTGTGCATTGATCAACAGGTACTACATATCCTATTAATATGTAAAACATTACCTCAGAGGCAACTCGTTGACACCTCACGACATCATATTCACACCTCACCGGCCACCAACGGAGAGCGCAGCTTCCCATCTTCACGGAAAAAAACATCCATAATGGCCGACCAGTGAACGTCGGACTAACGGCTTACGTCGAAATTCACAATTTCAAACGTGTGGCACGTCCTTGTGGCTCCATAGAATTGCCCTCTGGACAGAGATCGGAACCGAAAAAAATTTGCCTCCTTGAACAGTGGATGATCCGGAATTCGGAGCTTGCACGGAAGGCTCGTTGTTTACCCAACGAATTCGAACCTGAAAATTTTGATGTTCCGGGGCCTGGTTCTTCTTGACGTTGACCTACTATGCCTGTCGAATTGTAACACGTATGTAGGATACTCGTACGACAAACATCTCCACAACTTTCTGGCGCCATATCTTGATTTTCAAACGTTGGCGCTCGGCAACTGCCATTGTTCAGTAAAGGTGTTTGCCTTGGTTGGTGTGCATTCTTGGCGCTGACCATTTAAATGCGTCTCAGCTATGGTGTTGCGTTTGAATTTTCGTCAAGCCTCTGCGCCCGAGGTTAAAAGTTGCCTGGAATGGTAGCTGCTCCAAACAACTTGTCAGGATCTTTCCGAGGTGCCGAGCAGCACGTGAAACCGGAGCGGAGCGCATGGAGCATTTGCACCACCTGTGGTAAAAATGTGGTGCGCTGGAAGATTGTGACTCACACTTCAAACATCCGAACAGAAAATAACCCAACCCGGGAGCCGTTCGGGCTCAGGAGGCTGTGGAATAACTTGAACTGGCCTGCCATACATGGTCATCACCTGTGCCTAAACCTATGCAGGTACCCGGTACCGCGTGAGCCCGCATGAAAGACAGTCCACCAGGAACTCTCAGCCTGAGAGTTAAGGTGCATGGACATGGGTGTACGCCGTACGGATCCGCTCAAAGTTGTAATCTCTCAGGCACATTAGGAGAAGAAGATCGCAGAAGAATGTAAAAACGGTGACAGAAAACTGTTTTATGCAGCATGCAGATAGGAAATAGGGTGTATGCGCCCGATGCAACCTAGGTCCCAGGACGAGTCAGACTGGCTCGGATCCGACGCGTGTGATGGCAGTGACTGAGTGGTTGTAGATACGTAGAAGGCTTACCATATATAGGCACCCGAACAAACAACTGCGACGGGTTGGCAAGAAGGAACAGGTGAGAACGTGGCGCAAGAAAACGCTCGACTCGATACGTACTATGCCGAAACCCGTATCTAAGAAGCATTCAGATAAGTAACTTGAGAGAGCGATTCGCCGTGATGTACATGATACGTATCGTGACGACTAGCAAAATCCCTCTCGTCAGTTGTCTTTGGTGACCGTTTGGTAAGCTACAATCGAATAACCGCTACACGCGACCACCCTTACCTGACGGTCCGAAGGCCTGACCTACTGAATATCACAACAAAAACAAAGTAACAAAGTCATAGGTGTCTACATACTCGCCAGTGAAGCGGCACCATGTTCCGGCTCGGCCGCAGCTTCGACTTGTCTTGCATGGGCCCCCTTGCCGTCTCCATTGCATAATTTAACATAATGGATGGTCTAATTTGTATCCAGGCAGAGCGCATTGTCATCATATCCGAGTCAATGTTTCCAATTCATTGTCTCAGAGCCACTTTCAAGTCTCCCGAGATAGTGTGGGCTGGAGACCTGTGGTACCGGCCGGTCTCAGACTTGAAGCTTGAAATGTGAGTTCTTGTTGGAACCGGGAGGATTCATGTCAGGCTGACACGGATACAGCTGTAGTGGGGTGGATGCAGACATTGTAGAGCCGTCAATTTTCACTCCGGACGACGATGACGATGACGGCCACCCCCGCTCACATGTGGACCTGCGCTTGAAGCACGCTAACATTTTGCTTGAATGCTACGTGACCCAATGGTCCCAACAACGCAGTCGCTATTTTGCCCTGAAGTTGGTCCAACTGTTCTTTATCTTCGCTCATCTTTTGAGCTCTACCCCTCTCTCTGCTTATCGTCCAACCAGTCCGCTCGTTTGTCATTATCTACTGGCTGCGATGAAGCTTACCGTATCGTTTCTTGCTGTGTTCACTATTGTCGCCGTTCAAGTTGTCGTCCAAGCAGGCCACAGCTTTGTAAAGCTTCCTGCGCAGCGGGCTGCGCCGTGGAGATATGCCGCTATTTCCGCTCGAAATGAGGGTGGCGATAGCACACCCAAACTGCTGCGGAGGAATTGTAAGGGGAGACCGGTTAGTGGTGTTTCAAATTCGAATGATGGCCGCGAAGAAGCTTATTGTGGTTTCTATGCTCTTGTGTAACTGTGCACTGGTGACTGTAGATTAGCTCGGGAAGTCCTGCACCATCGCCTTCTGTATCATTTGCAGGTTCACCCTTAGCTTCGGCTTCTGAATTAACTATAGTATTGACCAGCACATCAACCCTGACTGTGCCTGCAACATTGTCACTGGCTTCAGCGTCAACTCCAGGATCAACTACGGCTCTGCCTGCAGCATCGTCACCAGCTTCAGCTTCGAGCACAGCATCAACTACATCGACCAAGGCTCTGCCTTCCGCGTCGTCACTAACATCAGCACCAACACCTCCTGCAACTTCATCAGCCCCTCAGCCCTCGACATCAGACAATGGACCCACTAACAACTCTGGAGGTGGGCCAATTGATGGACTCGTCAACGTCATCTCTTCCAAAAGTTGTGGATCTAGCGGTGCAACCGGTACGACTTTCCCGTATTGTAAGCGAAGGGAGTATACTTGCTGATGCACTTTACCAGAGGAAGTCACTGCATTGAGTGGTCCCAATGGCCATATAAATTTTCTGACCTGCGGCATCAACGGGACCGGATGGAACCCACCCTTGATCAATATTAAGGGTATCGTCACTGTTGACCTGTCGGCGGTCGCGTACCAAAATGATTCGGCATTCGCAAACTGCCAGGACTTTGTCGCGACATTTGAGCATTATGGTAGCCAGTATGGAAGTCGGTGCCATTTTCCAAGTCTTGCTACTTTTCCATCTGACGTTGCGTGACAGTCCCTGCTATTCTCCTTGCGTCTTTTGCCATGCAGGAGAGTTCATGTATACCGAGCACCGTTGGTGGAGCTGGTGAGCAAGGTTTGATGCAGCTCACCAGCGACAAATGCGTTGGTGCTCCCAATGGTGATTGTATGGACGTTGTAAGCCATGCCGTCATCGTGTCAGACATGTCATCTTGATCACATCCATATTTCTCCCCAGGATTTCAATATCGGTGCTGGCGCCATGTTCTTCTCGCAACTGCTTGACGAAAATGATGGCAACCTTCTCTCCTCCATTGGTCATTACAACGGCTGGTTCCAGGGAATGACTTATGTATTTATTTTGTTGCCATAACTTTAGAGATACCGGTGCTGACTGTATGCGTACAGGCGAATGCAACTGCTGCCGCCCATGGTGGCAACTGCAGGGAGCAAAACAACCTCGACTAGTAAGCCTTTATTAATCTCCGTGTTGTGTGATTTAATTTTATATATTGAAATAGCTTGCACCAGTTCTTGAACGGTTGGTGCCAGAACATCAACACCTATGAGCACAACCCTCCTCTTGGCGAGTATTTCAACCTGAATGTCTGTAACTAAGCAACGTTCCATGGGGACTATTTTTGCTTTCGCTGGGACATTATCATGGACACCATTTATTAACATCAAGCAAGAGTTTAAATCTTATACCACTTATTACCGCATACACCCATACCCGCTTTATGGTGGCGTTGTCACCCCTTCCCCGTGATCTCACTTATTTTTTCTGGTTAATGCGAAGCTTTTTTTTCGCGAATCTCTAGCCCAAGCTCAAGATTCCGATAAATAGTTAATGTAAAGCCACCGATGCGAATTTCCTTTCTCAGAAAATTTCAGGTCGGGGGTGATTAATGAACTGGCCAGTACTTGCAGATCGCGACGTACGCTTCTTAACTAGTGAGCGTCTTTCATAACATGGGTGATTCATCGTCAACATCGTCTTCTGCGCCTGCATCGACTGTGCTATCTTCTCTTCCCTCCCCAGAAATTCAAACTTTGAGTCTAGGAGATGTAACCGACGAGGATCGGGCGAAGGCCGCTAAGATCAAGACAGAGGCAAATCAAGCGTTCGCAAGTGCGTGTTGAACATTGGCATTGCATTCGTGATGCTTAAGTTGTCGCGATCTGCTCAACAGGTCATAATTTCGTGGAGGCCGTTAGACTCTACACCCAAGCCATAGAACTAAACCCGTTAGATGCGACGTATTGGTGCAATCGCGCTGCAGCTCGGACAAAACTAGAAGAATATGGGTTCGCGCTCTTGGATGCTTGTAAGTCGCTGGATATGTCAGTCTAGGTGTTTTAGCATCTCACGCGACTGCAGCAAAAGCCATCGAAGTCGATCCCAAGTATGCCAAAGCCTTTTATCGGTATGTGATAGGTTGCGGGTGCAAATATCCGAAGTTAAGCGCTCGTATCAGCCGCGCGACGTGCTATCTACAGATTGTGAAACCTCAACTAGCGGTGGCGGACTTCAAGAGAGTCGTCGCGCTAGAGCCTAGAAACACGGTCGTCCAGTCACAGCTCACAGCTACTCAAAAGCTCGTGCGCAGAATAGAATTTGAGAAGGTGTGTTTGACGCTTCATGTTAATCTTGTCGCTGATCTTCCGGGTAGGCGATTGAGGTAGAAGGGGAGAAAGATCCAGTAGAAAGATGTCACGAAATCATTGCGGAAGGTCAGCTGTTCGATTCTCCGTGAATTCTGCGTTTTCATTATTTTCAGGCGGCTGTGAGGTCGAAAAAGCCTATGCTGGTCCACAATTGAGTACTGGGGCTGACGGGAAATATGTGATGACGGAGGAGTTCATCAAAGGAATGATCGAGTGGTTCAAGGCAGGCAAAAATCTTCCAAGGCGATACGCGTGGGAGGTTATTCTTGGAGCATACTCGCATTTTGTGAAAGAGGAAAGTCTGGTCGACTTGGAGCTACAAGAAGGCGTAACATGCGACGTCATTGGAGATGTTCACGGTCAGTCTAAGCGCTGTAGCGCCTGATATAGAGTTGTGCTTACTGTGACTATTCTAGGCCAATTCTACGATTTATTGAAACTATACTCGTTGACGGGTACTCCCACCGAGAATCATTGTCTTCTCATGAATGGCGATCTTGTTGATCGGGGATCGTGGTCCGTTGAGGTTATTCTTACTGCTTTTGCGTACAAATGTGAGTATGTGAACTATACGAAGGGCCTTGATACTGAAATTATGTATAAGGGTTATACCCCACACGCATGTTCATCAATAGAGGTAATCACGAAGCAAAAGACATGAACCGAACATATGGCTTTGAAGGCGAAGCAAAGCATAAACACGGAGAACAAACATATAAAGTCCATTCCCTTCGTTCTCCTTCTGTTTAAAGCACTCACAGCTTCTTCAACAGTTGTTCGCTCACGTTTTCACCACTTGTAAGTATTTATAGATCTGCTAAGTTCAGTCGATTGACCGTTGGCTCTGCAGTACCATTGGCAACACTTGTGAGCGCCACCAAAGCACCCACCAAAACAAGCACTACAACGATACTATCACCAAAAGGGCTCAAGAGATACTTTGTCGTGCATGGCGGGCTGTTCAGTAAAGATGGTGTTACCCTAGATGAAGTTCGCAAAATTCCTCGAATTGGACGGCAGCCAGGTCAAGACGGTTTAATGTGTGCGTACCCTCCCACTCTTCCAACTGTTACAACTGACACGCTTCCAGCTGATGTGTGCATTTATGCTGTACTCATGCTTACAGGCACTTATTTCCATTTCAGCTTCTCTGGACTGATCCTCAAACACTTCCTGGTCGCGGCCCAAGCAAACGTGTATGTGTCGGTTAGCTGCCCAATAGCTGTGAGGCTCATAACTTCCCTTCCAGGGTGTCGGCATTGCTTTCGGTCCTGACATCACGAAGAAGTGGTGTTCATTGAATGGCATTACTTCTATCATTCGGAGCCACGAAGTTCGCCAGGGTAAGTGTTCTTCGTCACTTTACTAAGGAACATGACTCCAATTTGGGTTTGCAGATGGGTACGCCGTAGAACATGATGGCCTCTGCACAACCGTCTTTTCAGCCCCAAATTATGTGGATCAAGTGGGTAATAAGGGAGCGTTTGTATGTCCATACACTGTTCATCCAAGGCTTCAAATACTCACATCTTGCTAGATACGAATAGATGCAGAAGGAGACCAAAAGTACTTCCAATTCGAAGCGACACCTCATCCGCCAATGAAGCCGATGGCATATGCGCAAGGAGGTCTGGCGAGCTTGATGATGTAGATTTTCATGGCGAATCTTACAGGGATTTATGGACATGGACTAGAACGATGTAATGGATGCGGGCGCGTGGGAATCTTACTTGTAGTTACCAGTCGCCTTTTTGGAGCTTCAAACTAGTAGTGCTTAACATACTCTTTCACTTGACTTTGAGATTTCTGAAGTGCAATGGACAAGACGAAATCAAGATTGGCTGCCTTCTTCGATGACGACGAAGAGTCTTCGTTCCCAGTGCGACGAATAGACATTATTTATGTCCTTGAAACACTTACCAATCGCTTCGTACATTAGCAAAAGACTCTCGATGACACGAAGTTGTCGCAGTACGCGCAAGGCACTGTTCGCAAGTCCCGTCGAGAAAAGGAGAAGGAAGCTGCGGAGGCCAAAAAACGAGAGGAGGAAGAGAGTGCTGCCAAGGCATATGCTGATTTCATTGACGCGTTTGAAGGGGAAAGTGCGGACAAGCGGAAGACTGGTTCAGGATTTGTTCGCGCATCCGATGGCACGAAAGTGTCTTATCAACCACCAGTCAAGGGTGTCGCGGAATCCTCGTCGCGCAGCAGGCCAGTTCGATCTAATGAAGATGAAGTATGTGAACTGCTTCATGCGAGCAACATCTACTTGTGCTTATATTCTTGACCAGTCTACCGCACCAGGTGGTGCACCGAAGCCGAAAGGCAAACGAGCCATGGATTCATTTCTCGAAGAGATCAAGAGGTACTCTAGTTCTTACTGTCATGTGCATTACTTCACCATCCCTTCAGAGAACAGGCAATGCGAGAGGCTAGGTATTCCCGTTCCTCCCATGGGCGGTCAGTGACTGCATTAGCAGGTGCGTTTTCATTTGCTTTTATTGCCTTTAAGCTCAAATGTATTGCATTGCAGCATATGAAGGGCAGAGTGGCAGCAAGGACCGCGGTGATCCTGAGGTGAGCGCGAACACCTTTTCGTTTGTTCGTCTTCCGATTTCTTTCGCAGACTTCCAATCTTTTTGTGGCCAATTTACCCTCCAATGTCACCGAGCAATCTCTTGGCACCTTTTTTGCGCGTCACGGTCCTGTTGGCTCCGTAAAAATTATGTGGCCACGAGGAGATATTGTTGCTGGTCCGGGTGGTGACATGACTGCTTCGCGCCGCAATAGAAATTCCGGATTGAGTGGGTTCGTATCCTTCATGAAGCGTAAAGATGCAGAAGCTGCTCTGAGGGAAGTTGACGGCCTTGATTGGGGAGGTTCGATTCTTCGTGTGGGATGGAGCAAAGCTGTGCCTATGGCTGCAAAAGCTCTCTACGGTAGAGGTCATAGCAATTGCCTTCAGCTTTTTTTTCACATACCTTACAGTACCGAGCAGGACATCAAGGTCGAGATCAAGATCGCGAGGACACGAACGTAGGGGCAGGAGTAAGTCACATTCGCCAAGGCGTCACTCCCGATCTCGCTCTACGGATCGCTATCGGTCCTCTAGACGTTCCCGCAGTCGTTCTTTGAGCGACAGTCGCTCACCTCGTCGGCGACGGCGCTCATACAGTCGTTCACGCTATGACAGCCGCAGTCCATGCAGACGGTCACCCAGCCTTTCGAGGAGGCACGAGTCTGAAGATGAGGCATCTGCCGTCACCGACACGTTCATTCGTGCTGTGGCTGCCGAGGTCAAAGGCCATGGATCTGAGTACGAGGAAAACCTTCGTGAATGGGAAAGGAACAATCCCAGGTACTCTTTCATGACGCAGCGCAAGGTATGTCAAGATATCTCCTTGGTGAGGGCGTTGACAGACTGCGAAAAGCACCGACGGCACGCATTCTATAAAGGTCTAGTTGAGCGAGACGATTTTACGGGTGCAGAATTTGACGACGAGGTGTGTGCGTTGCTTTCTCTCAGCGAACCATGCTAAACACGTGCCAGGGTTATAACTCAGCCTACTCTACTGATTCTGCGGAAGAGTCGGAGCAAGAACGAACTCGCAAGACTGTTCTAGGCAAGCTAGCTCGCAAACGATTCGAAGCAATGCTTCGTGGTGTCACTGGCAAGAGAGGCGAGCTCGCTCGTTGTATGACATTCAGCTTGGAGCACGCGGAAGCTGCTCGTGAGGTATAGTCACAATTTCCATCGGAAGAAGTGCTCTGTTCTAACTATGTTAGGTATCAGATATCATCATCTCTTCACTCTTGGTGGATGGTACACCTGTGCCACGCAAGATTGCTCGGTTGCATCTTATCTGTGACATTTTACACAACTCGGCAGCCCCAGTACCAAGCGCATGGAAGTTTCGGCAGGAATTCCAGTCTCGCTTGGGTATAGTGTTCGATCATTTCGCCGCCATTTATCATTCTTTTCCTGGTCGGATCACCGCGGAAACATTCAAGAAGCAGATCACAGCCGTAGTAGACATTTGGGAAGACTGGATAGTCTTTGCTCCAGACTTCACTGCAGAACTGCGTGCTAGGCTGGATGGCACCACGCAGGCTGATTTGAACAAGCCGAAGGCAGAAGACGATGCTAGCGTTGCTGCAGCCGAGGCGCAATCTTCGTATGTTTCCAAGTTCAAAGCGAAATCTTTCCAGCCTGCGCAGGAAATAACCGAGACAACCCCTGATGTCGCGGACGATACTAATGATCTCGATGGCGAACCGATCGAAGACATGGATGTAGATGGAGAGCCGTTGGATGTGGATGGTACACCTCTTGATGACGACGTTGACGGCGTTCCTCTTGATCACGGCGAGGACCCTGATGTCGACGGCGAGCCGATGGAAGACATTGATGGATCGCCCATTGATGCAGATGATGTCGATGACGTTGATGGTATCCCTCTTTGAGAGGTTTAATATTCCAATATCCGTCCCATTGTATTGCAGAGAATATCATAACAAGATAGTGTGTGGTTTGTCAATGGTTTAAACACAACAGCATGATGTACACCTAAAACCCAACATCAATGGACATGATTGACATCTCAGTGGCGTGGAGGACGCCCAGAAGATGTTTGCTTCAAGATAGCTTCTTTGGCAGCTTCGACAGCAGATTCAGACCCTACAGTACAATGTCAAACCAGTGATCTTGCATGGATAAACCCGACTTACCAATAATGATTATAGTACTGTTTTCCCTGCCAACTGTAATGTCAGCGCCTGTCTCATTTCGAAGGCGAGCGACGTTAGACCCCTTTGAGCCCACGATTCTCGGGAATGCAGAGCGATCAGGGAGAGTCAAAAAGCCCACACAGGTCATGGCAGCAGCCTGCGCAATAGCTTCCTGGATAAGGCTCTGGGCCCGCTCCAGACCAGCAGCATCGTTGCCCTTCAAAGTCCACTCCGAGTCACCTTCCTCAGCGTCCAAGTAGTTTTCGGCGACCTGCCAGTGGATTTCGATAGATGGCGCATCCTCAGAATCATCAATGCGGGCAGTCGTAGAGCCATTTTGAGGGGGAACAGCAGGGACTGCTGGCTTCTGAGGTTTGCCAGATTGCTCGACGGAAACCCCGAAGTTGCGCAAAGTACGGAAGAAGTGGCCCTGCTGTGAAATGGCGTGATGATACTTCAGTGGTACTGAGACAATCGCTGTCATGACCTCGGGAGCGGCAGGCTTCACGTTGGTCTGCGAGGAACATAAGAAGCAAAAAAATTATAAAAGAGGTGTTCTATACCTTGAGTTCTTCAAGCGCCGCCTCGCAGGCTTTGCGGGCACCAGAGACCTTGACGATATTGGCCGGATCGACGTCTGCCATCTCACTTGCATTTTCGGGGTCACCAAATTGATTGTATGAGCGTGACCCAGGGAACTGTACTTGAACTCCAGTGCGGTTCTGAAGATCATTCAAATGTTGGCCACCTCTGCCGATCAAGTTACGGTGCTGTGACGCAGGGACCTCCACAGCCAAAACAACACGGTCACGCAATGTGGCCACGATTTTCTCGAGTTCCTCTTTGACCTTGTTAACCAACTTGGGCTCTCCACGGAGGCGAACCTCATCAGAGGTTTCATCCTGGCGAGGGCTGGGAAGATGTTAGCAAACGCCAAGACACAAGTGGAACAAACATACAAACGGACAAGGCCAGCTTGGAGTTTAGTGTCAGACGGACCACCACACCTGCTGATGAGATCTTTCAAACCCTGCCCACCAGCACCTATGATGTTACGGTGGAACTTGCGCTCAATGACCAGGGATGTCGTGGTTTCCTCGCCCACTTGATCGGCTATAGCCAGGATGGCGGTCTTCGCAGCATTAATTGCGTCCTTTGTACCACGAACTGTAATTTGCGTGAGAGAACCGATCCCGTCGTTGGTTTTATCGACATCAATTTGAGCTCCGGTGACATCCTTGATCTCAAGGATGCTGGCACCACCTTTGCCAAGGATACGAGAGACTGAACGAGTGGGAACATCGAATGTGAGAACCTTGTTGTTTTCCTTCTCAAACTCCAGAGCGTCAAGCAATTCAGACTTTGCGCTAGCAACGCCCCTCTTGCCACCCTTAATGAGGACCTCATCAGGTTTGAGTTGCTCCCTGGTCTTGCCCTCCCCGTTCTCGCCGGATGAACGAGGGAATGTGATCTTGACACCATAATTTTCCTCCAGCCGAATAGCATACCTGCCACTCTGACCAATGAGCTGGGCGTGATACTGGTTGGGTATTTTTAAGACTTCAAAAGTCTCATCAGCCTGGGGGAGTGTCAGAAATGGGAATATCGAATGATGCCACGACTTACGAGCCTCTCAACTTGAGATAAAATCCGTTTTTTGGCTTCTTCTGCATTCTCCTTGCGACCTGTGATCTGTTTGCAAATACAGTGAGAAATAGGGAGAGGAAAGAAGGCAAGTGGAGCGACTACCTTGACCCTGGATTTCTGGTGAGTGGCCTTCTTCTTCTTGCCTGCCTCTTTTTCCTTTTCGTCTTCGTCCGAGAAATCAACCTTAACACCGAGAGAGTCGCGAAGTTTGTTGACGCCTGAACCCTGTGCGCCGACGACACGGCCAACATACTCCCGATCAATGTCGAATTCGATGGACTATGTGGAATGGATCAGCCAGAGCAATAACTACAACATCTAATACCCACATAACTGCTGACAATGGCATCATTCTTGGCATCCTCGACGACCTTGGAGATCTCGTTGACGGCACGATCGACGTCGACGCTGGCGCCTCGGACAAGGATGACATCCTCATCAGATGCGTCACCAACTTCTGCGCCAACCTTGATAGAGAGCGTTGTGTCTTCACCAATAATGCTGAAACACATTTGTAAATACAGTCACCCCATGTAAGGCGAACTCACGCATTCAAAGTGGTGCCTCCTTGACCGACGACGGCTTCGTGCCAACGCTTCTCGACCGAGATTTTCTGACTTTTCACATCGGCAAATTCCTTGGCCATCTTGAGGAGTTCTTCCACAACATAATCCAAATGCTTGCCTTTCTCCACGGGCGAGGGGGACGCCGAGGGAGAAACAGGATCGTAAACCAACAGGACCTCTGATTGCTCGCCGGACTCCGGAGGGAAGAAGACTTGGACATTGTGTGCCTCGTGGAATTGCTTCAATCTAGTCATATTGAATCAGCTTCGTACTTCAGCTATATCGCAAATTGAACGCACTTCTTGGCATTTTTACCCTGGATAACGCGGTGGATGAGCCAATCAATCGAAACTTCCCTCGTCGCACCGATGAGTTTCCCAATGAACTGAGAGATCTGTTTAATCACCGCGTCCACCGCGGATTTCTCGCCAGCAATGTCGATATTGAGAACTGATGCTTGGGCAATGGTGGCAGGAGACGGTGTAAAGATCGAGACATCAGGATGATCGTTAGCCAAGGTTGCCTCGTAGTCGACCCGTGTCATATACGTGAGAAGTTGCTTTGAAACCGCCACGGGACCAGGTAGAGGGAACTCGTGGATGAATTGCGAATTTGCCTTGACCATGACAGTACCCAGACCAGTGGGAAGATCAACTGCCGAACCCCACACCGTGACCTCGTCGCTAGGATCCTCCGGAGAAGCGACTTCAACCAAACATTTGGTCTGCGCCAAAATGTCATCGACCGCTTTACCAGTAAGAAGACGATGCTGGCGCTTGGGTAAAGAGATCTTCAGGTTGGTTATGCTTGTCTTGAATACTTCGATGGTAGCTTTGATGGTCTCGGCGACACGAACGACGCCCTCGCGATCTCCACTGACAGTGATCTCCCGCTCAGGTTTATTCAAAGCGAGATCGACATAATGACCTTGAGATTCCTCCATGAAGTGGTTGCGACAAGTAAGGATGAAAGGTAGAATGTGAGCCGGAATGTCTCGAACTTTTTGAGTACGTTGTGAAGGTCGAGAAGCGATGATCTCATTGAGCATTCCCTGAGCTTCCAAGGCAAGCGGTCGCGGGCCGATGATAGTGACGGGTACCATAACCTCCTCTTCCTCGTCGCCTGGGAGGGGGGTAGTAGTTCCGTTTGTTTCGCTTGCGTTTCCGTTGGGGGTACCGTCCTTGGGAGGAATGTCGACCTTGACACCTGTAGCGTCACGAACCTTCTTGAGAGTCGCGCCTATAATTATGAACAGTAAATACATGAAATGCTAACGAGTGTGAAGCCTTACCCTTGGGTCCGATTATAGCTGCAATAGTAGACGCGGGGGCATTCAAAATCAAAGTAACCTAATAAAGCGATTAGGATACAGGAAGAGGTAGCTCAAGATTTGTGTGATGTACCACAGGGCTCAAAGCAGCTAGCAAGTGACGCTTAGCCTTGTCGAGGTCCTTTTGAGTCTCACCCTTCATGTGAAAGGTAGTCTGCCGACTCTGATTTGTCGATGCCTCTATTCTAACCCTGTACTTTGCCATGACCTGCTTCATAGCTTCACCAACCGAAGTTTGTTTAACATCCTTGGCGGGAAGCTCGGCTTGAGTGACCGTGAAATAATCTGTGATGACTGGTGTGGATTTGACAGTAGCCTTGATGCGAGGGCCAGCATCAGAACCCCAGGCAGACTTTGCAGGTGCAGCAGCAGCAGGCGCGGAGGTGGCGAGAGTCGGGAAATCCGCTTGCGAGTCGGCATCAGTAGGGACCTGAACGACACGTTTGGGCTTGGATGTCGCCTCCCCAAGAGAGGGGAACGGGTCAGGAGCTCCTTCGAGTTCGTGTCTCTTCTAACATTACAAATAATATCCATCAGGCCAATACGTCGGTACACATGGATAAACTGACTGACCTGGAGTTCAGCTGCGGTGAGTTGCATGTTTCGAGGCTTACGGGTGTCCAAAGCACAGAACCTATGACGAGAAATACCTGCGTTGAACTAAACTCAACGCGTAAACAAAAATCCAAAAAATTAAGAGGGTAGGAAACAAGTAGGGAAATGTGTTGGTAAACCGGAAAACGACGGACAACGTGTCGAAGCCCGAATGGGTTTTCGCCTAATAGGAGGTTATATACGTGCGAAACATCACATCACTACTAATTTTGTTAAACTTAAGTAAAACGACTTACGGAATTGATTGTGACCTCGCACTGCAGGCTCGTATGCGATGAAGAGGTTCATAACCATGGCTTTCTCGATTCCCTTTGTATACACATTGATATCAATTTTAAATATATATACTGTAGTAGCGGTAGAGTTAAACCAACTAGTAACCAGTAAGCATGCACAATGTTTGAGAATAAATATTATACAGAGCGTCAGAGCATATACCAAAACACAGAGCATCCACACCACGAAGATAAATACAATCCTACCAGTTAAAGTCTTCCTCTTGCACCAGTCGAAAGTTGAGAGGAACCGCAGGAGATACCCCATCTCCAGCTGGTGGGTTAACGACAGGTGTATGAAATGCCTTCAACTTCCACTCAATTTCTTTGATATGTCCGTTGGCATCCGGATCAGTTGGGAGCAAAAAATGCAGACGAAGCACGACCGCGGCAATGATTTGCTCTGATGAGTCAAAGATTGGTTAGACTCGACAGCCATACGCAACGTGTAAGAGCTTACTCATTTCCATTTCGGCGAACTTGAACCCGCTGTAAATACGACGTTAGTACGCAGATGGATGTCATGGATTTGACTTACATGCAGGAACGACTGCCGCCGAGGAAAGTCATCCTGCGTATGGTCAGCGAACGCACTATGTTATGACCTAACAGATAAGAACTGACATGTTGGAATAAACACCAGGATACTTGATGCCATCTTTAACCCCAAGGATAGGTGCGGATAACTTCGATAACGGTACGTCGGCACTATCGGGGGGTATATCCGTGCCTAGCCCATCCTTTCTCCCCAGGGAAGAAAGCCATCGCTCAGGCTTCCACTCATTCGCATCATCACCCCACAAAGTTCGATTGCGGTTTGCAGCTAAAATAGAGATGACAATGAACATATTTTCATTTAGCGCAATGGAAGATATTTCTGCTCCGGATGACGAGCGAACAGGGAATTGAAGAGGAAGAGTAGTTGCCTTGACCACTCTGTCGATATATAAACTCAGCTAATAGTTCTGGTGATAATGAACGACATACTTTCGGCCCATGTGCGGTAGAGAAGGATAAAGCCGCAATGTCTCTCTGACAACTGCGTCGAGGAATGGGAGATTTATTAGCGCATCGTATGACAAGTGAAGGAGTGGATTGTCGTGCTCGGAAAACGAAGGACCTTCCTGTGCGTGAGACGCAGACTTGATGGCATCACGAATTTCACTTCTCAATCGAGCTTGGGCGAGTGGGTTCTTGGCGAGTAGGTAAACGCAACGAGACAGAGCGGAGGTAGTCGTATCTAGGCCAGCAAATACCATAACACTACAATTAGATGAATTAGAGCATTTTCATGTTTATGATGAGCGGGTGGCTTACTTCATTTGTCCCAATAGCTCGGCATCGGTGAGTTGCTCTGAACTGGAAGACGCAGAGTTTGCGTTGACTGTGCATACCTTAGTAACATATGGACCAGAACGTTTTGGAACTAACGCATGATGTCCATCATATCTTTCCTCCTACCCGATTTGAGATCATCGACTTCAGGCTGCACATTAGTCGGGGATAAAGTAACTGGTGTCTCTAGTGCTGCCTTTTTCCCCGCAAAAGCTTTCTTGCTACCACTGTCCATGAGTTCAATGATTCGTCGCATCTCTCGTACATCTTTCATCTTGTTAGTGGGAATCCAGGGCGCCGTGACCAAATTCACAAGCTTCCTTATCCAGTATGATGAGAAGTTGCGCATAACCATAGGCACAATTGGCCGGAAATACAATAGCTTTGATATCATGGGGCTGCATCATCAAGTCAAAAATCACTGCCGCCGTGAGAGGATTGCTGTATTCCATACCACATACCTTATCTTCCGGAGTGCTTCAGTATATTCGTCGTTTCCCGTATCTAAAGTATTGCTTGGATAACCAAGAATCGCCTGACAAACGCCATCAAGTGCACTGCGAGATAGCAAAGGGAGCACATCGATCTCTTTGTATGCTGTTTCAAAAGAGTTAAATAAAACCGCCCATGTCGATGTATAGTTTTGCATGTGAACGGACTTACATCCATCGTCCGGAAGTTTAGATGCGACGATAGAGGTCAGCTTGTGCGCAATAGGTTGCAATGTAGGTAGTAATTCTCGCATGTTCGAGGTCGAGAAGACAGGGTTGAGTAGCTTGCGCTGTTTTCGATGCTGCTCTCCTATACATGTTATTAGATACCTCTCATGGATCCCTGCCGTAATGTGATCTCGCACCGATAGTGGATATTAGACCATCTCCGAATATTGCCTTGTTGTTCCTTTACAATGCGAAGTCAATATACTAGGCTGTGAAAGAGCAATAGAATACTGACATGATAAATACATCAGGTTCTTCAAAGCTATGCTGATCTTTTATGATAACATGATACAATGCCAGTGGATCAGATAGATACACTACTTCCTGCGGAGAGCAGCATTCACAAGGATATTGCAGAGTAGCGGCATTTCACATCTGAACTTACCCCGTATAGACTTGATAGCTTGAGCGCACCGCCATACTGTTCAGCCAATTTCACGGAATAGTCAAGGCCACATTCGAACAATTTCCGGACGTTCCCTGCCAGCATCCCCAAGTCAGCCACATGATAAGAGGAGTGTAACCACGGTCAAGAACCTGTCAGCCAGTGGGCCTCCTTGGGGCCATCAAGGTCAACACTGTATTTTCTTGATGAGCCTCCAAACGTCTTCCAGAGAGCAAGCACTGAGAGGATTCCAATTCCGCCGCATGTCACAGTGACTTGCCAGTGGGACAGCGACATCTTAATGGAGGTGTGGGTATACAATTCAAAGCTGTACAAACATCATGATCGACTGCGAGGTATTTATGCACACGCGTCTGCAGGACCTTCTTCTTGTAATGAAGTTGAACGTTCCAGGAGCTGTCCCAAGCATATGGCAGCGCTCATTCTACTGGTATTAGACGTAATCATTTAGATCCGTTTTCATGTGACAGAAAATGATACCGATGAACAAGGAATTGAATTGAGACTTGACTTGAGCTCAATTTGAGCTTGAACATTTCGCATGGAATCGAGCACCAAGAGCTCAGAGTGACAAATTAAGAGTAGTGTCACGCTCTGCTATCTTCATCCTTCTCTCCTTATAATATTTGACAGAACGCCGTGACTAGCCTAAGTATACGTACTATCACGGTAGGTGTAGTCCAACCATGTATGGGTAATTGGGCCCTGACGGAGTTCAAAACCTAACCTCGTCCCGGTGACCGGGGCGGCAATTTTGTACTGCTTCGTGCACTGTTGACGACGACACACAGCTACCAATTCTCGAACCCATACATCTAACTGCCGGATTGGCTGTATATGGTTTTATTTTAGCTTCCAGTATTAGTTGCTTTCAGTGCAACTCGTCCACACAAACGGTCTGAATCAGAATGGCCATTTGCTTCTGATTTCCGCAGAATGATACATGTTAGCGCACCGGATGAGCAAATGAAATCTCTGTACGAGGTATTTATGTCCTTCTGTGATGCGATTGATGAATTCTGCCCCTTCAGTACTCCGCCACTGATGTAACGACCACATGAGTCAGATAGACCCACTACTTGCCCACCAAATATTGCCTCCACATGCTGTGCTAACTTGAAAGCACCTGACTTCAAACAGAACACTTCCACCGACCTCGTCTGTCAACAAGCTGTTAACTCTTCCATACATATTGTGTATTCTTTGCTATCATTGCCTTCGCTGATAGCGCTGACATCTCTCAAGGCACTGATCTCCATCACCCATTTGCGCGTGCAACACTAAGCGCTGACTCGGAGCACTCGACATCGGAAATACCGGAAAGCTGCGCCCAGAAACCCATACCGTTCATCGTCACGGTCCCCTTCACCCTCCACATTCTCTTTGACATAGCCATGCTTTTCCCAGATCCTCACAGTCTTGTCATCCTCCATTCTGTGAGGATGCTGTGAGCGAACGTTACAGTATGCGCTTCTTACTGGTACCTTCCGTCTAACCATACCGTCACTGCCGGTCGATTTCTGTTGTGGAACAGCAAGACTGGGCGCGCTGTTCAGCTTAAGGAGAAGAATGCTCACGTAGTCGAGATTATCCCTCCGTGAGTGACACTATTTGTTCCGTTGTCGTCGATCTCATTGCCGGTTAAAGACTCGTCGAGTCGGAGTTGCACGATTGTGAGTTCCCTTCCTGTTTTCCGTATCTACTGTCCCTTGACCTGCGCGTTAGTCGAAGGTACAACGCAACGTCTATCCAATTTCTGGCTTTCGCTCGAAGAATACACGAAGGTGATGATGGAGAGCCTTGTTCGGGGTGACCCATACATTCCAGCGGGGATGGTCATTGAACAGCACAAACAGTTTGAGGAAGGGAAGTCGGAGGCTGCAACGAAGATGCATGAGCATTTTCAGGTCAATGACTCAGAGATAAAGCACACGTATTGGAGCGTTTGGAACGTAGTTTTCCTCTGCAATCAAGCTCAGAGCGTATAGTGATTGCCATTCAGCTTCTTCCCTCAAGAAGAATTCTCTTGAATTTGGGAGTGCTGCACTGCTGGAATACAATGCAAAAATCTGAGTCCCAATTGGAAAAACTACGTTGCATATAGCCTGAGTGAAAGTACTCAGGGTCCTGTAAACCAGTCACTACAAATCTTCTGGATGCGTGATGAACAGTATTGCCTACTCAATGTAGTGTTCGTCAATTTGACGCATCTCAAGTAGATATATATATATGTATAGATGCCAAGATACTCAATCCAAACGGTTCAGCGAAAACTGCTCCGTCTTCTGGAACAGCTCGCTCATGTCTGGAACTGGTACAGGGACACCAGCGGATACGGGGTGGATTGGCTCCTGCTCGTCGTCACCAACCACTCTCATTGTAAACCCGTTCGGTACGTTCGGCAATCGCACTGAGCCCAAGTTTCTCTGTCCAGGACGCTGGAATGGATTAGATGCGATGGGGTATTCTTTGGGCCGCATAAGATTGTAAATCTCCGAGCCATTCATGCCTGCTGAGTGTAAGCGAGGGAGGGCATGGGCAATGATCTGGGAATTGCATCTCTTTGAAGTTCGGCGGATTGTTCTGCGTATTCGGTGACGGCAAAAGGCGTATTATCAGTGTGACAGCACAAGGTGACGAACTGCCAAGCTGGGTAACTAGTAAGCCCAGCATTCAGACCGACGATAGCGTCTGGTTTGCTTCCTAGGAGCAAAGGGAGCCGCGGGTCCCAATTTTCATGATCTCCATGAAGAAAAATGGATACAATGCTGGTTCCGCAAGATGCAGGGCTGGTGTAGGTGTAGAGGATTGTTATAAGTGTTGTGGCGGTGACTCCAATCGAAGTCCGTCGTGCTGAGCGCTGATGTCTGTAGGCTGTAGGAAGTGAAAGCGCGCAGATGGGTTGGAGGACATTCACAGGCATAAGTGTTGAAAAAATGGCAGATGATGTGCGCAAAGAACGTGAGCTCGACGAATGGGACAATGGAGCAGGACAATGAAGACGATAATACATAGAAGGAGCTTCGTACTTCTCTCCGACACAGTTTGTAGAGTCCAACCTTTACATACTAAATAACGTCAGTCGAATGGTAAACCGGTGACAGGTCACATGCACAGCATCACTCCGTATGTCTTTCCTGTTCACGTGACCTGTAGTGATATCCGACGTGGAACCTGCGATTACTTATTAGATATATGAAGGCATCACTTTCAGAGTCCCAGTTAACGACGAAGGCAATTTACAAACTCCAAAGCATACACACATTCTTTACTAGCCTCCCAGGAATCTTTCCCACCACTATACAGACTCCCAGCTCTTCACATGCTCTGTCTCTGGCGTAGAGCATATCTGGCTCTCGCATTCTCCGCGTTGGCCGCTGTAGGCGTCAGCCCAAGTTCATTTCTTGGAGACAGCCTTATACGACACAATCCAGTTCAGAATGTTCTTGAACACGAGTCTGTTCGTGGAGAACCACTGTGTCAACATTCGGTATGTGGTACTTATGTGTACGATTGGACATATCATTCATCCACGTGTCTCTGTAGACAACTGGTCCGATAGAAACTACCTTATGTGATTATGAGACGATAGAAAGTGTAAATGGGGAGCTATATAGTGTGCTCAGCGAGTTAGTGCAGATGCCATTCTTCAAGTATTTCCAGGTACGTTCTAGACTCGGACAGCTTCGAGCACCACTCAATCGTTCATCAGGCGGACCTCTATCGTGAATGCCCTTTCTGGCAAGAGAATGGGTTCTGTATGAATAGGGAATGTGGTATCACTACTGTAGATGAGGTATACCCAATTTGTCATCTCATTTAAGTTCACTCAGCTGAAGTCCTATTATAGAGTGAGATACCAGAGAAGTGGAGAGCGGCGGCTCTGAGTAAGATAGAATTGCCACCTTTGGAAGAGGTAGGTCTCGCGCATTCTGTTAGACGACGTTTTCATAATTTGTACAGCGTGTCCTTCTACCTGGATGCTATTATCGCGATTCTGATTTTTGTTTCCTTGATGATATGACAGGTGCGTATTTCACCATATTCTGGTTTTTGTGTGATGACGATTCTTTTGTAGAGGGTGAATACGTCGACCTGACACTAGTCCCCGAGCGTTATACGGGTTACGCAGGTCCTTCTGCGCATCGGGTCTGGAAATCGATATACGAGGAAAATTGCTTCGGCCTTTCAGAGCTGAACCTGTTGACTACTCGTTCTCCCGCACAAGTCACACTTCCTGATACCCTTACCGATGTCTTACGAGAGCCTATTAACGGAGAAAACGCAGATGGCGAATGTCTTGAGAAGAGAGTGTATTACAAGATTGTATCTGGGTTGCATGCATCCATCTCAACTCATATCTGCCTGGAATACCTTAATCAAACAACCGGAGAGATGGTATGCAGTCCAGTTGAATTTCACCCCTAGCTCATCATATGTGACAGGGCCCTAACCTCGAATGCTTCGTCACCCGCATCGCCTCTCATCCTGAGAGACTTCAATATATTTACTTCAACGCTGTGCTCCTCCTACGCGCCGTATCACGCATCGGTCCGTACCTACGTGACTATGACTATTGTTCAATGTCTATGCCCGCGCCTCACGACCACGTGCTCCCGGAAGACATCCAGGAGGAAGCCAAAACACTTGGGACTCTTAGCAAAGTCATCGATATTGCAGAGCATGTCGGTAAGTTTGACGAACGGGTGTTGTTCAGAGGCGAAAACGCGAACGTGAGCGATATTTTAAGATAATATTCATGCACTGAAATCTTATCTGTCTTTCTAGATCTTGAAAGAAGAGTTCAAAATGCATTTCCGAAATGTTTCGAGGATCATGGACTGCGTTGGATGTGACAAGTGCCGTTTATGGGGCAAAGTCCAAACTACCGGACTCGCAACCGCGCTCAAAATTCTCTTTGAGATGGACGAGACTGCTCTTGAGTAGGTAGTTGACGCATAACCCTTGCATAAGCTAACCTCCTTCAAATCAGTCCGCACATAAATCATCATCATCTACAGCGGTCGGAAGTTGTTGCCCTTATTAATACTCTACATCGCTTCAGCGAGAGCTTACAGGCCGTGGAAATCTTCCGAGATATGTGGAAGAAGACTGCCGAATCCGATGCCAACCACCTCATTGAAGAGGCTGAAAGGGCTGTTGTTGGCAATGTATGTTCTTCGTTATGTTCTTATTGCGGCACTCACAGGCCGCCTCAGCCACGGAAGTCGCCTACACACGAATCAACGCAGGCATCAACGCCTAGAAAATCGCATACTCTTCATTCACCCTCTCCTTCACCCTCATACACAATATCCCTGGAAACGATGCAGCGCTACCTCCGACGATTAATACGGAGGTGCAAAAAACACACTCTGTCTTGCTTTAGCATATTCTTGCAGGTATGGCAGCAGTTACATAATGCCATGTTTCCGTTGCGGACAGAGCTATGAACTATCCGGACTTATTTGTTTAATCTAATACAGAATCATTTACGAGATATAATATCTTTGTGATAAGCAATATCACGTATTGCTCCGCTTTCATTTGGTTGGAGATAACACTTCCTATTATCTTCATGGTTCCCACCAAGCTAGCTCCCGTTTGATATCGATACTTAGCAGCCACCACTCGTGGTAACTGTGTCTACTGGCGTGGAATCGTGCTCGATGTCCGGAAGTATTTCAATATCGACAGATGAGCCATCAATAAGACCTTGCGAATCGAATGCAGGCGCGGATGCTTATATCAGTGAGTGATTCTGTGGCATGCAGCACCCCATCTCAGATTACTAGCTAATGGAGGGGCTTCATCGACACTTGTGGATCGATAGTCAATGTGTTATCAGTATTGATCATTGCAGAGACGAGATGCCTACTCTTGCGGGCGGACCAAGGGAATTGGGGGACATGTCAGGATGGAGTTACCGTGCGATGCCAAGGACTCACATCTGCGCCCTGAACGTACAGTATAACAACCCTGGCGAGATGAGGAGGATCGCAACGGTTTCACCGAGCTTCACCAAGTGACCCTGCGCGGGGAACAGACACCTCAATCGAGCTCGCTGATACTTCGCCTGCGCACTAAGTGTTCAAAGTGGAAGTCGAGATCGCTAGTCTGGTCAAGGAGTGGAAATGATCTTCGCGAACTGAATGCTGAACTTTGAAATGTTTCACTCAGTTATATAACATCAAACGTTGAACGAACCGTATATGGGCGATGGTGACACATGACGATATTATCACCCTTAACATGCAGCCCTTAGCGTGCACTGAAACAAGTGAAAATAGATTTGCCTTCTGATCCTTAGTGCTACGAGTACTACACCAGTCGTCCCTCCAGTCTCCGAAATACCCAATTTATGCTCCGAGGGTTTATGCGTGCGTGTCCGTAACGTTATAATGATAATCCGAGCAGAACGTTGGTAAAGAACGAGTACTAAATTACTAAAACCATATTACAGGCTGTTGTGCTAGAACAACTTCGACTCCAAAACACATGTTTTTGGGCGTCCTTCGCCGTGATGGCGAAGATAAAACGTACAAGCTAAGATCCCATTTCAAGATAACGCGTAAATGTGCATGCTGTCATTCGGGATCAATGAGGTTTAACTACAATAAATTTGATGTCTGCCAGCCTAACTCGTCCCTGACCCTCTTTTTCTTTAACGGCCATATTCTAACCGTTGTGCTCATATAATCGTGACCTAACCCCATTTTTGCCTATATAAACCCCAAGTATCTACTGACTTTTTCCCCAGCTTCTCTGCTCTAGTCATCCACATAGTTGTCTTCATCGTAGCTTCTGGTGTCAGACACCTTCATACTCAAGAGTTTTCCGAGCTCTTTGCATGTACTCGAACCAACTTGGTAGTCCCCACAACCCCCACCGAGGCTCCAAGCACTCCTGCGCAGGCTTTTTAGCTGCTCATTGACTTCGTCTTCATCGTTTTTGGCCCAATTTCACTCGTATATATACTCACCGCAATGTCTACTCAACTTCCCGCCACAAACTCTTCGGGTTACAATACCCCCGATTCTGAATTGGAGTCGATCGTCCCAATTCATCCAACCGCCGTTCGTCGCCCTAACTACATCACTGTTCAGTCCGAAAATACCGTCTACACCGACGACCATATCATCGCAAAGTACCTCAACCGTGGTGCTGATGTCGTAGTCTCAGATGGCCAGTTCACTGTTTTGCCTACTGTCAAGCCTTATGAGTTCCAAACCACCCGCAAGGTTGGCAAGACTGGGTATGTCATTTATTGATTTACAAATATGCTACCATCTGACGTGGACGCACAACAGACTTATGATGATCGGTTTGGGTGGTAACAATGGCTCCACTCTCTGCGCGACCATCATCGCGAACAGGCACCAGATCGCTTGGCACACCAAGGAGGGAATTCAGCAGCCTAACTACATTGGCTCTGTCCTCCGTGCATCCACCGTTCGCATTGGTACTGAGCCGAGCACCGGTAAGGAAGTCCACGTCCCCGTCTCCGACGTGCTTCCCATGGTACACCCCAACGACCTTGTTCTTGGTGGCTGGGACATTTCCGGCCTGCCCATGGACAAGGCGATGGAACGTGCTAAGGTGCTCGATTATGATCTTCAGCGCCAGGTCAAGCCGCATATGGCTCTGCTCGGTCGTCCCCTTCCTTCCATCTACTATCCCGACTTCATTGCTGCCAACCAGGAAGCGCGTGCAGATAATGTCGTCCCCGGCACAGACAAGCAGGCTCATCTCGAGCACATTCGTGCTGACATTCGCCGCTTCAAAGCCGAGAACCAGCTTGACCGTGTAGTCGTATTCTGGACTGCGAATACGGAACGCTACAGCGACATCATCCCTGGCGTCAATGACACGGCCGACAATGTGCTTGCTGCGATTAAGACTTCCCACTCGGAGGTGTCTCCC